CCACAATCGCAGCCACAGTGCAAGGGCGAAAAGTGCCACATGTGCCACAGCGACCGACCGAATCCAGCGTTCGCAAGCACGCAGCAGGGAAGTCGTCGAGTCTGAGTCCTGGCCGTGTGCCCGCGACATCGTGGGCCGGCAGCTCTCAGCAACATGTCGGGCACCGAAGGCTACAGTGGTCACCGGCCACTTCGGTACGCCATGGCTCGGGGAAGCCCTGCACAGGTCTCAGCAATTAATCAAGGCAACCTCTGCCACAAGCTTATGGTTGACGATGGACTGGGCTCTGGCCACGCCATGCGTGCAGCATTGTAGACATGCCCAGCTAGGCATCAAAGCAGGACTCGCGCGCTCTCCGCCTGCTGGCGACCACACCAAAAGGCTCCCCATGTTGCAGGCAAAGCTGATCATTTTGATGCGAGGCAGCTTGAGCCCCCAACTTCTCTCACGCCTTATTGCACTCGACATCAACCACAGCCACGCGCCTACAGCACGGTCGCAGCAGACGGCCGGCTTGCGTCGATGCCTGCCACAGCCTTGCCCTCCCGGCCTTGCATCCAGTGCTGGGCTTGTCGAGCACAGCTGCTGAAAGCTGCACATCGGGTTCCGAGGCCATGTGTGAAGGTGACGGGCGCGCACGCTGCACCCGGTGTCCGTGTAACATGGAGATTCAGGCCCCCCAAGAAGCCGCTGCGGTTGTGTCTCGACGTCCAAAATCTGGGGTTGCCCGCCACCTCTGAATCAAAGCCCAGCATGCGCCAATCGCGGCACGAATGCACTACACCGCTTCGGGCCTTGTCTTGTGCGCTTGCATGGGGAACAAACTCAAATCGATGGCATGGCGGCATGACGCTCGCTCGGAACATTGAGTCGCATGAAAATGGAAGAGGGCGAATTGAAACGTTCTCAACTTCCACCCCACGTGCCGCAACGCCCGAAGGCTGTAGTGCTCCAGAAAACCGTTTGCACAGTCCCGTCGCCACGACCATGGGTCTTCCAAGGACCATCGTTGGGGTTCAGTAGTTCGGCAAAGAACCCAAAAACGAAATCAGTGAGCACTCCGGTGCTACTCATTCATTGGCCTTTTTCTACAGAGGTAGCCTGCAAACACAGCAGCCAGCGACGGAAGAACAAGTGGAAAAGTGGAAAGGGCCGGTGAGGATGGTACTTGCCTAGGACAAGGATGGGTGATGAAGGGCGGCCCTTAATGCGGCTTTGGCATGAGACGATCCTTCGGTTTTCAAGCTCGTTGCCTCTGGTTGAACCGAAGCAGGTTGCAGGCTCACTTGAGGCAAGAGCTCTCGGAATTTCTTCTCCTTTTCCTCCACATCGCCCAAGCTCCGCGCGCCCCAAGCCTTTCTATTCCTATTTTGGAACATCGCTTAGGGCTTAGGCTTGTGGGGTGCGGGCGCGTGTGGAAGGAGCACTTGGAGGGGTTGCAGCCTGCCAGCTTGTCTTCCTCAAAAGGCAGGGGGGCACTCCTGACTCCTGAGACAACTGCCGCTTCGGCGGCTGGGGAGTTGCTTCCAAGATTTCTCTGCCACAGCCAGAAAGTGGGGCATGCGCAGGGACAGGCATGGATTTACGTCCGGGGTGCGTGCCACAGGGGGCTATGACAGCAGCTCACCGGCTCATAGAAACTTCTGTAGGCTCTTGCAGGTCGACGAAGCCCAGGGTACCCTTTCGAGAGCGAGCTCAGGATTCTCAAGGCCAGCAAGATCCAGCAACAAGTTGCCATCGCTGCGTGCCACATGTGGAAGCCAATGCTTACGATGGTGGAGACTGCCCACTGGGCCCTGAAACGTCCCTGAAGGAATCAAGTCGACAGACAGTGCCGCCGCGTGGCCTCGCCACAATGCACCCTATCGGTATGCGCCTGGAGATGGAGGATGGTGCCAGTACAGCCCCAGCCCCATAACCCTAAAGAGAAAGCTCACGATGAATGCATGCGCCAGAGGGATCACGTTGTAACACCAACCTTAGACGGAGGCTGCACAACGAGCCCTAGGTGCCGGCTTCTCACACTCAACGCGCGGGAATGCCAAGGATGCTCAGCAGCACCATGAAACGGCCGAATGAACCCGCCAACTCCAAAAAACATCCTCAAAGAGGGATCTCTTCACTTGGCACCCAGCCCCACCCAAGGCAGGTGTCAGGCTGGGCGCGAAGGACAAACCCACCTTGGGCATTTTGCCTTAAGGCGAAGACGCTCCCGCAATCCCTAATCGCATGGCACCAGCAATTCCCAAGCCTGCGCGCCCTAAAGGCCCTGCGACTCCAAACGGAAGCTCTCCCCAGGAACACCCGACATCACCACTGCCGGGGATCCTCTTAGGTCGAGTCATCTGCCGGGACATGCATGTTGATCTAAATTTATGTAAGCTCTTTTGGGTCTCTATGTGTCGCCTGTTCCTTCTATGTTGGGGTGCGTCTGTCTCGGCTGCACCCTTTAGGTTTTGAAGGGCAAATCTGTTTTGAAGGGCAAAACTTATCAACGCAGCAGCTTCTCCAACGCCGCCTGCAAACCAGAAGTTACACCGAGACCTCTAAACCAAAAAACCACAGCTCTTCTTCCTGGCGTGGGATTGGGGGAGCCTTGGCTTTCCGACAAGCACCCCTGCAACTGTTGACTCAAAACCATGTGCCCAAAGAAGCACCCAAGGCCTACATAGGCCCTAAACCCAAAATCGCGACTTGTCAAGGCTGCGTCGTTCGGGCCATGATGGCATGAGTCCTTGCACGGCTTTAAGCCCTGACTTTCTCACAGGCATGCTTCGCGATTTTGGCGTGTGTGGACTTCATCAACACTTCAGGAACGTGTTGTGGGCTTGGGGTTTTGTGTGGCTTGTGCTACGGAGCATGGTCTTAGTACTCCTGGGTTTTGCAACCTGGTGGCAGGACACACCGCGCAGTAGCATCTCGATGAGCGTTGCTGACCCGTGTGGAAGGAATTTTCCCAAACCATAGCTTTTGTACTGCTGGTGGTGGGCTTTGTTAGGAGTCTGACAAGGCTAGCTGGCTAGCTGCGACGATGATGACAGGCTGACGGTGGCAACTCTTGATGTTCCAAAAACGCCGCGACGCACTTTGAACTGTCTTCGGTGCTTCACTTTTCATGCAGCCGGCCAATGGGTGGGCAGGGAAGTGCAAAAACCGCACTCACTTTGGTGCGCCTGATTGAGGTCCTTCTTGCAAACAAGCGCTGCAAGTCGCCGAATCGCCTACAAGCATGGGCACATGAAGCCTGTTCCAACGACCTCAGCTTCTCAGGGCACTTCGGTCGCGTAGGTGTCTGCATGTGCCTGGCAGACCTTTCTGGCAGGATGGGCCAAGACCTTGTTGCGTGCCCATCGGGTCATCTTCCCCGGGCCTTTCACGGATGGCACCGGTCAAGAAACGAGCACATGCGACTGCCAGCAACGAAGGCGCTGACAATGGCATGAACAGGCTGGCTGGGGCATAGAGCCTACACAGCTGTGACATAACTTGGCATGGCTGCTGGAAGCTCTACTCGCACCGCCCTTCGAGGGACCTACCGCGGTGGCTTCAAACTTATCAATCTTCTCCCGAGAGCACGCAACAGGAGCATCGTTGTCCTGGCATGTGCTCGCCTTGTTTGGTTGTAGACCAGGGTTTTAGGATGGACTCCAGACATGAGCCTTTGTGCGAAGGGTCTCCGTCACCCATCATGACTACGGCTGCCTACAGCACATGTGGCTTTAGGCGGCTTTGCAATCTGGACTTCCTGTAGGCATCCAGATCCCTCAAACGGATTGACACAAGTTCACACCTGGTGCCGTCTAGCTGCACTTTCTACTGAGCAGCACGGCTGATAGCCTCAGGCAGCCATTGCCAGGGGCCTGAGGCTTGCATTGCATGACTCCACAAGCCCACAAGCAGCAAACCACTTGACAAACGCGACAGAACGCATTGAATCTGAGGTTCGGACTAGATACGGCCCGGCAAGAGAATACCCAACGCCATGAGAAGATTCCCACTGATGGGCTGGAGTTTGCATGGCCACTCAGGGGTGGTGAGAAGCCGCTTTTTGTGAATATCAAACACAAGTGCAGAATCTCATGTGTACGTACTCACATTCGCTTGCATGTGCATCAATTCACTTGCATTCACAAAAAACAGATATATCACAGAAGCATGGCATTTTGCAAATGTCGCACTGGGCCGAAAAAGCGCGACATGCAGAGCTCCCATGACAGTGTCTTGTTTCGCTTGCGCAACGCGGAATCTCCCTGGCAAGGGGTACAACCTCCGCGCAACGGTAGCTCTACCCACACTGCGCGGAGATGCAGATCTGTGCAATCCTCGGCATTAACTCAACTTTGCATACACACTTGCGCGCACAGTGTCAATCTGAAATCTTGAGGTTGACCTTTTCCAGTCACAGGGTTACATGAGACGAGGCTCTCTTCACGAGGTGATTGCACATCCCTGTGCCTGGGAGTCTCAAGCCCAGGGTCGAACTACTGCTGCTCGCGTGTGTTTAAACCCCAGGCTCTGGTTGACCCCCTACCTGGCTGAACTGAGTTGCGCTACAGGACTTACACACACCGCTGCAATCACATGTCACCAGCACTCAATCTAGCCTAGGCCTTAGGCGCAGTGTGACCTTCCCGAGGCGTCAAAATCAAAGCTCAGCATACCCTTAATGCCCTTAATCATAAAACGGACCCCGGCCCCAGCCCGCGGTGCGAGTGAAGGTCATCAAGCAAAGACACAGCAACAGCAGGAGAGAAGCCCATGTTTTTTGCCACTTGCCTGGCAGGTCTAGGGCTCCAGGTTTTGTCAAACGCGCTGATTGGGGAGAGTAGCATGCGGTGCGCGACAGGCTTTTAGTTTGAAGCTTCCGCAGATGCAGTGACCATGGAATTGACCAGATCCAAGTAGGGCGGCTTTCGCTTCCTTCCATCGACCTAAAACTGGTCAATGATCTGCACGCAGAGAAGGCAGCTTCTCAATAGAAGTCGAAGGGTTTAAGTGTATCACAAGGCAGGGCATCCGTGGAAGGCAAAATCCCCAATAGAAATCACAGATTTTGGAATTGTTACGCTGGTGAGTGATTTGCATCCATGGAAGGCATAACCATCAATAGAAGTCACAGATTCTGGAATTGTCACGCTAGCCAACGAAGTGCATCTTCCGAAGGCATTTTTCTCAATAGAAGTCACTGAGTCTGGAATGGTCACGCTGGTCAACGAGCTGCATGCAGAGAAGGCAGACTTCCCAATAGAAGTCACTGAGTCTGGAATGGTCACACTGGTCAATGAGCTGCATCCATCGAAGGCATAATTCCCAATAGAAGTGACAGAGTCAGGAATGGTCACGCTCATTAGGGAACTGCACCAAGCGAAGGCATATTGACCAATGGAAGTCACAGAGTCAGGAATTGTCACGCTGATCAACGAACTGCACCCATTGAAGGCAGACTCCTCAATAGAAGTCACAGAGTTGGGAATCACAGCCCTTTTCAAGGAGTGGCGTCCAACAGCATCGATATGCTCCCTAGCCAATTCCGTTACACGGCAGGTAAACACGACTAGCACCTTTGTGTCCTGGGTAACTGCATGCATCACCGTGTTGCCATCATTCACCTCTTGATCATCCACGAACACTTTGGCTGAGGTCAAGCTTGGTGCCAGTTCATCATCCCACCGTAACCGTATCAGCTTCTCCTTGAACTTGCGGATGGTCATGGAGCTCTTGGCTTCAACTGTAAGGACATCCCCACCTGAAACTTCTCCAAAAATGCTCAAGACATTGGGTCCATCAAAAACAGAAAGTGATTTGGGTTTGGATCAAATCATTATGGTCCAAAAATGACCCAAAAAAAGGGAGCCTATTTTTTAGTAAGGAAACCACCCATTTTGGGGTTGATAATGTTGATCCATTACCATTCAGGAGCATGATAATGGGAATTGAAACGAAAGCATGACGAAAACGTTTGACAACTTCTGAAACCATCGTTCCAAAACCTAGCCACTTGTCTGGTGAACTGGAATCTTGACAATCTTCCCACCCATTCCGCGAAGTTGAAAACTAAGCAACGTGGCCGCGCATCATTGGTGTGACGAGGCATCGCATCAGCAGAGAGCTTTGGGCCAGCTGCTGCACCCAGAGGCACAATCAGATGCCTTTTGGTCTTGTTTGGTCCCTGATCATCTATATATATTTATATTTCTATCCGCGGTATATGAGGTTATGGGAGAAGGTTCTATAGAGGGTTCTATCTGGGGCATATGAGGTTTCTGTAGGGTTCTATAGAGGGTTCTATCTGGGGTATATGAGGTTACGGGAGAGGGTTCTATCTTATGCTCCTAGGGACCGATGCAGACACATGGACCGCGAGTCGAGGGAGAAGGGATTGCAGGTGTAAGGGCCTATGCTTTGAGGGTCAAAGGGTTTACTGCGGGGTTTAGAAGCGCGACATGCAGAGCTCCCATGACAGTGTCTTGTTTCGCTTGCGCAACGTGGAATCTCCCTGGCAAGGGATACAACCTCCGCGCAACAGTAGCTCTACCCGCACTGCGCGGAGATGCAGATCTGTGCAATCCTCGGCATTAACTCAACTTTGGATACACACTTGCGCGCACAGTGTCAATCTGAAATCTTGAGGTTGACCTTTTCCAGTCACAGGGTTACATGAGACGAGGCTCTCTTCACGAGGTGATTGCACATCCCTGTGCCTGGGAGTCTCAAGCCCAGGGTCGAACTACTGCTGCTCGCGTGTGTTTAAACCCCAGGCTCTGGTTGACCCCCTACCTGGCTGAACTGAGTTGCGCTACACGACTTACACCACACCGCTGCAATCACATGTCACCAGCACTCAATCTAGCCTAGGCCTTAGGCGCAGTGTGACCTTCCCGAGGCGTCAAAATCAAAGCTCAGCATACCCTTAATGCCCTTAATCATAAAACGGACCCCGGCCCCAGCCCGCTGTGCGAGTGAAGGTCATCAAGCAAAGACACAGCAACAGCAGGAGAGAAGCCCATGTTTTTTGCCACTTGCCTGGCAGGTCTAGGGCTCCAGGTTTTGTCAAACGCGCTGACTGGGGAGAGTAGCATGCGGTGCGCGACAGGCTTTTAGTTTGAAGCTTCCGCAGATGCCAGTGGGCAGGAGCATGTGTGCCGAGCTCCTATCTGCGTAGGGGAAGTCCCAGAACACGGGCAGGATCACGACAGATGTCTCACTTGCTTTGCCCTGTGCTCCGGCTCTGCGACCCGTTCTCGTGGCAGCCATGCAGCACTCTAAGCTACCATCGCGCAGTGGGTCCTTGCTGACCTTGCTTTTTACTAGTATGAAGGAGACGTCAGATCCTAAGGTTTAAGGCGCGGCTCCCGCAGAAAGATGAGACCTCCATGTGGAAACAGCCGTCTGAACAGCATCAAAGCGCGAGACGGCACGGCTGTCATGATCGTCACGAGGGTCGCTTGCGCTTGAGCTCTGGCCGATCGTCAATTGGACGTGTCTTCTGTCCCTTCTTGCCTTTGCCCACACCTTCAGTAAGTTGGACAGAGGGAGGGCTGTTTGGAGCTGGGTTTGTGAGGGATCGCATTGTTGGGAGAAGTTTCCATGACGGGTGTATTTATGACGTTGCATCCATGACTGCACAGTCAGACGAGCATGACAAGAAATTCGCACGCAACGGCAGAAAAAACAACGTCAACCCGAATATGCCACCCTAATCCCGAAACCCTAAACCCTAAACCCTAAACCCTAAACCCTGAACTGCAGCCGAAGTTGGGCCGTGCCTTTGTCACTGGCCTCTCCATGGCCGCTGTGGCCCGAACCAGCATCGCGACTTCCCTTTCCATGCTCCGCTTCTCCCTTTTCCCTGGCTTGCTGCATCTTGAGCAGCCGCTGCTGCCTTTCTTGCTGCAATTGTTCATAGTAATCTGCTGACGAAGCGGCCTCAGCTTGATCTCTTCTGGTGTAAGAAGGGATCACCGTTAAGGAAAGTTATCCAAGCCTGTCTAGAACATGGGTATGCAAATTAAACGCAAGTAAGCAAAAACATGGACTCACCATGCAACTTTGAGGCCGAGTAACTGAGGGGATGCTCACGTCATCGTTGCTCTCTGCTCTGGGGGGGAAGGATTTCGTCCGTGGTCTCGCCTTGGCTGTGGGCCTCACCTTGGCTTGGCACTTTGGGCATCTCTGCGGCTTAGGGTTTAGAAAGTTTAGGGTTTAGGGTATTAGGTTTCAAAGCCGACTGAAGAAGGGAATCGTAGCCAGATTTGAGGACACGACAAGACTGGAGAATGCGGCAAAAAGCGGAAACCTCCAACCTCTAGCAGTGGAGGTTTAAAGTTCAAGGCCTGCCTCTTCAGGTATGTGAGAGATATAGGTCTCGAATCAATGTACAGAGAAAACGAAGTTTTAACTATTGAAATCTTGAGAGGAAACAAGTTTTCCTCTTCAAATTCAACCAATCCAAAATGCAAGGGGGAGGGAACACTGCTTTTGAGGGGGGTGGGGGGGGTGGGGGTCCGCAAGACGGCAAGACTGAGAGCTTAGCCTGGTTGTTGGCTGTCGGTGGCCGTGGCATCGGCTTCGTTGCAGGCCTTGCCTTTGCTGGCGGCTTCGTTGGCGGCTTCGCCTCGCAGCAAGGGATGTACATCGCAATGGGCTCCCTGCCAAACCGAAACACAAGAAAGAAAGAGAGAGAGAGAGAGAGAGAGAGAGAGAAATACAAAGTACATCAAGGATCGTTCAGCTTCAGCCCAGCATCACAATCAAGGCAAACAGGTCCACAGGGTTCTCGACACTGCCGTCCACAGAGATGCCCACCTGAGACCATGCCATGCAGGATTCTGGCCCGGTTTTGGGTGCTGTTCTTGGGCTAGTTGGATGGCATTAACGGATCTTCATGCGGCAGACAAGGGCTCGACCGTAAGGAAATGTCACTCATCTCTCTTTGTGGCTTCTGGGCCGCTGGCACGGCAACTTTTCGCGACATTTCTGTACGCAGCTGGAGGGATCGTGCGAGCCATCACATTCACCTGCAGACTCCGACAGGTTTTCCACAATGGCAAACTTACCATGGAGGCCCAAAACGGCATGCACTCTTGGCTGGGGGCGCGGCTGCATACATTCTGACACAAGTGCCCGCAGGACAGCTGATATTCGCATACTGCTTCGCATTTGCACTCCTTCGGCTTCGGCACATATCATGGGACAGTTGAAACTGTTGAATCTCTCCATACACATCGCGTGGCGCACAGAGGGCTTCTACATAGCAAGTACCCCATAGAGTGAATCATGGCTTCGCGTGCTGAAACTGAAATGCCGTATGGGCCCACTTAAAAAGGGTGCAGCTGTTGGAAAGCTTGGCTTGCTGAATTTGGAGCCATGAAAGCCTGGCATCCTTAAGTAAATGAGCGTTTGGTTGGGAGCCAGTGCATATCGACGTCACTGCAGAAACAGTCGACTTCAGCCCCCATGCTCACAACGGTCCTCTCCGCATCTGCGTGAGCATGTGTGTCCACAGAGAAGATGCGCGCCGCAACGCTTCTGGCATGTAGTCGCGCAGGGCTCACCACAGTAGTTGGGGCAGCTATGTTCGCACGGCAGCTTCCGACTGCACCGGTCTCTGCAACTGGCAGCTACCTCCTCCACAGTGGAGTTGCACGGGAGCTGCATCTTGCAGTGCTTCTCGGGAAAACTCGGGCAGTCAAAGTCCTTCTTTTCTCGGCACTCTGCTTCTTGTATGCAAGGCTCGAAGCACTTCTTGGGACACAGATGGCCGCACCCAAGTTGAGTTTGACATGGCTCCTGGCACTCGGTTGCGCACTCCTCGCCACAGCGCCTGGGGCAGAAGTGTCCGCACCGAAGCTGCCGACTGCACTGGTCCTTGCAACTGGCAGCTATCTCTGCTCGGGCGGTGTTGCAAGCGAGCCGAATCTTGCGATGCCCAGGAAAACTTGGGCAGTCAAAATCCTTCGTTTCTCGGCACTCTGCCTCTTGTATGCAAAGCTCGAAGCACTTCTTGGGACACAGATGGCCGCACCTAAGTTTGGTTTGACATGGCTTTTGGCATTCCGTTGCGCATTTTTCGCCACAGCGCTTGGGGCAGAAGTGTCTGCACGGCAGCTTCCGACTGCACCGGTCTCTGCAACTGGCAGCTACCTCCTCCACAGTGAAGTTGCACGGGAGCTGCATCTTGCAGTGCTTCTCGGGAAAACTCGGGCAGTCAAAGTCCTTCTTTTCTCGGCACTCTGCTTCTTGTATGCAAGGCTCGAAGCACTTCTTGGGACACAGATGGCCGCACCCAAGTTGAGTTTGACATGGCTCCTGGCACTCGGTTGCGCACTCCTCGCCACAGCGCCTGGGGCAGAAGTGTCCGCACCGAAGCTGCCGACTGCACTGGTCCTTGCAACTGGCAGCTATCTCTGCTCGGGCGGTGTTGCAAGCGAGCCGAATCTTGCGATGCCCAGGAAAACTTGGGCAGTCAAAATCCTTCGTTTCTCGGCACTCTGCCTCTTGTATGCAAAGCTCGAAGCACTTCTTGGGACACAGATGTCCGCACCTAAGTTTGGTTTGACATGGCTTTTGGCATTCCGTTGCGCATTCTTCGCCACAGCGCTTGGGACAGAAGTGTCTGCACGGCAGCTTCCGACTGCACCGGTCTCTGCAACTGGCAGCAATCTCTGCTGCGGGTGTGTTGCATGCGAGCCGCATCTTGCGATGCTCAGGAAAACTCGGGCAGTCAAAATTCGTTTTTTCTCGGCACTCTGCTTCTTGTATGCAAGGCTCGGAGCACTTCTTGGGACACTGATGACCACACCCGAGCTGGGCTTCGCAGTTACGCATGCAAGAGCGCAATACATCATCCCTTGCCTGGCCGCACTTGCGCCAGAGCTCGTGCGAAGCAAAGCGACGACAGGAAAGCCGTTCTTTGTAAGGGCACAGGATGAATTTGTTGCGATCAAAGCACGGCATCTGAAACTCGTGCTGCGGCGTTTCCGAGCATCCAAATACCAGCTTGCTCAAGTGGTCACACCTAGAGGCACTGTGACTGTTCCCGTCCTCTTCTGGGTGGCATGGGCGCTTGCACGTGTGTGTTGCAATACCACACCCGAACTGTGCACCACAAAGCACCCCACACACCGCCGACTGCGTTGTGCACACGTGCTCTGCCTCCAGGGCATCCTTATGCACATGAGGGTGTCGAGGGCATCTCTGCGGGAATTTGGTCCCCAAACACCCGCGCTCTTGCAACAGGTCTAAGAGTTCCCGCCAGTGAGGTGAACTCCGAAGGCATTCTTCATTTCCAATCAGATATAGTCCGCACCGCGATCGAGATTGCGCCACACACATGCGGTTCTTGCCATCATCTGTGCCCAGGAACCCCAACTTGTTCTGCTTGTTGGATCTGACCAAGGACACTATGACGATGTCGTTCTCCGCTCCTTGGTACCTCCGGGCGCTTGAATCATCTTCAAAGACTATTGAAGGAGGTGCAGGGTCAGGTCCTTGGTAACGGGCATGCCTAACCAGCACAGACATAATTATGCTTCCCGTGGCCTGTCAATCGAACTGACGTCAGGCATTTGGTCTGGTTGAACAGCATCTGGCTCCAACTGCACCTCTCAGAGATGGCAGACGCTTGCATCCGAGCATAGCAGCATATCACAACCGTTTAAACAACATGTAGGTGAGAACCCCATAGAACCCCCTGGCATGCAGCCACAAAATAGTTCTTATGCTTGACAGGCGAAGCTCCTCCAACAACTCCTGGCTTGCCAACGTGCTGCGGTCGCCCTTGGGGGTTGCCACATAGCGTCCTCTGGATGCTGATGGTCGCTGGGTGGGACCATATCAATCAGCAAGAGACATTCATGTTCGGTGGCAAGGAGTGACAAACTCTAACTAAGTAATAAGTAACTCACATCTTGCCCATCCTGGGGCCAAGACTCCTCAACCATCGAAGTAACTCTTTTGCCGCAATTCAGTGTGCGATTCTACTTTTGCTCTTTGTCCTGGTTGTGCAGGTTTATCGTCGAGGGGAACGACCCTCTCTTGACGGATTGTGGCAGCAGTGATATCCACCCGGTTCCCGCGCTTGAGAAGTGTCGGATCGATGCGAGCTGAAAAAGCCGCCAGCCGCTGCTTTTCCCCCATCTCTGCCAGGAACTTCGGAATCTCGTCCCTGAGCGTGCGGCTGATCATTGCCACCTGCGCCAGGTTTCTGAAAAGAAGGGGCTTGGGATGGGACCTCGGCATGCATTTTGTCATGTAAACCCTTTTTGCAACTGGACTCCTTGCTGCCGTCATGAAAACCCGACACCCTAAACCCTAAACCCTCAAGGGTTTCTAGGAGTCGACAGGTCGGCCTGACCCTGGTAGGGAGCCAGCACCGTAATCTGCTTCGGTTTGTAGCCCTGGGAGATGAAGAATCGAACCAGCTGCACAGCCCTGTCGCACCTGAAGCTGAGGTTTCGGAGTTTCCTGTGGGGTCAGGCAATGCAAGTGCTCTTGGTTTCTGCAGGTGGGAGACTCACTTCTGTTCGTGTGACTCCGCTCGCCATCTTCTTCCGGATGTGGGCAGTGCCAGAAAAAGACTTCTGAGGCCACGCAGGCTGGAGCAGCCAGCTTGCTCGTGACTCTGGTATTGTCACCCAGCTTGGGGTAGATGGGCCGTAGGAGCTTGGATAAGCTGGGGAGCATACGCCCTTGTGCTTGAAGCTCGACATTTGGCAATCCATTGAAGAGAAGACGTTCCATCATGCTCACATCGAACAAGTTGTTCCTTAGTAAACGAATCGCCCAGCATGTTTGGGGGTGTTTTGTGTGGCACGTGACTTAAGGGGCCAGTATAGTACTACGAATTCTAAGCGTTGCTGAGCCACTGTCTCAGCGCATATGTCTCCACAGGGGGTGGCAGTTGCCCTCGGAAACAAGTTGCAGCAGGACCACGAGGGCCATTCACACGCCACATGCTTGCCCTATAATTTACACGCGCGCACACAGAGACAAAACAAGGGCTGAGTCTGGAGCTGTGGTCCCCGATCATGATCAGGTGCTTGACCCAGGGGCCAAGGACCGCCAGAATTTGTGGCTCCAGAACCTCTGAGCGGAAATTTCAAACATCCTCCGAATCCGATATGCAAGCACGGTCACGTAGTCATGCACCTACTGACTCTGCCGACCAAAGTGCAGCGCATGTGAACTTTCTTCGATACCTCCTACTGTCCTACAAGCTTCTTCTGAGGTCTCAGCTTCTGCAGCCTCCTCTACCAGAACCACATCTGGTTTGAGTTGCGAGATGATGGCAGAATTGATGGAGGCGCCGGTGATCGTCATTCCAATAACTCCTTGGACGAGAGTTGAAGAATCTGTGCATCAGGCGTCCCAATGCGTGCCAAGGGCACGGGCGTTGCGCATCGGAAGAGGCTGCAAAAACCGAGCGGATTCCTGCCTTGACTAGGACAATGAACGCGCGCACTCCTAGTCCAAAATCCTGCACAAGCCTTCTTGGATGGACGAAGTAATTCCTGAAGACGATGTGTGTATGTGCACAAAAACGCTCCACCAGCTGCTGGTGTGTCAAGACAGGGCCTCCTGTGAGTGTGGCAAGGCAGGGGCAGCAGGGACCACTTTGCGGAATGACCCGTTGCAGGTGCCGGAGCAGACACGGTAAGCAAACATGCTGGCAATAACTACTCCAGACAGGCGTCGTTTGCCTTGCAGAGCACGGGCGCCTTAGCAGCTTGAGCAAGCAAGTGCACAGATGCCTAAGCCCCTCTAAAATCCCGTGAGAGACACCGATAATAAGGCTCTGGCTGAAAGCCACATCGGTTGACTCCTCTTCTTCGCAGGCTTGTGTCAAGGCCGTCAGGGCGATCTCGAGGTCTTTCAAGCAGGCAGCAGCTTGACGAGCAATGTGGTGCACCACCACGTGAGCTCTGCTCATTTCAGAAAGGCGGAAAAGATTTGGGGCGTCTGAGATCCCATGATGCTTGTCGTCCACGGCCCTCTGCAGGACAGCATGACTCGTGAGTCGTATGTGAGGCTGACCACGCTGGAATGATGGCTCTCGCGGCACCAAGGACTGCCACTCGTCCTTGCTTAGGCCCTCCCGCGTGTCACCCGCGCTGTTGGAACGCTCAGCCTCAATCTCTGCCTGCATTTCCCTCTCTGCCTCGTCATCGGCTTCGAAGCACAGGCTCACAGGCAGTTGTGCTGATGTAAGTTGCACCGGCATGCCACTAGCTGGATCCATGAGTTCACGCAGGACCCAGCCCTTGTCGATTACGGCATCTGCCCGCAGATGCACGGCCCGCTCTGCCCGCAAGTTGTTGTCCAAGGCTGGCGCGACCTTGGCCCACTCTTCAGGGGTCCGCACCTCGATAATCTCGTAGCCATGTGCGGTCATCACTTGCTCTGGCTCCTCCGGATGCGCTGGTCCGGCATCGTGGAGCAGCGTCTCAGCGGCTTCTGTGACGGTGGCTTGGTCTGGATACCATTCCTCAAGTATGGGTGGCTGTAAATCAGGGTCTCCCTTCTTTTGTTGTGTTGGGGGAGATCTGCTTTCAGTGACTTGTCAATCAATGTCAGAAGCTTTCGCCACATTGCGTCAACGAGTCCGCGATCAACTGTGCCCATGTCGTTGTCTTGTTGGGAACAGGGGTTCGGGGGAGTGAACAACTGGCAAGTATGTAGGCCAAAGACTGGATTCGGGGTGTGCGTCACGTGACATCTTCCGTGCATATTCGTGCTCCACACGCTGTGCCCAACGTGCCGACGCCAACAACTGAGCAGTCCTGGACACATGCTTTCAGATTGAGGTTTTTCGGTTTGCTTTGGCAGCAACAGCTTTCACGAAAGCATGCCGGGATGGAATGCAAACGCTTTGCTACAGTATACAGCTTATTCTCTCATGTTTAAACCAAGTTTAAGCAGCACCGCAAGGTTGGGTTTGGGCTTCGGCTCCGGGCAAGCCACCTAGCCATCGGTCTAGCACCGCATGGTGTTGCATCCACCGCCTATCCGCGCTGCTTTTTGCCGATGTGGTATGCCCAAGAGAGTGGCACTTGGAGACTCAATGCCAATGAGATTGCATTCCCAAGGCTCGTCCAGAACCTCTGCGAGTGCAGAGCGCATCCATCTACAATCTTCGTGCAGGTTGGAGGTCTCGAGAGAGCCCAAGTCCATATCATCGAGTTGGGCATCAGAGCAAAGCATCCGGGGAAGATCCTGGGAAGGGGCAGTGGTTTTGGCTCAAAGTGCTTTCACTTGGCTTCGAATTCGGCCCGGCCGTGTTAATGCAGACTTCAAATCCGGGTGTCGTGGGCCCAGTTGCTGAGGGAGTTGCTGTACTCGTCCAGCTTCCACCGGAGCCATTCGATGTTTGTGCTTTGTCTTCTGCAGCCTCGACAAAGCTGAAGAAGCTGTTGACCGTTGACGTTGCTGAGGAAAGTGTCAACCTCAGCCACGTTCCATACCGGCAAAGCAAGCTCAAAAAGAAGACGCGAGCTCCGGCAAAACAACACTAAACGCCTGAAGTGCCAACGCAGGCAACCCTCTGCACGCGACGACCCAACATTGTGCCAGGAAGCCGTGTGAACGCCTCGGTTACGAAACCTTTCCAAGGCCTGCAGTTGTTTGCGCATTTGCCAGGAAGCTGTTGAGCAGCATCGGTGCTCTTGACGGCACGAATCCGAGTTTCAGCATGTTTCAACAGGAAGGGCTTTGTGATGTATGCAGCCGAAGGTCTGCCAGCAACTCCCTCTGCCTGCCGTTCACGTCAACCTGTGGGCATGTCACGTGTTTCCACTGGCCTGACATGCCACAACAACACGAAGCAAGACGCGCAATCAAACATGCTCTAGACAACCACATCGCCATTGTTCGCCGATCACCTTAAGTTTGAAACTAGGAAGCCTAGAAACAGGCCATGGAACCATGGTCTTTTCAGGGACCGAACCCGAAGTACTGCCCCAACTGCGACGTTCTTCTTGGCATGCCCACTGTAACCACCTCCGAATCAGTCTCCCGAATCCTGAGAAACACCAAGCGCCAAAAGCCCGTGAGACCCTGCCTTGGACTGAAATAGGTGCGTGCGCAAGTCCTTTGTGGCAGGGTCCTGCTGCGCCTGGAGCACATGCAGAATGAGAGCTTCTTCTTGATGCTCCTCAAGTTGCAGGCCTGCAATTCTGCAGAATCTGTGCTGTTGCGGCCGATCCGGGCCATCTGATCGGTGTATTGCCCCTCAACGCAGTGTTGCAAAAAATCGTCCAGGGCATGGTTCTTGTACGTCAGCACGAGCACCCTGGACTTCTTCATCAGCATTTCCAGCAGCTTGTAACCAATGAATGTCTTGCCTGTACCTGCCGGAAGCTGCATGATCCGCCGGCTACAGAAGTAGTTGCACCGCTTACGCCCATGTCGCACGCTCAATTTGTAACATGATGCCATGGATTCCCCTCACTTTCCGAGTCCGTGGGCCTGGCGGCCCTTGGATCAGGGACACGCGGCAGTGCAAGGCATGATGCGCCGCCCGCAGCTGACCTCAAACATGTTTTGAGTGTAGTGAGTGTCGTGAGTCTAGTGAGTGTAGTGAGTGATGCACTGGCATCTCCAAGCCGAGGAGGTCCCTTGCCGAGTGCCGCCAGGCGGCTCTGGTCCCAGGTGGTCCCCGGCGTCGAGGTCGCTTCACGTGCGGCCGTGATGGCATCCTCCAGTTCCAGACAAAGCTGCTGAACTGTGCCGCCTCAAGGGCAATGGCACACACTGCAAGCCATCAGACACACAACGGCAGGGAGAGGCCGCATATTTGCTTACTTAAGTCTTAAGTCATCCTTAAAGGTAATTACTTCTCACTGTCTGCTCCACATCTTGCAAGCACCTCTCTCCGCTTAAGACGCTAAGTTACGCACGGAGTGGCAGGACCCGGTATCGAAGTTCTTTGGACGGCTCTGTCTGGATGACCTTGTCAGTGAGGGCACTCAAAGGAAGGGACTCGACTTTGAAGAGGGCTAGCTTTTTAACTTCCAAGAAGGGGGAACTAAGAAGTACAATCTGAGGATCTGTCAGAAGGGTGTCGCTTCTCCTGCAGCATTCCCCTGTGAAAACCTTGACTCGCTCCAAGTTGCGCACGCTACCTGTGTTCACTGCTTGCCAGGAATCGGATTCATTTTTGAAGCACCAAGGGGTCTTACTTCATTCTGCGGAGGGGGGGGGGGGAGGCTGCGACTGAATCATGCTGGGAGTTTGAGTGCGCAGCTGTCTGATTCCATGCCTATGCTGGGGCTCGTCTGTAGATCTGTAGCCAAGACAGTGGGCTGCAAGAGACAGCTATCGCCTTGACTCTTGACATTGATGCGACGATCTCGTCATCATAAGCCAGACTTTGTCAAGTGCAAGGTTATCCCAAGTCAGTCATATGCTTAGGCCCAGGCAACGTCACAGCAAAATGGCACATGGATGTCATTCCCAGCGTGGACCACATTCACAATGCCAGGCTCGGCTTCATCGTCGATTTCTTCACCTGGCAACTGAGCATGTATTTCGTGGAGTCTGTCAGAAAAGTAGCGCCCATGATTTTGCAGGGTGCAGGACCATGTGGACACGGTGGAACTTGGCAACTCACAGGCTAAAACGTGTAGGTGTGAACAGTGTGAACACTTGCAAGTGAAACGGCGAGAAAAGAAATCCCTCCAAAGGAATCGTGCAAGGCGTTTGTATTTCGAAAGTGAACTGATGCGTTGCCTCTTCTAGCTGAGTTGCAGCCAAAGGAATTGGCTGGATGGCAAGCTGTTCCCTCTCCATGTTGCCCATGTGAAACTACCAGAATCTGGTGACCAGCTTGGTTTCGAATGCGAAACTTCTTGGTCAGCTCGTTCCAGCGAATATCGAAGAGCTGCCTACCGGAAGGACACGCGATTCTCGTCTCTGAGGGTAAAAGCGTCACAGCGCGCATCTCGGTCGGAGTGGAAATACCCACAACCTGGTAAGAGCTCTCCGACTGTAAATCCGGAGCAGAAAACACCAGCTTCCTATCAACAGAATCCGCGGCACACAAGCTCGATGGACGCCTTTCTGTGGTCTCACAATGCACAAGCTCCTCCAGAAAAGGCAAGCCCTCCACCTCCGTCGCCTGCAGTCTTCGCAGTATCGGCTCGAATGATCGGAAATATGTGGGAGATGCAATCAAGGTCAGCCTTCTGGCACCCCACAAGTGTGCCAGCTGTTTAGCTTCCACGGATGCCTGTGATGAACCTCTTGCATCCACGTAGAAATCGAGGGCCAGTGTCCCGTTTGATCTTCCCAACTCGCGACGGGCAGCCAGCATCCAGATTGGACTGTCAAAATCCTCATCGCAGATGCAAGCCACCAAATTCCCATTCATGAAGCACTTGGTGGCTCGAAAGTTCCACTGCGCACGCGTGAGCAAGGGCTCGATTTGGAGGACTGCCTTGATCCGGCTGTCCACAACACCTACAGGGACCTACAGCGCAACCATGGTCAGCCTTACGCGCATACTGAAACGTTGCACATCGACAGGGGGATCTTCGGAAACTACCGTTGGCTACAGCATTGCTCCGCAGGACGTTGCTTCCTATGTTTTTGGGAGTCTTGGCAGTGTCTAGAGACAGGCTGCAAAACAGGCCCCCAGGCAAGGGTATTGCTCTGAAGGGGTTTCGAAGAAGCATGTTGTCACATGATCTGAAGAGACGATGGCTCACATGGCCGTGTGGTTATCGGGGGTTGACTGGGATTGACCTGAACAGTGGTCCTTTGGGGTCTCTTCTTGATGTTTGTTCCTGATGGCTGAACAAACACACACACACACACACACACAAACACACAAACACACCAACACACCAACACACCAACACCAACACCAAGACCCACACCCACACCCCCACCCCCACACCCGCACCCCCACACCAACACCGAGACCAACACCCACACGCCCACACGCCCACACGCCCACACGCCCACACCATTTCGCGAGAACGTTGCGCGAACCCGTGCCTTCGACGCTGTGCCCCACAGTGAAGCCCTTGAGCGTGGCCCGGAAGGCATTTCCATCCCTCCGAGCCGTCTCTGCATCCTTGCCCTGGTCGCGCACATCTGCCAGCGAGCCGCGGATGGCTGCTGTGCAATCCTGGCGTACCAACTTTGGAGGTCGGGACAGAGCCTGCTTAGGCTTAAATTGCTTCAAAGCTGATCTAAGCTGGTTCTGTCCTCCCGAAGAAGGCGGAAGTACGTGTCCAAGTAGTTTCCGAGGGACTTGTAGCTCCCGATCTGCCGTACCACTGGCAAGGCGCGTGATGTCGCGTTGCGCCGTCGACCGTCGGGCAAGATCCGCATCTTCTGCTGCCGAAGCTCCGTCGAAGATGGGACCAAAGGCATGGAATACCACGACGCATCAGTGACATCAGCCCGGCCAGAGCTCAGGACTGTGGATGCCGAGGATAGCAGGTCCAAGAGCTGTGACGTCCGCACCCCATTGGAAAATTCCAAAGACTCAGGAGGCTTTTCGCACAAGAATCTGCAGGCAGGCAACGCCGACTCGAAGCTGCTTGGTTGGACCTTCATCAAGTGCTGCAGGAAAGGCCAAACGTTTTGCGACATCTCCGGTGGCCGCTCAGGGGACCGGATGGCCGATATCAAGGCACATCGCTCGCCAAGCAAGCGTGAAGCCGCCAGAATCTGGAAAATTCGCGGGGCTTGTGGGGACTGCCACACGTGGTTTGCCATTTCAAGCAGCAACCCCACGATGCGCTCGAGTGTCCAACCAGCATCTTGTGCGATGGCGCCCCGAACTTCCACGCTTGCTCCATCATTCACGCTGCTGTTTGCCAGAACCAACTTTGCTGTCCAAGGACACAAGGGAATCACGAGCACTGTCTCTACGAAGCGAAAGTCTTGCAAGGTGTTGAACACGTTCTGGTCCACGACGTGGAGCCTAGATTCAAACCTGACTACATCTACGAGATCTTTGAAGCAACTGAATTCTGAGCTGTCGCGGTCCAGGTTTGTCCCAGTCGTCGTTGGAAGCATGTTAGAGCTCACCCGCCGACGCTTTTCTTTCGGTTCGGGAGCTATTCCAGCACATGTCAACTCACTGACCGGCACCCTGCGCTGAATCTCTGCAAGTTCCATCAGGGCCCAATCGCAGACAAGGCCTGCCTCTGTCTGGGCAGTAGCTATGTCGTGCAGCGTTGCGCGTGCCTCTCTTGCCTCTGGGTGCACTGCCGATTGATCTCTGGTGGAATGCCGACAATGGCTCTGAATGAATTTGGCTGTGCCTCGGCACAGCGTGTGCACGTTAGTCGAAACACGCACCTCGCAGCCTGTTTGGCTGTCTTGTTCACGCTGGAACTCCTTCAGAACCCAAAGGCGTCGGTTGTTCAATGATCGCATTTTGCCACGGAGTTTGCACACCTCCAGCTGTAGCCTGGGATCGACTGCTGGGTTGACCCTCCCTCGTCGGAAATCGCCCAGCAGCTTGGCCAAACTCAGTCCGTTTTTAAACTGCTCACTAACGCGGGCATGGGTAAAAAACACGTCCTTCACGGGCTGCTGCTCAACTCGGGAAGGCGCCTTTGCGCGCAAGTCAACATGCTCGCGCATGACTTGCTCCGCATAGGCACGCTCTGCACAGAATGCCCGCTTTTGTTTGGGCAGTTCTGCGGAGGACTGCGCATCATGAGATGCATGGGCACGCTGCGCCTCAGGGGTACCAGTGCCCATGGAGATGTCGGCTGCCTTCGAGGGCTCCGGAATGTCGGAAAGGGCCGACCACTGTGGGTGCATGGCGCTTGCAAGCAGGTCCTGAGAGCACCCACATAACTCTATCACATGTCAATTCTACCCTCGAATTAAGTGCAATCTCACTTGTCAGACGATGCTTCGCCCAAACCACAAGGGGAGCCCGCCGACCTTCGGAGCCAAGGCTCCGAAACTGCCCGCCAAGCAGCCAAGCAAGACTCTGCCTGCAGCGCACGTGAGTTTGGAGTTTGGCTATCGCGCCCCTCGACTGCGGCTACTGCAAACCCTTCTCCCCAGGCCTATGCTGCACATCCTCATTGGCTCCAGGCTGCTCGATGGAGAGCCACAGGCCCAACACTTGTTTGAAACACAGCTTTGGCACGAGAATGCCGAGGACTTTTGGCGACTAACGTCGGAGGGCGTGTGGCATGTGAGCTAAGGACTGAAGCTTCGGTGTCGTCAAGCTTTGGGAGGGTCCCTGGTGGTCCCCCCCATGCCAACTTTTGGGCACAAGGCCGCATCGTTGGGAACTGAAGGAATCTTTCCGCGGAACCACATTCCCTCAACCTTCCTGACTGGCCAACTGGTTCAATCGGCCTGGAACCTCGCCATCTGCAGCTTCTCGCTGTGCTTGGCTGAGTCGGACATCGCCAGCCTGCATCGGTGCGGCCCCGCTCTGCCGCAGTGCTTGGTGCTGCATGCTCACTTTCTATGTAGTGCTCGTGCTACTGAACCGTGATGTAATGAACGGGATCCGAATCCCTTTGTCCCTGCCAGTTCCGTGCGCAACCTCCTTGGTCCCTGGGAAAATGCGAGTCACGAATCCGAAAAGGGGCTGCGAAACGCTCCCGAGCAAACTCCACAGGCTCTGGCTCGACATTTCGATGTTTCTGTCGGCTCGAAGCACAGGCACGAAAAGGGGGTCTTGCACACATGCTGGTAAATCTTGAAGAGTTGCCCTTCGACTTGACCTTGTACACTGGGTGATGTGCAAAACTGTAGATGAAGGATCTTGACAGTGACCGGCCTCCAAGCTTGCATCTGCTCCAGTGCTTCCAACTTTCTCTGAGTCTTTGCTGAGAAGCGAAGGACTTCCACCTCAGCCGGGGGAGCGATTTGACCACAGCAGGTGGGACTGTGTGAAGACTGAGGCAAAGAATGTAGAGCTTTTTGCCACCTGAATAGCAGTTTAGAGTTTAGGGTTTAGGGTTGCTGGCCAGCTGCTGCGGCAGCGGTCTCTTTCCCACCTGGACCTCTGGATTCCTTTAGCCAGCAGCGCACAGCGTCGCCGGCTTTGATCTCTAGGCCGCCATGCTTGGTCACCCGATCCAAGAAGAAGTGGATGTCCTGGGCTTGGGCTAGCGTTCAGTTTCCGAGTATTAATGTGGTTCGCAACAAAGGGAGATGTGGCCTCTGTTTGCTCAATGATCAAAAGCAGTTCGTAATTCGTAATGATGCAGGATGTTGCCGGGACAGAATGAGAAACTAGTCCAGATAATCCCCTAAACCCTAAACCCTAAACCCTTTTGCCTAAACCCTAAACCCTAAACCCTAAACCCTAAACCCTAAACCCTAAACCCTAAACCCTAAACCCTAAACCCTAAACCCTAAACCCTACTGAAGCCTGGAAGCCTCCAGCCTTCAAGGCTGCGGCCCGAGGATCTGGAGCTCTACATCTTTAAGAGTTGAAGCTTGGGATGTTCCCCCCTTTGACTACCAGTCCTTAATGGGGATTTCATCGGGGGTACTAGAATCCCTATTCAGGAACATCCCGTTGAAGCCTTCAAGGTGATGGAAGCTGGGGTAGGTTTGGGGGCCCTATAAATCGCAAATTTTACTGGCTTAGCAATGATGATGTTGGGGAGAAACGGGAAAAATATGTCCGAACCTACCCCTGCAAGGAGGGGAGGAACGAGGCGCAAGAAGTGGGATGGCTGGATGCGGCCACGTGGCGGTTTTTCGGCCATCCACCTGAATGAAGCCGTAGTGATCTTAGCGAGTCAGACCATCTGTCAGATCAAAAAAAAGTACTGCGAAGCACAGGACATGCAACGACTGCAACCATCACCTGCACTACAAGAGAGACAAGCGTAGTCAACCACAAGAAAGGGATACCTAGCCGCATAGACATGAGGCTGTGTTGGATATGAAGTCGACGACCATAACAATCCACCCCCGAAGTGGGAAGTTTGAAGATACACCCCGGAACTGGAATGAACTGCAGCTGTGCAACTCTTCACAGCTGCGACTTTGCCCACGAATGTTCTCTCATCGCATTTTGACATCGCTTGGGTCTGGTTATAAAGATGGATCAGCTCTGCTTGCGAGCGTGCCTGGCATGTTCCAGGTGCTGCAGGCAGGTCTGGTCCCCTTGAAGAGGCACTCGGGCCAAAAAAAGCCTTCATCATGAACACATGCAAGCAGCAGGCCTGCAGGTCATGCCAGCGATTGTTCAATCTTGCCCTGCTGTAATACTTTACCTCCAGCACCAGGTCTAGGGCTAGGGATGAGCATCTCGTGCGGTAGCTGGGAAGTCAACAAGCCGCTCCCCTCTCGAGAATACTGGAAATTTCAGCTTTTCTGCAACAATCTCTAGGGCTCTGCAAAAGAGGCGGGGAGACGAGCCCCCCGTGATGCGAAGACTGCCGCGAAACATCGCTAACTGCCCTGGAAGGGTTTTCGGGGTCATTGGGAAGCCCGGCAAAAACCACGCAGACCCAGCAAGCCCATGAAATACGAGAGTCACGAGCATGTCCAAGCTAAACGCGAGATTTGAGCTCAAGAGCAGCTTGTGAGGGCTCAAGGATTTTCTTCGCCGGCTTATGGACCCGCCCTGGCGGTCACAGCTGGGGTGGCCCTGCTGGCCTGCTCCTATCTCGAGCCTCACGCACCCAGAGGACGCTCGACCCCTCTCCTGCGACCCTGCGCATCACGAGGGTACCCTTTATCGCGGTGTCACTGAAATGGTTGGCCTCTTCCCCCCTGTTGTACGTAAGCTGCTGCACATCTTGTTAACATATGAGAGCGTGCAAGAGAGAGACAGAGAGAGAACAAACAAAAACAAACAAAGAGAGAGGAAGGAAGGCTGTATACTGCATACGCGGAAGTGTACATGACCTAGCTATGTTTAGGTGGACTATGGGCTCACGAGCAATAGTTCGTTTTCTTTGCTGCAGGCATCTCCTCCAGGGTCAGCGCTCAAAGGCCTCCACCCAAAAACAGCAGACATCCTCTCTGTCTCGACTGCAAGAGGGCGAAGTCGGTGGAGCCACCTCCACCTGGCCTCGCCGGATAAGAGAATCAGGGACCCCGGCTGCAGCTGAACCAGGGTGGGCGGTCTGTCTGGCTCTGCTTCTGGGACAAGCTCCAAGTCGCCTCTGGCGCAAAGGGTCAGGATCATGGTAACGTCCCCATTTGCCGGCAGGTCCTTGTGATATGGAAAGCCGGGTCGTATAGCTGGGCCTTCCGCGGGTGACGGTGCTCCTTGTGGTCTATAGTGATTCAGAGTCAGCCGCCACTTGCCTGTCACGGAAACCAGAGGATTGAGGGCTGCGACTTTGGTGTGAATAAACTCTCGCGCAAACGGCGGCAAGGATTGCAAGCTGCCCTTGGAGAAATACATAAGCTCATGCCCTTCGTCCCCATACTTCGGGAAATAGGCGCTGCTCAATTCTGCCGAGTTGGGCCCAAGCTGTAGCCGAAGTGGGACATAGTATTCTTCGCTCGGGAGGTTGTGCGCATGCGATTTGACGCTGGCAGGCTGTGGAATGTGCGCCTTCTCCCTGTCTCTCTGCATTATGCTGCATTTCTTCCGGGCAGAGGCAAAGGTGTCCGAAACGCACGTTGCTAGTGCATCATGCTCGGACGGCAAGATGAAGGACTCGAAGACATGTAGCCCATCTGGGGTCGTCGATGTTCCGGATGGAAGGCTGCACCTACACCTTGCAAGCCCCATGCGCATGGCGCTGGGCAGCCAGGGATAGCCATGCATCGTGACTGGAGCCGTGATGGCAAGCTGTTGAACCGCAATCACTCAATCGCTCAGACGTCGCGAACACTACATAAACGAAGCCACACGCGTGAGCCCCGAAGGATCGCGACATGTGTCTTTCCGAGCACACAACATAGTCTGTCACAGTCTGTTCCAGGCTGGATCTGGGAGCAAAACACGATTTCTCTGTGAGAATTCATACTTCAAGGAATTATTGCACTGCGCGCCTGAGATTGTCACAATCACGGATGTAGTCCAATTTCAATGTGTGGCATCAGCCAGGCTATGACCGGAACTCCAATTCGGAGTCCAATTCGGAGTGTCCCAGCGCGCAGGGTCACTTGGCCGTCTCCTTGCCAAAAAGCCGCCTTTGCTGAGTCTAGGAAGCAGCTTACGGTGGATGTACCAGCACTAGCACCATGAACCCGGCTTAGAGGCTTAGATTCAGATGATTGGCCGGCCATGTTTGGCAATGCATTCCGGCACCCAGACTGTATCTGAACTTTGCAGCTGCCCTGGCTTCAAGCAGCCAGTTTGGCTGAGGCGACGAGCTCCAGGCTCTGGACGTTAAATGTCGTCCAAGAGGCATGCACCATGGCACGCTTCCAAGAGCCCTTCGCCCATCACACTCAACCGCCCAAATGGGCAAACAGTCTTTAATGATTACATGGGATGCATTGCGTCCCGTCTTGCAGGCCCTCGTGTGTGACAGCGCTCCAGAAACTGTCAGAATCTATGGCCGGTTCTGAAGTTATTGGGGTATGCCATGAAAGCCATGCCCATTTCCCTTGGTGGCGAGTGCCCTTGACCCGTTACACACGTGGCCTTCTGTCAAACAAAAGCGGGGCTCAGTTCTTCAAGCAGCCACTGCGGTGTCCTGGCATGTGTGCTCTCAGTCAGTCTATGATCAGGATGCATATGCCATGAGTGTTAGCACGGCGTAGCATAAGCACGGCACAGCACAAATTCCACCATCCATTGTCAGAAGCGGCGAATCAACAACCGACAGGCTGAGCAAGCGGAGCTCTCCTCAAAACATCGGCGCCAACTGACCCTTAAAGTCCAAGAAGTTCACGCCGATGCTAGTCGGGGCGGCATATCGACGCCACCTGAGTCAACCATCTGTGCATGTAGGTAAGTAAAGCCAACACAGTCTAGTGTTGAGATGTTCCCCCTTATACTAACAGTCCTTGATAGGGACCATAGTACATAATACCCCCTCTTATCATTCCTATTAAGGAACTGTTAGAAAAAGGGCGGCAACATCCCAAGTCTGGTGCACTAAGTCTCCAGCAGCAGATCCCACTGCTCGCCAGGAGGTAGAGGCACCCCCTGGACTGCAAAGCAGCGTCGGAGGTCTGACTGTGTGAAGCCTAGGCAAGGCTTCTCAGTTCCCAGGCAAGAAAAAGAACACAAGCACTGCAAGAATGTTTATATGTATATATATATATGTATATATGTCTATATATATATATAGAGGCACACATATATATAGATATAGATATATAGATATGCATGTATCACATGTGTAAGATATAAGTATCAACCGAAGCACTGTCGGTGCCAGGTCCGATTGCTCCGAAGACGTCGTGCAGCCCACAGATCCTGAGCACTGCTCTTCCAGGTGAGCGCTGTCGGAGATTGTAAAAGGGTTAGCCCACATGAGGCCATCCCATTTTCCTACCATGCCTGTATGCTTAGATGCTTATAGGCTTAGATGGCGTTAGATGCCTTGTTGGAGCCAAGGATCTCTTGGGATAGCACAGTGGCAAGCTCTCGACGATCCAAGTCCAGTTCTTCTGCAGCCTCTGCACTGGCACATATTCGCACAACGTCAGAAGACACGTCCGCCGGGTTTCCCAGGCTGAAGGCAAATTACTCCCCAGGTCGGACCTCCAATGTGGTGCCCAGGAGACGGTAAAGGCTGTGCCTCGGAACAATCGCATTTTGATTCCGAAACTTCGCTCGCGAACCTGGTAGGAGATAACTGGCTGCCGGAGTGCTTTGCGCTCGAAGTCAACGGGTAGCCTGGGCTGTTTCTAAGTATAAGTACTGAGTACTGCTCGCTTTCGGCACAGTCTCTTGGAAAAGGGCAATCCTTGTCTCCTTGTTGTCTACTCAATCCAGTGCCAGAGCTCGGCTATTTTCATCCAAAGTGCTCACCTCTGGTCGGTCCCCTTCCACGTGGCGGCATTGGAATTGGGTCCTAAACGCAGTCCATGTCATGCAGGTCCGTTCCCGTCCAGCGACCCAATGTATGCGCGGTTAGGACTGTAATACTTTTCAGGCATTGCAAAACAACTGGGCTGGCATGCAGCATCTCCTGCAGACGGGGCATGTCACAGTCGGACAGCCAGCAGCATCTTCGTCACGCTGGGCGCGCGTGCCGCAGGTTGGGCAAGGCTCGGACTTGCGCAGCCTGGGTGGCACAATGCTCGGAAACTCGTCAGCTTTCGGGCACCCAACAGAACCTTCAACTGGCAGCGGTGGAAGGCATCGGCTCAGCAAGGCATGGCAAAGTGCGCTACGAAAAGCGTCGTGCAATGAGTCTGTAACTCCGGAACAACCAACACCTTGTACTTGTAGTTCATCGGCACACAACTTGTCATGTAAGGAATCCGAAGATGTTTGGTTGGTTGGTTGGATTGATTCATGCAGGAAACGTCTTTAGAATCCTCAGCAGAGTAGTCGTAATCGTCAAGAAGAGTCCCCGCCAGGGCACAGGTACAACACTGAGGCAGCCTCCGCATCATTGGAGCAGTCCATGACAGCCTGATCAGCCAAGGGCTGGGAGAAAGATCTCAGAGCCCCAGCAACTTTTCACCCCACCCCACCTTGCAACCCTCACCATTGAAGGGCAGACAGAGCATGGCAATGTCGCGCAAGTCCAGGCTCTCCGGAAGCAGTAGAGAGCCTGGAGCCACCAGGTCTTCTGTTAGTAGGGCTTGTTCACGTTAAAAAACCCTACACCCTAAATGGTTTTTTTTAAACGTTAAAACACCTTAAATCCTAACCCTCGAGCGGGCCATGGCCTCGTACCGAGTGTTGATGGAAGATCTTTCGGCGCAGATGGAGGTCGCTGACCAGGGAAGTGTAGCTGGCATACTTCGCCGTGAAGCCGAAACCTTCGGACGCGGATCCCTACTTGGAGGTTCATGGTATGTTTATTAATTTATTAACCAGTTAGAACTGTACTTATAACCCACTTATCAGCCCCTTAAGTGCCCTTATATGGTTACAAGTACAGTTATCATTGGTTAATAAGTACCATGAACCTCCAAGTACTTTAGGCAGATGCATAAAGTCACGGCCGACTCCGAGGCCAGCATCTTGCCAAGTCACCTGCCATGAACCGGCGGATGTCTCGTAGTGTGATGTAGCCATTCCGCATCAGATCCTGCAGCTTTGTTCCCCCCCAAAGACTGGACACGCCACTTCTTGTAGCACTACATTTCTCGTGTTCGGTGGCATCCCGCGGTCCAGCTCATTGAAGATCTCCTCCACTGTGCAGCAACTGGGCAGCAAAGCCTTTGCATCCTCCACCTGTCATGCGTGGCAGGGTCTTATGCTCGGCCGGACCCAAAAACAGCTCACTGCATCCAGCTGCTCTGACAAAACGAGTACTTGCATTGCGTATGTAGCCACCATCCAGTCCAGCTTGGCTTGACGCGCCATCACCACAAGTGTCCTTGGCTCCAAAGCCGTGCAGGACATCTGACTGGTAAGGGCCATGGCTGTGCATCATTCGGGGGCGATTGCATGCAAGCGGCTGTTGCAAAGCGCGCTGTTCCTGAGCCAACTCAAACTTGCGCGAACAGCTGACAAGCAGCCATGTTGAGCCTTCGGAAGTGCGCCCACATGGTGAAGAGCGGTCATGCGTTCATCACACAAGTGCATGAGCAATGAGATCTGCTGGCCATGCGAAAGAATCCTAAAAAGGCCCAGCGGCGTGCGAGTCCAGGAAGTGTAGAGAACGGCGAGGAAATGGAGATCCCAAGGATGGAGATGCACCGGGAGATGCTGCAGACGAAAGGCCTCGGCCTCGTGGACAGCTGAGAAATATATGCTGGGATGCCTACCTATACTCTTCCATGATTATACTGCTTTAGGGCGCCATAGACACACTTTCCACGTCCAAGGAAGCATTGTCATGCAAGCACATGCGCCTGCAGAGAGGGGTCGTGGGGAGTAGGACCTCACCTGGGCGTTCACATGTTGGCACGTGCTGTTACATGCCCATGGTGAGTTGGGCTTGGAAAAGTCGCTTCCGAGCCACAGCTGCAGGCGACGACACGTAGGTGTCCGCAAGGCTCCTTTCAAAGGACAGGCCAGGGTCCTGGGTCGACAGCTCCGAGAGATAGTGCCGCCGAGCTGGGGAGGGTGACCAGGTATCCCAGTCTTTTGATCCGCTGTGCCGTGGGGGTCGTGAGTCCGGCAGCAAGTAGTCTGGCAGCGGCGTCACTGGGCTCATGGGACTCACAGGCTCCAAGAATCGACTGCCGCGCAGTGTGGGCGACATAGCTCTGGGCGACGTAGCTCTGGGCGACATAGCTCTGGGTGAGGCCGGCCGGATGCGCCCCGAAGGGCTGGTCTCGCGGTAGCTCTCGAAGGAAAGGCGCGTTGGGCTGGCAGAGCGGTAGAGGTAGCTGTCAGTCAGCGGGCTTCGGTCCATGCGATCGGCCCAAGTGTAATACTGGGTTGCTGTTGGTAGCGGCATGTCTAGCAGCCGACCCAGGTGGTCGGCTGGAAAAAAGGCCGCATCCTTAGCATGACATGATATGCTGGCCTCGACAGACATCCTTGTGACTGCTTCAAACTCAACTTAAGAAGCCTTCGAGACTGCTATCATGCGCAGACCATGCATGTCAGAGCTTGGCTTCTTGTTGCCCAGTGAGAAGCTACCCTTGAACCCGTAGACAAAGCGCTAAACCCGTTTTCTTGCATCCCTAAACCCTAAACATCCCTAAACCCTTAAACCCTAAACCCTATAAGAGCCTTGATGTGAGGCCCAGGGCTCCGTTGGATTGATGCGCTTCATCAAGGCTTCGCACAGCATCGGCTCCAGTGGGCGGGTGTAGCCCGCCACGCCCTGCGTGAGGACGTGGCGAACTCCCATAGCCGACAGGAGGCCACCCATGCCTGGTTTAGGGTTTAGGGTTTGGTGTTTAGGCACGCGAGAGCGCGAGGATTCTACTACTATCGTGCAGCAGCTGATCAGGCTGAAGAGTAGGATGTGTCATGGTGCTTGTGACCTGCTGGTTCCTCTTGTCACAGGCTTTCATGGGCTTCATGGGCTTAAACCCCAAAGCCATCGAGACTATCTTCGTCCCAGGCACCTGCACAGAAGCCTTCCTCCATGTCAAGGAACTTCACGATGTTAATCCCGGAGATGGCCACCTGAGAGCCACGCGAACATGAAATCCGACCTCGGATCCTTCGGTTGTGCGCTTCTTCTTTTCAGGGTTCTGGAAAAAAAAACGACTCGGGGTGCGGCCTGCCGCATGCGCTTCTGATGAAAGCGCAGGCGGCTCATGAAGTCCAACTCCAAGAGGAAGAGCCTTGGGCTAAGTCCGGTGCAGAACCCGCCCCACTCTCGCCCCCATCAGCATTGGATTGTTTCAGGCCAGCCACTGGCACAGTCGATATGCCACCTCGTGCTTCAGCGGTCGTTCGTAGGAGAGGTACGGCAAAAACGTGCGGGAAATAGCAAGCTCCTGGACACAAGCGCCCGCAATCACCTGACAGCCGACCTTCTGAACTAGGCTGTCCTTCAAGTAAGCCCCAGAACGGAAGTTTGGAGTCGTCATTCGGATAAAGTCCTGTCGATGAAGAGTGGCACATGGAACATGGATACAACTTTCAGAGCTTGCTGCCACCATAATCTCTACAGCATGCTACGACCTTGCCTCTGGGAAGATGTCGAGGGAGCCAGCTCGAAGCCTGATGGCAGACAAGACGTCCTCCAGTCTGTAGCCTGCCGTCCAGGAATCAAGAAGGTGCGCCGCCAGTGCTTTTGTAACTTAGTAGCATCCCACCAGCAACGGTCAGTAGATGGGCGTGAGCAGAGTCTCAGAGCAAGCAGCCCCCGCCTGCAACCGGGTGCGGTTGCGAGGAAAGCCACAGATGGAGATCGCTGGCGCTCATCCATCCTGTCGAGCCACAACCTGCCCTTCAACCCCAAGCCTCCCCTGAAACCCCAAGCCTCACCCCCCTCCAACCCTAAACCCTAAAGCCTAAACCCTAAACCCTAAACCCTAAACCCTAAACCCCCTTCCCCAAGGACTCCTTTGACGCTGGGCCCCTGGATCTCTTGGAAGCAGGCCCTGGGCTTGAAATCTGGCAGCTCGCCTTGGGCGCTCACGAATGCTCAAGGACTTTATGTCTCAGGCTTCTTGTTCTTCTTCTTCTTCTTCTTCTTCTGCTTTTGCTTCAACAAAGAACGGTGGGTTTCTTGTGGTACCAGTAATCGCACTTTTCTTGCATGTCGGAGTGCAATGATGGTGAGGGCTTTTTGTCATCGTGGTGTCTGGTTTCTGCGGAAGCACAGGCCGTTTCTGCTTTGCCACCATGCGCGACAGTTCGGGCTTAGATGCAATCGACATCCTTTCTCTTTCAAATGGGCTCACAAGTGTGAACCCTAGTTCTGGCCTTCCTGAATTATTGATTTTGGCGGGTCTTATCATCTGGAATGCTGCGCCGCATTGGCTGCTGAACTGCTTGAGGAGTCTTGCTACTCACTGGCTCTCTCGGGCCCACCCTCTTCCATGGCATTGCTTTCGTCAGGGCAATGTTCGGCAAGTCCTATTCTTGCGAAATCTCTTTGGGGGGTTTCGATCATGAGGGACCCTCATATAGACCCCCCCCAAATAGTAGGATCCCCTAAAAAATTGGGACCCCAATAAGGTAATTACCCCAAATATCGTAAACCCCCTTTGAGAGCCTGACACAACTTGACCCGCGCATCCTCGGTGTCAAGCTCGGCCTCTGCCGCAGCACGGAGAAGAGAGAGCAGTGCCACCTTCCAGTGGTGCTCAGTGACCCTCGGAGACTCGTGTGATGGATCCTAGAGTTGTAGAGGGCTGCAATATGTTGCAGGATGGATCCTAGAGGCCTAGAGGGTTGCAACATGTTGCAGTACTTCTTTAAATAGAAGAAGGCTCAGTGAATTTTGACGAAGCGTGTCGGGGGTGTGAGCTGCAGAGTGCCCCTTGGCCCAAGAGGCCAGCCTTCTGCTCTGCATCCAGCCCAGCGTACCTGCAAGAAGGATTACGTCGGGAAGAGAGGGGGGGGGGGGGGGGTGACAACTTTGCCAAGCTTTTGCCGCATAGTCAAGGTTATAAGGGGACGTTCGCCAGTTTAACAGCCTTGCTTCAACCAGCTCCTTGGCGCGACCACAACACGGCGTGTGGTAGTTACTCACTTTGTGCCTTGATGCTGCCATCTCAAGACACCCTCCACACCATCCCGGCCTGTCCATGGTCGCAGCCAAGGGAGTGTGCAAAGGCCCAACCAGCTTGACGAAGAAACAGCTGCGAAGCAATTGGAATACACAGGAATGCGCCAACTCGCACGTTTGCCACAACCTGCGTCACGTCTTGCAGCTCTCACTCTTCTGCTGGATTGAAGTTTTTTCTTGGTTCGGCATGGATCGCTCAGGATGGGCTTTTCCCTTCTTCCTTGCTTGGATTACGCATTGCTTGAAGGTAACTCCATGCTGTGAACGCAAGGATGTTCCCAGCAATTCCTAGTAGCATGACGAATTTCCACTTGCCACCAGGAAGAGTCTCTAGCCCCAAGCAGATGGAGATTGAGATCGTAGCGGCTTTGTTAAAGTTTCCCGCAAAGGCTGCGTGACTCGCCTTGGCCGGCGCAGCACAGATTACAACCATCTGGAAATCAAGCAAATGCTGTTTCTTCACGAATACTTCAGCTTCGTTCTTAAGAAACCCTGGCCGAAGCCAGCCGGGCATCTCGAACAAACGAGAAGGGTAATCTGGAGCATCTTTTGACGAATATGTGTTGAGGATTTGTTGTTGACTGAAGGTTATTTGGGGACGAGAATTGGGAAGAAGGATCCGGGGGGAGGTGGGGGGGTGGGATGTGGTCGAGGATTTCTGACTTACTTCCAGAGACTGCGCCTGTCAAATTCTCAAAGAACTCGTCTGATACCAGTACTCGAAGACTCAAAGAGATGTAAAGAAACAGGTGCTAAGTGGACGCCAGAGTTGCAGACAAAGACTGCACCACGGTGTACTGAATGAAGTTGTAGCCAGCAGAAACAATTCCTGATGCGATTACCAGGAAGATGGTGCCTGGACTGAGGACGTGAACTTTTTGATAGACCTGCAGCAAGACAACAGGCCAAGCAAAGCGAGACGGAGAACAATGAGAGTATGTATACTACATGGAACGCATAGAATAACAAATGTATACACACATACACACGCAGATGGACTTGTTCTTGTGTTCACATGCAGATATACACCCATATACGCAAAAAACCAAACCTAGCTGTCTAGGGAACCTATTTATACATTGGACTAGAGTTGGGGTCGATGTCTTCCCCAAGCCCTAAACCCCAAATCCTAAACCCGAAACCCTAAACCCTCCTTCCTGTGGGGGCTTAGAATGCTGTGCGCAGGACAGCCCATGGTTTTTGAAGAGCGGCGGCTGCACTCAGGGCTTAAAGGCTTAGGGTTTAGGGTTTAGGAAAGCAGCTTGGCAGTCTTGAGTGCGGGTGAAGTCAGGGACTCAACCCCCCTATAGACCCTAAACCGGATGTAATACCTAAACTCTGAACCCGAAGCCTTAATGTCTCAACCCCGAACCCTAACACCAAACGCTAAACCTTACGTACATACGTACATACGTACACATACCTACCTGCCTGCCTGCGTGCTTATCTACACACATACATACATATACATACATATATACCCACACATATATATATACACGTAATACTAGATGCAAATAGAGATCAGAATGGAAGACCTGGGCCCGGGCCTGGCCTCCCAGTCTGTGAGTACGCCGAAGTTGGGCCAATCCACCGGGTGTGAGGCATAGAGAGATGCTGGCAGCAGCGTTAAGGCGCAGGGCACAGCCATGTAAAAAATCCTTGGGGTCGGAAATGGCCGGTTTAAAGCCCTTGACTTTGGCGCTGCCAGAGGTTCCGAAGCACTAAGCTGAAGACAAGGGGCGTGTCTAAAGGATTCAGCGGCGGGTCCAACGTGCTCCCAAACGCCGATGCCAAGATCAAGGTCATGGCTGCAGCAACATCTCCGAGGGAGCACATCAAAACACCTTCAGCAATTTACTACCATCAAAAATCATCAACAAATATCAACAACAGCAATATACTTAAATATAATAGTACAACAATATCACAATATAAGCATATAGTAGTATAATACACTACTATGCGAATATGACAGATACTAATTCAACCATATAAAATATAAGCATGTAATATAGTTCTTAATGTAATCATTATCACAAGAGCGGCAGTGTTAGGGCTCATTGCACATGTCTTGGACAGTCTTGGGCAGTGCCAGAGGCTGCATTCAAGCCGCCGAGCATCAGGTGAGGCGCTGGTTCATGCCCAGAGGTTGCACTTTCGGCCAGCGCACTGACCGCAGCACAGGCAACACCAGCCACCATCAAGCTGACCTTAGCTGGCTTTGCTCTGAGCAAGACACCTCTCCGCCCTGTCGTGGCCATGCGCACGCTCAAATAGCAACGGTGCCTAAAGAACTCATGCCAAGGCACATCCAGCAGTCCAACCCGGCTCGCGGTCAAGAGGGCCGCATTGCTGCGCAGCTGCTGTAGCACCAGCGTCACCGGGAATACAGGAGCGAAATTACCAGGTTGAGGGACACAGGCAGCAACGACATGCTGAAGTTGTTCAACCCGATATTGACGGCTACGGCTGCGGAAAAGAGAAGGACCGCAAGTAGCTTCTCAGCTTTGAGAGCCCTGGGAAATGTAGCGGTAGGGCGAGAATACAGCAAGGCCATTCCCAAACCAAGGGACAAGAAAGCCACGACCGTTGGATGGCAGTCACCAAAAAGGCAGCTGGCATCCTCTCAAGTTTCAGCTCTCTTGAGACGGTCTCTTCGGAAAGCACGAGCTTCATGTAGAGGGCAAAGCTCGACTGCCCCGCGAAATATGTTGCAAGCATGCCTGCTCTTGTCTAAATCATCACAAGTGTCACAGGCCTTGCTCTTGGAACACTGACAAGAAGCAGTCTACTAAACAAGCGCCTTCCAGTTACACAATTATGTGGCCTGGCATGCGGTGTCCAGTCACTAGGAGCACTGCGCCGAGGAGGAATGCGCTTGTTGGAATAACAGCCTGCTCCTCTATCCTGGCAGCCGCAGGGAAACAATCTGCAACGCCCAACTCTAGTTACTCTACTTGCCTCGCCTTATCGTCTCATCTGCAGGGAATTTGTGTGGCCGAGGGGGCACCACCACAATGCTGGGGTCCTGGTGGCACGTCATGCCAAGCCACTGAAAGGTCACTCTTCCCAATTTTCACGGGGGCAGCACCTCAAATTAAATATGAAGTATAGGGTATGTATTTCTTGTATCCCCAAAAGGACACCCAATATGTACACTCACCAAAATTCAAAAGCAACCTTATATACACTCACCAATAACAGTAGTATAAACCCTACTTCATATGATATCATCAAACTGAAAGCCTTGTGAGCACTACGGATTTTCTGGCAGTGCTGACGCAATGGAGTCCTGGTCGTTGGGCGCCTTCTCCAAGTCAAACTGGAGCTGAAGGAGCTGAATACGCATCAGAGAAGCATCCTCAAAGGCTTCCACTTCTGCCGAGGACCAGGAGTGATCGCCTCAATCTCAACCGAAGGTTCCTTCCAACACCGTTCACCCTAGTGTTGTATGTGTCCCTCCACATTCCGAAAGATTCAGAAGCCAAACCGAAAATGAGCCCCCCCCCCCCCCCCGTACCACGAAGAGGCACGATCAGCCGCCACATGGCCACAAAGAAGTAGTAAGGCTCCAACTCGTGGCCTCCAAGGCCGCCAGGAGCCCCAAAAGCGATAAGCTTTTCTTACACACACACACACACACAGAGCATTAAACATCCCACTGCCGCCCACGCAAAGCTACAATGCTTGCTATGCTTGCTCTGCTGTCGACGTGAGGGGTCATAATCTCTCCTATGATATGTCGGCAGAGTGTTTACCGTTGCTGCTTCACTCCAAAGTTCCAGAAGAAACGAGGCCGGCCTGAGCAGGCATTTCCGTGGCTGAGGAGCCATGACTATACGGAATCAGAGCCCTTGCGAGGGCGGCATGCCGACGTGAGGGGCTTCAGTGTGGCATGCCTTCGACAGGGTTCGGTGCTAGAGCCAAGAGGTGCAAAAATCACGGATCCAACCATGCCCAGCACATGAATGCGTGGGGGAAACCCAAGCAGATGCCTAAGACGAAGGCTCAGAAACAAGCGCTGTACATAAGGCATAAGGCAATCTGAAGGTCCTTTCTTCTTTTAGGCCACTCGCCGTCGCAAGGGAGGCGACGGTTCCTGGAGTTCCTGGAGTTCCGGCGCCATTGCTTGTCGAGTCGGCCTTCGGCTCATGTATTCGAGCACCAAGCTCGCCTGGGCATTCCGAACCTGACGACCAGCTGAGCGGCGCCCAAACATGATCCTGCCCGAGTTCCGGGTAACCCGGGCACCAAGAGACCCATTGGGAGACGGCACCTGGAGCATCCTGGAGCGAAGCTGCGACCGTCGGCCACCCCAGGGGCTGGTCCAGGTGGTTTCGTTGGTTTCACGGTTCCAGTAGTAGACATGACCATCAACGGTGCGGCCCTGGCGGCTGGGATCTGCAGCATCCACTGCCACCCACATCGTCTGCAGCTTTGGCAGGCGCTTCGGGGGCCAGGGCCCTGGAAGCCCAAGGGTGTCTCGGGACTCGCGTTCCCGTTCCCACCAAGGACGCTCTCGGGGATGCTCAGGGGCGCTTGAACATCGCTCCTGGGCCATCCGCAGCAGCCGCACAATCCTGGGACCACATTTGGGGGTGGCTCAAGGCGAGCCTCTTGAACAGAGTAATGAGAAGCGAAAATTCACATCCACTACGGTATGTAGAAGGACCTGCAACGCTCAAAAATGGGAGGCAGCACTTTAGGGACATTTGGTGACTGTCGTGCAATCGGGCAAATCCAAAAGAATGAAAGCTCTGGTTGCTGTATTGGGTTTGCCCATGGAAGCCATCAGTGTAGTGAAACCAGAATCCAGCAACCGATAACCAAACAGCTTTGTGGTCACCGTGCTTGTACGATTGAAAACGAAAACCAAAACCACAGTCACTCACTGTTGTAAATATACTGTAAATTTAAATGCGCCGATGCAACCAGCTCGTGCACTCGGTTTTGACGCGTATAGCTTCATGGCGTAGTTGTATCTTTGGGTAGTCCTTCCCAATGGAATGTGCTTCCGGTTAACAACAGAATACAAAACATGTGCATCAAGGTTGAGACCTGTGGTCCTGTATTGAAGCCAAGCACAGACACAAGCAATTCATCGAACAACAAAACCAGCTCCAGCTGCACTTGGAATGCAAAAAATGCAAGAATAGCCAACACAAGCCCAAAACTCTACTCCCCTTAGAAACTTAATAAAAATAATGTCTTGAATATCCTCTTGGGTTTTATATAAACAAAAAACTCTGAAGGGGAATATAGAAAAATTGCCAACAAGGACCTGGACTCCCAGCTGCGCCCTCACTGCCACATGGCATGTTGCCAGCTGGATCTGCCATTGCAGACAGCAAAGCAGCGAAAGTAACCTGCTCACCTCCAGAGAAGGAGATGGCAACATCTGCAGGATCGAGGCCAGAGTCGTTCTTCAACTCCGGGGAAGGGAACGTGGCTTTGTGGCTTCTGTGTTCCAGTCCGAGCTTCACGCGGATGTGCGGCACGCGGAGGCTCCAGGGAGCTCTTCGGTTTGACGCCGTGCGGGAGAAGATCTCATCCAGCGCTCCAAAGCTGAGGACGAAATCTGGCCTGCGGCATCGCCCAGAACTTTAACTGTCAACCCCCCCCCCCGGTGTATTCCCGTCAAGCTGAAGCCGGGAAGCCGCCATTGTTGCAGCTGCGCGGGTATCTCGCAACGGTTCCACGCCAGCTGCGTGAGCAACCGCCCTGAGAGGACGAGATGTCAACACAACAAAGCTCCATCACGAAGACGCCAGCAGCCGCGGAGGGTTGAAGCTTGAAACATGGTCGCATTCAGGGGTGCTGATGGTGTCTTTTGGGAAGATTGCAGGGCTCAACCTGATCTGTTTCTGTGTTAACTTGCATACCTTCCCCGCATGAGCAGGTCAGCTCATGGGGTGGGAGCTGCTACCACACCTGTTGAAGGGCGAGGCTGAGGAAGCGGCCTTCGCGATCACGTGGAGGCTCCAATAGCTCTGTGGTCACAGGAGCCGCGACACCTATCAAGGTGAGCACCTGCCCTCCCACATTTATCATGTCTTGGTGCATTGGAGGCGCCTCCTGCCCGCCAGGTTGCCAAGAGTGCAACCAAGCTCAGCTGCGCCAACTGCCGAGAGGCAGCCTCCTGCAACTAAGAGATGAGGCCCACAACCGACCATGTGCAGCAAACGCATGACTGGCAAGTGAGCAGTGAGATTGTGATCTCCGGCATGCGCTCAAGCGAAGAGCTCGGCGGCCGCCAAACTCTCTTCCTTGGCACGGACTTTGCTCTCCTGTTGTGGCAGAGCTACTCCTTTATTCTAGCAGACGCTTCTGGCTCGAGCGGGGGCGGAGGTTGTTCAACTGTTTGCCAGGATGCGGAGGATAGATGGGGATCAGCACAACGGCCCCGCCGAGGCTACCTTGCCTTGGCTTGGCATGCTCCAATGGATGGCAACCGATGCTTACATGGTTTTTCTTTTTGCGAGGATGAATCTGAAGAGTGTCACAGTGTCACAGAAGCATCTTTCAACAAAAAGGTGCAGGATAACCTGATTGCGCCGGCTGCCCTGCAACATGCAGGAAGCCAGCTGCGATGAGAGGCGTGCGACAAGACCCTGTCGCCGAACGCCAAGGGCATCCAACAGCACAGCCATGGTGACTTGCAGAGCTTTGCTGCTAGATTCTGCTAGATCGTAAGGAAGTCATTGATGCAAATGTGTGCTGTATGCGCCACCATGAAGTGCTTATACTCGGCCTGGGCACCATGAAGGCGCACAAAATCATTTACGAATGTACCCGCCTTCACATGGCAGAGGGGCCGGCGCGGTGCCGTGGCAGTGGTCAGTGCTTGTCAAGTAGACAACAGATGACAACAGGATGAAGTCTCGTTTCGGCTTGCAGGCGCAAGGCGCTGCAACTCTGCACTGATTTGTCTCGCAGACACGCTGGTGCTTGACAGTTACCAGATTTCTGGTCTTCTGGCAATGCTGCTGGCCTTCAGCCTGGCAGCAACCGGGGTCACTTCACATCTCCTGACATCTGTACTGCAGCTTTCAAGCATTTGGTTACGGTGGAGCATCATCCAACAGCTTTCTGAAGCCCTTTGGGGTTCAAAAGCTGGCTCCTGACCTGCCTTTCACGCCTCACATACAACTTGACAGGGAAAGACCGATGCAAAAGCCTAGGTGGGCCTTTAGCTTTAAGGGCCAGGGGTCTTGCGGTTAATATCCGCTAATTCTCTATCGGGGTGGAAAAAGACAGCGACTTACGCGAAAAAACTTCGCACTTCGCACTCAAATACAAGGTGCATGGAGGAGCCTCTTACAAAAAGAATGTTAATCTGCCTCCGCTGTCCAGGGCCTAAGAACACATGCTGCCGTGTGCAAAGAGGGCTCTGCCAAAATTGTTTGGGCTTACTTCTAGCACGCCGCTCCCATGCACCGCGGCCCGAACCTGCTTTGGATTCGAAGCTGGAGTTGCACCTCTCAAATTTGAGGCCTTTGCGCCGGATCTACGGGCCCTGTCGGGCAACGGCAACTTTTGCTACCAACACAAACGCTATCGCACAATGGCCTCATGATTCTCACGTCAACTTCATGGCTTTCATCATGAAGCCTTGACACTACAGTGCTCGTTTCGTGCTTCGCACGGTCGGTAGCTTGGGGCAATTGCCCGGGTCGTTTCACTCAGAGCATCCCTTGCCATGGTGAGTGCAGCACCTGAGCTTGGGCGGAGCACGTCCTACAGTTCGCACGTCGTTAGCGGTTTGGAGGCCAAGGACACTTCTAGACAGTCGAGCATGAACACGGTGTGTTTTCTTGCCGCCCGTATGCAACCTTTTCTTTTGACAGAATCTTGGCTCTTCAGTCTCCACGGCGCTGCTATGTAGCATTGTAGCGAGGTTGGGTAAAACTGCCAATTGGCGTCCAGTCCCTGTGCCCATCGGGAATGGGGTCGCTGGTGGATGCTGATGAATGCTGGGGCCAAGCGGGCGACCTTACTAAATACGGCTTCAAAAGATCTATCTAAGTGTTGCTCCAGTGGCGATGCTCTAGGCACACTGCCCAGGCTGCCGGAAGCCGTGCACATCATCCCTAAAAGGGTTAGCCAAGGCCAGCCAGTGTGAGTCCATGCGGTTGTGGATGGACTTGCAACATGCAGCAAAGCATGGCACCACCTCAAGACACACACACACACACACACACACACACACACAGTCGTGACGCCCAATTGTGCAGCGCCCCCTAGTCTGCTCGAGGTGGTTTGCTTCTTTGTTCCGCTGCTGGCTTGCAGCCGAACTTATTTCTTTCCTAGTGGCTGGCTTCAGGGGAAGGGCGTGGCCGCAGTTATCTTGCAACCTTGAACGTTTGTTCCCCCTGAAGTGAAACTGCCGCTGGCCTGCTTCCTGAGTTCAGGGTTGCCTGCTTTGGGTCCTGGGTTTTCTGATGCACCGTGGTGTTGGACACCTGCGACCCTCGAGACACCAGCCGATGCAGAAATCACAGTATGTACTATGTCCTTCAAATTTCGGGATGCACGCGCACGCCAACACTGACGATGAAAGAGGCCACAGTATGAGCACATGTGAGGTATAGTCAGACCCGCAAGTATTCACTTCGCATAGATGGAACAATAGCAGAGATGCAACTCCCTCGCATCGTTGGCGACAGACACTGCTCGAATCTCACCATTTCAGCCAAGCACGTTCAATGCTGTGGAGCGGGAGCAGATGCATAATTGCAGGCCAAGCACCACTCTGTCTGTGCAGTGTCCCATGAACTCTCGATCGTGCTGCCTTGCCATCCGAGCTTCGAGCAACATTGCAGGCATCTATCTAGCTGGGATCGCAACTACAACTTGTGTGTGTGTGTGTGTGTGTGTGTGTCTGTGTGTGTGTGTGTGTGTCTCTGTGTGTGTGTGTGTGTGTGTGTGTGTGTGTGCGTGCGTGCGTGCGTGCGTGCGTGCGTGCGTGCGTGCGTGCGTGCGTGCGTGCGTGCGTGCGTGCGTGCGTGCGTGCGTGCGTGCGTGCGTGAGTGCGTGCGTGCGTGCGTGCGTGCGTGCGTGCGTGCGTGCGTGCGTGCGTGCGTGCGTGCGTGCGTGCGTGCGTGCGTGCGTGCGTGCGTGCGCGCGCTTCAGTTTAAAGCAGCCAGGCAGCAGTCATACGCTTGTTCGGCCGCTGATGGGCAAGCACGGGAGTGGTGTTCACCTTCTGCACAGCTGGCATCATGCAGTAGCCACTAGCATGTAAAGCAACTGCACGGAACTGACAAACGGCTGGGCTTCACGCAACACCAGGATTGCTTGTCACTCGGCCATTCTGGCCAATTGGCATACCCTCCGCAGCAAGTTGCTCATCCGATCAGCTTCGCTTCCAGTAGCACTTTAAGGGGCGAGCCTTCGGTGCAGTCGTACAGCTCAGCAGCCACAGGCAGCGCAGTTGGCAGCACAGTCTGTGCCTCCTGCAGATACAGAAAATGTTTCAGAAGAAGCACCACTAGAAGATCCACACCTTCTCTAGTTGGGCAAGGTAAGGGCTCCTGCACACAGCCAGTCTGATGCTGCACGCAACACCTGGAGCAATGGTGAAAGAGCGTTTCCAGAGCCATTGCCCAAACTCTGACAAAGCCCTCATGCCCGAATATGTATATATATATATATTAGTTAGAAATATACCTATATGTTTATATTCATATATTTGTGTTTCTATTTATATTTCCCCTAAAGCCCTGGTTGCCCTAGTTGCCAAGGCCCTTGGCCAGCAGATGTCTCGAATGCTTTGAGATGCCACATGACCCTCTCTGTTTTAGCCTACAGCCCTCGTCAACCGCCTGTAAGTAAAGCTACTGCATGCTTCGAAAGCTGACGTTGCCCAACTGGAAGCAGGAAAAAGCAGAGAGAGAATCAAGATACAGTGCCTTGCGTCAGGGCAAACTCAGGTCGAGGCCATTCTCGCTTGCTGGGAGGCCATGCCACAGGATTGTTGCCGGCCGAGACAACCTTCGTGGCTCTCTGGGGCATGGCATGCAATGACCTAGCAGGACGGACCAGTTATGGGTGCAGCTCCATTTTGCCACGCCGGTCTTTCGTCAGCTGTCAGTCTCTGCGGCGGATGAAGCCGCCGCCAACACCTGCAGCAGCTTCCGACTGGCTGCGGATGGCTGCTGCAATGCCATGACTGCGCTGCAATGTTCTCTGCTGGAAACAACATGCCATGATTCTTTAAAGAAGGAGCCTTAAGTGCTACCCGGACAGTTGCGTGCAGCAAGCGGGTAGAGAAACCTTTCCGAATGCCCTCGTTGCCTCCGCGACGCTGGGGCCAACATCAAACTGCGGCTCCGAGACCTGCTCCATCTCGGCAACCTGCTGACACGTGGGGCCGCATGGGGGTTTCCGAAATTCGGGGTACCTTTTTGGGGTCCTTATTACAAGGGAATCCTACTATTTGGGGGTCTATTTTAGGGGTCCCCGAATCTCGGAAGCCCCCACATTCCAGGGACAGAATGGGAGAAATCCGAACAGCACAGTTGACGGGTCTGAGAGAGATGCTGGAATTCCCGCAGCCATGTGCCGCCATGGAACATGGGGAGCCAATTGGGTGCGGAAGGCCAGCCATATGAGGAACCCGCCCAGAAAGAACAGAAGCCAGGGCAGACCTGCAAAAAGATGAATGAAGCCGCAGGCAAAGCTCAGCCACAATGATGACCGACACGGGAGTTGAGAAGCCCCGCGCCTCGGCGAAGGTATTTCCACAAGCGCTTGATCTGCCGATGCAGCTGCCGTTGCACTTTCTTGTACATCGGCGTGTGGACTCGCTGGCCCTTCTCTCTGCTCGGCGGTGCAGGGCTTGTCGTCTCTGCCTTCGCCTGGCACATCGAAAAACTACCGTTCGCAACCAAACATACAGTGTATAAAAACAGAACCACTCGCAACCTGTTCAGTAGTCCGAAGCTATCGACAAAAGAAAACCGATGTCTAAACCCTCCCATTGCCTTGGGTTGTTCTGTCGATTTTGCTTCCGGGCGCCTGTTCTTAAGCTCTTCAGACCAACGCTCCTCCATGTCTAGCCAGCTCGTGATCTGGTGCTTCGACTTGTCTGTTGCCCGTGTCAGGCGGCTCCACTTGCCTGCCTGAGCCTTGTGGATTGTGGCGGTGGCACGGCCGACCGATGCTGCCGACCAAGAGCTGCGACTTGGCACCACGTCGGCAAAGAGCGGCAGGTCAACGAAGTAGCGCTTCCGAATGTTGGAGTGGTGCCCGAAGCCTGCCAAGACAAAGGTGTCATCAGTGACGTTGACGCTGACATCTGTGATCTCGATGGCTCCAGGAGCCGACCACCGGCTCGCGTACTTTACAGCCAGGAACACCGTGGTCGAGTTCTGCGCCCATTGCAATGCGCATGGCACGTCGTCCAGGCCCTGCCTGTGCCCACGGAATGTCGCGTCTGCGTACTCAGCAAATTGGTCTGCTTGCTGCTTCACATCTTTGATCAACGCACGGACCTCGGCACTTAAGGCAGCTAGTCCAGAGGATTCACCATCTAGAGGCTTCTGCAAGTGGGTGCGGGAAACGATGGCTCTGGCAGCCTTCCACCAGCTGTTGGCAACGCATGTGCGCATCCACTGCAGGCTGCTTGAGAGTATGGCACTCTCAATGCCTGGATCCTCCAAGCCTTGCAGGAAGGCATCCTCGCTCTGGAACTCAGGAACCGAGCTCGAAGCATGCACCGCCAGGATCAGGACAACGCATGCTCTGATCCGTGCCATCCGAGGAAACCAGTTTCTGAGTGAACTTGCAATGCGCTGCTTCATTTGAGTCAAGTAGATGTGTATATACAGGTACAGATGAACTCCAAAACGCCAGGGCAATCATAATCTGCAAAGCATGTGAATGCATGGCTCGAGCCGACTCGCAGTCAAAGAGTTGTGATGGAACATATCATTCCATCTCATTGGGGCTGGCACCAACACACTTTCCGACACTGAAAGTTTGTAAAGATCACAGAGCCACAAGTGAGCACACCACTCAAGAGACCCAATGCCGGCCAAATCCATGACCACAGTAGCCAAGGGTGCCAACAAACAGGCCACACTAGCACATCAATGCAGCTCAGCAACGCAGTCTGGCTCCGGTGGAACCGTTGCGGGCGCTGGAGTTGGGCAGCCAATCTGAGTTCGCTCGCAGCAGAAGGCCAGCTGCTCCGGCCTGAGGAGTGGCATTTCTGGCTGAGACTCTTGCGAAGCTTGGCCCTCCGGTTGCGATTTCCAGAAGGAACAGAATCCACTCCCTGCTTCCCCTGCCAGGCAGAGGCGAACTGCTTAGCCGCGGCGCGACCAGCTGGCGGGGATGCCCACGTGGCAATGGAATTGCATCGCCTAAGTGTGTAGACAACACCTCCCCACTCCTTACCTAACCTTACCTAAACCAGCCGCAAGGCGTGGAGGCTCGAAACCACTTTTTCCAGGGCGGCCAGTTTGAGGTCCCGTGCGAATGGCTGGAAGGGCAAAAGAGAACACCTGATGCTGCCACGCGGCAAAAGGCACAACAGGAGGTCCGCCGGGCCCATGCCTTGGTGAGCCGTGAACTCGTACACTCATGTACGCATATACATTTTTATGCGTAGTATATCAGAATATCAAGTTTCACACAGGTATGTTAGGGTCCATATTCCTTGCTGTTGGCAGCTGAGGCCGGTACGGCGCCAGGAAGCCCTTAGGCTGGCTGCAGCTGCAAACAAAGATACACTGCTGGCTGCTAGAGGACCGCCCTTAGCACCTACCTGCTGACGAGCAACCGGATTGAAATCCGGCACTGGCACCATGATCCACGTCGTCGGCATCAAGGTTGTTGTCACACCTCGCAGCCGACGTTAAGCACAGATGTGGTAAGCACACATTGATTCAAACCAGGTGGCAAAAGATTCGGCAGGCGACAAGCAAAGCATGGCAGCAGAAAGCTGTGGCCGCAGCTTGTGGCAGGTTCACAGCCGACTCCCACATTGTCACAACACCAGATGCGATGCGGAACTGACCAGGTCTGGATCATGTGCGCGTTGGGAGGTGGCAAGCTGCCGTCACTGGTGTAACAGCTGTAGCCTGAGATCATTAAAAAGCATAACTGTAGCGATTTCACAACACCCACCGCACGAGTCGCTATGCCTCAGACGGAGCATCACGGTGCATGCCTAAATTTGAACTGTGGCGTATTTCAGTCGAGAAACGGGGCACCACATCTGCTAAGGCGTGTTGGTAACTTCTTGAGACGATTATCGCCGCAATGAGAAGTGCGATCAGCAGGCACGCGCAAGTAATCCAGCACAAGCACCTCTGTCAGCACTAGTATACCGACAAAACGAAGATTGAAGAACACTTGGGTTCTTCGCAGCCGCGCCTTCGCCACCAACTGGCTTCCTGAACGACATCATAGTCACCCCGGCCCTCACCCACAAACTTCACATCGTCCACTTTTGCAAAAGCCTGGCGTGGTTGTCAAGATCTTGAAAGGCACTCAAGCAAAAATACAAGAATTGGTACCCCTCGATGCTTCGACTGCCAAGGTGCCCCTCTTCCATTTCCAACGTACTTCAACTTCCCTGGCGATGAATCTGGGTTGAGGAGAAAGTCCTGGCACAAGGATCTCGGATGTCTTTAAACTCCCTTGCATGGTCGCAAAGCATGTGTGGCCGCGCCGTGCCTCTGAACAGAGGGAGTCGTTTGGGACGGGATCATATGGGCTCGGAGACAATGGGCGCGGAGATAACATTGCCACGTGACCTGAAGTTCCGCAACGGTTCAGGCTTCGGTCTGCCATCTCGTATGGAAATTCACGCACGCACGCAGGCTTGCCAGGAAATAAGCACAAGGCTGGTTGACAACAGCTAACTTAACCTTCGGCAGGCAAGTTGCAGCCCGAGGGACTTGGCCCTATGCTGCTGTGCTGCTAGAGCCCTACGGCAAGCCATGCAAAGGAAGGTATGTCCAAGCGTGAAGCCGAAGAATGCAAGCATATGGCGGATTTTGCGCTAGGACAGCTGGATTCAAAAGCAGTGTCGTTTTGCAGCGTGGCGGGACGCCAATGTTGGAAGTCTGAAACTGTGGCAGCAGCAGGCCCCATTTGTGCTGACCATATCAAGTGCTGTGCATACAGTCATCCGGTCCTCAAGGTTCCCTGCTGCTGCGGATGGCTTTAAACAGTTGCTTTTCTGGGCTTTTCTTAGCACGTCTCTATGCGCACGTTTCTGGTGTCCGTTGCTCAAAGCTTGGCCGCCGCCTGTTGCGGGGCGGCTTCCGCGAACATCTTCGCCATCTGGGCCAGCTTTGTCGACTGCTTCACGCCCAAGTCCAGCATGATCTCTTCAGAGCCTCATTCATTCGGCACTCTATGCACTCTTGCCGCACTCTTGCCACTCTTCCTAGTGTCCTAGTGAAGGAGAGCTCACCTATGCAGCTGTTGCTCACAGATCAGCCGATCATATCCAACATTCTAACATGCTGTTGCACCAAGCCGACCACCTCCCGGGATGGCCATCGCGCGCACTTCGCGGTTCAGTCGCTCGACCTTCTCGCCTTGGCCTCCTCTGGAGTAGGAGAGGCCGCCAAAGATCTGGGCAGCCTCTCGGGCGCAGTACTCCATCACCTGGACAGATCCCACAGGTAGAGTCACTTAACAGGGCACCTACTGCTTGCAGATGACTGCAGACTCTGCGGAAGATGTTCTTGTGTGTTGGGGTCAGGGGGCCTTGGTGCACTGGACCTTGCACAGCGCGGTGTGCCCTCCAAGCTTGAGCATGGCTTCCATCTTGGGCATGGTGTTCAGCTGGTAGGTGATCCACTCGAGCCAGTTGTGGGTTGCCTCGACCATGCGGGCCATTTCCGCCACCTTCCAGCGAATCACTGGGTGCTGGATGAGGGTCTTGCCGAAGGTCTTGCGCTTGCCGGCAAACGTCAAGGAATCTTCGAGGCAGACGCGGGCGAAGCGTGTGCTCATGGCACAGAATGCGAAGCGCTCGTGGTTGAAGTTCTGCATCATGTACTGGAAGCCCTTGCCCTCTTTGCCGAGAAGGTTGCCCTTCGGCACCTTGACCTGGGGTCGAAAGTTCTGCGGCCGTTTCAGACAAAAGATGCTGGACTTGGTGCTTTTTCATGACCTCAAGACTTACGTCACACTAGAAGGCCTAGAAGATATCGTAAGAATGCCCCAAGCGGCATCGTCGAAGGTGATGTAAGTTGTGCCCGATGACCACGCGCCCGAGCACTTCATCTTGCGAGTCTCCACTCCGGGCATGTCCTTCTCTACAAGAAGCAGGCTGATGCCGCCCACACCCGGCTTTCCCGTACGGCAGGCCACGGTGAAGAAGTCCGCAAAGATGCCGTTGGTGATCCACTTCTTCTCGCCATTCAAGATGTAAAAATCTCCCTCGAGCTTGGCGCTGCACTTCAAGTTGGCCACATCACTGCCGGCTGTGGGCTCGGTGATGGCCAGGCAGCACACCTTCTCGCCCTTCACGCACGGCGGCATCACGCGGTTCTTCAGCTCCTCGCTCCCGTGGTGGTACACCGGCGGCAGTCCGATGGTGGTGCCACCAGCGATGCCCCACTGGAAGCCCACAGAGCCCGTCCGCGACATCTCGTCGTACCTGCTCTCCCCAACATGATGTCTGCGAGTCTGCTACCGAGGTGTTTGGATGGGACTGGTGTATGTTGGTGCTTGGTGCTCCATGGCAACCCCTGTGGCTGGACAAAGTCGAACAGTTTGCATGCGTGCGAGGTACATGATCAGCTCATGGAAATAGTCCGGCTCGAAGCCCCAGGGCGCCTTGCGCTTGGGAAGGAGCACATCGCATGCAGACAAAGAAAACACACGCCAAGCTGGACAGTGACCTTGCCTTTCCATAGTACTTCTCTGGCCAGGGCCTTCCGATGCACAGGGCCAGCGTGCCCTGCTTGCCAGCTTCAAGGTACCTTGCGCAATGTGCACACAAGCTCTTCTGGCCCCTGGCCACCATCCTTCTTGGATTTGGGGTACTGCCATGTTCACAGATGTTCACAACGCTTCACAACGCGCCGGGGCACATCTCCTTGGGAATGACGCCCTTCTCGTCCTTGGTTGGTCAGCGCAGCAGTGTCGGTCCTTTTTCCGCCTTACAAGAATAAGCCGCGCCAAAAAAAAGCTTGCAACGGTTGGTCAGCGCTAGTGTCCCAGTCATGCACGTTGCTCATGATGTGCTCATCCACGTACTCGCGCATCAGCTTTCGGAACTGCTTGTGGCTGTCATTGTAGTAGGGCGTGTTGTATGCCTGGTACCAAGCGGGGTCGCCGAAAGGGTGCCCTTCGCCATAGACCTGAGCATGAGGACATGCAGCAAACACGGCCAGACCAAGCATGCGGGACTGAGGGGGGCCTCCGTGTTCATCCCCTTCAGCATGGCCGGACTCACCATGGCTGGAAACTGGGACTTGCGAAGCGGATGCGCTGTTCTGATGCAAAATGCTGAGCCGGGATAGCCAGTTGAGCAGGAGCACCAGATGATAATATGGCACAGGGCCACGGCCCGAACCACGAATTCACTCACCAGCCAGATTCGCTCAAGGAGCCTTTGTTGTCGAAAGACAAAGCTGTCTCTCGTATCTGACCTAAAGATGAAACACGCGCGTCGAGGCTCCTCCCTGGGCGATGCATCGCTGCTGAACTGGACTACTGACGCCTGCGCCATCGCCAGCTTTTCACTTTCCACTTCAACTCCCCAAAACAAGTTCCTGGCACAGCCCTGGCAGGTTCCCTCGACGAACATCTTCAAACAGTTGTGGCCCGGCTTGGCCCGTTGAAGATCGACACCATTAAGCCGTTGGAATCGCAAGCAACGGAAGCTCAGTGTGAAACGACCGACAAAGATCGACAGCTGCTCAAAGCTTGGCTGCCGCCTGTTGCGGGGCGGCTTCCGCGAACATCTTCGCCATCTGGGCCAGCTTTGTCGACTGCTTCACGCCCAAGTCCAGCATGATCTCTTCAGAGCCTCATTGATTCGGCACTCTATGCACTCTTGCCACTCTTCCTAGTGTCCTAGTGAAGGAGAGCTCACCTATGCAGCTGTTGCTCACAGAGCAGCCGATCATATCCAACATTCTAACATGCGGTTGCACCGAGCCGACCACCTCCCGGGATGGCCATCGCGCGCACTTCGCGGTTCAGTCGCTCGACCTTCTCGCCTTGGCCTCCTCTGGAGTAGGAGAGGCCTCCAAAGATCTGGGCAGCCTCTCGGGCGCAGTACTCCATCACCTGGACAGATCCCACGTAGAGCCACTTAAGTCTTAAAAGGGCACCTACAGACGATCAGTGCAGACTCGGCGGAAGATGTTCTTGCGTGTTGGGGTCAGGGGGCCTTGGTGCACTGGACCTTGCACAGCGCAGTGTGCCCTCCAAGCTTGAGCATGGCTTCCATCTTGGGCATGGTGTTCAGCTGGTAGGTGATCCACTCGAGCCAGTTGTGGGTTGCCTCGACCATGCGGGCCATTTCCGCCACCTTCCAGCGAATCACTGGGTGCTGGATGAGGGTCTTGCCGAAGGTCTTGCGCTTGCCGGCAAACGTCAAGGAGTCTTCGAGGCAGACGCGGGCGAAGCGTGTGCTCATGGCACAGAACGCGAAGCGCTCGTGGTTGAAGTTCTGCATCATGTACTGGAAGCCCTTGCCCTCTTTGCCGAGAAGGTTGCCCTTCGGCACCTTGACCTGGGTTCGAAAGTTCTGCGGCCGTTTCAGACAAAAGATGCTGGACTTGGTGCTTTCATGACCTCAAGACTTATGTCACACTAGAAGGCCTAGAAGATATCGTAAGAATGCCCCAAGCGGCATCGTCGAAGGTGATGTAAGTTGTGCCCGATGACCACGCGCCCGAGCACTTCATCTTGCGAGTCTCCACTCCGGGCATGTCCTTCTCTACAAGAAGCAGGCTGATGCCGCCCACACCCGGCTTTCCCGTACGGCAGGCCACGGTGAAGAAGTCCGCAAAGATGCCGTTGGTGATCCACTTCTTCTCGCCATTCAAGATGTAAAAATCTCCCTCGAGCTTGGCGCTGCACTTCAAGTTGGCCACATCACTGCCGGCTGTGGGCTCGGTGATGGCCAGGCAGCACACCTTCTCGCCCTTCACGCACGGCGGCATCACGCGGTTCTTCAGCTCCTCGCTCCCGTGGTGGTACACCGGCGGCAGTCCGATGGTGGTGCCACCAGCGATGCCCCACTGGAAGCCCACAGAGCCCGTCCGCGACATCTCGTCGTACCTGCTCTCCCCAACATGATGTCTGCGAGTCTGCTACCGAGGTGTTTGGATGGGACTGGTGTATGTTGGTGCTTGGTGCTCCATGGCAACCCCTGTGGCTGGACAAAGTCGAACAGTTTGCATGCGTGCGAGGTACATGATCAGCTCATGGAAATAGTCCGGCTCGAAGCCCCAGGGCGCCTTGCGCTTGGGAAGGAGCACATCGCATGCAGACAAAGAAAACACACGCCAAGCTGGACAGTGACCTTGCCTTTCCATAGTACTTCTCTGGCCAGGGCCTTCCGATGCACAGGGCCAGCGTGCCCTGCTTGCCAGCTTCAAGGTACCTTGCGCAATGTGCACACAAGCTCTTCTGGCCCCTGGCCACCATCCTTCTTGGATTTGGGGTACTGCCATGTTCACAGATGTTCACAACGCTTCACAACGCGCCGGGGCACATCTCCTTGGGAATGACGCCCTTCTCGTCCTTGGTTGGTCAGCGCAGCAGTGTCGGTCCTTTTTCCGCCTTACAAGAATAAGCCGCGCCAAAAAAAAGCTTGCAACGGTTGGTCAGCGCTAGTGTCCCAGTCATGCACGTTGCTCATGATGTGCTCATCCACGTACTCGCGCATCAGCTTTCGGAACTGCTTGTGGCTGTCATTGTAGTAGGGCGTGTTGTATGCCTGGTACCAAGCGGGGTCGCCGAAAGGGTGCCCTTCGCCATAGACCTGAGCATGAGGACATGCAGCAAACACGGCCAGACCAAGCATGCGGGACTGAGGGGGGCCTCCGTGTTCATCCCCTTCAGCATGGCCGGACTCACCATGGCTGGAAACTGGGACTTGCGAAGCGGATGCGCTGTTCTGATGCAAAATGCTGAGCCGGGATAGCCAGTTGAGCAGGAGCACCAGATGATAATATGGCACAGGGCCACGGCCCGAACCACGAATTCACTCACCAGCCAGATTCGCTCAAGGAGCCTTTGTTGTCGAAAGACAAAGCTGTCTCTCGTATCTGACCTAAAGATGAAACACGCGCGTCGAGGCTCCTCCCTGGGCGATGCATCGCTGGAACTGGACTACTGACGCCTGCACCATCGCCAGCTTTTCACTTTCCACTTCAAACTCCCTAAAACAAGTTCCTGGCACAGCCCTGGCAGGTTCCCTCGACGAACATCTTCAAAGAGTTGTGGCCCGGCTTGGCCCGTTGAAGATCGACACCAGTAAGCCGTTGGAATCGCAAGCAACGGAAGCTCAGTGTGAAACGACCGACAAAGATCGACAGCTGCTCAAAGCTTGGCTGCCGCCTGTTGCGGGGCGGCTTCCGCGAACATCTTCGCCATCTGGGCCAGCTTTGTCGACTGCTTCACGCCCAAGTCCAGCATGATCTCTTCAGAGCCTCATTCATTCGGCACTCTATGCACTCTTGCCACTCTTTCTATAGTGTCCTAGTGAAGGAGAGCTCACCTATGCAGCTGTTGCTCACAGAGCAGCCGATCATATCTAACATTCTAACATGCGGTTGCACCGAGCCGACCACCTCCCGGGATGGCCATTGCGCGCACTTCGCGGTTCAGTCGCTCGACCTTCTCGCCTTGGCCTCCTCTGGAGTAGGAGAGGCCTCCAAAGATCTGGGCAGCCTCTCGGGCGCAGTACTCCATCACCTGGACAGATCCCACAGGTAGAGTCACTTAACAGGGCACCTACTGCTTGCAGATGACTGCAGACTCTGCGGAAGATGTTCTTGTGTGTTGGGGTCAGGGGGCCTTGGTGCACTGGACCTTGCACAGCGCGGTGTGCCCTCCAAGCTTGAGCATGGCTTCCATCTTGGGCATGGTGTTCAGCTGGTAGGTGATCCACTCGAGCCAGTTGTGGGTTGCCTCGACCATGCGGGCCATTTCCGCCACCTTCCAGCGAATCACTGGGTGCTGGATGAGGGTCTTGCCGAAGGTCTTGCGCTTGCCGGCAAACGTCAAGGAGTCTTCGAGGCAGACGCGGGCGAAGCGTGTGCTCATGGCACAGAACGCGAAGCGCTCGTGGTTGAAGTTCTGCATCATGTACTGGAAGCCCATGCCCTCTTTGCCGAGAAGGTTGCCCTTCGGCACCTTGACCTGGGTTCGAAAGTTCTGCGGCCGTTTCAGACAAAAGATGCTGGACTTGGTGCTTTCATGACCTCAAGACTTATGTCACACTAGAAGGCCTAGAAGATATCGTAAGAATGCCCCAAGCGGCATCGTCGAAGGTGATGTAAGTTGTGCCCGATGACCACGCGCCCGAGCACTTCATCTTGCGAGTCTCCACTCCGGGCATGTCCTTCTCTACAAGAAGCAGGCTGATGCCGCCCACACCCGGCTTTCCCGTACGGCAGGCCACGGTGAAGAAGTCCGCAAAGATGCCGTTGGTGATCCACTTCTTCTCGCCATTCAAGATGTAAAAATCTCCCTCGAGCTTGGCGCTGCACTTCAAGTTGGCCACATCACTGCCGGCTGTGGGCTCGGTGATGGCCAGGCAGCACACCTTCTCGCCCTTCACGCACGGCGGCATCACGCGGTTCTTCAGCTCCTCGCTCCCGTGGTGGTACACCGGCGGCAGTCCGATGGTGGTGCCACCAGCGATGCCCCACTGGAAGCCCACAGAGCCCGTCCGCGACATCTCGTCGTACCTGCTCTCCCCAACATGATGTCTGCGAGTCTGCTACCGAGGTGTTTGGATGGGACTGGTGTATGTTGGTGCTTGGTGCTCCATGGCAACCCCTGTGGCTGGACAAAGTCGAACAGTTTGCATGCGTGCGAGGTACATGATCAGCTCATGGAAATAGTCCGGCTCGAAGCCCCAGGGCGCCTTGCGCTTGGGAAGGAGCACATCGCATGCAGACAAAGAAAACACACGCCAAGCTGGACAGTGACCTTGCCTTTCCATAGTACTTCTCTGGCCAGGGCCTTCCGATGCACAGGGCCAGCGTGCCCTGCTTGCCAGCTTCAAGGTACCTTGCGCAATGTGCACACAAGCTCTTCTGGCCCCTGGCCACCATCCTTCTTGGATTTGGGGTACTGCCATGTTCACAGATGTTCACAACGCTTCACAACGCGCCGGGGCACATCTCCTTGGGAATGACGCCCTTCTCGTCCTTGGTTGGTCAGCGCAGCAGTGTCGGTCCTTTTTCCGCCTTACAAGAATAAGCCGCGCCAAAAAAAAGCTTGCAACGGTTGGTCAGCGCTAGTGTCCCAGTCATGCACGTTGCTCATGATGTGCTCATCCACGTACTCGCGCATCAGCTTTCGGAACTGCTTGTGGCTGTCATTGTAGTAGGGCGTGTTGTACGCCTGGTACCAAGCGGGGTCGCCGAAAGGGTGCCCTTCGCCATAGACCTGAGCATGAGGACATGCAGCAAACACGGCCAGACCAAGCATGCGGGACTGAGGGGGGCCTCCGTGTTCATCCCCTTCAGCATGGCCGGACTCACCATGGCTGGAAACTGGGACTTGCGAAGCGGATGCGCTGTTCTGATGCAAAATGCTGAGCCGGGATAGCCAGTTGAGCAGGAGCACCACCAGATGATAATATGGCACAGGGCCACGGCCCGAACCACGAATTCACTCACCAGCCAGATTCGCTCAAGGAGCCTTTGTTGTCGAAAGACAAAGCTGTCTCTCGTATCTGACCTAAAGATGAAACACGCGCGTCGAGGCTCCTCCCTGGGCGATGCATCGCTGGAACTGGACTACTGACGCCTGCACCATCGCCAGCTTTTCACTTTCCACTTCAAACTCCCTAAAACAAGTTCCTGGCACAGCCCTGGCAGGTTCCCTCGACGAACATCTTCAAAGAGTTGTGGCCCGGCTTGGCCCGTTGAAGATCGACACCAGTAAGCCGTTGGAATCGCAAGCAACGGAAGCTCAGTGTGAAACGACCGACAAAGATCGACAGCTGCTCAAAGCTTGGCTGCCGCCTGTTGCGGGGCGGCTTCCGCGAACATCTTCGCCATCTGGGCCAGCTTTGTCGACTGCTTCACGCCCAAGTCCAGCATGATCTCTTCAGAGCCTCATTCATTCGGCACTCTATGCACTCCTGCCACTCTTCCTATAGTGTCCTAGTGAAGGAGAGCTCACCTATGCAGCTGTTGCTCACAGAGCAGCCGATCATATCTAACATTCTAACATGCTGTTGCACCGAGCCGACCACCTCCCGGGATGGCCATTGCGCGCACTTCGCGGTTCAGTCGCTCGACCTTCTCGCCTTGGCCTCCTCTGGAGTAGGAGAGGCCGCCAAAGATCTGGGCAGCCTCTCGGGCGCAGTACTCCATCACCTGGACAGATCCCACAGGTAGAGTCACTTAACAGGGCACCTACTGCTTGCAGATGACTGCAGACTCTGCGGAAGATGTTCTTGTGTGTTGGGGTCAGGGGGCCTTGGTGCACTGGACCTTGCACAGCGCGGTGTGCCCTCCAAGCTTGAGCATGGCTTCCATCTTGGGCATGGTGTTCAGCTGGTAGGTGATCCACTCGAGCCAGTTGTGGGTTGCCTCGACCATGCGGGCCATTTCCGCCACCTTCCAGCGAATCACTGGGTGCTGGATGAGGGTCTTGCCGAAGGTCTTGCGCTTGCCGGCAAACGTCAAGGAATCTTCGAGGCAGACGCGGGCGAAGCGTGTGCTCATGGCACAGAACGCGAAGCGCTCGTGGTTGAAGTTCTGCATCATGTACTGGAAGCCCTTGCCCTCTTTGCCGAGAAGGTTGCCCTTCGGCACCTTGACCTGGGTTCGAAAGTTCTGCGGCCGTTTCAGACAAAAGATGCTGGACTTGGTGCTTTCATGACCTCAAGACTTATGTGACACTAGAAGGCCTAGAAGATATCGTAAGAATGCCCCAAGCGGCATCGTCGAAGGTGATGTAAGTTGTGCCCGATGACCACGCGCCCGAGCACTTCATCTTGCGAGTCTCCACTCCGGGCATGTCCTTCTCTACAAGAAGCAGGCTGATGCCGCCCACACCCGGCTTTCCCGTACGGCAGGCCACGGTGAAGAAGTCCGCAAAGATGCCGTTGGTGATCCACTTCTTCTCGCCATTCAAGATGTAAAAATCTCCCTCGAGCTTAGCGCTGCACTTCAAGTTGGCCACATCACTGCCGGCTGTGGGCTCGGTGATGGCCAGGCAGCACACCTTCTCGCCCTTCACGCACGGCGGCATCACGCGGTTCTTAAGCTCCTCACTCCCGTGGTGGTACACCGGCGGCAGTCCGATGGTGGTGCCACCAGCGATGCCCCACTGGAAGCCCACAGAGCCCGTCCGCGACATCTCGTCGTACCTGCTCTCCCCAACATGATGTCTGCGAGTCTGCTACCGAGGTGTTTGGATGGGACTGGTGTATGTTGGTGCTTGGTGCTCCATGGCAACCCCTGTGGCTGGACAAAGTCGAACAGTTTGCATGCGTGCGAGGTACATGATCAGCTCATGGAAATAGTCCGGCTCGAAGCCCCAGGGAGCCTTGCGTTTTGGGAAAGCACATCGCATGCAGACAAAGAAAACACACGCCAAGCTGAACAGCGGCCTTGCCTTTCCATAGTACTTCTCTGGCCAGGGCCTTCCGATGCACAGGGCCAGGGTGCCCTGCTTGCCAGCCTCAAGGTACCTTGCGCAATGTGCACACAAGCTCCTCTGGCCCCTGGCCACCATCCTTCTTGGATTTGGGGTACTGCCATGTTCACAGATGTTCACAACGCTTCACAACGCGCCGGGGCACATCTCCTTGGGAATGACGCCCTTCTCGTCCTTGGTTGGTCAGCGCAGCAGTGTCGGTCCTTTTTCCGCCTTACAAGAATAAGCCGCGCCAAAAAAAAGCTTGCAACGGTTGGTCAGCGCTAGTGTCCCAGTCATGCACGTTGCTCATGATGTGCTCATCCACGTACTCGCGCATGAGCTTTCGGAACTGCTTGTGGCTGTCATTGTAGTAGGGCGTGTTGTATGCCTGGTACCAAGCGGGGTCGCCGAAAGGGTGCCCTTCGCCATAGACCTGAGCATGAGGACATGCAGCAAACACGGCCAGACCAAGCATGCGGGACTGAGGGGGGCCTCCGTGTTCATCCCCTTCAGCATGGCCGGACTCACCATGGCTGGAAACTGGGACTTGCGAAGCGGATGCGCTGTTCTGATGCAAAATGCTGAGCCGGGATAGCCAGTTGAGCAGGAGCACCAGATGATAATATGGCACAGGGCCACGGCCCGAACCACGAATTCACTCACCATGTCTCTCGTATCTGACCTAAAGATGAAACACGCGCGTCGAGGCTCCTCCCTGGGCGATGCATCGCTGGAACTGGACTACTGACGCCTGCACCATCGCCAGCTTTTCACTTTCCACTTCAAACTCCCTAAAACAAGTTCCTGGCACAGCCCTGGCAGGTTCCCTCGACGAACATCTTCAAAGAGTTGTGGCCCGGCTTGGCCCGTTGAAGATCGACACCAGTAAGCCGTTGGAATCGCAAGCAACGGAAGCTCAGTGTGAAACGACCGACAAAGATCGACAGCTGCTCAAAGCTTGGCTGCCGCCTGTTGCGGGGCGGCTTCCGCGAACATCTTCGCCATCTGGGCCAGCTTTGTCGACTGCTTCACGCCCAAGTCCAGCATGATCTCTTCAGAGCCTCATTCATTCGGCACTCTATGCACTCTTGCCACTCTTCCTATAGTGTCCTAGTGAAGGAGAGCTCACCTATGCAGCTGTTGCTCACAGAGCAGCCGATCATATCTAACATTCTAACATGCGGTTGCACCGAGCCGACCACCTCCCGGGATGGCCATTGCGCGCACTTCGCGGTTCAGTCGCTCGACCTTCTCGCCTTGGCCTCCTCTGGAGTAGGAGAGGCCGCCAAAGATCTGGGCAGCCTCTCGGGCGCAGTACTCCATCACCTGGACAGATCCCACAGGTAGAGTCACTTAACAGGGCACCTACAGACGATGAGTGCAGACTCTGCGAAAAAAAAATGTTCTTGTGTGTCGGGGTCAGGGGGCCTTGGTGCACTGGACCTTGCACAGCGCGGTGTGCCCTCCGAGCTTGAGCATGGCTTCCATCTTGGGCATGGTGTTCAGCTGGTAGGTGATCCACTCGAGCCAGTTGTGGGTTGCCTCGACCATGCGGGCCATTTCCGCCACCTTCCAGCGAATCACTGGGTGCTGGATGAGGGTCTTGCCGAAGGTCTTGCGCTTGCCGGCAAACGTCAAGGAATCTTCGAGGCAGACGCGGGCGAAGCGTGTGCTCATGGCACAGAACGCGAAGCGCTCGTGGTTGAAGTTCTGCATCATGTACTGGAAGCCCTTGCCCTCTTTGCCGAGAAGGTTGCCCTTCGGCACCTTGACCTGGGTTCGAAAGTTCTGCGGCCGTTTCAGACAAAAGATGCTGGACTTGGTGCTTTCATGACCTCAAGACTTATGTGACACTAGAAGGCCTAGAAGATATCGTAAGAATGCCCCAAGCGGCATCGTCGAAGGTGATGTAAGTTGTGCCCGATGACCACGCGCCCGAGCACTTCATCTTGCGAGTCTCCACTCCGGGCATGTCCTTCTCTACAAGAAGCAGGCTGATGCCGCCCACACCCGGCTTTCCCGTACGGCAGGCCACGGTGAAGAAGTCCGCAAAGATGCCGTTGGTGATCCACTTCTTCTCGCCATTCAAGATGTAAAAATCTCCCTCGAGCTTAGCGCTGCACTTCAAGTTGGCCACATCACTGCCGGCTGTGGGCTCGGTGATGGCCAGGCAGCACACCTTCTCGCCCTTCACGCACGGCGGCATCACGCGGTTCTTCAGCTCCTCACTCCCGTGGTGGTACACCGGCGGCAGTCCGATGGTGGTGCCACCAGCGATGCCCCACTGGAAGCCCACAGAGCCCGTCCGCGACATCTCGTCGTACCTGCTCTCCCCAACATGATGTCTGCGAGTCTGCTACCGAGGTGTTTGGATGGGACTGGTGTATGTTGGTGCTTGGTGCTCCATGGCAACCCCTGTGGCTGGACAAAGTCGAACAGTTTGCATGCGTGCGAGGTACATGATCAGCTCATGGAAATAGTCCGGCTCGAAGCCCCAGGGAGCCTTGCGTTTTGGGAAAGCACATCGCATGCAGACAAAGAAAACACACGCCAAGCTGGACAGCGGCCTTGCCTTTCCATAGTACTTCTCTGGCCAGGGCCTTCCGATGCACAGGGCCAGGGTGCCCTGCTTGCCAGCTTCAAGGTACCTCGCAAAAGCTCCTGTGGCCCTCCCTTTTGGATCATGGCTACAGTGACAGCACTGTTGAAAAACGTGTGCCAGTTTCTTTTTGTTAGGGGGGGTGGGTTCTTTTGTCTACAAGTTTGGCATACTCTCTTCCAGGTCTCACGAAGAATTTCTTCCCTTCTTCATTGCAGGCCTCCACGTCCTTTATATCCTCGTTGGAAGAGTTGCTTGGCAGTTGGGGCCGTTAACCATAAAAGATTTGGTTGCGTGGGGTGCGCGGAGCAGGGCCGCTTTTTGCAAACCATGAGAGCTTACATCGTACATGCGTGTTTTTGCTGCCGGACGCTCTCGTCGAAGTCCCGCACGCCTGCCGTGGTCGAAATCACACGGTCGTCTCGGCCCAAGCCGCGCCATTTTGGAGTTGCACTGCTTCACGTGAAAAACACGGCCTGACATACTTTCCTCCCTCATCCGATTTGCGCATCTGTTCTGATGGCAAATGGCGAATGCAGCAAGCAAAAACAGACGCTTGCAATGCACGTTGGGCTGATTGAGTTTCCTCTCTCGATGTCACCAGCTGCTTGCTGACCAAGGCAAGATGGCTTTTGGGGATGGCTTTTGGGATGAAGTGAAATGAAGGGCTTCATAAGCCACATGCCAGACACCAGCAACGGCATATGGGAAAACAAGATGAAATGCTGCCAAAAAGGGGTACAGTAGGGTGCAGCCCCGTTGCACCAGACATGAAATGAGGTAAAGAATGACTGAAAGTGAGGCCTCTCAAGCTGCGCCGGAGTCCATGAGCTGCTGATGCCCATGATCTTGGTTTGTGGAGGCCACAAAATTGACAGGGCAGTCCCGTGGAGGCCACAAAGTTAAAAGGGAAGGCAGCTGATGCCCATGATGCTGGCCTGTGAAGGGCCGCTGATGCCCATGATCTTGGTTTGTGGAGGCCACAAAATTGACAGGGCAGTCCCGTGGAGGCCACAAAGTTAAAAGGGAAGGCAGCTGATGCCCATGATGCTGGCCTGTGAAGGGCCGCTGATGCCCATGATCTTGGTTTGTGGAGGCCACAAAATTGACAGGGCAGTCCCGTGGAGGCCACAAAGTTAAAAGGGAAGGCAGCTGATGCCCATGATGCTGGCCTGTGAAGGGCCGCTGATGCCCATGATCTTGGTTTGTGGAGGCCACAAAATTGACAGGGCAGTCCCGTGGAGGCCACAAAGTTAAAAGGGAAGGCAGCTGATGCCCATGATGCTGGCCTGTGAAGGGCCGCTGATGCACATGATCTTGGTTTGTGGAGGCCACAAAATTGACGGGGCAGTCCCGTGGTGGCCACAAAGTTAAAAGGGAAGGCAGCTGATGCCCATGATGCTGGCCTGTGAAGGGCCGCTGATGCCCATGATCTTGGTTTGTGGAGGCCACAAAATTGACAGGGCAGTCCCGTGGAGGCCACAAAGTTAAAAGGGAAGGCAGCTGATGCCCATGATGCTGGCCTGTGAAGGGCCGCTGATGCCCATGATCTTGGTTTGTGGAGGCCACAAAATTGACAGGGCAGTCCCGTGGAGGCCACAAAGTTAAAAGGGAAGGCAGCTGATGCCCATGATGCTGGCCTGTGAAGGGCCGCTGATGCCCATGATCTTGGTTTGTGGAGGCCACAAAATTGACAGGGCAGTCCCGTGGAGGCCACAAAGTTAAAAGGGAAGGCAGCTGATGCCCATGATGCTGGCCTGTGAAGGGCCGCTGATGCCCATGATCTTGGTTTGTGGAGGCCACAAAATTGACAGGGCAGTCCCGTGGAGGCCACAAAGTTAAAAGGGAAGGCAGCTGATGCCCATGATGCTGGCCTGTGAAGGGCCGCTGATGCCCATGATCTTGGTTTGTGGAGGCCACAAAATTGACAGGGCAGTCCCGTGGAGGCCACAAAGTTAAAATGGAAGGCAGCTGATGCCCATGATGCTGGCCTGTGAAGGGCCGCTGATGCCCATGATCTTGGTTTGTGGAGGCCACAAAATTGACAGGGCAGTCCCGTGGAGGCCACAAAGTTAAAAGGGAAGGCAGCTGATGCCCATGATGCTGGCCTGTGAAGGGCCGCTGATGCCCATGATCTTGGTTTGTGGAGGCCACAAAATTGACAGGGCAGTCCCGTGGTGGCCACAAAGTTAAAAGGGAAGGCAGCTGATGCCCATGATGCTGGCCTGTGAAGGGCCGCTGATGCCCATGATCTTGGTTTGTGGAGGCCACAAAATTGACAGGGCAGTCCCGTGGAGGCCACAAAGTTAAAAGGGAAGGCAGCTGATGCCCATGATGCTGGCCTGTGAAGGGCCGCTGATGCCCATGATCTTGGTTTGTGGAGGCCACAAAATTGACAGGGCAGTCCCGTGGTGGCCACAAAGTTAAAAGGGAAGGCAGCTGATGCCCATGATGCTGGCCTGTGAAGGGCCGCTGATGCCCATGATCTTGGTTTGTGGAGGCCACAAAATTGACAGGGCAGTCCCGTGGAGGCCACAAAGTTAAAAGGGAAGGCAGCTGATGCCCATGATGCTGGCCTGTGAAGGGCCGCTGATGCCCATGATCTTGGTTTGTGGAGGCCACAAAATTGACAGGGCAGTCCCGTGGAGGCCACAAAGTTAAAAGGGAAGGCAGCTGATGCCCATGATGCTGGCCTGTGAAGGGCCGCTGATGCCCATGATCTTGGTTTGTGGAGGCCACAAAATTGACAGGGCAGTCCCGTGGAGGCCACAAAGTTAAAAGGGAAGGCAGCTGATGCCCATGATGCTGGCCTGTGAAGGGCCGCTGATGCCCATGATCTTGGTTTGTGGAGGCCACAAAATTGACAGGGCAGTCCCGTGGTGGCCACAAAGTTAAAAGGGAAGGCAGCTGATGCCCATGATGCTGGCCTGTGAAGGGCCGCTGATGCCCATGATCTTGGTTTGTGGAGGCCACAAAATTGACAGGGCAGTCCCGTGGTGGCCACAAAGTTAAAAGGGAAGGCAGCTGATGCCCATGATGCTGGCCTGTGAAGGGCCGCTGATGCCCATGATCTTGGTTTGTGGAGGCCACAAAATTGACAGGGCAGTCCCGTGGAGGCCACAAAGTTAAAAGGGAAGGCAGCTGATGCCCATGATGCTGGCCTGTGAAGGGCCGCTGATGCCCATGATCTTGGTTTGTGGAGGCCACAAAATTGACAGGGCAGTCCCGTGGAGGCCACAAAGTTAAAAGGGAAGGCAGCTGATGCCCATGATGCTGGCCTGTGAAGGGCCGCTGATGCCCATGATCTTGGTTTGTGGAGGCCACAAAATTGACAGGGCAGTCCCGTGGAGGCCACAAAGTTAAAAGGGAAGGCAGCTGATGCCCATGATGCTGGCCTGTGAAGGGCCGCTGATGCCCATGATCTTGGTTTGTGGAGGCCACAAAATTGACAGGGCAGTCCCGTGGAGGCCACAAAGTTAAAAGGGAAGGCAGCTGATGCCCATGATGCTGGCCTGTGAAGGGCCGCTGATGCCCATGATCTTGGTTTGTGGAGGCCACAAAATTGACAGGGCAGTCCCGTGGAGGCCACAAAGTTAAAAGGGAAGGCAGCTGATGCCCATGATGCTGGCCTGTGAAGGGCCGCTGATGCCCATGATCTTGGTTTGTGGAGGCCACAAATTGACAGGGCAGTCCCGTGGAGGCCACAAAGTTAAAAGGGAAGGCAGCTGATGCCCATGATGCTGGCCTGTGAAGGGCCGCTGATGCCCATGATCTTGGTTTGTGGAGGCCACAAAATTGACAGGGCAGTCCCGTGGAGGCCACAAAGTTAAAAGGGAAGGCAGCTGATGCCCATGATGCTGGCCTGTGAAGGGCCGCTGATGCCCATGATCTTGGTTTGTGGAGGCCACAAAATTGACAGGGCAGTCCCGTGGAGGCCACAAAGTTAAAAGGGAAGGCAGCTGATGCCCATGATGCTGGCCTGTGAAGGGCCGCTGATGCCCATGATCTTGGTTTGTGGAGGCCACAAAATTGACAGGGCAGTCCCGTGGAGGCCACAAAGTTAAAAGGGAAGGCAGCTGATGCCCCTGATGCTGGCCTGTGAAGGGCCGCTGATGCCCATGATGCTGGCCTGTGGAGGCCGCAAACTTCCTCAAAGTTAAAAGGGATGGCAGCTGATGCCCATGATGCTGGCCTGTGAAGGGCCGCTGATGCCCATGATGCTGGCCTGTGGAGGCCGCAAACTTCCACAAAGTTAAAAGGGAAGGCAGCTGATGCCCATAATGCTGGCCTGCCCTCATCGAAAGCTAGACGTTTCTTATCCAACGCTGTCATTGGGATCTTGTTTCGGGAACAGGACACGTCGGCAGAATTCGGCACACGCGCGCGCACACACACACACACACACACACACACAGAGAGAGACAGACACAGAACAGACACACACACACACACACACATACACACATAAACACACACACCCACACACCCACACACCCACACACCCACCACACACCCACACACCCACCACACACCCACCCACCCACCCACCCACCCACCCCCACACCCACACACCCACACACCCACACACCCACACACCCACACACCCACACACCCACACACCCACCACACACACACCACACACACACCACACACACCTCCCCCCCCACACTGCACACACACACGCACACACACTCGCACACCACACACACATACACATACACACACACACACACACACACACACACACACACCCCCGCACACACACACACACACCACACACACCCACACACACACACACACAACACACACACACACACACACACACACACACACACACACACACACACACACACACACACACACACACACACACACACACACACACACACACACACACACACACACACACACACACACACACACACACACACACACACACACACACACACACACACACACACACACACACACACACACACACACACACACACACACACACACACACACACACACACACACGCACGCGCGCCCAACCACCTTGACTGTCGTTCACAACGCAGCGGGGCACATCTCCTTGGGAATGACGCCCTTCTCGTCCTTGGTTGGTCAGCGCTGCAAGGTGTCGGTCCTTTTTCCGCCTTACAAGAATAAGCCGCGCCAAAAAAAAGCTTGCAACTGTTGGTCAGCGCTAGCATCCCAGTCATGCACGTTGCTCATGATGTGCTCATCCACGTACTCGCGCATCAGCTTTCGGAACTGCTTGTGGCTGTCATTGTAGTAGGGCGTGTTGTACGCCTGGTACCAAGCTGGGTCGCCGAAAGGGTGCCCTTCGCCGTAGACCTGAGCATGAGGACATGCAGCAAACACGGCCAGACCAAGCATGCGGGACTGAGGGGGGCCTCCGTGTTCATCCCCTTCAGCATGGCCGGACTCACCATGGCTGGAAACTGGGACTTGCGAAGCGGCTGCGCTGTGCTGATGCAAAATGCTGAGCCGGGATAGCCAGTTGAGCAGGAGCCAGAAACACTTAGAAGTTAGAAGATAGCACGGGACACTATGACACGATGAGGGTTAACACCAGTTACGTTTACATGGGCCTGCAGTGAGGATGCGCAGGTGTATTGCTTCACGATGGAGTACACTTTGGTGCAGGCTTGGTTGCAGAGACTCACCCTCAAGAAACTCGCGAAGGCAAGCCCTACCATCAGGCACCGACCATGACATGCATCCACCCCCCCAAGCCCTCTCTGCCACAGCTGCGACAGCCCGCCCGCAACTCGTGCTCAAAAATCTAAGACTTTAAAGTTTGGCGGCTTGCCCGAGGTAGTTCACACCCACAACTTGTGCCATCATGCAGGCGGTAGGCCGGCGGCCAAACGAGCACCAGCCACGTGCGCGCAAGTTTTGTCGCACACGGAGTACTGCTTGTGGAGCTTGACTTGCTGCAACGCCTACCTTAGACCTGGACCTGGAACCTCGGCACCAACGACGGAAGCCGGGAAATTCACGCTGCGTGCATCACAGGGGACTCCAGCAGGCGTAGCTTCCCGCTGCAATCCTTCCAAGAGCAGAGGCCAGAGGCTCTGTGAAGCATCTTATGGGTAATACTGGGCTGGTTGCCACCGGCCTAGATTGCCTAGATGGCCCTCGTCGCACTGCTGAGTTGCCGGATATCTCATGTGTTAGGACCGTTGCGAGATGGACTGTGCCATGCTACAGTAGTACCACTAGCTTGTCGAAGGTTTGGGGGTTGTGCGCTTCGGGGCAGGTAAAGTGCGAGCCTGCGACGACAAGGCGCCAGAGCGAGCTGGGCTCCTGCGGAATCAGAACGTGCCGGATGGTTGTCAATGACATGGCTTAGGTTTTCTTTGCCACCCGCCAAATAGTCATACACAAGTCCATCCCCTGTGCCCAGCTGTCTTTTCTTTCTTTCTTGTTTCCTTCGTCGGCGTGCCCTGGGCAAGTTTGCCCGCCCCTGTTAAACGACCGGGCACGGGGCGGGTGTGTACCATCATCCCCACCAACAAAACCCTGCAGAACCCCGCCTCAATCGCCTACTGTTGCTGGCCCCATCTCCTGGACGCGCAACATGATAACACGACCGGTATCGCGGAACACAGCATCCTACCAGCCTGGCCCCCCCAAGCCGTACTATCACTTCCGGCACAAGCGCACTTCTGCTATCTGTCTTCTGCTCGCCCCTACCCTTGTCTGATTTGCACCTACTGTACTCCAGTTCGGAGAACCTATGCAAGTAGTCGGTCTCGGTGCTACACAAGACTTCATTTTTTGAGCACCAACCGGTCCAGCCGTCTCTCTTTCTTTCAAGCCCCATGCGAACTCGCCCGCCCCGATTTTCAGGGTTAGTCAGTTTGAAGCGGAGACGTTCTCACCGGGCTCAGGGGTCACACCCACACTGCGCGCCCTCGGTCTCCAGGTCAGTTTGTGCCTCCCCTCTCTCTTCCTCTTCTCCCTAAGCATGAGGGGGAGGGGGTGCCCGGCAGCTCCTAAGGCGTCCTAGGCCTGGGCGGTGTGAATGTGGGGTGAGTCACCAGAAGTTCTACCTCTCTCTCGATTCTTGTTCCACCCCTATTTTCAGATCGGGTCCTCCCAAGGATTGTAGCGGATGCGGCTCGTCTTGTGCTTGTGGTTCTGGCGGCCTGACCGGCAATTCCTCCCAAGTGGCCCTTCCATTCAGCTCCAAACTTCTCATCAACTCGTGCACTTGCATCCATCTGCGGCTGCTGCCGTGGAAATGGCTGAACCCAGACCTGCGGCTCATGTCCAGAACGGTTGAAATCCTGCATTGCGATGCTGCGTGTGCACTTGCATGTATGTCTGCACGTATTTGCACATGTGTGTGTACATGCATATATATAAATATATACATATATATATATCTAGATACATAAATACATACATACCTGCATACATACCTACATACATATACATATATATATATATATATATATTCTATATATATATATACATGCGTGTACACACACACACAGAGCTATACGCATGGACATGCCTGCATACATACGTTGTATAGTGGTGTACGAATAAGAAGTTTCTGTATACATTTTTACGGTGTTGGCTCGGACTACCGGACTACTCCGAGCCAGGCCCTGGCTGTTGCGAAGGGCTTAAGGCCCGGGGTGGGGAAGCCGACTTTTGCTGGTGGGGGGGGGGGGGGGGGCGGGGCTCCGCCGGGAGTTCAAAATCCCAATTGTTATTAGATGTACGTTTTTTGTGCTTTTTTGGGCCGATGCCAATTCCCGATGATGAGGGGCCTCAACACGACGCATACGTATTTACAACATGTTGGGCTCCTGCATTTGCCAGTAAACCATTAAAAGGCATGTTTTGAGATGTCGATGCCAAATATCGTGCACGTAGCAAAGTGCAGAACCCGGAGTAAGTTTTGACGGAACGCTTGGAGTACATGCATGATTGTGCCACAAGATTGCTGTTACCTCCTCAAAGGAGGCGCACAGATTCATCATCGGATAGGCGCTGCAGATGTCTTTCGGGGTGGAAACTCTCGAAGTGTTTTAAGATCAGCCTGATGGGGTTTCAGAGGTTACGTCGCCATGCTGGACCTCAAAGCAGAGATGTCCAATGCTCTGACACTGCTCTTGGAGAGGAGCTCTTTGCTTCCCAGATCCCCGGATGGGCCTGGACTTCTCCCACAACTGGTACACACATCAGGGAATCTGGCTGATGTGCAGACTTGAGGAGAGCAAATCTGGAAGAGGTTCTTTAGGAAGGGTTGGGGCAGAGATATAGGAATCTCTATGAGAGTACATATATCTGAATTTATGTATACTTGTTTGTGGCAATTAATGCCAGCTGCTGGCAAGAAGCTTCAGCATTGCAGTCCGCGTAAACCAAGGCGTCACGTCCTGCCACAACGAGGTCACACACAGACACAGAGGCGCGCACATGTATACGTACATGTACAGACAGATAGGCATATACGCATATGAAAGATGAACAACGTCCATTTTTACGTTTATTCATAAATTTGCACGCAGACCCAGGTCTTCCAGCATCGGGGCAGCAACACCAAGCACAAAGCACGAAGAGCACTTAAGCATGTCTAGGTCCTGGGTTCCAGTAGTCCACACGTCTCTCAAACTGATCAAAGAACGGCAGAACCTAATGGCGCGATGGCGGCTGCTTTTGTTGGCTTTGCGTCGGTGAGGACTTTGTGTATAGCGCGTGACATGTCTGAGCCCTCGGCCCGCCCAGAGAACGACCGATTTGGGATGAAGCCTTGTGGAGCCACACACAAGCCTCAGTTGGTCACATTGAAATTCAGAGGAACAAGAGCTCGGTACCCAGGACTGGGCCGTTTCCGGTCTTCTCGGCCTCCACCGGGTCCCACACCTACAAGATCCAAGCCACTGTTGAAGCGTAAGAGGTTGCCGAAAACGCAGCACTCCGAGTGGCAGGCCGCCCAAACCAGGCAGTTTGGGGCGTGTATGAGCAAGGCCAGGCGGTCGCCCCCCCAGCTTAGGCCCTGCTCGCGGCCGGGAGCATTGCTGCACCAAGACCTCTACGTCACCCGACATTAGCAAACCTATATGACCTATACCTCTTAACTCTATTTCTAACTATCCACGAACCTACCTGATTCGCTACTAGCTACATGTTAGAAGGCTCTACGAAACCAACGCCTCGACACGGTTGGCGTGCGCAAACACGGTGATCGGAGGACCTGCACACTTCTCCCCGCACGCCGCACTGGGCCTACATGGACAAGACAATCGCGCTAAGCCACCCATGGATGGAAGCACTTGTCGGGCAAAAACACCACCGTGCCCTCGATTGTCATGGAGGCCACACCTTCTGCGCATGCATGTACTTCATTGCAGGATATCTGCTGCAAAAGGGTGGGCACCCAGCAACCAGTACTTCTCCGCCATCTCAGGATCAAACCAAGCGACCCAGCCACTCGAAGATGCCGTGAAATGTGCCTCTGGGGCAAGGTTCCTGAGCTGGACCGACTTCACGTCATCTCAAATGGTCTCTGTGTGTCACGTGTCTTTGCTTCCGGTGCCAAACGAAATACAGTGAACATAGTGCAGGCGAGGGGCTCACAGACAATATCGGGGCGCCCACTCACAGGGTCAACAAGTGCCAGGGAAACCTGGGTGTGCTGCATGGTGATCACAAAAGTGCATTGGGCTTATGCAGAGGAACAAACAAGAAATGACTATGACTAAAGCTAGGGGTCGCAGCTTCTCAGGCGAAAACATCTTGATGCAACGTGTGCAGGAGATGGGATTTCCCGTTAACATGCTGAACATGGTGCAACATGAGATGTTGACATTTGATCGCTTAATCTATACCCGGTACGAATGGAGCTCTTGCATATGAAGACTGAGAGGAACATAGAAAAACACACTTACGAAAAGTTGGGCTCTGCTGGACATGTTGCAGAACATTTTAGGTTGAATTGGTGGTGAGCGAAGAACATTCAAGCCGGAAGCAACCTGCAACATGTTTGCAGCGAATTCGCCAAAGCTGTAGCGAGGCAAGTTTCAACTCTTATCAAGCTGCTCCTGACACCTTTGTGAGTATAATGGCCGGATGTTCGCCTTGCTTTCGTATGCAACGGCTTGAGCTTGTCGTGTTTCGATTGCACCCGCGTAGACGCCGAACAGTGCAAACTGTTCGACAAAACCAAGCAACTTGTTGTCACCCTTCCTTGTGCCAAGAGGAGCCGTGTCCTGAGCCTCAGCTGCTTTGCTGTATAATGTCCGCGAGACTGCGCTCGAGACTGTGGCCGGAGCGCGACTCAAGGCGCCCAAAGGCGACATCTACACTTCGTGAGAGGAGCACACGTGGAGCGCGCGCGTTGTCAAGAGCTTGAGGATGCGTCGAGTGAGTGCCGTCTAGCGGCACCGCGACGTTCAGGCGCCAGAGAACGTCACAGACGGACTTTGTACGAGTCGAAACAAGCTTCAGTTTACCGCGCGACAACGACGAGGCCAAAAACCTGCACACACGGCAGCGTCTATAGATGCGCTAGCCCGGCTGGGAGGAAGCCGATTCGATTCGGGCAAGTCAACCTTGCCAAGGCCCAGGCCCGACCCGGCTGCGCAGCATCGGTAGGAATCAGCCAGCGGCCTTCGGCAGCGTCTGGCCATGGCAGCCTTTTGGATCGTAGCACAGGCTTGCTGATGACGTTGATATTGTTGCAGCATTGAGGCCCAAGCCACTGAGGTGCTCGAAAGGAGATGCGCCTGGTACAACAGTACAATACTGAAAAAAAGGAGATGCGCCTGGTACAACAGTACAATAGTCTTCACTGTCTTTGTCTTGTCTACGTCTGCCACGTCCACGGAGTGCTAGGGCTCGCGCCCCTGAATAACAGTACCAGGTAAAGAGTCCAAGCTCTTGACCTGGGCCTGTCAAGCACGTATGTACTCTGTTAAAGTATACATTCGGGCTTCTTTATCTAAGGGGCCATGTGGTGCGCGCCACCAAAATCTGCTTGAATTGGGGGAGGGGGCTGTGAATCACAGTACGGGGAGGGGATTGCGTGACACGGGGTCACGGGCTTATAGGTTTAGTCGCTCACTCTCGAGGGTTTATAGGGTTTGGTCTGAATGCTGGAACGAAGAAGCTCACTAACCTTTTTGGCTCTTGCCAAGGTGACATTATCGATAAGAAGGTGCTCTTCGGCTCTCGGCTCTTGGAGCGAAAGCCTCAGAGCGTCTCACTGCGCAGCTTCGCCAGCTGCTTTCTTCTGGCGCCTTCCTTGAAGGCGACTTCGAACATCACCTTGGGACCGGAGCAGGAACCATAGACATTACTGTTAAATATCTGTATCTACTTTAGATATATATATATATATAGATGGGTATGTATACTTTGAGGTGCAACCCGCAGCCTTCCGCTCTGAAGAGAATGGACCACGGGACAGTGCTTTTGAATCCCGGCACGATGCAATGCATCCAGGTTGCTCACCGCAGCGACAGAACTAAACCTCAGAAACGCTTGTCGCAGGTGGCGGTGTCCCGAATGTATAAATGGATGCCTTTTTATTGCCACCCCGAGAGAAACCAAATCCACCAAGGCGCTTAGGTGGACCACCTTTTGGCCTTCCCTGCGGCCTAAACCCTAGTCTTTGGAAACTTGAATGGGCCCATAGTGACAGAACCCATCCTCTTTGGACCCCCTTCGAATTTAAACTCTCTATATGACCTTGCCATGGTGTGTGGATCCTTCCGCTGAGGAGGCTTACTGAGGGCCAGGCTTCAGCGACTTCTGCGCCTGCTCGGCGGCCTCTTCCCTTGAACTGGCCACGATGGGCAAGCTGGCATCCTCCGGAGGGGCGAAGCCGAGGAGCACGGCGTCCGAGGCCTCGGTGGTCAAGTCCTCGGGGGCCACAAACTCCAACAAGTATTGCAGGACCAGCTCCGAGACAGCAATGCTTAAGACACATGGCGGATGCTTGTGTGCGCTTATTGGGTGCTTCAGCTGCCATCCACTCCGCCCTTCCTTGATGCGAGACATCATCTTGAAGAGACCTGCAAGAGCGTCTCCTCCGCTCTCTCCCATCTTGCCTTGCACGGATCACGGGTCGCCTTTCCCACACCACCCACTTCACAGAAAGCCTCGCCCGTGTCCCTCGGCCTTTGAGCTCCTCGATCTGCTTCTGCAGGGAGTCAATGGCCTGCTTCAGAGAGGCCAGAGCGTAAAACAATGCGACAGGAAGACACGTGAGGCACGAGGTGTGTATCTTGGGGAGAAGGGAGCATGAAAACGAGATTTTGCCGGAGCCTCCTGCTTCTCTTTCTCGATGCGCTCCTTGTTTTGGAGCGCCACTTGCAGCTGCTGACTCCTCGGTTTTTCGGCTTTGAGCTCCACATCGAATCTGCACATCTTTACACAACTCGGAGGCTTCTTGCGGTACTCTTCTTGGAGAGCTCCTTTTGAAAGGGTTGTAATCATTATTTGCCCATTTCTGCCGGCAGAAGGCTGGTTCTCAAACTTCTCCTCGTATTCCTCTTGCAGTGCAGCCAGCTTGCTCGCTGCCACGCTGCCTCAGTCACGCTGAAACATTTTCAGCCAACCTCGCCGGATTCATAGCCCGAAGGGACTGCAAACTGCTCGCAAGCTGTCACAAGCTGAAGCTATTGCGCTAAGGGTCTACTGCTCCTGCGGAGTGCCGGCTTCTTCCGTGGCTTTGGGGCGTCCTCACCAGACATAACAGTTTTTGGCATCTAAGCTATGGCCATGGGCCGTCACGGGGTCTCGACTATACGATCGTAAATCGTCTTATCAGTTCAGAGTACCGAAGAAGCAACTCCCAATGAACAAATCCTTGTGAGGGCACTGTGCAGGTGCATGTTCCCGCATCCTCTGCCTCCTCCACGATGTTGATGCTTTTCGTCTTCTGCATCAAGGCATCGTTTTCCTGCACAGGCACGTGCATGTCCAGCTTGCTTACAATCTCTGTGTGATTCCTTGCTTGTACTCACAGTCCTGAATCGATTTGAATAGTACCCCCCAGTATCGTCCCAATTAAGGACTGTAAGTACAAGGGGGAAGATCTCATTTCAAGTGATTGTCCTCCTGGGGCTCTTCCATCTGAAGTTCATGAGCCAAGCTGTCACCTCAGCGCTGCAGGCAGAAAACCCTGGTCTCGGCGCAGGAGTCTGGGAGCCTTAAGCTCATGCAGGCGACTCTCAGCGAAGATGGCCAGTTGCAACGATGCCCTTTTCTCCGAGACTGCCTTCAGAGCCTGCAGGGAAAGTCATCTGCACACTCCGCGCACCAAAGCCACACCTCAACAAGATCTGAACATCTGCTAGCAGCCTGTTACTGATGTTGCCCGGCCTTTTGCAAGTGATGTGCTTCCAGCACCTCTCGCAGCTCTTCGATTTCCGCCTGGAGCTTGCCATTCTCCGACTCGGACGTTTCAAGGAATCCTGCCACGTTCACAATCCACTTTCCAGGCGCATGCTACAGACCGGTGCACTATTCTAATGCACGTGTTCATGCATGTATGCATTGCGCATATACGAATATGTAGATTTAGAGGTAGATCTGTGTGTATGTATATATATATATACATATACATATACATGCATATTACAACATATACACACCTGCACATAAGAAGTATCTGCGTGAGGATCTGCAGCTGTTGGACTTGCCACTTTCGCCTTGGATCTCGTGCGAGGCGGCTCGGAGCTCCTCGCAGTACCTCGCTGGGGGACTATTCGTACGATGATTATTACGATTATGATTATTATGATTGATTATTTTGATTTATTATTACAATGTAGTATTATTGTTACTATTAGTATATTATTACTATAATAACAATTATTCTTCTTGTTATTACTATTTCTATTGCTGTTATTGTTACAGCCAAGAAGCTGCTGCAACTGCAGGTGCTGATCCTGATCGGGCTTTTAGAGGGCTTTCAGAGCCTTAATCTCCCAGGACTCAAATGAGGACACGACGTGTCACCTCCTGGCCTGGAGCGATGCCAGGGTACGCACGTGCTTGTCCAACTCGGCCTGTTTGGCCCTCATGGCCTGAGAAGTGGGCAAGGGCTGCAGGATTTGTTCTAGGAGACGCGCAGAAGCCTTCAGATGTCCCATGCGTTGCGAGTGTTTCATACGACACTCTCCAAACCTCCTCATGTTCGCGCTTTGCTGCTTCCAGCGCTTCTGCTGCTCGGTATCCTCCGGTGTCCTCCTCCCGGAGAGAACATCATCAGGTGCGTCTCGGCAAGCGAGCAGATTGCAAGGTGCAACAGTCCTTTGCCACCTCTGTCTTGCTGCGCCGCATACTTTTTCCTCATGCGCTCAATCCAGATTGGCCACTCTTCCAGCAAATGCCATCATTGTCTGGCCTATAGATGGTCGCTGCTTGGTGCTAGTGCGGCTACTGCTCATCACGACAAGCAGGAACGCCAAAAACACAGAGGAGCAGACCAGCTGCATCAATTACCACAGAGGAAGGATGGCATGAAGCCACATGGGGTTTTCCGAAATTATAGGGGGTACCTTGTGGGGGTCCTTATGAAAAGGGATACCTACTATTTGGGGCCTACATCAGGTCCCTTACTTTCATAAACCCCCACGTGCGGCTCCGCAACTAGTGGCGTTCTCGGGCTCATCGGGTAGAGAGCGCGTCTCTCGCAGTTCCCGGAGCTCGCGCTCCAGAGCTCCTACCTGCAGACGCAGAGAGAACTGCGAAGCTGTTTTGCGAACAGCCACTGCAAACACCCCCCCCGAAACCCTAAAAAGAAGTCCCAAAACCCTGCCCCACATGCCCACATGCCCCACCTGGTCCTGAGCCGCGCGCAGCTCCGCAGCCTGGCGCTGTCCAGAGCTCTGCGAGGCCGCAAGCTGCTCCTCAAGGCCTCAGTTGCGCCGTCGATTCCCAGAGCATTTGTGCAAGTTGGGCGTTCTGCGATCGCGCCTGCGATGTGTTCCTCAAAGTGGCTCAGCTCCTGCAGGTCTTGCGGCCAAGTGGGCAAAGAAGCCCTAAGTGCCGATTCGATGACCATGAAGCACTGTCAGAGGTCGGAGGTTGGAGTGGCCTGCTCTTGTTCTTCGATGCGGCGCAGTGCCTCGGGGGAGTGTTTATCGCGCGCGTCACCATCAATGCTCCTAGAAACACCACAAGCACCCGATTCTGCAGGCATTCTGTGCCACTTCAGAATCTGCCGCACGTTCAACCCACTAAAGCAACGAGAAAAGCAGCTGCCAGCCTGCTCCGCCGTTCGGCGATGGCGCTCCGCCTCCTCCCGGACCTGCGGCCGGATTGCCCCAGCAGTGCTGGTCTCTCGGGAACAAAACCCCCCAAAACCCCCCGAAACCGCCTCAAAACCCCCAAACCCCTGAAAAACAACACATCCACTTTCACATTTTCCTGATTGGCTGAAACGATTCTACCTGCTTTCCACAGTTTTCCACACCTCCTCGATGTCATTGTCGTCAGCGGCATTCATCCCAACCCATGTCACGAGGCCCCATGGCAAGGAATGCGGGCCTCAAAGAAGTAATTCCTCTGCTACAACTGCAGATTTCATCAGAACGAGCTGGTGTGAATTCGCTATGTGGCCATCGGGTCTTGAATACTGGGTTAGCAGGTCCGGTCAGACTTTGTCCAAGTCTGTAGTATCGTTACAAATCGTAGCCGTAGCCATTACTCTCTTGCGGCAGATTATGCTCAGCGCTGCCGTTCTTGGCTTCCTGGGATAAAGACGATAAGGGGCTCTTTGATGCAAAGGGCCGATGGCTTTCAACAGTTTCAGCAGTGTCGCTGCTCATTATGTACTTCCATCAACGTCGGCAAACAAGGCAGACATGCCCTGCAAGCAAGCAAGCTCACCTCTGCCGGCTCGCAGCAAGGAAGAGTTTCCACGGAGTCGGCCACTTCATTCAGGACATCCGCTCGGATACGCGCCTTGAAGATCGCGCGAGGATAGATTTATCTGGCTCATGTAACGCTCTCCGAGCACCCATGGCTCCGCGCCAGCTTGTTCTCATTACTTGCCAGCAGGAGCTCGGGCCTCCAACCGCGAGCGCAGGAATAAGCTACCATGAGCGATCCCACCCCGGAAGCAAAATGTCAAGCACGAGCTCAAACAAACTTCTCAAGGCGAAGCCCATGGGGCGCCCAGTCGAAGTAGAGAGGTGCTGCCTGAACTCCATCAGCTTTGCATCAGCAAAGCAAGTGCAGCCTATCGTTATCAAAGACCTCCCTCAGTAAGAGCGGCACCGTGCCGAGGCAACAGAGGCGCGCCAATGGTGCCTGCAAAACATTTGCTCGTTTCAAAGTTCAGTTCTTTCCTAATAGTACGACAACAGCAGTATGCGCATGAGCACATCTGTTCTGGGAATCCTTTTTTTTTTTGGGGGGGGGGGGGCCTTGTGGTTAGTTACAGTACTCAGGCACGGCAACGTGGGACGACACACTTGCACAATTGGTTCTATGACTCCCTGTTTCTGTTGACTCATGACGCCTTTATCATTCGCGTCCCGCCTCACCGCGGCAGGATACAAGAAGCTGTGCAACGTCTGCGATCAGCAGCGCCTGTAAAGACAGCATTGGCAACTGCCTCAAACCGAAATGGGAGCGCCCGGTCTAGGCCGGCACTCGTGTCATTTGGGGGTTTCCGAAAATAGCGGGTGCCCTTTTGGGGGGTGCCTTTAAGGGGATTCCATTCTATTTGGGGTATAAAAGGGGTATCCCTATCTTGGGAAAACCTATTTGCATCTTTACCTAATTCCTGTCATTTGCGACGCCCTGCTATTGGGCCCGCCCTTGCGCCCAAACCCCTCGTCTGCGACTACCAAATCCGGCTTCTCTCGTAGACACTGGAGGGTCGCAGATAACAGGGACCTTCCTTTGAGCATTTGTCCCGGGGTAAGGGGGTGCGGGGGGTGAGGGGGGCGGAGGGAGGGGGAGGGAGGGGGAGGGGGGGGGGGGGGTTTGTGGGGGTCAAGTGCAGGATCCTTGACCGACGGTTTAATTAAGAAGGGTGGGGGGGTTGGGGGGTCAATGGTTGACTGCCATGACGCGACACAGGCGCACTCCCGTCATATGCGACTCTGCGACTACGCAAGTTGGCCTTCCAAAAGTTCAAAATGTGGGGGGGGTTGACAAATGACAGGCGCGCCATATACACATCTCTGTAAGGTTAATTCAATATTCATTGGCTCATTTTACTCATGTTCCTGGACTTGGACTTCAAGAAAAGAACAGTTTTGAACAGGGGTCCAGAGTGAGGTGCTCTCGCCTGTTCCCCACGCACACTGCCCAGGAGGGCAATGCGTGTGCCACAAGGCGAGGGCGACCTAAGCCGGGAGGGTTTAGGGTTTAGGGTGTAGGATTTAGGGTTTAGATGGGTTTAGGGTTTAGGTTTAGTCGCTCATACTCGCACAAGGCAGGCAAGGTTCGTTGGTCCGCGTAGGCACTAAGAGGGTTTAGGGGCTGGCACCTCTCAACACCTCGGCACCCTTTTTTTCCACTGTACAGTAGCATTGCCTCTGCGGTGAAAACTGTCAAGCCGAACTCAAACGCTCGAGGACTGCAAAGGCATGTTCAGAATGCTACACTGGATGGACAATGAGAAGGTGTGAGAAAATTGAAGCGTCTTGCCGCTTGACGAGCCAGATTCCTAGCCCCACTCGTTGATGAGGCGCGCGTCGTCACCAAAGGAGCCTCCGAAGCGCGGGTCGTCATTGGTCAGCTTCGCGAAGAAGAAGATACTGCCGATGGTCAGGGCAATGATGATGGGGAAGTAGATGGGCGCAGGCAACAGATCCTCGCTCTCCTCCTGGAACCTGGTCTCGGGCTCGAGAGACCACATATTCCCACGTCGGTCCTGATCGACTGACAGTCCAGCCTTGGACTGCTGGTTCATCAAGCGCATGTCCGGCTTCGGCATCTTGAAGTCAAAGCCACCATCCTCTTCCTTCGTCTTCTCCTCCGTCTGCTGCCCAGGCTGTGGCAGTGCTCGCAGTGTCTTGGCGTTCCTGCTTCTGGCTGCTGGAGAGACGAAGCTTCGAGCCAGCGTGGAGCCCAGCACCGCCAAGGCCGCAACAACCAGCACGCAGGGCAGGAGCCCCCGAGCACGCACGCCCATTCTGACCCTAGTATCCCAGAACTGGAATGTCAATTCTTGCCACAAACGGCGGCGAGGAAATTGTCACAGTGGCCTGCTGCATGTAGAACAGCTGTCGAAAGCTACTGGATGGGGGAACTGGAGTAATGATGCTGCATGCATGCAGCTGGTGAGCTTCTGACATCCTACGTGCCATGCACTCGAAGTCGCATCATGGCTGCAGAGATGAAGGGAACATGGCCGGCAACGCTTTGAGACGCTTTGTTCCGGAACATCTTCAAAGGGAATCTGTCGAAAATGGCTGTCTAGTCAAGTCAGCGAAAATGTGCACAATTGGAAACCCTAGGTGAGACGCTACTGAAAGCTTCCATATTCGAGCTCCCTTAGCCCCACTCGTTGATGAGGCGCGCGTCGTCACCAAAGGAGCCTCCGAAGCGCGGGTCGTCATTGGTCAGCTTCGCGAAGAAGAAGATACTGCCGATGGTCAGGGCAATGATGATGGGGAAGTAGATGGGCGCAGGCAACAAATCCTCGCTCTCCTCCTGGAACCTGGTCTCGGGCTCGAGAGAGACCACATATTCCCACGTCGGTCCTGATCGACTGACAGTCCAGCCTTGGACTGCTGGTTCATCAAGCGCATGTCCGGCTTCGGCATCTTGAAGTCAAAGCCACCATCCTCTTCCTTCGTCTTCTCCTCCGTCTGCTGCCCAGGCTGTGGCAGTGCTCGCAGTGTCTTGGCGTTCCTGCTTCTGGCTGCTGGAGAGACGAAGCTTCGAGCCAGCGTGGAGCCCAGCACCGCCAAGGCCGCAACAACCAGCACGCAGGGCAGGAGCCCCCGAGCACGCACGCCCATTCTGACCCTACTATCCCAGAACTGGAATGTCAATTCTTGCCACAAACGGCGGCGAGGAAATGGTCACAGTGGCCTGCTGCATGTAGAACAGCTGTCGAAAGCTACTGGATGGGGGAACTGGAGTAATGATGCTGCATGCACGCAGCTGGTGAGTTTCTGACATCCTACGTGCCATGCACTCGAAGTCGCATCATGGCTGCAGAGATGAAGGGAACATGGCCGGCAACGCTTTGAGACGCTTTGTTCCGGAACATCTTCAAAGGGAATCTGTCGAAAATGGCTGTCTAGTCAAGTCAGCGAAAATGTGCACAATTGGAAACCCTAGGTGAGACGCTACTGAAAGCTTCCATATTCGAGCTCCCTTAGCCCCACTCGTTGATGAGGCGCGCGTCGTCACCAAAGGAGCCTCCGAAGCGCGGGTCGTCATTGGTCAGCTTCGCGAAGAAGAAGATACTGCCGATGGTCAGGGCAATGATGATGGGGAAGTAGATGGGCGCAGGCAACAAATCCTCGCTCTCCTCCTGGAACCTGGTCTCGGGCTCGAGAGACCACATATTCCCACGTCGGTCCTGATCGACTGACAGTCCAGCCTTGGACTGCTGGTTCATCAAGCGCATGTCCGGCTTCGGCATCTTGAAGTCAAAGCCACCATCCTCTTCCTTCGTCTTCTCCTCCGTCTGCTGCCCAGGCTGTGGCAGTGCTCGCAGTGTCTTGGCGTTCCTGCTTCTGGCTGCTGGAGAGACGAAGCTTCGAGCCAGCGTGGAGCCCAGCACCGCCAAGGCCGCAACAACCAGCACGCAGGGCAGGAGCCCCCGAGCACGCACGCCCATTCTGACCCTACTATCCCAGAACTGGAATGTCAATTCTTGCCACAAACGGCGGCGAGGAAATGGTCACAGTGGCCTGCTGCATGTAGAACAGCTGTCGAAAGCTACTGGATGGGGGAACTGGAGTAATGATGCTGCATGCATGCAGCTGGTGAGCTTCTGACATCCTACGTGCCATGCACTCGAAGTCGCATCATGGCTGCAGAGATGAAGGGAACATGGCCGGCAACGCTTTACGCTTTGTTCCGGAACATCTTCAAAGGGAATCTGTCGAAAATGGCTGTCTTGTCAAGTCAGCGAAAATGTGCACAATTGGAAACCCTAGGTGAGACGCTACTGGAAGCTTCCATATTCGAGCTCCCTTAGCCCCACTCGTTGATGAGGCGCGCGTCGTCACCAAAGGAGCCTCCGAAGCGCGGGTCGTCATTGGTCAGCTTCGCGAAGAAGAAGATACTGCCGATGGTCAGGGCAATGATGATGGGGAAGTAGATGGGCGCAGGCAACAAATCCTCGCTCTCCTCCTGGAACCTGGTCTCGGGCTCGAGAGACCACATATTCCCACGTCGGTCCTGATCGACTGACAGTCCAGCCTTGGACTGCTGGTTCATCAAGCGCATGTCCGGCTTCGGCATCTTGAAGTCAAAGCCACCATCCTCTTCCTGCGTCTTCTCCTCCGTCTGCTGCCCAGGCTGTGGCAGTGCTCGCAGTGTCTTGGCGTTCCTGCTTCTGGCTGCTGGAGAGACGAAGCTTCGAGCCAGCGTGGAGCCCAGCACCGCCAAGGCCGCAACAACCAGCACGCAGGGCAGGAGCCCCCGAGCACGCACGGCCATTCTTGACCCTACTATCCCAGAACTGGAATGTCAACTCCAATTCTTGCCACAAACGGCGGCGAGGAAATGGTCACAGTGGCCTGGTGCAAGTAGAACCGCTTGCGAAAGCTACTGGATGGGGGAACTGGAGTACTGATGCTGCATGCATGCAGCAAGTGAGCGTCTGACATCCTACGTGCCATGCACTCGAAGATGAAGGGAACATGGCCGGCAACGCTTTATTCCGAAACACCTTCAACGGGAATCTGTCGAAAATGGCTGTCTTGTCAAGTCAGCGAAAATGTGCACAATTGGAAACCCTAGGTGAGACGCTACTGGAAGCTTCCATATTCGAGCTCCCTTAGCCCCACTCGTTGATGAGGCGCGCGTCGTCACCAAAGGAGCCTCCGAAGCGCGGGTCGTCATTGGTCAGCTTCGCGAAGAAGAAGATACTGCCGATGGTCAGGGCAATGATGATGGGGAAGTAGATGGGCGCAGGCAACAAATCCTCGCTCTCCTCCTGGAACCTGGTCTCGGGCTCGAGAGACCACATATTCCCACGTCGGTCCTGATCGACTGACAGTCCAGCCTTGGACTGCTGGTTCATCAAGCGCATGTCCGGCTTCGGCATCTTGAAGTCAAAGCCACCATCCTCTTCCTTCGTCTTCTCCTCCGTCTGCTGCCCAGGCTGTGGCAGTGCTCGCAGTGTCTTGGCGTTCCTGCTTCTGGCTGCTGGAGAGACGAAGCTTCGAGCCAGCGTGGAGCCCAGCACCGCCAAGGCCGCAACAACCAGCACGCAGGGCAGGAGCCCCCGAGCACGCACGGCCATTCTGACCCTACTATCCCAGAACTGGAATGTCAATTCTTGCCACAAACGGCGGCGAGGAAATTGCAGCAACTTGCAACAATACATACAATGCCTACTTCAAAAAGTCAAGGACCGTGCAGGTAGTACGGCGTCAGAAAGGGGATGAGGGGTATGACCTGGCGTGGCGTGCCGTGGGGGAGGCTCTGCTCCGCATGGGAACTTTGTGTGGCAGGCATTGCTCACTCAGCTCATGGTCGCAACGCGCTCCACGCACCAGGGGTTGACTTCGTACCAGCGTCGGGACCACCATCAGCCTGGGCAGGGCCGCCAGGATCGAAGGCTTTGCCCGCAAACACCCGCGCGTCAGACCACACAGCTGACGTCTATGGCTATAGAGTTGCCCCAGTACCGGGCAACGTGCTGTGTGCAACAGGCGGTGGCTGGGTGTGAGGTTTGGATGATCGGAGCTTATGGGAGGTGCAACGGCAGGCCGACGGAGCTTGTTCACTTGCATATGTGTTTGTGAAGGCTTGTCAACGCGCGTAGCGTCGGGTGGCCGCTGGTCTTAACTCAGGTTGGTTCACCTGTATTGCTAGAAGTGTAATCGCCTTGTCTTGAGAACATCGTGTTTGTGGTTTTGTGGATTTGCGGGAATGCTCCTGTCTCATTAAAAATCCCACTGGGTGATCTGAACAACCTTGATTTTGGGCTTCCAAGGACCCCAACAGGCTCTTGCAGCAGCCATCCGCAGCTGGCACAAAGTAGGCTAATTCAAATTTGTTGGCCCCTTGGTGCTGCCAGTAGAGCCTTGCAAGGTCTGCCTGGAGTTGGATAGGTGGTTCATTTGGTTCCTGCGTGGTCGTAAGACGCCAGCGAGACTTCACACAAGGGACGTTGATCGGGCTGCCAATGTACTTGGAGTACCCGTAAAGTTCACCGAAGATGCTTTTCAAGCGTGAAGCACGTGGTAGGACTTGCTTGGGCAACCTCACGGCCCTCTCGGTTCTGCGAAGCTTGTCTGCCTGGCGGCGCTTATGTGCCTTTTCCTTGCCTGCTTATGCAAGGGGCCCAGAAAGCCGCAGTAGTAGGATCGTTATGTTTTTGGGGCCCTAATATGCCTTTTTTTCCATGCTCGTTAGCTGTTGGCCTGCTCGGACTTTTGCACCCTTTGAACCAGACTGGTGCGCCTGTTGCTGCCGCTGATGTGTTGCAGCGCTGTAGCTACAATGCTTTCTCTCCCCCTCTGTATTCATAATATGTTGCATGTATATATATATATATAGATATTTAGATATATATGGGTATATGGATATATAGATACATATATATATATATACATATATGTACATATATGCGTACATAGAGAGTGCCACATGGTGCTGTACAGCATGATAGAGCATGTAGCAAGGGAAAGCAATTCTGAGAGAAAGTGAAGCTCAAAACAAGGTCCAAGGCGGCCGCGCAGCTTGTGAAGCCTGGCTCACAGCTGTGAACCTCAGACTGCCAACACATTTCCGGCGGCAGCATTCACAAGTCTCTAGACTCTATAGTAGCGGTCCGCATGCCAGCGTACTCGCGTCGAAGCCGTTTGCTGGGCATACCTTTAAGGGCAGCACGCGACGAACTCGTTGCGAGGGCCCCAGCAGAGTGTGAAATCGACACCTTATATTTGACTTCTGGCTGGTGCATGTGTGTGCGCACTTGTTGCCAAAGCCAAACTGCTGAATAAATTGACATCCCGCATCAGCAGCGGCAGATAGCGGCAGCACATCGACATAAAACATGCGTTTGGGCCTTTCCTAATTCTTGAAGGGCAGTAAACGCAACGTGTGCGATGTGCTGCGGAAGGATGTATGATTGAATCTGATTCTCATGGATGTATGGCAGCGAGGCCGGCTTGGTGACTTGCCGTGGCCAGGCACAGGCAGTGGTTGCTGGTCTGTCGGGAATGAACGGTGGACAATTCTAAAGGGTTCGCATCTTGCGCTGCCCTCGACTTTCTGATCAGGAACACTGCTTCCAGCCTCCAGTTTCAGGGTCTACAAGCACCACCTTCCCGTCCGTGCGGCACACCTCTTCAGCAGCTTACTTCTCTCTGTCTCAGCTTATCACCGGATTAGCATCTCAGGACAGCGCAGCAACCCGGTCCCTGACGGAAGACCTGCTGGCGCGGGCTGTTCGTATAGATGCGGCAGGACCATGTCAGATGCCTGCCCATGTGGCCTTGCATGCGCCAGGTGGATTGCATAGGCCCAACCCGCACCTCGGCAGCCGCAGACGCGCAGACGAGCCAAATGCAGATAATCGTAACATAGAAACGGTATGAACATGTCATGCCAAGCGCCGTTCTTCGACCGAATGCTGCATCTTGCCTGGCTCTGCGATGCTCAGATGAACGAGGCTGAGGCATCCAACCTACTTGTCCCGATTGTGGGCGACTGTCCGTGTGGATCCTAAACCCTAAACCCTAAGCCCTATAAACCCTAAACCCTAAGCCCTAAACCCTGAGCCCTGAGCCCTAAACCCCAGACCCACCGCAGGCTGCTTGGCGTCTGGCCGAAGCCAACTTCTGCTTTGGCACAGCTGTGATGCTCGGCGCAGCAGAGCCTCTTGGAGCACATTCTCCCCAGGATTCTTTCGGCCCCACTGCTGTGTCGTATAAGAAGACATCGCTGTGTATTTCGCATGGGCTCATGTTGGTATGGTGCTCAGTCCGCTCGGTCATGTTCAGGTGCAACAGGGGCCTCTTCACAATACAGCTGCTTTCGCAGTCGACGCGATGTCTGCGACAATTGCGCGAGTTCCTGCTTGCCAGCTTTCATACACTGCCCTTTGCATCAATCTACCTTGGCCTGTCCTCACCATTGCAGCAATGAGCAACCAGATCTGGCAGGTCCACAGTCAACTGGCACAGGGAACACAGCTGTTTTGGCCAATTCTCACACAAGTGCACTTCTTCCGTGACGCCTCCAAGTCAGAGGTCGGAGCAGACGAGGTGCCGCTGCATGACACATGAGGCCTCTTTGGTGGGAGCATGGAGAGCTACTCAGTTCGTCTTGGGGGACCATGCCTGTGCTGGCGCTTGCGCAGTTGTTCTGCAGCAGAGTCCAGCAAGTCTCGAACCTCAGAGATGAAGTGCTTTGGGAAACTGCTGGGGGACCCTGGAGTGCTGGTGCGAAGGCCGAGGCTTTCCCTCTCTCACATCTGCCCACAACGTTTGCCGAAAACAGCTAGCGGTCAGTCTGGCACTGGGTTTCCCATGCGAGTGACACGTGTGCGGTAGAAAGCGCACGCATAAACAGGCAGGCAAAATCAGAACAAACACAGATATGAAACCCAATGCACAGACAGTATACTCAGATGGCACGCAAGCTGCGCCGGCGTGTATGGCAATGCCATACTCCCAAAGCTGACAGCAAACCTGCCAGAAAGGTCAAGCCAAGGCAGTTTCTGTTGGAGAGGCGGCACGGCTCGAAGATGTAGGCACGCACCAGACGGCAGCAAAGAAGCCGTAGGAGGACAAGCTTTCGGATGGGCTCGACAGGCTCGCCACTTCCGAGGCGCTGAAGCTGGCGCTGGTGCCAGAAGTAGCTGAGGCCAGGTATGAGCAGGCTCTGAAAAAAGGGCACTTGGAGCCTCACGCGATAAGAAGATGCATCCACCTCCTCTCCACGCAGCCACCTGAGGGGCAGGTCTGGCTGAAGGCACAGCGGCCGGCAAAGGCCGACCACATCGCAGCCACCAGATCGTACGGCATCGCAGCAGAAGGCAAAGCTGCGAAAGCCACCTGTAGCCATCACCGGCAGGCCCGGGACGCGCTGCCGCACCTCTCTGGCAAAGTCCAGGAAAGTGCCCTCCTTGTCCTGATCGCTTTGGCCCATGCAAACCATGTGCTCGTATGTGCCTCCCGACACCTCGACCAAATCTACCGAAGCCTTTTCCAGCTCGGCCATGAGCTCCAACGCCTCCGACTCCTTGAAACCACCGGCTCGGAAGTCCTGGCAGTTCACCTTCACTGAAAGAAGCTTGCCTGGCCCCATCGCCTTGCGGACGGCCGCAACAATGTCCAAGAGAATCCTCATGCGATTGCGCAAGGAGCCGCCGAAACCATCAGACCGGCGGTTGGTGTGCGGAGACAAAAACTGAGAGAGGAGGTACCCATGTGCAGCATGGACCTGAATGCCGTGGAAGCCGGCAGACACGCACTTCTTAGATGCTTCGGCAAATTGAGATGGCAGGGCAAGAACTTCCTCCTCCGTCATGGACCGCGGCCGCCGAAAAAGTTGAAGGCCGACGCCGGGCAAGTTGAAGGAAACCTCTGACGGGGCGACGGGCCGCTTCCAGCTCACCGACAAGGGGCATTGCCGTCCAGGATGGGATAGCTGCACGATGGATACTGGTGCATTATTGCCCGCTGCTGCCGTGGTACTGGCAAGGCCCCATTCCTTCCACAAGCTCGTCGGACTGTCGCTGCTCGCTATGACGTTGCAGGGGCCCTCCAGATACAAGGCATCCACCATCACATTCCCTGTGATGATGAGGCCAGCTCCTCCTTGGGCCCATTTCCGGTACAGCTCGACCAAGTCCCGGGTGGGTTCTCCAGTCCTGGGGTCTCCCAGATGTTCGGAGGTTGCGGCTTTGGCTAAGCGATTCGGCAAGCAAATGCCGCATGGCAGTGTCAATGCGGCATCCACCATGGCAACGTTCTCAAGTTTCTTACAATGTCTTCGGTAAAACACAACCCATGGCCGCCCCGTGTGGACTATGTATGTAGAGTTGTACATATATACAAACACATGAGCACACAAATAGTTATATATATATATACCTCTACCTAGATGTGCATGCATATGCAATATGCACCATTGCATTCTACTACTGCGCACTGCAGAATCTGCAGACACCAAAAGCGCGCGGGTACCCCCACAAAACGCCATTGAGTTTCGAAACCGTCTTCGTGGCTTTCCGAAACCCTGTTTCGAGGTCATCCTCTAGACTGGCAGGCTTGGTCCGCGGCTTCCTTCTCGGCCTCACAGGCAATGTACCACACCAGGCCCCGGTTTGAAAATCAGACAAGTTCAGTTGGTTCGGTGAAGCGCCAGACTTTGTCCTGCCCTGCCACGAAATACAATCGCCGGGCCTCGCGGAAGGCGAATTCTGAAGGTCACTTGCGCACCCAAGTGTCGCGCGTTACGCGCTGCCAAGTTCTGCCAGAAACCCTGTAGACATGTTGCTCTCTGAGGGATTCACGGCACTGACCGCAGCACAGGGTCGCCCCAGTGCAAGAAGAGCCTTACTGTCTCTCTGTATATTCTTTGTTTGTTTGACATGTACATATATACAACATATGTATATATATATATATATACAAAAAAATATATATATATATATACACATACATTATCATACTGAAAGGCTGGAGCGTTGGCACGGTGGAGCTTTCCAGCTCTCCACCCTCCAGCCCTCTCCAACCTTCCAGCCCTCCAGCCTTCCTCCACTGCAAGACTGAAAGGGCGGAAGCCTTTGGGGTCAAGCACCCTTGACCCTAAAGAATAACTTCACCCTTTTGAACCCTGAACCTGGCATACCTATCTCTTTGCACTTGCCATTAGAAGCACGATTTCAACATTGTGGCCTCCACAGGCCAGCATCATGGGCATCAGCTGCCTGGCCTATCAACTTTGCGGCCTTTACAGCGGCCAGCATCATCGGCATCAGCTGCCTTGCCTTTCAACATTGTAGCCTCCGCATGCCAGCATCAAGGGCATCAGCTGCCTGCGATTTCGACATTGGCCAACATTGGCACCAGCTGCCTAGCAAGAAAACCTGGTACGGTTATACCGCCGCTTCTTGCAAAAGCAAGACTCAAATGGGAACGCATGAAAACACAAAATAAACAGAAAACCAGAGAAAAACAAGACTGTAGATTCAGGGAGGGATGATGGGGGGAGGGGGGTGGGCCGGGGGGGGGGGGGGGGGGTATGGGGCTGCTGGGCTTTGAGGGGGGTCGGGGGCGAAGGTGGGTGGTGGGTGGGGGGATGGGTGGGGGGATGGGTGAGGGGATGGGTGGGGGGATGGGTGGGGGGAGGGGGGCCATCATGGATACACATATATAAAATACACACACAGCAAAACACACTATAATACACATATATATATATATATATGTACATATATATATATATACATATATGTCTGTGTGTATATCTGTATGTATGTATGTGTACATATATGTGTGTAGGCTTTGAGTCATCGAATGCAAGCATTCTGCCGAAGCTGGGCACAGAACTTTGGCTTCACGGAAGTATGCTTTGGCATAGGCTGTGTCCATGCCACTGGCTAGCCGGGCCGCCTCCAAAGGACAAAGCGCGTCAGCTCTGCTTCTCGCTACATCAGCAAAACAGTCACATGAAAGTGTGGGAGAGGGGGGGGGGGGCAAACCCTCAAGATGGAACATTTGAGTCACCAAGTTCCTAAGAACAACTGACCAGTCGGGCACGCCAGGTTGTATAAGTGTTAGTAACCCTGACAGGGCCTCCAGGGCTTTTGCAGGGCTGCCGAGGGAAAGATGAGCTGCACTGACGTTTCCCAGCCTCATCTCATTTGGTAAACTGGCACATGCTGAGCACGCGGTAACGAAACAAATGCAAAGCAACTGCAAGCCAGTACAGTAGGAAGTTGCTGGGACTTCGCCATACCTACATGGCTCGCCATGCCTACATGGAGCTGAGACGATCACAAAGTCGCCTTCTCCCGGAGATATCTGCAATTGTTGCCGTTGCCTGCAAGCTTTTTTCCCACAGTAAAACGAGAATGACGAACTCACACCTCGACTACAACTGCCTGACAGTGACGATTTTGCACAACACAGGTTCGCCGATGTGACCTTGACAGTTCGGCTTCCTGCCATGAGACATGCCCGCAGAAGCAAATACCAGGAAGCCGCCCCCCGAATGCAAGCTACCCCTGCTAGGTTGTCATAAGCGGCTCCCAAGAACGGACATTCTCAAACCACAGCCGAACGTCCCATTCGGGATGAACTGCAGGCTGAAACTAACGACGCGGAAAACTGCCACTTCGGTATGTGGCATAAACTCCAGGTGGACGGACAATTAAAGATGTTCAAGAGCTTTTTGCAGGGCCCGTTGTGTGTTCCAAGCACCCAGGAGGAGCAACATCTCCTACATATAGCTCACCATAATGTATAAACCAAGCTGCAGAACTGTTAAGGTGCCGTATCTACTTCTGCACAGGTTGATCACATGTTTTCCTGGCCTGCATTCTTCGCAGTTGCAGCTTGCAACGTCCACTCTGAAACTGAAAGGAACCCCTAGAGGGAAGCCTTTGCTAATGAATTTCCGTCATAACTATTCCACATGTCTCCGCATGTCTCCACAAGGGTGGTCAGATCTGTGCAGGCTCAGGTTCTTGCTCCAATAGGTCAGGCTCTTCCTCCAAAAGGTTTGCGACTTTGGACCGAAGGTGCCACATCCTCCGCTTGGCTGTTGCGTACAACCTCGACAGGGGAGACACATGTTCTGGAGGCAAGAGGTCAGTCCGAGCCCCGAAATCTGCCAAGTTTAGGGTTTAGGGTTTTTTTTGCCACCCGCCTAGCAGACCCCAATGGGGTTTAGGGGTTTAGGGTTTAGGGTCTGCCAGGCAGCATCTCTTCCGACTTGGCAAGCTCCCTGATCACGTTGTAGTGGCTCTCAGGAATGTTGCACTTGGGGTTGTACTTCGTGTTCCTCTGTCGAGATCAAGAAAGCGAAGCTAGGGCCCACGGCTGCCCCTCCCCTCTCTAAATCCCCCCTACACCCCCTCCACACTTTAAGATGTCCCAAGGGTCTCATTGAGGTTTACATTTGCCAGGCTCAAGAAGCTGCCCGTGAGCTGCGGGAAATAGGCCGCTGCCACCTCCACGAAAGACGTTTGACCATGAAACAGGGCTTCTTGCAATCTTGTTGAGCCCCTGTGCTGTTGAACTGAAGAAGTATAAGTAGGCCTATGTAAGCCTAAGTAAGCCTACTCAGACAGCCTGGCTTGGCTTCAGGTTCCATTAGGTCCCCAGACACATCCCTTGCCTTCATGGACTGTGGCTCCTCCAGGAACAAGGGCACGCACTGAGCGAGGTTCCGCAAGGTACTGTCCCACACTTCACTTCGAGCCTGGGACAGGGTCTAAGACTCGCACAAATATGATAGGGGAGCTCCACCCATCAGTTTCCCTGCATGATGAGGCCGTGCGCGTAGGGATGTTAGATGTTGTGAATGTCTCACATATCGGACACTCTGGGCGAGTCGCAGACGGAGTCGTGGAGCTCTGACCCAGTAGGTCAAGGGTGACAAAAAAGGACTGTTCTTCTTGGGAGCTCGGGTCTGAAATCATCCCAAGCTAGTTCACCGCACCCTGCCGTCAAAAAAACACAACCCGTCACCTACTGCGAGCAACGGACGATGCTTCTTCAAGCCGGCCTGAGAGGAGTAGTCGCCAGCATGAGAGATCACAGAGCATTCGCCACTGAGCCTTCAGGCACTGTGGCTTTCAGACTTCCCAAGACGTCCCATACTATCATGCGGGAACTTGATGCTTTTGTTCAATTAAGCCCTAAACCCTAAACCCCTAAGCCCTGAAACCTAAACCCCACAACCCCTAACCCCTAAACCCTATAGTCCCAAACCCAAACCCTATAGCCCTGAACCCTATAGCCCTGAACCCTAAACCCTAACCCTAAACCTAAACCCTGAATAAACCCTAAACCCTAAATCCCTTCGCCTGCGGAAGGGCTCGTTGACGCAGCCGACCTGGAGGAGGACATCCCGGAGCTGGTCGGGCGTGAGCTTCGCCATGCACTCCGGCGCATCCCGCCTGCGCGCACCAAAGCCAGGGTTCTCAATAATAAGTACACATGCAAAAAATAGATGCGCATAAATGACTACATATATATATATATATAATACAATATCATGTCATATAATATAATATGGTATAATATAATATAGTAAAATATAGTATAGTATATTATAATATAATATAATGTATATTAATAATATACATATACATACATACATACATACATACATACATACATACATACATACATACATACATACATACATACATATATATATATCTGTCATGCACCATACTTTATAGTAGAAAAATGATATTGTATATTCTTGTATAATATATATCTTGCCATCCCCGCCTTACACCCACGGCGCGGTAGGAGTAGCAGGACAGGATGCGGTAGAACGGCTTCCGAAAGTTGGTGACGCACGAGAACTGATTTACCCCGCGGTGGCGCAGGTTCTCTGCAAACTCGTCCCAACCTCGAAAGCAAGCGCAGCTGTCTTCATATAATAACGGAATAAGATAACAAAAACAATAATATAACAATTCATCATATATGTACATACTAATATTTAATATTCAAGCTGCCGCCAGGCCACAGAAATGCCCAGCGTAAACAGTCGCTTTCGTTTTCGGAGCTTGGAAATCTTGGCACCCCACAGAACCTCGAAAAGTTGCACAAGAGAGCTCCGGTACTCCCATGAGAAAGAGCTCTGAGGGATGAGAACTATCCAAGGGGCCGTAGCACTGGATGTACGGCTTCCATCCCTTTCTTATGGAGGCGTTGTAAAGCAGCTCCCTGAGGGATGTGCCGCCGGACTTGGCTTGATGCCTGACACAGGCCAAGCAGGGACAGAATCGACACACGAGCAAAGAAACATTGGGGCGAGCGAGCCCACGAAACTTTTCTCGCCGGAACGGTTTCTCAGGAAGCAGGACGTTCTTCTCGTTTGGCCATGGTGCTTCGGAACAGCTACACGAAGGACCGATGTGATCAGAAACGGACCAGGCTCTACACGACGGACTCTCACCCTCACTGCCCAAAAGCCGCGACTTGCAACCATCTGCAACCCAGGGGCATGAAAATCAGAGGCCGGCTCATCCGGATTTGCTGGTTTGGCTCCGGCGATGGCATCCGCAAAAAGTTCCCAATCAGTCGCATGACTGGATCCTGCTCAGTGAACATGAGACTCTGGCTCTGGCTCCTTGGCACCAAGACTTGCCTCTCGAAATACTTCGAAGCACAGGCTTGCAAAGGATTTAAACACCTTGTCAAGCTTAAACGGCTTAAAGGCAAGCAATCGGTACCATGGGAATCTAAGCCACTGCTGCAGTGAGAGTGACTGGTTGGAGGGGGCCTGCACAGGCACACGAAGCTGAGCACAGAAGTGGCAAGAAGCTGTGTCACGGCGCTCCAAGCGCTCCTTTGGGATCTCCTCTTGCCGAACCTGCAGGGCGCTGACATCATCGCTCGCCTGAGCTGAAAAGTTGACTGAAGGCAGGCTGCGTGCCTGCACACCAGCAATTAAGATTTTGGGGCCCTGACAAGACAGTCTCCAGAAAGTGAAGCCTGCCGGGCAGACACTAAGATCACCGACGCATCTTGCTGTGGCTGAGATTCTCAGTGCCTGCGCTAGGTTCGCGCCAAGAATGCAGCCAGCGATGAGGCATGCAGCACATGCCTGCCACAAAGCACGGGGTGCAGAGGCAGCTGTATTGGTAGCATCATGTAGCATCTGGCAGCTGCCGAAACTGACTTGCCAAGCTTCCGAACATTTCCGGAACACTACAGGATGCCTTCGCTGGCTGAAGGCTTCCTGCAGGCCGAACCAACATTATGAACGGTTCGTTTTGAGCCTCTGGTGGCTACGGGAGTATGGAACATTGCTGTAACTTTGGGCTGGCTGGATATGCAACGATCAAAATACAAACAAACCCCTTCGTTTCTGGAGCCTTTCATACACTCATTGCCTCACGTTACTGTTTCTGAGGCTTCTACATTGCTACAAAGTTCCAATCAATCAGACCAGGCCGGCACTGACATCAGCAACATGCTCAAAAGAAAGGCGCACCCATGGTCCCAACCCGCTGCCGCCTTCTGCAAAAAATGGCTCCTTCTTGCTCTTTTTTGTCTGCTTAAAATCTGTCGTCTGACTCGAGGATTTCCTCGAGAATTAAGGTGGTGGCCAGATTCAGAGCTTCAGCATGAGCTGCCACATTCGCTTCACCGCCGCCTCGTAAAGCCTAGGATCGGGGCTCTGAGGCTGTGTGGCCTTCTCCCCAATGCAAGCTCAGCTGCACTGTCTCCGGCTGCGCCAGCTGCTTGATGACCTGCAGCTGCGGACTCTGACCCTTGAAGTTGAACATGCCGTGCGAGCTGGCGCACACACAAAACTAAAACTTTGCGAAGCTGATGGCCTCCATGTGCGTATCTGGAACACGACATTCGCCCTGATTCAGGTAGTGCGTATTCCTCGCAGCGGAGGCGGTTCACCAGCAAGACACATGCTGCCCGAGCGGACATGTTTGAGATCCTGTTGACTGCCAGCGACTTCATATCCCAGATTGCATCGGCAAGCTGTGGAAAATAGTTGGCAGCAACCTCAGCAATTCAGTGCGCCATGTGTCCGATCACGTGGTGGCACTGCGATGATCGATGAAGCCCCGGGCCTTCAGCGAGACTTGTCTGCCCACAATGATCGGCACACATTGGGACATGTAGTCCAGGGTGTTTTGCCATGCGGATTGGCGCCCCTGGCTGCATTCAAGATCATGCAAGCTTTAGTCTAGGTCTTGGTGCAAGGAGTGTGGAAAACAAAATGCCGGTAGCATGCTTCCAACACGAGATCCACTAGCATCTGATAGGTTACGCCCACGCCACAGTGGCTTTGAGCTGCCTTCGGGTCGTCCATGCTCACGGTTGAATTTGGTTGGCACTCGCTGAACCTGTCAAACACTTCATGTCGACATTTCCCAAAACGACACGACACGACAAAATTTATCCCCGAGCACCCGAAAGCGCTCAATTGGCAAAAGGCCTCCTGAAAGGCTCATTGACGCAGCCGCGCTCCACCAACAGACGCTTCAACTGCTCGGCGGGGAGATCCTTCGTGGACCCGCACCCGCTCATCATCTGAAACCGAAACCCACACACAACTCCACCATCCCCCGTTTATAGATCCCAGCGTTAAGATCCCAATGTGTAGCATCGCGTCCGCCATGCAAGCAGGGGCGACGTGCTCGGAGCCCACCAAGCGGTCGGAGTAGCAAGACATGATGCGTGGTACGGGCTCACGGAAGCTCGTGAGGCAACCAACCTCACATCGACTCCGTCTACCCATTTCTCTGAGAGAAGTGTAGCTGTATTAAACCAAATCCCTACTTCAGCTGCTTACTACGAAGGCGGGCACTCAAGAGCATTGAGAGCACCCTGCAGAAGCATCGATCTAAGCTCGGCGCCTGCTTGGCTCCCTTCTCTTGAAGGCTGCGGTGCGCGTCTGCCCAGCAGAAATTTCCAGCATAGACCGCCGCCTCCCCCTCCAAGCGAAGATCGTTGCAGCCCACGCCACCATAACATGGGATATGGGCCTTCAAGCCCAAGTTCCTTGCAAAATGGAAGCCCATGCAGGTGCTGACGTACAGCTAAACAGCAACAATGCCATGAAGAAAGACGAAATTAAAGGACCGGATAACCCCACATGCAAAGTTTTCCATTCAGAAAGAGTAGAGAAGTGAGAGTGAGAGAGCGATGGAGTGAGTGTGTGGCCATGAGTGAGTGCGTGAGTGTGAGTGCGTGAGTGTGAGTGTGTGTGCGGGAGTGCGAGTGCGAAACCGCGCGAAAGTAAAGAGTGACGCGTCAAGAGTAATTGCACAAGTAACATGTGGGTCAGTCGTACATTGGTGAGGCGCGACCCCAGGTCGCAGAACCAATGTAGCTGCCGATCTTTGTTAAATGAAGCGGCGACGCTAGTCGCCGAGTGCGTCTCCTGAGCAAGCGCTTGATCTCCTTCCCAATCCGGGTCGGCAGATACAGCGAGTGTCGGCGGTGCAAGGCCGCTTTCCGCCCATGCGGGGAGATCATCTGTAACGGCCCAGGGCCCCTACGTGCCGCGCCTGCCAGCACAAACAACACCTGTGTCGCGCCTGCCAACGTTTCGCGAGCCCCCGAGCGCGCGCGCGGCAACGGCCCAGGGCCCCTAAGTGCCGCGCCTGCCAGCACAAACGACACCTGTGTCGCGCCTGCCAGCGTTTCGTGAGCCCCCGAGCGCGCGCGGCAACGGCCCAGGGCCCCTACGTGCCGCGCCTGCCAGCACAAACAACACCTGTGTCGCGCCTGCCAACGTTTCGCGAGCCCCCGAGCGCGCGCGCGGCAACGGCCCAGGGCCCCTAAGTGCCGCGCCTGCCAGCACAAACGACACCTGCGTCGCGCCTGCCAACGTTTCCCGAGCCCCCGAGCGCGCGCGCGGCAACGGCCCAGGGCCCCTACGTGCCGCGCCTGCCAGCACAAACGACACCTGCGTCGCGCCTGCCAACGTTTCGCGAGCCCCCGAGCGCGCGCGCGGCAACGGCCCAGGGCCCCTAAGTGCCGCGCCTGCCAGCGCGAGCCCCCGAGCGCGCGCGGCAACGGCCCAGGGCCCCTAAGCGCCGCGCCTGCCACGTGCCGCGCCTGCCAGCACAAACGACACCTGTGTCGCGCCTGCCAGCGTTTCGCGAGCCCCCGAGCGCGCGCGCGGCAACGGCCCAGGGCCCCTACGTGCCGCGCCTGCCAGCACAAACGACGCGTGTGTCGCGCCTGCCAGCGTTTCGCGAGCCCCCGAACGCGCGCGCGGCAACGGCCCAGGGCCCCTAAGCGCCGCGCCTGCCAGCACAAACAACATGTGTCGCGCCTGCCAACGTTTCGCGAGCCCCCGAGCGCGCGCGCGGCAACGGCCCAGGGCCCCTAAGTGCCGCGCCTGCCAGCGCGAGCCCCCGAGCGCGCGCGGCAACGGCCCAGGGCCCCTAAGCGCCGCGCCTGCCACGTGCCGCGCCTGCCAGCACAAACGACACCTGTGTCGCGCCTGCCAGCGTTTCGCGAGCCCCCGAGCGCGCGCGCGGCAACGGCCCAGGGCCCCTACGTGCCGCGCCTGCCAGCACAAACGACGCGTGTGTCGCGCCTGCCAGCGTTTCGCGAGCCCCCGAGCGCGCGCGCGGCAACGGCCCAGGGCCCCTACGTGCCGCGCCTGCCAGCACAAACGACGCGTGTGTCGCGCCTGCCAGCGTTTCGCGAGCCTCCGAGCGCGCGCGCGGCAACGGCCCAGGGACCCTAAGCGCCGCGCCTGCCAGCACAAACGACACCTGTGTCGCGCCTGCCAACCTTTCGCGAGCCCCCGAGCGCGCGCGCGGCAACGGCCCAGGACCCCTAATTGCCCCGTCTGCCAACACAAACGACACCTGTGTCGCGCCTGCCAACGTTTCGCGAGCCCCCGAGCGCGCGCGCGACAACGGCCCAGGGCCCCTAAGTGCCGCGCCTGCCAGCACAAACGACACCTGTGTCGCGCCTGCCAACGTTTCGCGAGCCCCCGAGCGCGCGCGCGGCAACGGCCCAGGACCCCCAAGTGCCGCGCCTGCCAGCACAAACGACACCTGTGTCGCGCCTGCCAACGTTTCGCGAGCCCCCGAGCGCGCGCGCGCGGCAACGGCCCAGGGCCCCTAAGTGCCGCGCCTGCCAGCACAAACGACACCTGTGTCGCGCCTGCCAACCTTTCGCGAGCCCCCGAGCGCGCGCGCGGCAACGGCCCAGGGCCCCTAAGTGCCGCGCCTGCCAGCACAAACGACACCTGTGTCGCGCGCGTGCCTGCAGTATGGTGATGTGTGTGCATAGTACGTGCCTGATATTGTGTGGCGCATGAAGTGCGTCATGTGCGTGATGTGATGCGTGATGTGCGTGATGTGAACGACGACGAGGAAGAGAAGGAAGATGAGGACGAGGAAGAGGCGGCGGCGGAGGAGGAGGCGGGAGAAGGAGGAGGAAGAGGAGGAAGAGGAGGAGGAGGCGGCGGGACAGCCCCAAAAGTAAGAACCCCACACAAAGATGTGGGGAAAAACTTTTGAGAACGTCAGACGAGTCATTAACAAGAAAGAAAAAAGTCGATGAAGACCACAGCCGAAAAGCCTGGAGGAGTTGGAGATCAGCTTTCGGATGGAGGTGCCCGCTGCGCGGGCTTGATGCAGGAAGATCAACCTAACACGGGGGTTCCGGGCTCGGCTCTCTGCTCACGCTCTCGGCTCAATGTGCCGTTGTGTGCTATGGGTTTCAGCGACGGTGTTGGAGCATCTCCAGGAGTCGTAAACATGTGCTAGCCTCGTTTAAGGGTTTGAGCTCTCTTGGCGTTTGATCTAAACCGAGCTACACAGCTTCCTCCAGAGTAGTGGTAAGAGTAAGGCCAGCAAGGCCGTGTGCGACACGATGCCGTGCCTACAAGCTTTACTTGATTAGGGTGGAGACTCCACTGCCCTAAGCCCTAACCCAAAACCCTAAATCCTGTTCAGGCCATGGGGCGGGTTCTCGCTGGTAAGGTTGCGGTTTGGAGACGGCAGTGGTGCCTCAAGGAACTGGTCGACCAAGTTTGACACATAGTTTTCCTCGGTCTGCTGCATCCTGGGGGGGTTCCACATCTTTGCTTGTGCCAATCAGGGCTTACGATATTAGGGGTACCTTATTGGGGTCCTTATTGTAGGGGGATCCTACTATTCGGGGGTATATATTAGGGGTCCCTTATTATCGCAAACCCCCAAATGGGGTAGGGTTGGAGTGGGGCTGGGGGGAAGGGGATGACGCGGGATGGGGCGGACATTCAACGGAGCTCACCATTCCTCAGCTCTCCTGGTTTGCAGGTTGCAGGCGCCGTCCGCCTCCATCCATGAATCTGCCACCTGACCACAAGAATTTGTTGGGAATTGCGACAATTGACAGGACGTAGGGGCTGCGGTGTGCTTCTCCGTTTTTTGTAGGCAATCATGACAGGTTCCATGAGACGTCTATCTTCTATGAGTGTGAATTTCGTGTGCCGTGAGCGCGCGCTGCCCCGTGCCTCTTCTGACCTGGCCAATGTCCAGAGAAGGACCAAAATTGTGCACTGAACCTCAGGTATCAGAGACTGGCCGAGCTGCGGAGTGTCTTTAGGCAGCTTGACTTTGCCGCCTTAGTTCCTCTGGCCGCTAGTCCAAGGGGCCTTTGTCATGGCACTCGTCGCCGCTGACACCTATGGTGTAGCCGCTCTGTGGAGATTCGGTTCGCTTGGGCCAAGTCTTGCGGTCAGCTCCAGGGCATGGTTGCACAAGACGCATCATATGCGCGGAGTGGCACATTATCGCGGCCGTCCGGGCTGCTCACAATATCAACGGCTCGTAGCAGAAATTCCAACTCACAGAGTATCAAGGAGTGGTGCCTAGAACCTCCAGGGCTTCTTCGTAGCGCTGTATGGCCAGCTCTGGCTCCTGGGCCCTCAGAAGTTGGTTTCCCTCCTGGCCGCCAGGAACACGACACGTCACGACGCAGTGCTGAAAGAAACGGCCAACGGGATGCACAGCGAGATCTTGAGAAGCAGGCCTCCTTGAGAAGCTCGGCGTCAAGCTTGTCACGGTCCGGCTCCGAATATGCGCCCTGGTGTGCTTTGCACAGCGAACTTGGGGCAAAGGAAGGGCAAGGCTGCAACGGTATGCTCAGCAGCAAGTGCCTGGCCTCTGCCTCTTGAATGCTCATGGGCACATCCCCTGGCAACACTGACACGTGCGCGCAGGCGCACGCACGAATGCATACGTGCACATTACGCTCGTGGAATTTCCACTTTGCTATTGTTGGTATTCAAACCGATGACGTCGAACCTGCCATCAACATGTCGACATGAAAATTGCTGCATGGGTACGTTTCTCCTTTTCTCCGGGCCCGCTGAGTTGGGCCAAGACCTCGTTAAATAGAAGTGAAATATGAGGTCTTTTGGGCCCGTTAAAGCGAAGCAAAAATGGACTTCAACTAAGGGCCCCGTGAAGATGAGGGTAAAATTGCTGCATGTTCTCGGGCTCTTATGTCTATCTAGGGAAGCTAGGGCAAGAAAGAAGCGAACGCCTCACACAACATACAATAATGACAATCACAATAATAAAAATGCTGTAATGATATCTTCATTAGATGTAGGAACTTGCTGTAGCAGCTTGCGGCTTGGGATGGTTGGCAAACGGCGATTGCTACCAACTCAGGCAGGATGAGCCGACCAATGCACGTCTCCCATTGCGGCAAGGCGCTTCTATTAATATTTTTTATGTCATTCACATTCTTATAATTATAGATTTCTTATAAACATTGTACAATTATGATTATTATTGTTCTTATTCGTATTAATTAATGATATTAAACTCGGGTCAGCGGTTGCACGGGTGGCGGCTGAGGGTGGGTCGGGGCAAGATGCTAAAACCTCATAGCTGCTGAACGGCGGTCATGGGGTATGTTCATGAAACGATTGTTACCATGGGCGATGCTTTGCAAAGTTGCTCCATTGCGTCTTGTGGGGAAGCTCAACAAGCCGTGCAAGCAAGAAATGCAGCCGGCCGTTGCTTGATAGCTCTCGAGGTCGCGTGATGCGTGCACAGTTGTTGCAAGCACGGCTTGCAGGTTCAAATCAGAAAACGCATTCAACACGCACTTCCTTTTCATGTATGGACCTTCCCCACGCATCAGCTGGCCGTGCATATTCTGCGGCATTCAACCCTTGGGTATGCAAGGCACAGCTGCATCGAGTTGCCGCAGCATGACTTATGCATACTTCATCCAGCCTCCTCCACTGGAATCTCTTCTGGAGGATGTCTTGGAAGCACGAGTTCTGATGATTAGGATACCGAGAGAGTGTTCCGCCGGCAGTTCATTGTTAGGGCAGGGCTGCCTGCTGCTGGGCAGCCTGGCAGCTTTCTGAAGTGATATTCTAGTTATACCTTGGGTGGGCCCTGTGTGCTTCCAAGCGAGCAATACCTCCGACACTTTTCTCCTCTGGCTCACCGCGAAAGAGATATGGATCAAGGGGGAGTTAACTCAAGGGTCGGCGTGCGGATGCCGGATGTACGGGTGATCTGTGAGCGTCGGCGGAGGCCAAGACGAATCGTGGTATTGCATCTGTTCTTCAGTTGGGCTGCCGTAGAAGAGGAGTTTGCTGGGCTCAACTAGCAACGAGAAGCGCTCAAACGTACGCTTGGTCCAATCAATGTCAGACCCGGGACGTATAGCCAACGCCTGGTCAGGTTTCAAACGACCTGAGGTGGCGTGCACCCCACCTTCGACGAAGCAGGACTCAAAAAGATGTCCGCCATCACATTGTGCCCAGAACTTGCAGCTCACCTGCTGCTCAACGCGCCGCAAGATGCTGCATGATGCTGCAACCTAGCTATACTGACGTGCATGAAGCACGCACCGGACACGCCCCAGTGCTGCCGTGTTGCAGTTGCAGACAGACGCTCCACAGCTCCACCTTCACATCCGCACTGCTGCGCACGCTTGTCTGTGAGCAGGGCCATCTCGTCCAGACGTACATTTGGGTCGCTCGTCCCACCATAGCTCAGCATGGAGACCGGCCTGAGAGGACGCAGCACTCAATTAGGGGGACTTGAACCAACAAAATTTCTAGTTCAGCACAGGTCAGCATCAAATCACTGACCTAATCCCCTTGGGGCCTTGCACCCGAGCAGTTGGTCAAATCCAGCAGATCTGACCAGGGTTCGATGGGTGCAGAAGCGCGCAGGTATTGGCTCCGGTAGCAGGCTAAGCTCCAGCTAAAGGATGCGCCAACGCTGAAACCGGCCGCAAAGACCTGGCCCGGAAGTTCCAGCAATGTGACATGCAACTCTTTGGACGATTTCTAGCTGATTGGGCGACACAAACTTGCAAGCCTGCGTCCTGTCCACACAGGTGTGATCCTCGAGCCACTTCCAGATGCGGTCGACGAACTTAAAGTCGCGATCGTACGAACCCTGGGGCCACCAACTGCATGCTTCCAGTTTCTTTGAAACGAATCGGCCCTGCTTACAGCACTCGTCAGTGTCGCACAGAGAGGAGCAGCATTCCCTGACTCCGCCCATGGAAGACGGATTCGAAAGGGTGCTTCCCCAAGGCAGGATGCCCAACCATCCGTAGCGCGACAATGTCTGCATAAGGCCGAGCTCCTTCTCATGGAACCACGGAGTCTCATAGGTGCCGTGAAAAGACATGACGAGCGGGACCCCAGAACTGCTTTGAACCTAAGTGGGATTAGCTCGGCAGAAAGCCAGAGAAGGCAGATCATCACCTAGCGACTTAGGGATACTTTTTGAAAAGGTATGGGTGCTTGCTGCGCGTCACGAGCTCAGGTGGCACCAGCAAGAGGAACTGTCGCTGGATGTCCGGGAGCTGAACTATGTGCATGCCGGGCCCGTACCCAGCCGAGCAGGCATGATCAACACCAGGAAGGTGATTTTTCAAGTGGGCGTTCGTCTGAAGCAGCTGCACCCCTACCTCAGCATCGGCACTCAATTCGGCCCCAGCTCCACTGGGCGAGGTCAGCAACCAGAAGGCCAGCACCAGACCATTTCTCAGAACATGAAACTCATGAAACCAGGAGCCAATGCCATGTGGCATTGGCACCGACAAGTGCCGGATCGGTTCAGTCTTATAGTCTTGAGCCCAAAACGCAGTGACACGTCACCCATGAGGAAAAGAAACACTGCATGGAAGACTGCTGCAGGATCTTGCAGGTCCCAAAGTGCCATGTGATCCAAGTGGTGGGGAAAGGATCAGGTGGACAGGGCTCAACTTATGCCGGCATTCTGATACTCACAGGCCTGCCAGCCGAACAGCTTGGAGGACCTAGCAACAATCGTACCCTGAAGGGATAATGGGAGTCCGCGCGTCAAAAACTGCTTCGACTGTGTGATGCAAAGGGCACGGGTGATAAAGAGCTGCATCCGGTCTGATTGCTATGCGTCATCCTTGAACCTCCAGCCATAGTTTCCTCCGCTAATTACGTTGCACGACCCATCAAAGCAAAACAGAAGCAGTAAGCAGACACATGCTAGTCTGCTAGTCACGTCATACATAGGCTGCCTCGGCATGTAGAATGGACGTGGAAATAGCGGCTGCGATCCCGCTGGGCGCCGCGCGCATCGACATCGCCATCATCGTAACCGTCGTCACTGTTGGACGTGGGTTCGCCAAATGCAAAACTGTCGTCGCTTTTGGTGTATTGTAGCCGCCGCCTCTAGAAAAACCATAGAGGTTGTTCTAGGGCGGCGTCCAGCCATCCCCTCCCTTCCTCGCGACAGCATTGGGCAACACATGCTACAACTCTCGTGATTAAGTGACCGAAGTCGCCTCAAGCTGCGCGATGCAAAACACGGCAAAGTAACACAGACTCGCTCTTTTTTGGTCCTGAGCCTTCTCCGCGCGTCAGGCCATGCGAATTTCTGCAGCGGACTGTACTTCTTGGTGCAACATTGCACCGGCACCGCATCAGGTTTCAGCATCGCTGTTGTTCAGCTTTCGACCCCTTTCGACCCTTGTCATCCGGCATGGCCGAGGCTGCAGACAAAAAAAAGCAGCTGCACCTAATCTGAGGTTGGAGTTGTCCAGCAAGCAAAGATGGGCATTCAGCACAGCTGCATCGAGTTGGTGCCACAGCATATCTTATGCACTCTCATGTGCCAAGCGTGCCAGAAATTACCGTGCATTGCCTTATCGGCATCACTTGGCCCACAAGACGTCCGGATCGAATTCGCGTGGTTCTTCTCCTAGCAAGGCCTTTCGCACAGAGAATCATTATGCTCGCTGGGCAATCCAAAGCCACAGTTTAGCAGCTTGCCTGGGGCCACCGATGACCAGAAACAGGAAGTTGAGGCCTTTGCGGGGCAGACGGCCCACATGCAACACGCAAGCGCACGCAAACGTGCAGCAGAAGGGCCACGTCTTTACCTGCATGAGCTGCCCAGCCGCAAAGGGCACAAACCAATACACGGAGAGCGCACCATCCGCAGACGCTGCCGCAAGCCGCCACAAGCATCACTTAAGGCTAACCACTCCCTGGGCAACCGGCGTCCTGTTCTCCTCTTCCTGCCCACACAGACCACACAACAACTCAAGAACATAAAATCCGCACAAATTATTGTGGCCAGGCTTCTAAAGATATAAAGGCGAATATAATAATACTATTTTTTCTTATCATACTAGTAAATTAGTTTTTCCCTGTAGTATATAATTATTGACATCTTGAGACCCATCTGAGGCTGCGCTTTCGAATTTTCCCATCTGCCTGGAAGACCGGCTCGATGGCCCCGGTGGTCACAGGCTCGGCCCACTCGCCACCTGGCTTGTAACAAGAACATGCCAAAGGCACCAAAACATGTCTGATAATAAAATAGTAATATTTAAAATATATATATATATATATGTAAGTATATATTTGTTTGTTTATTTATTTGTATAGTTTTTTGGTCTACATATACACATATATATATATGTAGCAAAATATTGATTTAATCATTTGCCTATAAAATGTGTATAGTTTGTATTGATTTATATATCTTTAGATTTCTATTCTATTTTCTACTTATATTCATCTACAAATACATGGTACCTATATGTACAGAATTCCTAGCAGATTAAGTTATGACTCGCCAAAGTCACCAGTGACACCTCTCAAGTTCAAAGGATTCAAACAGGCCTCTCATTGCGACCATTCGGGGCGCATCGCCCCGCCATGGAAGGGGGGAAGTCTGTTGCGCATACCTGTTCGACGGACATCCTGATCGCCTCTCTTCCTGTTGTAGCTTAGTGTTGGTTAGCAGGGAATGTGGGAATGAGGTACGCTGTTTATTCCCTTACAGGCTATATATAGGGCCCTAATTCCCTCGTTCCCTATACCAACCAACAGTAAGGTAGCTGCGGTGACACGCCTAACAAAGAACAGCAGAGCTGCCTCGGAGGGGCCTGGAAGACGGTGCCAGTGCCAAGCTCCTTTCCGGTGCTTTCCGGATTCTGGGACGTCTGCTGATGATGGCATTCTGAAACCCATCTTCTCTGCCCATGCTCTACCCCATCACAACAACGCCAACCAACTCGGACATTAGCACACACGAGTCCCAGACTGTGCCTTGCGCTCTGAAGCAGAGGCTGCGTGATCTACTGGATGATCTGGCAGCAGCACAGGCGAAAGTGCACATGTGCAGCGCATTGCAACACCCTCAAAGGCCGCCCCGGAAAACACACGCGGCAACCAAGAGAACTTTTGTGACCAATGTAGCTTTGCAACAGTCACAACGCGCAAGCTACATAAGGCAAACATGCCGAGCGCAGAAACTCCGACTTGTACAGGGTGCTGTGAGGGGGGCGGCACTTGAACCGTGCCGGATGCGCGGCGCTCAGGCATCGTGGCCGGTGCCGTGAGGGACTGCGCGGCCCTCGGCACTCAAAAGGCTGAACACTTGGACCGGAGCGGAGGGCTTGGGAGGTCTAAGGTGTACGGCTCGCATCGATGTGGATCTAAAAGCAGCTAACGTATACCACGCAAGTGGTGGATGTACAGAATGGGCAGTCAATCCAAGACCGAAGTGAACACACCTTCCTGTGGCGAAGTTTCAGAGTGATGCCTCTGGAACCTGCTGGGCATTGATTTGTTCTCGCTGTTCTTTTAAGACCTCTGTGTAGAGAATGGGGCCGTCCCTTTGGAACCCAGACTCTGCATGTCAGCTATGCCCTAAACCCTATAAACCCTTTTTTGAACCCAGGCTCTGAGCGTCAAACCCTAAACCCCCCGTTAAGATCCGCCATTGGACTCGACCCTCTGGCCTCGCATGCGGTTTTGGCATCTTCTCTCCATGTGGAGGAATTCTGTAAACTCGAGGCATTTTTTGGGGGGGGGGGGGTGCCCTATTTATTAAAACAGTTGTGTATATATGTCATGTATGTCTGCATGAATGCATGCTTCAAGGCTCCGTGCCATATTGGGATGCCCGAAACTAGGGGCCCGAATTTAGGGAACCTCCCATGTGCGTCTTGGCTGGCAGGGCCCCAGCGGCTTCGTTGAAACAGCACGTGCTTCCCCATTCCACAACGGATGCTGCGGCTTTGCCAGCGATCCAGTTGGGTGTAGTTGTGCGCAAGACTCTTAACGATGCCTATCCAGGCTCGATCTTGTAGCGTGTCATAGCATGTCATGCGAAGTTTTGTTGCCACTTCGAACCTCTCGATGTTAAGGTTGGGGCAGAACGGACTTGCTGCCACTTAGACTGCGTTTTACAACACCGTGACACCAAGTGACAACATGTAAGCAACACCAAAGTCTCCGACATCTCCCTGTCATATGGCAGTGCGACATCACGAGGCTGCGGAGCCTCAAGCCAGGAGGAGCACAGGCGATGGATGGTGACTTGCTAGCGTGTCGAAGTCGAAGCACAAGGAAAGCTTCCGAAAAGCAAGCGGCCTTGCGGTCCATGATGCGGAAGACATCTCGGCCAGTGTTTTCGGCCACAGGGAGGGGGACCTGCGGTGCCTTGGTCCAAGGACCCAAGCCTTCAAGCCATGCCAAGGCGAGCAGTGATGCTCGGCGATCTACAATTCAGTGGACTCGGAACCGTGGAACTCTCGCGTGGCGGGATGCTGCTGGACGATCTTGAAGTCTGAGCCTCCGGCCTGCATTCTTTGCCTGAGGTCGGACAGAGGGTGTGGGCCTTCTGCGTCTCCGACACCTGCCAAGGTTTTGCTCATTCAGACAATCAAGATGGAACGCCATGATCTACCACAGATCAGCCTAACTCCTCTTCCCAGAAAAACCCCTGCCTAGTTCAGGCACAGGCAGTGAAACTGGCTCCTGAAGACCAACTCTTGACATCATCATGCATCATCCCTCGCATCAGATGATGCACAGCGCATGGGAGTAACGTGTGAGGACTAACTGAGACAAGTTGCGATCCAGTACTCCCGCCCTGCTACTCCGACTCCAGCCTGCGCATGGCTATTGGGTGCTCGGCTGCAGTAGCAGGCTGTGCTGAGTGACCTCTTCCGGCCAACTGGGTGATGATCTGAGACTGCGGCCTCAGTCTATCCACCATCATCAACTTCATTCCCGTGCTGCTGCAAGACAGCTCGAAAGTGCCATGCAAGGCATCTCCTCTGACCACTCCACGCTCAGGCGACTGCCAAGACTTGGGCGACTTGGGCCTGGGGCCGGCGGCACCTCGTGCTGGATACCTGGACATGCTACTTTGGAACCCTATAGATTGTAACCCTGTAACTTGCACCGCAGTATGAAGGCCACATGACTGGATGGTTTGGGCATGCTGCCGTATGCCCAGGCACTGCCACATTGATTTCTCATGCTGTGCTCAACTGGGGGATATCATGGGATATCAACACCATGAACCTTACACTGAGAATCTCCGATGTGATGACAAAATATGCAAGAGTTCCTCCGCAACCGGCAGTCCTCTGCTGCCAGTCTCCTGGAATGACTCCTCCAAGAAAACAAATTCCAAATGCTCAAGGATACGGGTGGCCCCGGCCAACCCCCTCGCACAAATCACCTGCTCAGTGCCTGACCAACTTGTCTCTCTGACACGGGGTATCCGCGACTGACCTGGCAGCAAGTTGCAACGATGCTTCTCTCCACTCTCGCCCTTGAGCACGGCATCATATGGCATCTCTCTGACCGTGACAGCGGCAAGCCTCGCTGGCTCACTGCTAGCGGCAAGCCTCGCTGGCTCACTGCTGCGGGGAAGGGCCTGCCGTGAATTTCAACAACGATCGCAAGGCGACCAAACCATGCGGGGTTATGCAACTCAAGACCTCTCACGAGTGCCACATGATGTTGACGTCAGCTAATAATTCCGACACAGAGTGCTATTGACTGGAGATTTGTGGAACTCTCCAGGAGCCTTCACCGCATGTACTCCACAAGGCATGACCCTGAAGTCCTTAATCCCTGTCTCCCTCAACTCGAAAAAAAGGGACCCGGGAGACCCAGCAAGCCTTGAGCCAGATGGACACAATGCAGGCCCCCCAAAGTAACCCCAAAGTGTCCCTCCTGCAGGCGGTCACTGACGTGATCCAAACGACGGGCCACGTCTTCGAGGAAGCAGGCCAGACGGCCTGCAATGCAGCGGGAGATGCACAGTAGATCCCTTTTCTGAGTGCTGGGGAAGGCCAGGGCTCAGCTGAGATCGGCATTCTGAGGTACTCTGCCGGAGCTACTACCCCTACCACTCTGATTTCTGATTTCAGGCACCTGCCGCTCAGAGCTTCGCAAAAAGGCCACATGGGCTTTTGGCATCTGCTCTAATGCTGGCTGCTGCACTGCTTCACGACCCTGATCGTCACCACTCCTTGCGCTGGACACGCCTCACGTGTGAAGGCTGCGAAGGTGAGAACTGAAGATAACGAGCGGCAAGTCCGAGCCACGGCTCACTTCACCGAATGCGACTGCGAGTCCTGAGCTTCAACGCTGTCTTACGCACTGTTGTCCGCGCATGTGTCCCCAGATTCCGGCGTGTCGCAAACCCCAGCTTTGCGATGTCAGACGCCGCCCTGACCATCCACCATCATTCAGTCGCGAATGCCGTCGCAGTTCATGCGCGGTTGTGCAACTCTTCCACCTTACAGCAATCCATCTCGCAATGCAGATGCGGCCACTGCCGACCAGAACGGGGCACCGCTTTCAACCCGCACCCGACGGTTCTCTTTCATGCGGCTGCTCATGGACTCAAAGTCCGATGACGGTAGCATTCTGAGAAGGCTGGCGATGCTGTCGAAGTGCTGAATCCCAGGAAGCGCAAAGAAGTCGATGGAGCTCGACCAATACTCAAGTGCGGCTGAGCTCGTTAGGCTGAGAGGAGAATAGGGTGGGCGGCCAGCTTGCTTGGCGATTCGCGCAGGTGTCCAATCCAGCAGCGGCACCGATGCTGAAAACGGAAAGAGATACTTGGACAGATGGGATGGCATGAACAAAGGAACTCCCATGGCATAGAATTCGTAGAACGTCATGAGGGCAAAGTCGTGAGGGAAAAGCGCTACAGCGCGAAAGGTCATAAACGTCTTGATAGTTCGGTCCGTATCAGCTTTGGACCAAAAGTTGAAGGGATAGCTGGCAGGCTTGAAAGCTCGGAGGAGGCAATGTAGCACACAAGCCTCCCTTGGCTCCGGCACCAGGATGTCACCCCACCTCTGTGGGTTGTACGGCTCTTTCAAGTAGGCCACCACTGGCCGTATTACATGTAGCCTGACACCGCTCTGCCATGCCACCTGTTCGGAGTGTAGCCGGTTGTTGGAGACGAAGAAGCTCGTTGGCAAAGCAGCCATTGTGATGAACTCATCGATCCAGCTGACAGGGACTTGCTTTCTGAGAAATTCTCAAGCAAACTATCAGCCTCCCTACTCCCCACACCCTCAGGAGAATGCCTGCCTTGACCAGGAGTCTTTGGGCACCATATATAGCAAGGGAAGGCCAAAATAGCCAAGGACGGTCTTCTGGAGACCGGCAAAAAAGTTGCAGTAGTAGATGGGGTTCGTGCACATGAGAAGGCTCGCCTTTCGTATCTCGGCTTTATGGAAGTAGTGTCCTTTTAGCCACTCGTGAAACCCTCGTCTTGACTCCTCCATGTCTTCGAAAACAGGGAAGGTGTATGGCACACCATCCTGCCTTAGACCAGATCTTAGGAACCATTACACAAACCAAAGAGCCGCAGCACACCGTTGCTTTCTGGCTCGCCAAGATGCTGGTAGGGACAATTCGGGCTGCAAGACTCTGGAAATGGATGCGTGAATGCCTCAGCGCGACCTTCATATGGCTTGACAGGGTTCTCGTAGACGGCGTCATACTTCCAAAGGACCTGCTTCAGCATCGAAGCGGGCTCGTTGGAGAGCGCCCGGTGAGTTCCCAACTCAAAGATCCAGAAGCCGGAAGACTCCGCTGCCGATGGTGCAGACATCAGGGAAGATCCCAGAGTCCCTGGGCCCCAGTCCTATACTGAACTTGGAACCCTAGCAATTTGTTTAAAGCTGTTTCTTAGGAATTATAGTACCCAAAACCAAAAAAATTCCCAAGTGTCCCTAAGAGTCGAGGTACTGGTGAAGCAGGGAGATCTGTGGGTACCCAAAGTTCTGGACAAGATCCCAAGTTGTCAGCACTGAGAACCCCCAAGAGGCCCAGGTAGAGGACTCGATGTAATCGAGGCAATGGCTCCAGTGCAGGAGCCGCATCGCATGGCTTGCAAAAGTCCTGACTGTTGGTTCGTAGGGAATCGGGGAATGAGGTACGAGTACCCCATGTAGTCCCTTAGAGGGTAAATAGTACATAAAGGGCCAAAAACTCCTCATTCCCTGCTAACCCACAGTAAGCGTCTGGGACTGACTCTTCTCCGCCGTGTACTTGGCTAAGTAGGTGAGGACTGCAGCATGCCCGTAGAGACAATACTCGGACCGGTTGTGAAAGTGGCAGCTGTGATAGAAGGAGGCTGCCCCGGGAGGATAATCTTCCTGGCCGTCGTGCAACATGCCTGGGGCCAGCTACAGGTCATCGAAAGCTCTACAGCTACAGCTTCTTATTGGTTTCCATCCTTCGCCTCCCAAGACTCCTTTCAGTAAAGCTTCAGTATCCCTCAACGCAACGCACTGCTCATAATGGACCTGGCGCCAAACCACTTCCAGTTGAGTCTCTCGGCTTCGTGGGCCAAAGCTGGATGGAATCCGGGAAAGGAAGGGACACCCCCAGGTTCTGCCTGCTGCGCAGACGTCACTTCCGACATCTCTTCAAACATGTTCCGAAAGTGTTGCCAATCCGCATGCTCTGGCCCCGTACAGTCCATGAAGTCCGGGATAACAATCTCGACATTGGACGCCATGCCGTGTGTGAGGTTCTCACGCGCACTCAACATATCTGCACTCGACAACAAGATGGACTAGAGTGCCTATACAGGCAAGGACATGCCAGCACATTCTGGTTGTGAGCCACACCGATTTCAAAGTACAGCCACCATCAGCGGATGAGGACATCACCGGATCGAGAGAAACCAAAAACAGCACTGCGCCGCCTTTTCCTGTGTCAAGAGGCTGCCCTTGGGTGAATCTGCATATGCTTTTTTGTAGAATGATTCTTTGCATGTAAAATGTATTCGAGAAGTATGACATTTGCAGGGGCTCCACACAGCCTTGAGGCCCTCAGCTTTGAAAACCATTCACCTCCTCTCACGAACTTGCACCTTGTGGCCTTGTTTCCCTCAAAAATGGCGGGAACCCCTTTGAAAAGAACCCCTTCTGACTCCCCAAAAAACCCTTAAACATCCCTAACCGCTTTGTCGCGGCATGTATCGACAGCCCGATAGCCTGCTGGGGAGAAGAGACCCTAAGAAGGGCTCCGCACCTCGGCTGCAGGGCTCCGGAGTGTGGCAGGGCCTTGCTGCGGGCGATTGCAGCTGCCTGGGCCAAAAACTGTCATTGCATGCTGGAGCTGAGAGTACTGTCTACTGTTACGGCATGCTACGGCATGCTACAGTATTGCAGAGCTCAATTGCGTCACTCAAGACACAGCCTCAGTTTCAACTCGAGGTCCTGGAGCTTCTTCTGCTGAGCCTTCGGCATCCGTCTTACGTGGGATTCCCCCATACCGGCCCATACCCGTTTTGTGCAGCTTCTGCCCTCGGCTCGGAGCATAAAGCGTTGCCACGATGCTTCTGGCCCCGCGTCCTGCACAGGGCTGCACAAGGCCACAAAAAGCTGCATCGCAGGTGGCGGGCTTTACTTGCGTGATACAACACTTCAGCTGCCAACAGTGTATTGGTACAGAGCCCGTCGTTGCAAAGATCCTGACTGCCCAGGCGTGCCTTCCACTGAAACACTGCGCCTCGTGCTCTTGAATTTGGAGTATATATTGTATGCTATATTCTGTATATATGATATTATATATATATATATATGTACCTTCGATATTATAGTATGTGCATATATATATATATATATGTATGTACTATAGATATTACAGTATGTGTATATATATATATATATGTGCTATAGTGCGACACGATCGATTCACAGGTAACTTTGCAGAATCTGAGGGGTTGTCCAAGATGAGCGGCGCTCAGCCTCAGAAGAGGCAGGCAGCGGGGTCTTCCTGAAAAGCTGCGCGTAGCAAGAAAACCCTGGGCTGATTTCAGCAAGGAGGCGGGGCTGCTCCATTTCTCCCAGCAAGCATGCTGCTGGCTCCTTGCCATCACTTATCGAATAGTCCTAGCGTGCTCTTATGTGCTTTTGCTCAGGCCAATGCTGCTGAAACTCTTAGTCTAGTCGGTGGCTGCTAGCTGGTCCATTTGTTTTTCTGAAGGCGTGCTATGCCGGGTGCCGTTGCCTAGAGCCGTCCGTTTTAGCCCGCATCAACGGCCTCTATACTGACGTTTGGAGCAACACCACGGCTGCAAGTGCGCGCGTGGCTTGTGTTCCAGGGCGCACATTGGCAGAACCTTTCTGCTCACGCAACTGGCCCATTGCTGCCATTGCGTGCACTTTTCTCCGCATGCAAAGCCACTTCGCCCCAGGGGGCTTAAAGGTACAAGGGGTGGCGCCACCCCTGGTTGAGGAGGTTAAACCGTTACAGCTGATGTGTGACTAAGTAGAGCTTAGTATGATTGCAATTTGCAATGCAACCCTTCGTGTGTCACGGCCATGCCTTGGGCATGACTGCTTCTAAGAGTCTACGCTGAGACGATAGGTGCCGGCTGCATGGGGAGAGGCCACAAAAGCCCACAGTAATAATGTACAGCAGCATCGGCAGCAGCAGCAGCAGCGGAACAGAGCAAGGGAGCGAGTGCGGAACGCCAAATCATGCCGCTTTCTATGTTCGCATCCCAGGTGCGCATGTCGTCCCTTGAAATCGCGTGATACTGCAAAGAGGCAGAGTTGTCTCAACTCTGGAACGAAGACAAAGTCAGGGGGCTTCTACGTATTGTCATCTGGATGCATGGCAGGTTTAGCTGCAACTTGCGCGCGGCATTGCAGAGTCGGGGGATATCAGGAAATGCTGCCCAAAGCCGAAGCAGTGCCAGACAATGTCATCAAAACCAGTGCCAGATTGATCAATAGATGGCCCGCGAGGCTTTCCTCTGTCAATCTGACACCATCACTGTGCAACGCGCCGGCACAACATGCCGACCTCCTTCGGAGGACCGTGCGACAAAATTGACTCGAAGACTTACTGCTCAGATGGATCCTCAGGCCACATTTCAGATCCGCACATGGACAGGTCCAAACTTTTGCCACGTGCCACAAAACCCGGCAACAGAGGAGCCAGCGACATCTACTGGAGATTCCCAAGACCTAAACCCTAAACCCTAAACCCTACAGCAAACTGTAAGCCAAGTTTGGAGACCCTTTGCTGAGGCCCCAGGCCCTGTGAGACTCGGCGTAGTGGGCGGAAGACTTCCTCTTTGAGGAGCTGCACAGTGCCTGCCATGAACTTCTTGCTCCCAACAGGGTTTAGGGTTTTTTTAGGGTTTAGGGATTTAGGATTTCGTCTCTGGGCCTGCAACACCTCCGGGCTCTTTCTGGGCCAGGCCTCGAAATGGATCCTTCTTGGCATCGCACTTGGCATCCGCAAGTTGGATTGCCATTCCCTCATCATCATAGTCCACATATGCGTGGCCTTAACATGGTCAGAGGACCGCTGCAGAAACGGAGAGAAGTTGACATCTATCCGGCCGCATTCCCTGGCCTAGCGTTCGCTGGGTGATGGGGTGCACCTGCAGCACAGCACGCCTTCATGGAGGCGATGGGTCCGTCATCCAGTTCTCCGAATCCCTTATAGCAGCTACAGTAGCAGGATCACGGGCTAACTGCAACACATGCACTGGCTTCACAGACAATGCACTCCACAATGCTTGGCTTTCTCACCCATGCGTGCGTGCTCCAGCAATCCAGCATGTGTGCGCACGTGCGTCTCTCCAATCCGGCAGGCATGCACAGAAGCTATTTTGTGGAAACTAGCAGCCTGAATGAGCCTGAATGCATGTAAGTGGGTGTGTGTGCAAACATGGAAGATAAATGAGGTATGTTGCCGAAGGCAACGGCATGGTCCCCTCCCGGACAAAGCCCTTTCTGCGGGCAGTAGATCAATAACCCCCACACCCTTAAACGTGGGGGATGCTGAAATTGCAATTTACATGGTGGTCCTCGGGCGCCAGTTATGCAAAATTGTAAAATAAAAGCGTTTACAATTATGCGCCCCCTCCCCCCATTTTGCATTTTTAAGGAGGTGGGGGTGATCAATAAAGAACTCTTTGCCGCCAGCATGCAAGTGGCGCATCATTGTGACTGCACATCACAGGCTTGGCAGCTGTGTAGCTGTGTGTGCTACGAGTACATGTTTCTGGCACAAACTTGGAAAGTTCAGCTCCCCACTGCAACTTCGATCGCCCTTGGCTGCGGCGCACGCCGCAAGCTCACCAAAGTGAGGATGGCGTCCTTGCTGCTCCAGGTTTTTTCCAAGGACCAGCGGCAAAGACAGTCCCGAGAAGATTGATTCGCCTCGGCTTCCTGCCGAGAAGCGTTTGGAACAAGCAGACCCGCATCCGGTCTCCTTCCCCTTAACCCAACCCTTCCCCCCATGCCAGATCTTTGTGACGCATTTTTCGTGGGACCCACCCCCCTCGCTTGCCCTGGGAGCCCGGACCCCCCCACACACCCTGAGACCCCCCTTTGTTTGAGGCCCTCTTTCCTCCCTTTCTGTGGGCCGGCCCGGCTGCCGAGGCGCACGCGCAAGCGTTTACAATAAATATGCATAGACGTGAACTGTCAATGTCAAGGTCTGCTTGAAGCCGGATAATCCGGATACCGAGGCCCCAGTCCTCCAAGATGTCTGGCCTGGGCACAAGCTCTAAAATAAACTCTCTGCCACAATGGCGTTGAGATGTCGATACTCAGGTGGAGGCGGAACATTTGCCGGCAAGTGTTCGAGACGAACTCGTCCACCTGTCACAGAAGCACAGCCCCACTGCATGCTCACAGGCTAGCACTGCTGGACAATGCTCAAATTATCGAAAGGTGTCAAAAGCCCTTCTGGACACTGCACCGGACAACTCGCGCGAGCGCTTTTGTCGCTTCAAAATGGAAACCGTCGGGCTTCTGCTGTGTCAGTGAGCAGACGACGCTTCTGGCATCTGCCCGTAGTCGAGCTCATGCACACCGCCCACCGTTAACTTTCAAAGAAAAGCTTGACTTAAGTGAGTTAAAGTACATTGACTCGATTGCCTTCTGTACAGAGCAGCTCCTGCTATCACGCTGTCACTGGCTGTCACCCAGCTCCTCCGACAATGCCAGCGGCGGCCGCCGTCAAAGCCTCGCTACGCCTCCAAGCACTGTCCTCGCGCCTGGAGGCCTCGGCTGCACTGTGAGCCCGCCGCGACTCCCGGCTGTGGCGCCTGGGAGTTGTGTAGAGCTCTGCCCCTGGCGTGCTGCTGCGAGCTCTGCTTGCGTGAGGGCGCTGGGGCCCCGAGGGAAAGGGGATCCCTTCTCCCCTTTCTGGCTTGGCATCTCCTTTGCCCGCAGGTGGCCTGCCAGCTGTAAAGCGGTTGCCTTGGGCAGCCGCGGGCGCAGATGGCATTGACGGCATTGCAGATGGCTCTACGATCTCCACAGACTCTTCCAGCAGGGCGCACAAGTCATCCCGCAGATCTGCTGGAAGACCGTTGGCAGTGCCTAAAGCCTTCCGAAATGCAGCCGCCTTGTCCTTGTCAAGCTGGTCTGTAAGTCTGAAATTTGGCGAGGCAACGCTGGTTGAGCTGCTGCGCTCGCTTGCTGGAAGTGGAGAAGTATGCGGCGGGTGAGCCGCTGCTGAACGTTCTGTCGCCTGGTGCTTCCTGCAGCTGGGTGCACTCAGTTCGTGGTCGCGTTGATTTGCTGTGCAGGTTTCCCGATTTTGTGAAACTTCGACGAGGGGTGAAACTGAAACTAGTGCCTCTGAAACATGCGGCAACTCAGACTGCTTGCGTGTACCGTGAAGAACTGCCAGACCGGCATCAATCGCCACGAAGCGGGAGTGTGATGCAATGGAATGCTCCCAAACTTCGGGAAGGTCCTGGTTCCCTGCACCGAAACCCTCAGGTCCAACGGCAGTGGCTGTGCCCTCCTTGAAGTTCTCCGGCTCCATCTCTTGCGAGGTTTTGGGGCTTGGCTTGCCCTGCAGCTGCTCCAGTAGGCACTGCTGCAGCTCCTGCCAAGCGAGCTCACCGAGAGCATGAGAACATGCAAGGAGAAGTTGCTATACTATGATGTCAAGGAGTCCCGGTGCATCCTTCCCTTGTAAAGTATTTCGTGGACTTTACGTGCGGTCTTTAGAGGTGGCTTGAATGTAAGCTATAAGCCTTAATTATGATGTCCTGCAGATGCCGGGCGCGGTCGTTGATTGCGTCCTCCTTCACCTTCAAGGCCTGTTCCCGCGCTTCGTCTCGCTGATTTCTCAGCTCCACAACTTGCCTCTGCATCTCGCTTGCCAAGAGCCGCTGCTGCTCCACGAAGCCTTGGAAGCCAAGCTCGCGGTCGCCGCGGTCGCCGCGGTTGTCAAGGCGGTCGCCGCGGTCGCCTCGGTTCCTTCGCGGGGGAGAGCAGGTGCCAACAGTGCCAAGCCAGGTGCCAGCTGTGTCAGCGGGACCCGGGCCTGCATAGGTAGATGGTACCGGTGACTGCCACTCCCGCTCACGGAACTCCCGACTGGGAGAACCCTCACACTCCCGGGGGTAGTCGCGTGTCCGCCTGGACCGCCCGTGCCGCGTGTCCCGGAGCCGATCCCGCGTTTTGCGAAGTCTGCCCGAGTGGGACTCACGCCAAGGCTCGTCACGGAACCGTTCACGCGTTCCTCTGGAACGGCCTGTTGCAGTGATTGCGGCGTCGCCGGTGTCGCGCGCCTCTGCATCTGCAACATCACGCGCATCACGTGCACGTGGCGCCTTCTTGGCCTCGTGCTTCTCTGCCTTCCGAAGCTCTCTCTGATTCTCCTCTTCAATCTCGCGCCGGAGGCGCTGCTCCTCACGATCCTCCTCCTCCTTTTGGCGCTGCCTGGCTTCCTCTTTGCGCTTCTTCGCCTCCTCGACCTGGGCGGCCAGAACCCGCTGAAGCTCCTGCTGCTGGCGCCGGCGCTCCAGCTCGCGCTGGTCGGGCTCGGCCTCCCTCGGCTGACTCGGCTTCGGCCCTACATGCCCTGCCTTGGGCCCGGACCTGTTTTGGTCCCCATGATCAGACTCAGAAATTGAAAACTCCTCTTTTTCTCGTTCAGACTTGTCTGCCTGTTTCCGGGCTCTCTGCTCTTTCATCTGCTCGGCCAGAGCCAGCTGCATCTCCTGCTGCTGACGCCTCTTCTTCTCTTTGATTGCTTTCTCATCCGTCATCTCGCCTGGAAATCCCAGACCGAAGCCGAAGCCCTGGGGTTCCGCGTTCCGTGCTGATTTCATCCCAGTCTGACTCTGGACAGATTGCCCGACCGGAGACGGAAATGAGATCGGCTGGTGGACAGACTGTCCGAGGGGAGACGGAAATGAGATCGGCTGGTGAAGAGGGAGTGGCAAGTTTGCAGCCTCTGCATTCTGAGCGAGCTGGTTTTGCAGCTGTAGCTCCTGCCAAGCTGGAAGGAAATTGACCGGTGCCTTCCTGGAAGGTGTTGGTGCCCAAGGACCTGGTGCCCCCGGAAATGGCACTGCGGCCCCGGCAAGGTCTGCCAAGCTGCGGTCGACCCGTTGGGGAACCTCGGCCGCCCACGGCGGAGGTGCGGCAAAGCTCATGAAGGACCCACGGGACCCACGCCTGCTCTGTTCCAACACTGACTCTTAGCGAACTCTGCGTAATGGCTTGTACTAGACTCTTCGTGCAACTCTACGGCTGTCATCAGTATCTGTCATGGCTCGTGGCGGGTGAATGACATTGGGTATTGAGCTTTGAACGGCGTTGCTGCTGACTAAAGCTACATGGCCCTGTGGCTTACAAGAGCCCTCGGCGAACCGAAGCATAGCCACCACGAAGAAATTCTCAGACATTGCTGGACGAGGTGCATCTGCAACAAGACAGGTGATCTTAGAGACTTCAAGTTCGGCCTCGCGTCGACCCTTGAGGCAGCTGCTCTGAAGGCCTTAGTGAAGCAGCGCTGCGCCTGCAGAAGAGGGGCCTTCAAGCAGGTCTTGGGCCACTGCTCCTCTGCATCTCCATTTTCCTTCTCACGCACCGGGGCCTCCAGGAAATTCCAGGGATACTGCCATTGCTCACAATTGGGTCAAGTCGACGCCTTCAAAGAAGGCAAGCTCCGCGACTGGCCCAGCTTCTTGCCAACCTGACACATGGTGGCCATCTTGCCCAACACCGAGACACGGAGACAAGGAAGGCTTCGGGATACGGTATCTTCCCGACGAGCGGAATCTCAATCGGCTCTTTGCCGCGGAGTCTACCCACTATCCACCGGCAAGCCTGCGTTGGCACTGCTGCCTGCTGTTTTTCGATGCTAACACCATTTCGTGTGACGCATTGCTTAAGCTGTCGCGTGTCCTCTTGTCGTTCACAACTGCCGCAGAATTCTCCAATAGAACTGTTCATCACTGAGATGTTACATGTTCATGACTGTGAAGGCTGGTCTTGCATCAATGACCACGCCCCTCGCTGTGCTTGCATGAATAACTCATCTGCATTCATCCGGCAGAGGTGGCAGCTTCCATTCTATAGGATTCTAAACGAAGCAGGTTGTGGCCCTTTCTCTAAGTCAACGTGTTGCTTCATTCCTAGCACACACGCAGGCCGGATCATCTAAAGAACCGGCCGCCGTAAGTGTAGGTGGCCTTTTTTGTCTTCGCACAGTGATGGGATTGGACAGTGTTAGTTCCTAACTACCACGTCATGTAGCATCGGTCCCTGCACAGAATGCCATACGAGGCCGCATTCGGATGTCTGCGGCTTGACTGCACTTTACGGTTGAAAGTTTGATGGACTCGGAATTTTGTGCTTGTCGTTGATGCTCAGTGCAGAGCATCTGCATCTGCATCAACTTCGATAGAAAAAAAAAAACTCCATCTGGGAATGCTGGCCTTCGGAGCCGATGCTCCGTTCTGGAGTCGGAAATTTTACGCACGAAACTGAGCCCACGCGAACGCCCGTGGCCTGGAGCCTCTCCAGCTGGCTTTTCAGGAGCTCCCGCACCTTGGATGCCTGCGGTGTGTGGGGGAAGCAGGAACACCGAGCAGCAAGTGCCACTAGAGAGCTCATCCGAGCTCTTTGCATGGGCATTTCCCAAAGTAGGGGTACCCCTTATATACCCGAAAATACTACAATGGTTAGGATAGGAACCCCGAAAAGGGGGAACCCCTATTTTCGGAAACCCCCCACATCTTGATAGCACCGACCCATGCCTTGGCAACATCCGCGGCGGTGCATTTGTCCTCATTCTGAGCCTCCAAAGCTTGCGCCGGGCTTGCTCTAACAATTTCAAGGTACACGCCGAGCCGAAGGGATTCTAAGGGGGCACGGGAAGGTAACCCTCCTCCCACCGTCCGGTGCAAAGTTAGGACCCTCACGGGACCTTCTAGCAACCTTCCCGAGAAACCCCCTGAAGGATGCCCAGCCGAGGTGGGCTGCCTAGCGGCGTAGCCAGTACACAGAGAAACTGTTTTCATTCACCGGCTACCGGCTACCGCCTGCACGTCTGCTCGTGCTGCCAGGAGGAGCCTGACAAGGAGGAGGTGAACTTACACTGAATGGGAGCTTTGGTGCGGCCAAACCATGTTTATTCTACTACAAAAGAACCCCTCTCCCAAGTCCAACTGTTGCGAACGGCTGATTCTGGCATATCCCAATTCTTAGCGGGACGAGGCCATGGCTCGACAATCATCAAGGTGCTGCGAGATGAACCCCGCGCTGCCAGCATCAGGATCGTGTTGCCTGGAGTGGGGGACGTGCGTGGGTCTAGGACGCCCAGGTTTATAGGAGTCTGGGATAGAATGGTCGAGCCTGCTGTGTCAGCAACATCCAGAGAGGCCTTTCTCTCCAAGAGCAAGGAGGTCACTCGCAAATGGCCAGCCTCCATAAGACGCCGAAAGCCGAACGCTGTGCATGTCTGCATGTTAACTTTCTCTGCACGGGCACAAGCCGAAGCTGTCATTTTTCAAGGGCCTGGACTGCGAGTCCCAAAGGTGTTCGGCCGTCATCATCGACTTCGGCCAGTGCCTGACCCACCGTAACCAACAAGCCCACAACACCAGAAGCTCAACATGAACGACTGATTGCTCAGATTACTCTTTGCCTGACCTGCAAAATCAACAAACCTTGGTCAACTCTTATTATATTAGACTCCTCCTGAGCATCCTTGTGCGAAGAAGTAGCTAGCCTCTTTGACCGAACGTGTTGCAGTAGAGGAATGCCTGAGTAGAGGCTACTTGCCCACCCCACCGTGCCTGCGACGCACCTCGGATCATGCAGCAACACATGAATACACCACTATACTATACTATTGTATTCTATACCACACTCTAAACATCTCGTTAAGCTAATGCCATGTCCCAAATGCCTCGAGAAGCTCGACTATGGGTGCGACTAATGGCGGCCGCGGGGCTGACGTCGACTTTTGCCGGGAGGGTTTTGTTGAAGGCCTCGGCCTGTTCGTACCTGCAAGTCAGGCATGATATCACTAAAACGGGGACATGACGCACTCAACATCACCTCCTTGGTGCATGCTCAGGCATGCGCAAGGCCATGTCTGGCTGCTTCTTGAATTTCCTGGCCGCCTTCTTTGCATCGATCTCAGAACCTTCACCCTCCTCTTCTTCGGTCGCATCGGTCTTTCGGCTGCGCCAGCTTTGCTGTGACATCGCCGCAGCCTCGCCAGAAACACTCCCAGAAAGGACCGCGCCGCAACATGTAACGCAATTGTAAGCGGGGGTCAATAAAGAATTTGGACCAGGCGCGGAGTCAGCTGGATCTGGGGTCTCAAGGTGAGACTTGCCGCCCTCCTCCACAAGGAATCTGCGACCGTGGATCAATGAACTCATATGAACCCTAAACCCTAAACCCTAAACCCTGAACCCCTGAACCCTAAACCCTAAACTGTCTCCTGAATCTTGCCCTTGGAGCCCTTCGGCACATCGAGCTGCAGGGTTTTCATCTCCTTCGCGTCTGGACCTTCCTTGGGGCCTTCCTTGGACTCTTTGGAGTCCAAGGGCTTAGACTCTTTGGGCTCTTTGGATTCTTTGGACTCTTTCTGATCCTCACGCTTCACGGGAAAAAACATACGGAAGATACGCAAGCGATAGCCTTTCAATATATGACTGTGCTGCGACACAAGAAGTGCGGGAGCCTTTCGCTGGTCTTTTCCTTGGACAGAGACTCTTCCACGCCAGAGGTTTGATTTGCTGCGCTTCGGTTTCGGGAGGCTCTGGCACTGATCTTCATCCAGGCGTCTGTTTGGGCTTGGCTTACGTTCGCTTGCTTCTTTCTTGCCGGGGTCCTCAGGTACGAGCAGGTGTAGGCGTCCAAGCAGCTCTTGAGATTCATCACGCAGCAACCCGTCCTTCTCGACGTCCTTGTGGCTCGGGCTGTGCTCTTTGCGGCTTTCGCCCTTTTTGGGCCTCAACAAGGACCAGAACCACATCTCACAGACACTCGGGCCTCTCTGACTCTCTGTCTACATGGGCATGTTAGGGAAGTTTCAGAACACGTCCGGCGCACTTCGTGGCCGACCGACCCCTGTCGTCATCAGCTTCTTCTGCGACTTCCACCACCTGCGCCGATACATCAACGCATCAACGCGCAACACACAACAACTTGATAGCTTCTAACCTTCTCCAGCGGCTCGAAATCCTTGACTTCTTTCACTTCTTTCACTTCTTTGGCTTCTTTTGCTTCCTTGAGCTCTTTGCCTTCTTTGTGCTTCTTCTTCGTAGCCTCGCCAAGGGCTGCAGCATGGCAGCCAAGACTGTAGTGGACCCGCCGCATTCAATGTTGCCGCATGCCTTTCCAGAGTCGCGCCGTGTCGCAGTCACGGGACTGCCTGCTTACTTGTAACTGTATAAGAAAATGGGCCAATCCCTAGAGGCGAGGAACATAGAACTAAAGCAGTCTCAGGAGAGACTCCCCTAGGTCTGCTGCACGTCAACGGCAGCACAAGTGAGTCCAACTTGGCAAAATGGGTTCTTCCGTTCTTCTGGACAGTGCCTTGGCCTGAGGTTTTATCCAAGATCGCATCCAGCAAGGCCTCGGAATCACTGCTGCACGATCTGTCAGTCTAGGGTGCTGGGCTGAGCAGAACACACGTGTGGGGGAACCAAAAGGCAGTATGCAGACGGAGGGGCGAGCAGGCAGAGAACACATGGAAAAAACAAACAAAAACAAAAAGCCAAAGCGGACGGCACACCAGCAGCGAATAAATGAAAAAAGCAAGAGGGGCGCGAGCAGAGAGCACGCCAGAACATTCAAAATCTAAGCACGAAAGCTAAACTGACAAACAATTAGACGCTAAAAGCACCCCAAAATAGTTGTTAGTCAGTGACTAGTAGGAGGCCGCGCATCACTTCGTGAGCGGGCTCAACATCTAAATCGTCTTGCCTTCATGCTGATCTCCATGATGCGTGCCAGAAACGTCGGAAGGAGCATAATTAGCGCATGCACGAAATACACGGGTATGTGTGTGTGTGTGTGTGCATGTCAATGTGCGGGTGTGGGTGAAAATGTCCGTGTGCGTGTGCTCACGCGCGCGTCAACTCCAGAGCTCATGGCATGCTGGCCATGTAGCGCCGCAAGGGCTATGATGCTTCGCCCGCCTGCAGGCAGCGCGTTGCTAAGCCCCAAACCCCAAACCCTAAGCCCTAAGCCCTCAACCCTCAGTGCTAAGCCCTACACTTTCAGCCCTAAGTCCTAAGCACTAACCCCGCGAAGCCCTAAGCCCAAGCCCTAAACCCTATCCATGTTGTTGGCCCCTATGGAGGCTATGTTGGCCTCTCTTGGAGGGTCTTGGAGGCTATGTTGTGGGCTGGCTGGGCTGGGCTGGGCTAGCTGGGCTGGGGGGCTGGGCGCCCCTACCCCCTCCACCCAAAACCCGTCTGTGGGCCCGCCGCCCCACCCCCCCACCTTCTTCCTCCCACCCCTGACACCGCTCGGAGCCCCCCAAAGCTTTCAACTTTACACCTCAAACCGAACCTGTACACAGCTGGCAAGCAACAGTGCGAGCGCTATGCCGCCTGAGGCTACCCCCCCCCCCCCCCTTGACCCCCTTCCCCCCCTTCCGGGCACCCCCCCTCACCCCCACTACCCCTTCCAGCCGCCTCGGTACCCTTGGCGAAGCGGCCACGCATTAGCGATAAAATTGATCAAGCCTGGATACAGTATACCAACACGAACCCAGATCACTCTCCAAGCCGCTGTAGCTAAATTCGCCTGTCTAGAACAAGCAGACCACGATCCATCTTCCCCGTGAGACTCGGAGGAGCCGCAATCCGATGCCGCACGTGGGTTCCAGGCTGTCACCAAAACTCACGTGACCATTTTTTGTGGGACCCCCCCCCCCAAGCCCTTCCTACCTCCTGAATTCATGACGTGCATGGTGCTGCACCAGGTGAAATAGGACTTATTGGCTTTCCTTCCTCTGCGATGCGGACGTTACACCCCGCATTTAGCCCGGCTGCCCAGGTGGCGCAAGTGTTTACAAGTACGGACCAGGGAAAACCCATCTGCAACTTGGGAGATGAAGGAAATATATATATATATATATATATATATGAACCCATGATTAAGGCTAAAGCTGGAGTCCGGAGCCTTCGGCTCGCACTTCGGCGTCTGCTCTCAGCTTGAGGAGCCACTGCGTTGCAGCAATCTTCCCTGACATGGCAGTGGCCTTGGGATCGCCATTTCTCTCCCTCTCTCCTGTGGACCATGAGGATTCACAAAGGAAGTGGAGAGTAGAAAATGTAGAAACCCTTCTGCGGTAACAAGGCTCGGGCTTGAATTGGAGTCAATCCATTGAAGCCCTTGGCAGATTCGTCACATTTCAGGAACAGCTTCTGATGGTCGTCTGCCCTAGGGGGCCTTGACATTCAGGTTGGCCGATGCGCAGCTCAACAACACCAGGCTGAAGCAGTGATTGCCTTGCGGGGGAATCTTGAGGTCACGCCCCTATGCCGGCTCATGCTCGGCTGCTCGGAAGCTGCAATGCCACAGTGAGCTCATGTCCAGAGGCTGGGTGAGTCACTCTTTGCTGCCAGGTGAACCACTGTATCACCTCAGTGAACACTGAACTGCAGCAAATACATCTGCCGGCGTGTCGCATCAGTGGCCCACCTGAGAAAGCCTTGGCATGCACATCTGCATTGTGATGATGGAGTACCGACGCCACCTGCCAAGGCTCCCTGGAAGCCGCTGGAACCCCACCGCATCTGAGAATCTGTCGCGCAATACCTAAGAACACTACGATTTAGTACGACAACCCACGGGAATCCACCATTGAAACTGCAAGGCCTCCGCCCAGTTGCGGTGCACCTCAACATGAGTCTGAGTGATCTGTGCTACTCTGCGATCAAGAATACGGGCCGCATTGGGGTGCCCTGCAGCCCAGTGAATCGGTGTCCAGCCGCACTGCTCGCGGGCGTTGAGAGAGGCACGAGCCTTCAGAAGGAATGGTACGCGAAGCCGAATCCTAGGAAGATCGAATAATGTATCCCATGTACCATCCTTGGCCTGGATCAGGTGGCGAACTGCTTGAACACTTCCATGACTTGCAGCCCATCCCAGCGGCGTCTTCTGGGCCTGCCAAAGCCGGGAGGCACGCTTCATCAATGCATAGCTCATTTTGCTCCACCACACCCCGCCTCGTCCGGTATCTCCAGCCACGCCCCATGTTCGATGGCCTGGCCAGGTTCGAGCTTGAGAAAATGTTGAAAACAAGCGTGCGAAGCTCCACCTCTGTTCAGACTCCTTACGGCTCCTTCTCTGAGCCTTGCCTGGAAGACGCCCTTCCACCAGCCTTCCTTGGCAGCGGAGAGCAGAAGCCTGTTGGCCTTGACTGCATCACGAAGGACCTGGCATCTCGACACAGCGCCCACTAAAAAGATTGTGTCTGCCAGCACTGAGGGGCGATGACCCACGCATGTGCAGTCTGTTCGCACCTCCTGGATCGAAGTCTGATACCTGAGAACATCGTGGAAACATGTGCAAGCGTGCCTCGAGAATGCCGCCGTGGCTTCTGCGACCCTCACAGCAGCCGCTTGTCAGGAGCCGAGAAACTCTGCATTGCGAAGCCAGGGGGAGCTCGCCCGCGAGGCCTGGAGGAGACATTCTCAACTCTAACTTCAGCGTGTACCTTGCCGTGTATATATATATATATATATAGAAATATGAATATATATATATATATATATAGAAATATGCATATACCCATTTTACACTCATGTATCTATATATCTATATATATATATATATATATTTATATATATATATATATATATATATATATATTTATATTTATAAGAATTATACATATATATATATATACATACATTATGTTATGCGAAAGATCACATATTACACTGTTTTCTGTATGTATTCTATCAGATAGCATTTCATCAAGTTTCATCAGGTTACATTGTGTATGGTCAGCGTAACAGGCTTAACAGAGCGCAAACCCCGATGCCTCCAGGCTGGGATCAGCACCATGGCGAGTGAGAAGGCGGACCTGGGCTGCATTCGACACTGCCCCCGCAAGCCTAAGTCATCATCCTCATCTCATGCACAATCACATACACAATTCATACACAGTATACAGTTTCTGAGCGACCTGCCATGGACATGTTTTTCTGGGAGGCAGCGTGGAGCAAGGGGCTCGCGCCATCTGCATCCAGCGTATCCACAAATGCCCCCGCCTGGAATCATATGGACGAAGGATGCAAAAGGTCCAATCGGGGGCACGGGCCGCGCCTCGAGGGCCCTGGACGCTTCTCTGATGTCCCCTGATTGTGCTGAGCGAAGCAGGCGTCGATTCAGATCCTCAAGGCTTGGCGGATCTTCAACGAAGACATGCACATGCCATGCAGCTTCCTTTCGCGCTTTGCATGCTGCAGGGCAACGACCGAGGCCTCAAAGCGCTCCAGCATCTTTCTGGCCGCCTTGTGCTGCCTCGCGTGGTACATCACGCTGTGGCCTGGGAAGGAGCGGATGGAGGGGAGCAAACACCATTGCAGCCGAGCATCAGCGCAGCGGGTTGTGTCACGTCAGCGACTTCATGGGGACCGGGCCAAAATGGTTTGCAATTAAAGTCCACGGGGACAATATTACAAGTCCTTTCTGGGCCTGTTAAGAACAGGCAACGAGTGCTGTCCAAAAGCCCAAAAGACGAGACAAAGATGCTGTTCTTGAGTCCTTTTTTTGTGAGCTTAAGAATGTGGAAAAAAGCCCATAGTTTCGACTTGAAAGGAATTATTAGGAACGCACGAAGTCAATTCCAAATATGGGTTGTGCTTTGTTGTTGCCGTATTTTGTGGGTCTTGTGGAGATCTAAAAATTTAATTAGAAGCTACATCCGATACATTTTGCTTCATATAAACACTGCTCGGGCTTGTTCCTCTGCCCGGACTATAACTCCTTTTATCTTCACAGGACTTAATGTTTCTTCCGGAAGGTCTAGAGATGTTTTGAAGGTATGAAGTCTTAAGAATGATCTCGTTTCTTCTTTTGAAGGGTTTTCTAGCTTCTGAAGCTCTTTTTGCATCTCCAACTTGTGTACATCATGTCAGGGCTCTCTATCTTCCAGATCCTTGCGAACTAACTTTGAAAACACAGAGGCCCTGGCCATCAAAGTCCGTTATGCTGAGGTCGGGCCTCGAAAGCAAATCAAGGTCGACAAGAGGTCTAGTTAATCAAAGATATGTGTTGGGATGTTCCCCCGTATACTAAGAGTCCTTCGTAGGGATTATAGGGCCGCCTATGACAATCCCTATCAAGGACTGTTAGTGCAAGGGGGAACATCCCAACATATGCGAGTCATTCTGAAGGAACCACCCATCACCCAGTAGCGATCTCATGACATCCACGTGGCCGTGACCTGGGTAACGACATGCCGGCCAGCACTCAGACTTTCCAGCTTCATCTATGAATGCCCCTTGTAGGCCCTGGCGGGTTGCCCACATCAATGCAGTCATGCCGTGGACGTCCTTTGCCTTAGCCTGCCCAAGGGTCAGCAACAAAAACCACTTGCTACGGCAGGAATTCGGAAACCTCTGCATGCGCGGCCAGAAGCGCTGCCACTACATCAGCACGCCCAGACATTGCCGCCCTGACGACGACCAAGTTTTGAACAGGTGCAGGCTTCAGCATGTTGCAGTATTGTCCGTAGCATCCCGAACCCTTTCGGCATGCAAATGCATGCAACCAAAGTCTGTCGCTAGTCAATGCAGCTTATGGAAGAACAAAGCTAGGCTGGCGGCCACATGAGCGGTGTCCAACCTTCAGCATTCTTGGAGTCCTGGGTTTGTTGCTTGGGCAAGGCAGGCTGACAGGCTGCAGTACCACAAATGCCCCTAGGAACATGGAGGTCAACAAGCTTTCTGCTTCGAGTAGGGGCATCCGAGCAGCATGGACATGCTCACGCATACACGACTGGCTTCTGCCTTTGCCTTGAGGATGCTGGCTCTGATATCGAAGGCTACGGGCTTCGGTTCTGTGCCCGGCGAATGGCGCTGGGGCCTTGTTATGGGCCGTTGAGTCCAGGGTTGGTCGAGGGCTAGCCTGACCGTCCGGCGGGCCAGAACTAACCGATGCGATGAGGAACGTGCCATGGCAGAACTGCCCAGAACCAAACGCGTCATCGGCTGGAGTTGCCAAATCCAGATCATGCCCCGAGGTCAGCTCTTGCTTTCTACAGGAGGCGTCTTCTTTGCACACTTTGGGGCTTGAGGCAAAAAAACAGCCTCCTGCATTCAGCACCGGTTACCCTTGCGGCGAAACAAAACCATCAAAAAGGGATGAGGATGATCCAAGACTGCACAGCGAAACGTTTTTGACTACCTTTCCCCCAACTGCCCCATACCAAAGTTCTCCCGCCAGCTCATTGCGCGGCCAAGCCACCAACGCGACCTTGTGCTGCACGAGCACTTGCACCGCGGCTACATGACCTGCAACAAGTGGCAATGTATCGTTTCCCGTGCGACCCACTCATCCATGAAATCACGTGGCGGACAGGAAGAGGCCTGCTCGCGCGGCCAAGTGTAGAGGCGTGTTCCCAAGGTTGCATTTGATTTTTGAGTCAGCCTGGAGAGGTCTGGCGAAAGTGACACAGCTCCTCATCTTGCCAGTAATCGGACCCGTCTGATCAAGCATAAGGCCACGACCTGCGCCTCCTTGGTGCGATCTGGCCCGAATATCGGAGATTATGCAGCAGTAGGTTTATCCGTGCGCCCCGCCAAGAGAAGCTTCACAAGGCCCGCGTGGCCGACGCTGCAGGCCAGCGCAAGCGACGTGTACCCGAAGAAGTCCTGACACATGTTTCGGCTTGTTGAGGCAAGTCACAGCAATGTATTGAGGGGAGCCCGCCTCCCTCTCATTCAGGTACCTCTTGTTGAACGATCTGAAGCATGCGGTAAAACGCAGTCGCAGGCATCACATGATGTGGTTCCCCCTCGAACCAGGTTTGCACTGAAGCTGGAAAGCCACCAAAGACGCTTTCTCAGGGCAAGGCTGCAAGACGCTATTCAGAAACTCGGTGTCAATCCAAGCCTGTTACACAAACACAAGAACGCTTGTGGGGATGTGCAATGGATGGACAGTAGCTGCGGAGGGCTGAAAGGTGATGAGCCGGCCTTCTTCCGGTTCTGGGAAGCAAATGCCTAGAAGACAAGAGATAGTGGAGCCATCGCGCGCACGGCGCAACACGTAACATCACAACTAAAGTTCAAGTTCGCTCGAACTAGGATGGGACATGCAGAAGCTTACCATGGCTGAGGCTCTGTCCTGGATGTACTTGATCAACGAAAAGCCTTCCCAACGATGGGAACACTCGAAGCAGTACAGCATGCACAATGTGCGCTTGAACCGCTGGGTTCTCTTGCATCCCTGTGGCCTTTCAGATTCAGGTCGTCATTATCCTGGCCCCTGGCGGAGCTCTGTCGGCTCCTGCTCCAAGCAAGGACTGCGAGAAATCGTCGTCACTCTCACATTTGGGGGTTTACAAAAACAGGGGTACCCTATTGGGGTCCGTATTGTAGGGGGATCCTACTGTTGGGGGTTTTTATGAGGGGGCTTATAATCGTAAGCTCGCAAACCCCCATTTCGAACCCCCAACAACCAACAACTACACGTTGCCAGAGGCTGGCCCTTTCGAAGGCGAAGAGCTCGTCTGACTCGTCTGTGGGAGCTTCTTGTCCACCTTGCTGGGGCTCAAGGCCGTGCAACATGTTAGCAGGCTGCCTAGTCCTAGCATGAAAGCCACGGTGCCATAGCACCTGTTGGCTGCACATTGCAAGCTGAGACTAGCGCTGTTGGGAGCCTGCCTCGGATGCAGTACCGGGGTCGTGCTCAGAGATTGGTTTTGGACTCTCACGCTGGCGAAATGCGGGCGAGGACTCTGCTTCGAGTGTCGAGACGTCAAACACACTTGCTTGCAGCTCAGCTCAACCCATCCCACCACAAATTCAGAGATTGGCTTAGTTTGTACCTTTAGCAACCCACAGCAGCCTTTTGTGCGCTGCCGGGGAATCACAGGAAGACGCTGCGAACCAGACTCGCTGGGGGCCTCCTGGCACGCATCTGCAAGTCAGCAGCTCTTGCTCATGTTTGCCATATTTTGCCATTGCATGGAGCAGCCTGCACGGCAGGCAGGCCCGATGAACTCCGGTTCATGGTGGCCGCGTCATCGGCCTGTCCCTGTGAGCCAAGCCAAGGGCTGCGCCAAGAAAGCACCGGCGGGATTTTTCCGTGTCACAAAGTGTTCCAGATAACACTTTTGGGGGAATTTTATACAAACGAGCTGAGGGACCAGAGCGCTGCAGAGGTTTTTGGTAAGGCCTTGCCACCCTTTAGGCTCAAACAATCTTCTAACGCTTTCCGCAAGAAGTATCTTCCTGGCCATGCCCTGCAAAGGGGATCGAGGTGGTGCATGTTGGTAGTACTAGGAGTTCATCCTAAGTCAGCTTAGCCTCTTCAAGCTTTGGGCATCAGTACGTTGCGTGGAGTGGAAGCAACGAGCTAACGAACATGCTTGTAGTTATTCTCAACATGCCCGTGGGGCCTGCAGCTTCGTGTGGTTCTGATCACGTTTGGGTCCTGGATCGGTAGCCACTGACGCCTGAATCTCTGCGCCCCTCAGCACAACCGACAACCCCCAACTTGCAACCCTTTCAATTTGGCATGTGGCCTCCCAGGCCCCAAACCCCTGTTGCTGACCTACTGCTCCACAAACTTCTCAAAAAAAACGATCATATTGCCCCACTTTGCATGAAATATATACATATATATCACGAGAGAGAGAGAGAGGAGAGAGAGAGAGGGAGAGAGAGAGAGAGAGAGAGAGAGAGCGAGAGAGAGAGAGAGAGAGCGAGAGAGAGAGAGGGAGGGAGAGGGAGGGAGAGGGGGGAGAGGGGGAGAGCGAGCGAGAGAGAGAGGGAGAGATATAGTCCCTACCAGCACATCCACCTGCACTCCTTTCTTTCGGAAAAGCGATTGCTTACATGATAATGACTCCGGAAATACTCATACTCGGGCCACCTCTGACTCTCCATGCCGGTCTGCAATGCTGACATGATGCAGCACAGACTTTTCTTTCGCCATCTGGCCGCTACGCCGCTAGGGGCCCGTTACGGCCCGTGCTCACGGAATCCTCTGTCAATGTTGCGAAACCGTTGGCATCTGCGATCTTTGCCGAAATGCACAGAAACGTGGCTGGAACGTCGCAGGTGCGTGCACGTTGGCGCTTTGCTTCGCGCTCTGAGTCACTAAAGTCACCGGCTGGCCAGGGCATATTCTGGAGCAGCAAACCTCTTTCGAAGAGACCCATGAGACCCTTCTGGCCGGGTGACAAAAGACATGCTTTGCACCTCAGCATCCTCACAACGCGTCTCAGGCGGCAAAGACCGAACTGGGAGCAGGAGCTGGGAACCGGATGGAACCAGCAAAGGAGGATTAGGACACTGCAATGCAAGTCTGCCTGGAGGCGGCTTTGCGGCAAAGCTCTTCGAAGAGCTCGGGCGATGCCGGAGGTCCGTTGCCGGCCTGCCGTACACATCAGCCATGCTTCATACTACGCTGTCCTGAGGCTTCTTGCGCCGTAACCTCCAGAGCATCCACAGCCGCAAGGTAGGCTTTGGGCCCAGGATCTCCATCTCGGCCACCTTACACACCACATGGAAGAGGAAATGGACTGGTTGCACTTTCCGACCGGTGACGTGCAGGCGGACAAAAGTGCCACTCCCTCTCGAAATATCCGCTGGGCGTGGGCTTCAGGAATGCCCCTTAACTGGGATCAAGAGTCACCTCGATTTGGGTGGTAGGGCTACAGTAGATATGAAAACATGGAGAGCTGCCTTACATGTTGCTTTGCTTTGGTGGCTTCTTCGAGGCAGAGCGAGCACTCCCCGGACATGGGGTTTACGGTTTCGGGTTGGGTTTAGGGGGATATGGCTTGGCTGGCTTAGCTGACTCGGCTTGCAATGGCTTGGTTGGGAAATTTTCAGCGCGGCGGTGATCCTCAGGCTTTGCATTTCAGTAGCTCGGTCGCAAGGGAGGTCTTGTGTAGCTCGTGCTATAGTTCTCACTCCCATTCCTCTGTCTACTTCTCTGAGAATTTGCGTGTGGACATCGTGTGTATGTTTCCTTTTGCCTGTTGCTCTTCCTGAGCTTGTACTTTCGTTCCAAGTTTTTTTCTGCGTTTCTTTGCTCTTTGGCTTAGCTTCTGCTTTAAAATCTTCCATACTCTAGCCGAGGCCACTGGTCGTGTCATGTGAGAAAGCTAGGCTGGGACACCTGAAGAAACGGAGAATCTGAGGATCAAACAGAGCTCATTGAGCACCCACAGTGCCAAGTCCCAACTGCGGCGAGTGGCACATGCTCGGATCGCCTCAGAAGATCCAACATTTTCAGATCCCAGAAGACCCGGGAAGCTGACACCCTGAGATGCTGGCGATGCTTGACAAGATCGGGTCCAAGCGAATGCCCACGTCCACCCTCAACTCTCCGCGTTGTTGTTCCCGCACGCAACTTCATGCAACCATGCAGCAGCATGATGTGAGGGCGTGTGGGGCAACTCAGGCAGCGACATCTTGGAGAGCAGTTGAACTGCCAGCTCCCACTGAAATCCCTTCTCACAAGTGAAGAGCATGGTGCCTGCGGCGTGGGATTTCTGATTGACCACCAAGTGCTCGGCACAAATGCTGGCCACGTGGCTGTAGAGCTGCGCATCGGGCCGATGTCGCCGAGAGCAAGTCTCTGCCAGGAGCAGGCCCAGCTGCCTGAAACATGTGCGTCACTCGGATATCGTTGAGAAGATGCAGGAAACAACCCAGGGAGGGCAGATAGTAAGGCTCGAGCCATTGCTCACCATGCGCACAGGCGCTGGCAGCAGAAGTGGCAGTGTGGAGATCTGCTTGGAGACCACACTCTTGTAGGTCCTTGCACGGAATGCTCACATGCATGGAATGCTCGATCTCCCTTGCTGCGCCCTTACTGGTTCATCTAAACCCGACACCACCCTGTCGCAACTTTCAGTCGTTCCAAGACTTCCCGTCCTCAAGTAGCTGAAGGACCACCTCCCAGCGCTGTGACCCAGTGCAGGTGTCCATCGCTGTATTGAAGCTTATCAGATCCTGATTGCAGGCCAACACGGAAAGAGTGCTTCCGGCGTTGCGCGCTCTTGCACGCAATACGCCGTGACATGCTGTGACTCGTCTGGTAACACGGATGTGGGCACGGCACCGGCACAAGGCGCTCGTGCCGGATCTCCTCTGCACAGAACGCTGCAGACCGAAAGCACGCCGAGGCAGCGAGGAAGCTGCTCCTTGAGCAAGGCCAGCGCCCGCTCCCAGTCACCTCTCTCCCTGCCTCACGAAAAGAACAACGCAGAGAGCGCACCAAAACAAGAACCTCTCTGCTCTGGGATTTGCTGCCGTGGGCATACAGGCTTTGCCAGGATGATATGGGCCCTTTCATTTTTTTTCAGCACCAGAAGGACGGGGCTGCGTGCACGTTTGAGCCGTGTCTCCGACACGTGCAAACTGTACGACACGCAAATGGACTCAATAGATCAATGTGGACTGCAAGGTGAGACTGCGGAACCACAGCTCCTTAAGCACAAAAAATCTGCACATCAACACCAGTTCTTCTGGAGAGATGACTTCAAAAATACCTTCGTCTAGTAGTCTGTGCAAAAACTGTCTGTTTTGACAGGCACTAGACTCTGGGATCCTCTTCAGCATCCACCATGATAGAGTCTGAGAGAGGCGCTCTGCTCTCCTTTGCTAGGATGAGCCCCCGAAGTCGCGAAGAAGGATCCTGCAAAGGAAATGGGCCCGCAGGGCCCCGTCTAGTGGAGACTATTGGAGTATAGCACCTGTCTAACGACCCTGAGTGGACCCGCGGGACCGGGTCCCTCTCACATCATCGAAATCAGCATTGGGCGCAATCTTGCGTGGCTGTTGCCTGGAGCATAGGCGTGCGCCTTGGCTGCGGCCCAGCTGCGAACCCTTCCCCCTGGGTCTTAGAGGGAATGAGGGAATTCGGGCCCTATATAGACAAAAAGTATATATACCCTTTCAAGAATTTTCATAGGGCACCGCATTCCCCACTAAGAACCAGCCTGCCTTTTTCGATCCGAAACTCTACCTGCCAAAGTTCAACGCCAGGGTGCAGCACTGTTTGGGCAGATCCGCTGCGAAGGGCACTGCCGATGAAGCTCTTTGTGGATCATCCTGGGGGAAGATGTCGGTCCATTCACTCTGGTCCTGCTTGAGCTTCAAGGCTTCAAGAAACTCCCTGGAGTGTCTGGAGGCAGCTCGCTGCGTCAGCCAGCTATGCGACATAATTTCACAGAACTGGTCAGCATCCAAGACAGCCAATCGGCTCACATCCTCTGCCATTAGGTCTCCTAAATAGACCCAAGGTGTCCACAAGCAAATTTCGGCAATCCAGACACTGTCGTCCAAACTCTGTTCGGCACTGTCGGCGAAGTACCTCAATTCGCCGCTTAGCTTGAGGTAGGCGTGTGCAGCTCTGGTGCCGCTGAAGAAGATCATGTCTTTGCTTGCCACCGATGCATTGCTCAAGGCCATCATGGCCAATCGGTGCAGCACATGCAAGGTTTGCAAATCCTCACCCTGCATCATGTCATCAATCAGAGCCAACTTCCTGAGCGACTTCCGGTGCCTGGCAAACTGAAGCTCGCCCCTCAGCTGATGCGACAGGAGCTCGAGCAGGGGAACCTCCATATCAGCAGACCTCCCGGGCGCACGGGGGCTTCTGAACAAACCCTACACCCTAAACTGCCCTAAACCTCCTCACCTCTGCCTGCCTCGCCCTTCATCCCCAGCAGCCCCTATAGACCCTAAACCCTAAACCCCCTTGACTAGATGCCGGCGCGCCTTGCTTCCTGCCTGAGCGTGTACTGGTGCTGAAGGAACTGCGTCACTTTCTGGCCGAGCTCGGGTTGGATGTCGTTGTGCGACAGATAGCAACGGAGAAGTCGGAACTCTGTGTTCTCATCCTCTTTGATCTTGCTCAGACCCGCCATCAAGTTGCTCACTGTCGAGATGAGGGTTGAAGAGGTTATCAAAGAACGAAAAGTGATCAGGATGCAGAATGCGAACTCCAAGCTGTTCGTGGGCTTCGCAGAACTGCTGCCGACACCAAGTTGGGCAAATGCCCAATTGAGACAAACGAGGTATTGGTGGCCCATCGGATCCTCCTCGATCTGGCTGTCCAGCACCCAGTTGTTATCACTCAGCCGACTGACCCCAAACCATGCACACGCAACTAAGTGGTTCAGCACCATCAGATGCGCAATGCTGCTGGCCAGGCCATAATACAAGCTGGCTGCCTGGGCACCAAGTCATGACGGGTCAAAGCAACAACTCGAGGACAACACTCCACAACACCCTGCAGACTTTAAACCCCATGTGATGCCCACCGGCCTGCGAATGAAAATACTCTTGAAACACTTCATTGACTCTGCGAAGCTTGACCCATCTCAGCATGCGCACCAAGCGCAGAAATCGCAGCATGCGCAAGCTGCGAGACCTAGCAAGAAACACAACGGCTGCACGCAGTTGGTAAGTTGGTACATCAGTACATCATGACATTGCTCCTCATCCCTGGTTTCCTCAATCCTTCAGACATCTTAGTCGGGCGGCCACTGCAACGACTCGACTTCGGCCGCATCCATGGTGTCCATCACGACAAAGGACCAGTCCATGGAGATAAGGCTGATGTCGAAGAGCATCCAAGTGCGTGCATAGTGACATGCGATTCTGGATGGGGTCAGGACAAGTGTCCCTTCATCGTAGAACCCGGTGAGAAAGGAGAGAACAAAGTCTACATTCCAAAAGAGTTGTATGTACCACCCCGCTGCTGCAAGAAATACGCTCGAAGGAAGGTCGAAGACGTACAGGGGGATAACAAGCAAATCATAAAAGATACTCAGGGCGACCAGCACGTTCCAAAACGTGCGCCACGTGCCACCTGGATGTAGCACACACTTCCTGGCAAGCTTATAACGCTGCCTTTATCAAGCACAAGCTATCACAGGCTCAACAGGCAAGCACCCATCACCCGCCAGTCCTTACTATGGGCGAGACTGCTTCCTCTGCTGTCGGCACATCAATCCTTAGACACATATGCTCGTCATCACAGTCCGAGCACCAGAGCACTTGTCCTCGCTTAGCATACAGCGACATTCTGCTCTCAAAGCCGTGTCTCTCGCGTCTGGACTTGGTGTAATTGGTTGGCTGCTTTTGGGTCCTGCTCTCATCTGACAGCTTCGGGCGGACCATGGGGCCTTGCGGTTTCATATTCGAGGCTGCCCAGCAGTCGTGGGGCTTTAGCTCAATCGCGGCTTCTGCGGAAGGGGCCAGGCTCTGACCCTGGACCAGAAGCAGCGTCTTCAGGGACTTTTCTCGCCTCACACGTCGCACAAAGGCATTCCATGCTTCAGGATGCATCAGGGTGCTTCAGGTCATCAGCAAGCTAGCAATAAGCTTCTGCATATGTTTGCGCCCTCGCCTTCCCAAAGCTGCACCTCCTTCAGGCTTCGGGGACTCACCCGACTGGCTCGGCCTCCTCAGAAGCCAGGGCTACCCCCGACTCTGTGACTTGTCACGGCCCACAAAAATATGCCTCTGCTAAGCCCCTGCCTTGCCAAAGCTGCACCACCTTCATGCCGGGGGGACTCACCCGACTGGCTCGGGCTCTGGACGTGCCTCCTCAAAGACGAGGGGTACTCCCGACTCTGTGACTTCAGGGACCACACAAAGGCAGTCCATGCTTCAGGACTCTTCAGGATGCTTCAGGTCATCAGCAAGCCAACTAACAAGAAGTTCTTGCGTTGCGTCCTTGCCTTCCCAAAGCGGCACCACCTTCATGTTTGTGGTACTCACTCGACTGGCTCGCGCTCTGGAAGTGCCTCCTCAGAAACGAAGGCGACTCTAGACTCTGAGACCAATTCATCCACTCAGCCACCCGTCATCTGTTTGCAAATCATGGAGAAGCCCGGAGAAACCCTCTGCCTAGCGATGAACGGAGCTGGCAGATGTGGGCCGTGGCAATCAACTTTATTGAAGCTGCCACGCCGCTCTTCCACAAGAGCCATGTCAGACACGTAACCTGAGTGCATCAGGCATCAGGGTAGCTCTCACCTTTCAACGCGCACGAAAACCCCTGAATACACTGAATGGCGACACTGAGTATGATCTGCTGATGAAGGGGCACTCAGCGAGCTGCCTGTGTAGTTCCCAGAAGCAGTGTTTCACGGGCATGGTTAAACTCTCACTGGGCACGGGCACCAGGCTTGGTACCCTGGGAGGTAAAACCAGGTCGGCTTGCGGCTCCATCATCTCTGATGCCTGGAGCCTAGAGCACAAGTGCTCAAAATCTCTTCGAGCTGGTGGCGGCGGCACAAACACGCCATGCAACAATAAGGCTTCTAGCAACTTGTCCGGAAGAGACACGACGCGCAAAAAAATATGCAGGAATCGCACAAAAAATCACGCGGGATTCTTTCCTTGGGCCCTGACTGATACACATCGCCCAGTCGCACGACGGTGCACACTGTGCAGTAGTGGGCCCGGCAGGCTAAGGCACAGTGAAGAAAGTGATATATGCAGAGTATTGAAGAGTGCTAGAACATAAGTTCGTAGTCCCGCATCTCACACAAACCTGCCTGCATCTCTGAATAATGCCCTGGGTGGCTTCGCCACAAATTCAGAGTCTGCATTGCATCGTCTTGGCGGAACTCTGCTTACATCGGACTTGCCTATGATATCCAGACTCTGAAAGCCTGAGCCGACCATCGTTCGTATTCGGCGAAGCAGTGAAACGAAGTGCAACATCCACCTCAGAAAACCTGCTGCTCCGATTTGACCTTGTGCTTGGCCTTTCATTCCTATCGAAGCTCGCGTTGCGTGGAGTCCGGAGCAGCTGGCACCACCTGCGCCAGCCGCCGCTTTGAACCCAGGAAAGGTGCACCTCAAGTTCACAGAGGAGATGGGCAGAAGCGGCACGAACACAGATGCATAGGACCGCACAACGCAACCGAGCGCATCAGTCAAAGTGAGGTTGCTCACACAGCCACGTTGCAGCATAGCCTCTTCTTGGAAGCTGGGGCAGTTGTCTCGCTCCCGTTGACGCTCTCATCCTCAGAGTCACCCTCCCTTTCCAGCACGTCCAGCCAGCTCTCCTGCTTCTTCAGCAATTCCTTGGTTCGACCAAGGGCTCACAAGGTTTGATTGAGCGCAGATCGGTTTTCCAAATTCGTCTGAGTCTGCGATGGCAAAACCTGTGCAGAGATATGTAATTACCAGGAAACATCTTCTTAGCCAAGAGGCCAAGAAGTCCTTCGCATAGCGGTGAGCAGCGTAGTGAGTTTGCGGATTCTGCGCCAGGATTTCGCAAAAGCTTTCGGCATCGAGCAGGGCCAGGCGGCTCACGTCATCGGCAACGAGATCACCCATGAAGATCCATGGAGTCCATAAGCAAACCTCTGCTACCCAAGTGGATGAATCGATCGTCTTCGTCCCATCCTCGTGGAAGTATGTCAGAGAACCACTCAGCTTTAAGGAAGCTGCAACCGCCTGGCTACCACATAGGAAGATCACATCCTTTGCCGCCACAATTGTGGTGCTCAATGCAGACATGGCCAAGCGATGCAAGACCTGCATAGTTTGAAGGTCAGGGTCGTCCATCAAGTCGTCAATGAAGCGTAGCTTACATAGTGACTTCTGGTATCGGGCAAACTGAAGCTCGCCGTGCAGCTGCTGTGACAGCAGCTCCAGCAGTGGCACCTGCATGTCGGCGGACCTGAAGGGAGAAATGTGCAGGGAATGAGCAGGGCCATGCCCTCTTCTCCGGGGGCTAGAGACTGGAAAACCTTGGAGACTCCATATTGCTCGTCTGTTTTTGAATCCCCTGCCTGGCTTCCTGCCTCAACGCATATTGAAACTGCAGGAACTGTGTGACCTTTTGCGTGAGCTGCTGCGGGATTTCATTCGCTGCGAGGTATGCGCGGAGGAGTCGAAACTCGTTCGTCTCATCTTCCTTGATCTTGCTCAAGCCGGCCATCAAATTACTCACTGTGCTAATCAACGTGGAGCTTGTGATGAGCGAGCGGAACGTAATGATGATGCAAAACGCAAATTCCAGGCTGTTGATGGGCTTGGCGTTGCTGGACCCAACTCCCAGTTGCGCGAAGGCCCAATTCATACAAACCAAGTATTGGTGGCTGATGGCGGTGTCTTCGATATTGCTTGCGATCACCCAGTTGTCCGAGCTGAGGTGGTGCACTCCGAACCAGGCACAGGCAACTAAATGGTTCAGCACCATAAGGTGTGCTATGCTGCTTGCCAGGCCGTAGTACAAGCTCGTAACCTTCAGACGGAAGGGGGCTCTCACTATCACGTGCAGGAACATCAAACATGTGCCACATGTGTTGCACTTCAGGGTTGCGGGCCGGAGTTGTACTATAGAATTAACCGGAGATCGCAGCACAAAACCGCAGATGCCCCTGAAATGGACTTGGACCATCATTTGGGGTTTGGTAACGTCGGGAAAATTGTGTGGTAGGTTTTCGGGCCTTGGGTGACCATCCTCCTAACTGCCATCGCTCTCCCAACAGTGCTTGCACAACGTTGGGGGTGAAGACATCGGGCGCGCGCGGGGCCGGCGCGGAAACGTCGGAGGGCATCTTCTTGCGATTTGCATTTCGTGGTGTGGCAAGTGGGTCCCGTGCGCATGCTCCAAAGTCCTGCCAGATACAAAAGGATCGGGCACGTCAGGGTCACGACCTCGTAACTGCCCTTGCTTTGGGACGTCTACGTGCATCGAAACTGCTGCTACGGCTGATGCGGAGATCGGGCGTGTCCAGCCAGTGAGGCCAGTTAGGTAGAGGATCTCCTGTCGATTTTGTTGCTACTCGTGCCCCCAGTGCAGTGCAGTTATTGCTGCGGTTTTTCTGCGTTGATTCTAGTATTGTTGTCCTTCCTGCCGCTGCAATGCTTGTACTCTCGCTGATATTATGTTGCATAGTGTTCTCCTATTGTTACGATTCTGCACATCGGGGCCATCGCCACCTTCAGTGTGTTGCTTCCATTCCCTTCCTTGCCATGATTGAAAAAGGCAAGTGTTCGGGAAGGTGTGCCTTGGAGTGCGGTGCGCTGAGCCAGCCAGGAGGCAAACAGCCAACAAACAAGGATTGTCATGCCCCCAATCGGTTGTGTCGTCGGATGTGCGAAAGTACAAGCTGCAAAGGAGGGAGGCCAGAGGCATGATATGTTGGTTTTCATATGTATATATATATATATATATGTATAACATTGCTATTCGGACGATATGAGACTACAGGTAATATCTGTCGCTTGAATCGCAGAATCGCCTCAACATCCTGGAGAAAGGCCAACCAGAGTCTCCCGGCCAAGTCATGCCTACAGCCCCCCAAACCTGAGACCTTAAGGTGAAGAGACGTTCCAGGAAGGGGCTTATGGAAGGAAAGCCAACAAAGCCGGCAGAGCACTATCTTGCAAAAGCCAGCAAAGCAAAACGCACAGCCAAAAACCCGACAAAAACACTCCCCACCAAATCCCGCGCTGATATCACTGCCGCGGTCTTGGGGGCGTGGATCTTCCTATTGCTTGCTTGTCGTTTCGGGTTCGGTGGTGGTTTTGCCGTGGCTTCCTAGCTTCTGCCTCCGCTAGTGTACTGGCAGTGCGTACACCACGGTGTGCCGCATTCCTTCTTCAGGTCAGGCCTTGCTCTTCACCACTCATCTTGACATCGCGTCTTTCCTAACTAGCTGGGGCTTGCGGGCATACCTCCGTTTGAAGGCTCTCTCCTCTCACAGGAAAAGGCTCTACAGCTCCAGCAGTGCTGCCTGTGAGTGCAGGAGGTCTTGCAGAGCTTCATTTGCCTGTCGAAGCTTGATCCATCGTAACATCCGGATAAGCCTCAGAAATCGGAGCATCCGCAGCGTGCGTGACCATGGCTGTCCTCCTCCACTGTCGGCCAGATCCATTCCGGCAAGGATCCAATCCAGCGAAATCAAGCAAACGTCGAAGAGCAGCCAAGTCTTCGCATAATGAAGAGCAACCCGAACAGGTGACATGACAAGTGCACCCTGATCGTAATACCCAGTCCGGAAAGAAATCACGAAGTCCAGATTCCAAAACAGCATGATCGCCCATCCGAAAACTGTAAGAGCAACTGAGGTCGGGAGGTTGAAGGCATAAAGAGGAATAACAATGAGATCATATAGCACACAGATGGCCACGATCATGTTCCAAACTGTTCTGAATAACCCGGCTGGATGAAACATGCACTTCCTGCAGGACATGGTGGGCTCGGCTCTGCTCCAGTTGCACCCTCGACCATTTTTTGCAACAGGCCCGACAAACCCTAAACCCTAAACCCTAAACCCTAAACTTAGGCTAAACCCTAAACCCTAAACCCTAAACCCTAAACCCTAAACCCTAAACCCTAAACCCTAAACCCTAAACCCTAAACCCTAAACCCTAAACCCCACCCCCTGAACCCCTGAACCCCCAAACTGTGCACCCACATCACTCCTGGGTCCGACGCTGGTGTCGTCGCTGGGCTGAGACCTGAGCATGACGATGAAACAGGGCGGGGCAAGGATCGTTTAGGGAAATAGGGTTTGAGGCTTAGGGCGTAGGGACATTGGGGGGGTGCCCTTCTCCAAATGGAAATGTTAGAGTTAGAGTAATTAAGGGGGCTCTGATAAGCAAAGCCCGCGTGGCTTCAGGAAAGCATTTTCATGCATTTTCGGCCCCATCCCCGGAAGAGGAGCTTCCATTACGGCGCAACTGCGCAGCAACAATCTCTGCAGCGTTGGCACTGCATGGGGAAGTCAAAAACGGACGGAGCTGCTTACTTACCAGACTGCTTGCTGGCTTCTTTGCAGAAACAAGTAAGGAGTCGACTACGCAATCACTTAATGAATTCAGTGCCGGGGAGAGGAGAAGAGGAGAACCCCGCAAAAAATATGGAAAAGGGGGGGAAGGGTCTTGAGTCATAAACCCATCCTCAATATGTCCAACAGTAGCAATGGCCCAAGGAGATGTTGCCAGCATGGCATAAACCCTAAACCATAAAACCTCAACCCTAAACCCCAAACCCTAAACTGGCCTGAACGGATTGCTGCCCGAGCGTCGTCACAGGAAGCATGTCTCTGGTGCCACCGAAGTCTTGAGACAGCCGCCGGTTCGCGGGAAGCTTCTTCTGAAGCTTGTTGGAATTCCAACCTAAGCTCGTAAGAGTCCCACAACACTCCGAGTATGCCCCCTGTCAATTGGTCAACAATGCATCTTGCCCTTTTTGAATTGCCGGAGAGGTGCACTCATGCAGCTTCAAGTTTATGGGCGCTGCCACACTGCTGCCATCCTCTGACACATCAACGCCCTGTACTTTGCCAAGCGTTTTCAGTGTCTGCTTTCTCCTGCGAGCGATGTCTTCAGCCGCCCATCCATGCAACATGAAGATCGTGGATGCACACTGCGCTGTTCATGAAGCCACCGCATCACAAAAACTGCCCAAGGCTTTAAGAGATTTACAAGGCTCAGTGTCAGGTCGTGCCTCCCCCTCACCGTTTCGATGCGGTCTTTTGCGCTTAGCCGTTCACTGTGCGTGGGATCCAAGACAATGGTCCGGTCGCTGCGTGCCGCGCGGGGATCCACAGAGATCATGGAGCTGTTGCTCAGCCGCCTCCAATGCCGCAGTCTGAAGACTCTTATCCGTATGTAGTGGCATGTAGTGGCATAGTGGACATCTAACGAGCAGCCTCTTTCATTCAGAAACGGAGCCAACGATATCAGGCAATGACAGAACGATCACTATCCTAAACAATTTCCGGGAACAGCTGCAACGCCGGGACGGCGTCACACCTCTCGCTCGCCACAGGAGTCTGCAAGTGCTGATCATACTTGATCTGGAGAGATGTGACCGCATCGGCTTTCTTCTCTGCGGGTCGGCCCTCTGCTGTTGCAATATCAGAGGCATAACCTGGGACAAGGGCTCAGCGGCTTAAGCGCAGCTTGAGGCTTGCCATCTACCGACTCCCACTTATCTCGAAATACTGAAGGCGCACTATGTGCACTACTAGTATGCGCCACACACCGTGCCATGAGGCATTCCGCAAGCTGTCGATGCAGCTCCCAAAAAGTCGCTTTGATGGGCCCTGCGAGGCCAGAGGATTCCATGGCCAATCAGCCAAGAAGGCTGAACTTCTCTAAGCCCAAGCTGCGGTCACGAGTCGTCACGAGCCATCAGACTACAGCGTCTGTGAAGTGCCACACAGATTCTCAGTCGCGTACTACCAGCAACGGCTGACAGGGCGGCATTGAAGGAGACCAGATCTGGCCTGCACGGAGAAAACAGAGCCAGCCACTCAAGCATACTCAAGCTGCACCTCGGCTCACGCGAAGTCCGCATCGTTCGAAGCAACTGCAAAGCCCTTCGCCACTCGAAGCCGCGGCCGCAGGATGTCAGGACTGAGTTGCAGCCTTGCATTGGGCTTCCGTCGTGCAGGGCCCTCAACACCTATGCAGCGCCTCCTGTTCAAACAATAACTCTGTTTGCGGTGCGGCTTCGGTACGGCGGCCCTCTCTAAGCGCCACGCTGACAACGTCGGGGCACAAGCGGCCACTGGGCATTGACGTAAACAAGTGCAATGCCACCTGCACGAGACAAGATGCACGCAGTCCACATCTTTCGCAGCAGCTTGGCCCCGACGGACGCCCTCACGACCCCTCAACGGCGAAATGGAGACCACCCACGCACAGGGGACGCCCCAAGCAGGTGTTGGCACGCGGCGTGAACCAGGACCCAAGAGGATGCGCTTCCGGCGCGCACGAAATTTCCACATAGAAGCTTTCAAGACCCGACTTCGTACCCCAATCCACCCCATGTCGCCCCATCGTCATGCTTGGGGTGATGTGTCTCAGCAGTGTGACCTGGTAGGATTGAGCAGCGTAGCGTTGCGCAAGCGAGCCTATTTTTCCCGACTGGCAAGCGTGAGTCTCAAATCACATCCGGGCTCAACATGTCATAGGATTCCGGCCACACGTGCGTGTAGCCTTGATGAGGCGTGCACTGCCTCATGCAGCTGCTGCGATGCGCACTGGAATGCAATCAAGCAGCCGCGGCCAATTTCTTGCAAAGCTCTGGCATCACTGGAGCGCTCTTCACTCCACAGCCAGGTGGCAAATATCCACTTCTCATCAACAGCAGGCAGGCTTTGGTGCCTCACACAAGTTACAAGTGGCTCAGTGTCTCACAGGCTCAACAACTTTCCTGCGTGCCTGCTATCGCCGCCTTGCAAGCCGTGAGCTACCCTGAGTTTTGTTATCTTCGATCGCTTTGACGGCACATTGAAACGTCCTAATGTTGCTGGAGCACACATCCTGATAAAGAGAGCCACAGCATCCACAACAGCGATGGAACAGAGCCAAATAAAGGAAGCCGGGCCTTGTGCGCTGGGCATCGGAGTGGCGGTCGAGGCGCGCAGGGAAGTGGACCACAGCCAAACCTCTGGGCGGTCTTTTGTTTTTGCCAGTGGCATATGGCATCCTGGGGGTCCACACATGGGGGGCTTTTTGAGCCACAATTCCTAGGCGCACGTTGGGGTGCCCCAAACAAAGCAGACCAACAATGGAATCTGGAAGAGGCCCCAAACACTTCAAGTTAACCCTCTATACTGGACACCTCTGAGCATCTCAAAGGCTTGGCCCAGACCCCACCCAGCGGCCTTGCTCCGGTGAGATTTTCAGAGGTGGCGAAGCATTCGGAAATTCCGTTTCGCCTCCTAGCGCAGCATGCCCAACATGTCTTTACGGGGACGCGATTTGGGTTGAGGTTGAAGGGCTGAGGGTTTGAGGCTGAAACCTTGGGATTTGGGAAATCCAACCCCAGGGCCTGCAAACCTTCCCGCCCGACCGGCTCTATGGAAAACCCAGGTTCGTGCACATTTTGCTGGCGAAGTACTAGCGCCGTGTAATGTGCCAACGCTGCGGCTCGCTGGCGTGGTACTTTCCAGCCTTCGAGCATAACAAATGGTTTCCAAGCCCCCCGCTCAGGGGAGGTTGGGTTCCCCCGCCCCAAGCCCCGCCAACATTCCCAACCCCTCCGTCTCAGCGCGAAAACGGGTGGTTGGGAACAATGCCTTCGTCTTTGCTTGAGCAGATCCTGCACTTCTTTGTGATACGGAGCATCATGGGTTATCTGGACGGCCATCATTCTTGAGCCGTGGCTCTTCCCACAGGTGACCATCCATGGCAGATGTTACAATACTACATTTCAAGCATACCTATACTTCTTACTTAGATTCAGTGCTAGCGAGAAGCTAGCCGTATACTAGCGCCACGTTGGGAGCTGTACTTGGGGGCTAGCGCCACGTTGGGAGCTGTACTTGGGGGCCGCCTCACAACGAAGACGTCAAATTGAGATAGGTTGTAGATCATTGAGAACGGCCTGCTCCTACTGATTAGAATTGAAAGCTGTGGTTTGAATCTTGTGGTGTGACCAGGCTGCTCAGGCTGATGGTGTTTTATCATGGTCGGTTGGGGGCAAACACCTTCAGCATCTGCAGTTGCGCGGAGGCCTTGGCTGATGTCGTTCAAATAAACGAAGAGCGTCGCCAAGCGAGAGCTGTCAATGAAACCCGCACTGGATCTCGTTCCGCTGGTGCTAAAATCCCCGTGGAGCTTGAAGAACTCACCTTCCTGCCAGTCGCGATTGTTGCTCGACCGGTGTCCGACGACATGAAGCAGAAACGCGTCCTGGTATCGAATGATTTGACAAGCTTCCAGCTGTCGCCGTTTGCAATGCAAGAGAGCCTTGGTCGTTGGTCGGCTCGCAATGTGAAAGAGCCCACAACTTTGCGCAGACATTCTGCTGACACTTACTGGACCTATACAGCACTCACTGTCTTGTGCTTGTCGAAGAGTTTTCGGCAAGGGGCGACAATCTTTTGGATAAGCGACGGCACTTCAGACTGGGGACATATGCATTGAGAGCTTGTGCGACGTGGCGATCGCTTGTGGCCATCCGGACTGAAAACACCTGCAGGGACCAGCAACGTTCATGAGAAGCATGGGTGGTGCAATTCCTTTCAGTGCATCTAAAACTCCACACTTCTGTGATCTGTCGGCAGAAGCATCCGTCAAAACAAGCCCCACCTGCGGGCTTCATGCTGTCATGCTCGTGACAAGCCTTCTGACGAAGCCGCTGGCATTCACTCGGGCTGAAGAAGTTCTGGACCAAGAAAATGTGAGGGCATCTCCTGCATCTGGCTGAGCCAGCAACGATGCGGCACGCAACTTTGCAAGAATGGAGGGAGAAGCCTCACAAGCTGAAGCCCAGGGTATGACAAGTTGATGCCGTGAAAGCCCTGCTCCACATCAAGGTTGCCCGAAGATACCGCCTGCGACTTAAAGCTGTCATCTGGCGCAATGCACGACATGTAAATGCAAAGGCACAATCAAGAGATCAGCCTGGCTGTTAGACTGCTGATCCGTCTGCCTTCAAGGAATCACCACAGGTCGTAGAGGAACGAAAAATGATTGGAAAGCATGGTGCCCGCCATGGCCGGCAAAACATGATTCAAGTGCATGGACATGCATACGTTGTGCACGTGGCAGAGGGTGTGCGTTGCGACATGCTGCTCAGCTTGCTGCTTGTTCTTTGAGCAGTCTGACGAGATTGGCAAAATTGCCAACCGGGTAGCTTCACTGCATGCCAATGCAAACTGTGCCCAATATTGCCCCCATAGGCCCCAAATAGTAGCATTCCCCATAAGGATCCCAGAAAAGGTACCCCGTTTTTTCATTCACCTTGCTGCGGGAGTCGCTGCGTGTCCCGGCTCTGTCCAGAACACAACATCCACAGCGATGGGAAAGTGATCCTCGGCTGCCAGAAGGTCTTCCGGCCGAGTCGAAGGATTGGGAGATAGGGACATGTGAGGACTAGTGTCTAACCCAAACTACGTCTCAAACGCCCTGTGATGTCGCGTGCGCACCAAGGCTGCGGGCACGATCGCGCAAGCCTACGTATGTGCAAACTAGTCCGGTCCCAGTGCACTTAGGAACCTGAGCACTTTGGCACAATCTGGTTTCGAAGACAGCGGAATTGAGAACAAGCGTTTGCACTAGCAGTCCTAGTTTGCAGCAGAGCCCATGGAGCTTTCAAAAGTCCTGCACTGGGGATGACTGAAGCACGTGCCACACATGAACACTGCCTCGCAAAAAGTTTGTAGGGGACCGAATTCCGTGTGCGATCTTGTGCTTCACATAGCTGATTGTGCAAGCTCGTGACTCGAATGATTGCGACACGCACCCGCCCCACTCTACCTCACTGCCTGACACTCGGGAAAGGCAGGTCGAATTACTTCTGTGTTGGGATTGCCAGACTTCGCTCGCCGATTATTCCTCACACAAACCACGTGCAAACAAGCTAAGCCAACCTTCTGACTTTACTAGGATAGATGCTTCCCTCGGAGGGGAGGGTGCTGGTGTGAGAGGCCGCACGGTTGTCCTACACCCCCTCCGCCCCGACCCCTGCACGCATGTTTTCACGGCTCCAATGCAATCCAACCCCCACCCTTGTGACCCTCACCTCGCCCCTCCTGCACCCCCCCCACATACTTTTCACTAATTACTTCCGGTACCACGCCATGCCATGCCAGACCATATCATCCACGTCCTTATCACCTTCCCTTTCAAGCGCCGCACCCACCTGAAGCCCGACATGGCTACACATTTCCAGACCTTGTTGTCGGTCCAAGGTGCGGAGGGCCAGCGTCCTGAATGCAGAAGCGTGGGCAGCGGTGCTTGGGGCGTGGTGCCGTAGAAGGACCGAAGCCAAGCACGGCAAGGCAGTCGAAGGCGCCGATGTGCCCAGGGGCCCCAGTAGCCTTCGGATCTGCGCTCTATGTTGCACAGGTCACGAACGTCAGCTGCGGGGCTAAGTGACCGCTGAACTGCAAGAGCTCCTGATACTGCCTAAGCCCTCAGTGCCCTCAGGTCATGGCCTTCCGAGGCGCGGAGCCAGCAGTAGTCAATGATCCTGTTGGATATGCTCAACATGCATGCCTCCCTCACCACTGCTCTCGGTGCTCAGTTGTTCTCGCCAAGAATCTCCGCAAAGCCCTGGCCGCTACGAGCAAGAGCATTGGTCGTTGTGACGCCACCCGACTCACCGGACAGCCTTTCTATGTCCTGCCACAGCATCAAGTGCACGGCCCTCTCCAAGCTCTACCAGGCACCACTACGTGCCTGATATGCCGAGCTGAAGAACTGGCTCACAAGACCATGTGTGGGGCTCTGCGGCGTCATGTTGAAATCACCACCTGTCAAGATGCCACACTCTGCAGAGAAGAGCGGCTGGCACAGCCAATATCACATGAAGGTGCCCAAGCAGAGCAACTCACAAAAGAGAGAGAGAGAGAGGAAAAAAAAAAGAGAGAGAAAGAGAGAACTCACAGGGGGCACAAATGATTGTGTAGTCATTCCGATAGCTCAGAACCGTCTGCAGGAGGACTGATGCCTCGGCACTGTTTGCCATTGTCAAGACTTGCCAAAACGAGAACAGATGTCTCCCTGCCTGATGGGTACGCAAGTCCTCCCGGGTATCATTCCAAGCTAAATGGGTGGTGGCAATCAGCACCTCAGGATGAACTAGCGATGACAAGCGGAATGGAGGTTGAACCTTCCGGCTTCACATGGCGCCAAGATGCTGTCCATCCCTCCGGCGCATCTGTGGGCTGCAGCTCCACCAGTAATGCCACCTGAGCATCATCCGTGAGGCAAGGACCCGGTGCTGTTTCAAGCACGACGTGCATGTTGCCATGACATGCGACAACCCAACTCGAAAAATGTCTGCTGTTTACCTAGGGTTCCGGCGTGCCCGCTTGGCCCATCATCTTGCTGGCAAGAGGTCTGGGGCGGCGGAAAATCATCGTAGTAGAGAGGCTGCTGCCTGCCAACGTCCGCAGGCTGCACTCTTCAGCCAATCCGACTACATCTAACTCAAGCTGAGGGCACCTGATCAAGGTGAAAGCCTCGCGCTGCCACGCGATTAGGCAACCATCCTTCCGGTCCAAGCCATTGGACCGCTTGGGGCGCTGCACAGACCTAGGACCGCCCAAAAATCTGCCAAAACCCGCCATTGCCATCCCTTTGCTGGGCGTGCACCACCACACGCAACGCGCAAAGCAGGTGGGACACTGGATAGCCACAATTGGCATGCCAGAAGCCCCGCATCCTCATGCAAAACTGCCCTGGCACTTCTTTTTGCAGCCGGCCGGCGCAACAGCATAGGATGACCTTGGGGCCCACATACCCGCACCAAATCACCAGTCTTACATGCTGCAAAGGACGGGGTTGTGTATATGTGGGGGGATATGGGGGCAGAGAATGCTCACTACGGCTGATACGATACAAAAAAACCTCTGATACCAAGATGCAAGCCCAGCTCCTCCAAGGGCCGGTCGAGCTCTATCTGCGGGAGAAGGCTTGTTTTAGAGCTGAGGGTTGCCCAGGGGTGCGTTGTGCAGTTATGGTTATGGCTTTTGCAGAAGACAAAGGGGCCTCCTGGAGGCAGAGTATTGTCGGAGCTAGAGCATGCAGGACCGTCTTGATTTGGGTGGCCCGGCGCGGCCACCGCAACGCCTCCGGGTCGACGTCCTGCACCCCCAGTGCCGGCACAGCGCCGGCACGTCAAGGCAGGCTTCGAGTTGAACACAATGCCTGCCTCGCCTGCCACTGAACATGGAAAAAAGCTTCAGTCCTTGAAGAAAGCGCCCGAGCAGTATGAGGGCGCAAGAAGGTTCCAAGACACGATACGCGCAGAGCAAGTGCCGAGGGACTCAAGGATGGCCTCACAAGGAACCACAAGAAACCATTGATGCGCAGAAATTGCGCCGAAGTGCGCAGTATGCAAGTCGCTATCAGAAATGGCCTCGCAGCAAGGCTCCAGGTTCAGGTCTAACGGTAGCAGCTCAAGAGGTGATAGAGCATCAATACTCGAAGTGTCCTGATGAAGCATCATGTCCCGCCATCGTCTTTCTTTCTGACAGGAAGCCCTGCTGTTGAATGTGTGGGCCTCCTCGAGGAGTTCCCCACAGCGAGGTTGCCCACGATCATTGATGGCCTGGCACGCTCGGAGATGTGATGATGTGGGAGACTTTTGCGAGATTTTGGAGGGTCCACAAACATGACGTGGAAATCGCAAGTCACTGAGGGCAGCGCTAGGGTGAAAACAACGCGTGCTCCGCAGCAGATGCCATTAGGAAGCAATGACACGGGACAATATACATCACCTCAACAAAAGCACCGGCGAAGCTCCCCTTTCACACCTGACGTCCCTGTCAATTGCACATGTGAACTTCTCTGCATCCCTATGTTCATCAAGACACGGCCGAACGTCTCTAAGAGCTCGCTGCAGCGGACGAACCCGTAGCCATCTTTCAGCGAAAAGCTTCGCAGAACACCGCGGTAAACATTTCCATCCATTGCCAGCCGCCGAGGGCAACGCTAGGGCAACTTTTTTCAATGCAAGATTGATGTGGGATGTGCGCATGCGTCCGCACAAGAGATGTCGGTGCACTCTGCGCATGGCTGTGTGGACCACCTTGCGACAACGACTACAGTGACTACAGTTTAGAGGGGTCTGTCCGCTGGCTACCGGGCCCGATGGCACTAGAGAAACAGCTCTGAATTTGAATTTTGCGTATCTTCACGGCACTTGTACATACAGTAACACTGCAAAAGTCTGTCGGGCCAGCATCGTCAAACCGCTTTGGACCCCACACCAGCACAAGGCGCAGTTGCAAGCTGTAGCAGCAAGACCCTTTTTCAACGCATCTCTTTACAAGGCTCAGGGCCAGGAATGGGAAGGCATCGCGAAGTCCATGGCGTTCGACAGCTTGTTTGGCAGAGATGCCTTGCATGTCGCCCTTCACCTTCCCCGTCCTTGGTTTTAAAGCGCCATGCATGTTGACTCATTTGGGCGGATGTTGGCTCCAACTGATTGTCTCAACCTTGGGCGCAAGGTGCTTGCACGTTGCTAGCTGGTCGGCTCCTCGCTGATGCTGATGTCAATCTGAGAAGGGCAAGAATTTGTGCGAAACATTCTTGTCATGCACGCCAACTGCCCCGGAGATCTGCCTAGAACTGATGAAGAGTCCACGAGCGCTGCAGATGTCGGTCTGGGCCGAAAGTAAGATGTCAGTGCACCTGGAAGGACGTGCCAGAAGCAAAGCTGAGTTGCCGACCAAAACTCGTTTGTTTTCACAGCAGCCGCACCAGAAATTTCGTCAGCAGATCGACCAACACGACAGCAAAGGAGAACATCACTCGTGTTCAATGAGAGTTGCAGGGCTTTGTGTAGCCTGTCCGTTCCTCCTGTCACTCGCCTGAGGTTACTAGCTGAAGCAGCGGGAGACAATGAAAGCCGCGCGTAGACGCACTGAAGGGTATCTGTGCCAGGCGCCCATGCAGAGAGCACAGAAATGAGCCAATGTGGTCAACCACGGAGAGGACACAGCCTGAAAGTTCAGGAATTCAATGAAAGGGAGAAAAAAAAAACGTCGCTTCATGCTTCCCAGCCCATCTAAGCTCGAGGCATAATAGACCAGTGCAACGGCATCAAGCACCGCCGAGACGGCCAAGGCCCCAAACGTCAGAACGTCCTTGCGCCAGTCCACCTGGAAGTGCCCCACACGTGTCACAGGTTCCACTGGGCACGAAGATTGGAAGATCAAGAAGGAGAGGCTTCATGGCTTCATAGCTACCCCGACGTCCAAGAGCTACAGTTCAAGCGGACACCTTTTCTCTCCAATCGGCTAATATTGGAACAGGCGAAACTCGCAGGAGCCAAGCTCAACTGCTGGGAACTGGAACACTCCCAGATCGACTTTCTGCTCGCACACATCAATGCCACGAAGCACTTCGAAGTGGGATCCAGCAGGAATGCTCTGAAAGGCAGCCCGGTTTTCGGTTTTCGCCTCAAACTCCTGTTGCTCAATGCCCTGTGGCACATCTTCCATCACCATGGATCCGGGTGCGGTGGTCGGCAGCATTTTCTCCGATGCTTCCAAGGCCGTCTCAGAGGCTTCTCGCTGACAAGCGCTTGGCGAAGCGCTTGGCGAAATGCTTGGCTGTGCCGAATGTGCTTGCCCATCGATATCCGGTTGGGTCTGAGTTGTGTCCTCTAGGTCGTCCAGCTGTGTCTCGTCTACGTCGGCGGCGACTGTATCTCCGGCCATCTCGGTGGCCTTCGAACGGGTCAGGCTGTCTTCCATTGCCGCGATTATATCTTTGGAGTTCACGGCGCGCCAATTTGTAGTGTGGAGCAAGGTGATGTGTGGTCGCCAACCCTCGCCTGCCAGTTCGGCAAGAGCTGCGTGATCTTCTACAGCAAACTCACAAGTGGCACAAAGCAGGCCGCCACCACAGATGAATACAAAGCCCGTGACCTTCACGGCAACTTCTTTGCCGACCAGTTTTTCTGCCGCCGCTTTGCCTCCGGCATCTTTACCAAAGTAGTTGACGGTGACGTGAAGTCTGTCCGGCACCCGCCAAGTACTCATGCCTCGGGCAGCGAGCAGGTGCCGCTCGCCTTCTGCGGGCATCTCCACCCCAGAGCCATGCCAGAACTCAAGCGGCAGCTCCATAGCAGACATGGACTCCAGAAACTGGTCCTGAACATCCAAGCCTGCATAGCGGAATCTCGGTGGCGGTGGTGGCCGCTTCGCATCCCGCACAGTGTCCAGTTCGACTGCGTCAGCCGGCCAACAATGGCCCTGCACTCCATCCGGTAGCTCCTGATAGTTGCCGATCATTCGCTCCAGCGTTTCCTTTGGGATCTCTTTGCCCTCTGCTCTGCCAGAACTCTTCTGGCAACGCTGCCAGAGAGTTGCAAGATCGAGGGCGCCTCGTCCCAATTGTTCTGGCCCAATGATGCAGACAGCGTACCCATACTTGCCAGCCAATTGAACATAAACTGCCATCTCCCACAAAGCCATGTTCGTGTTGTCTACGAACAATGGCGTGCGATTGAGCTGCATTGCCTCTTCGGCGCGGCTTTGATTCTTTTGGTGCAACTCGCCAAGCCGACGAGGGTCCCACGTGTATTTTGTTTCTCCCATATCATCCACCTGTGTGAAGAAGTCGTCAGTGGAACATACGAAAGCTCGACAAATTGGCGAGAAAGCGGCCATCGATCCGGATGGGCTCCAGCTAACTCCCTGCACTTTCAAGTGCTTTGCAAGCAGCTTCCGTGCCACGGTGCTCTTGCCACATCCAGGCGGACCACGCATGACATAAAGGAGTCTCCGATATGGATTCGACAAGTCGATGCCTCGCAATATCGCCGAGAACACGCCTGCCATGGTGTGCGGCAGCACTTTTGTGCCTTGCTTCTGCTTTGATTTTGCCTTGACTTGCTCCTTCTTGGCTTTCTTCGTCTTCGTCTCTTTGGTCGTCTTTTTCTTCTTTGGCAGGGCACTCCTCCCCTTCCCCTTCGCGGGCTTCTTCTTCGCGGCGGCGCTGGGCTTCGTCGCCTTCTTGCTCTCAGCTCGCTGCGCTGGCCGCTTGCGTGGACCTCGGGCATCCGCTCCGGCCTTCGGCCGCTTCCCCTGCTTCCCCGGCTCCTTCTTTTTGCCCCGGCTGGGCCGACCAGAGCTGCTTTGCATGAGAGTTGCCATGGCACGGCTGCGGACGCAGTGTGTGGACGCTTCTCAAAGTAGGGTCTAGAAGGGGAACCCGGGAACCCGGAAGATTTAAGAGTTGTGTGGACGCGTTGTTGTGGACCGCCCTCGCAGCACGGATCTTCCTTGAGGTGCCAATCCCATCATCCCATCTCTCACCTATTGCTATTTATAAAAACTGATCAAGGGATCTTGCTGGATATCAGGGAGTCGACATGAGAAACATCACATGCCGGCATGTGTGATGAACCGGTGAGAAGTCCGTTCGGACCGAAGCGCCTGGCGGAGTCAAACAAAAACACGTATGACGCCACACAATGATTCCAGTGTTGCATCATCCGTTTCTTACTCAATTGACAAGAGTTCAACCAAAAAGCGAAATTGAACACCATGTTTAAAACAGAAAGCAAAGAGCGCCGCAAGCCTCGCAAACGGCAACCGCGATACAATAGCCCAGCATTGCGCACCAAACCACGGAGACCTTAGCTGGCTGCTACCAATGTGCCCCGATGTGCCCAGTACATGCAGAGTGCATCCACCAGTGCATCCAGAGCGCTCCGGAGCAGTGAACCAATACACACAAGACCACCTGGAAACATTGTGGACACATGTCGCAGGGCATCCGACCAGGCGCGTGCCAATATGTGGCAATGTCACAAAATCACATACATCGGCCCACAGCAATCACAGGTCCGGTCCGATCGCTTAAACAAATGGAGACACATGGTGCTCTTTCTAAGATCTAGCCCCATCGCCTGGAATGCCGCAAAGAATGCAAAGACCGCGGGGCTGTAGGAACCAGCGAACTTGTAAAAGGCAGGCGCCTTGCTTTTGTTCATGCAAAACAGCAAAATACTGCACGTTTAGCTCCTTTTTTGTTTTAAGTTCCTTTGTGTGGTGCACCACAGACTTCCCATCAAAGCTGACCTGTGCCACGATCAAGGCATAATTGATGGCGATGTCTGTCTCGCCTCAGCTTTGGCCACATGCCCCTGCTCCCAAGATCTACCAATCACACGCTCTTGCCTGACAAGGAGCAACCATTGTATGAAAGAATGCAACCGACGCTTCCATCTGGGCAATCCGTGTCATAGTCACAGGACATGCTCGCTCAAACCATCCCTCGTCTAGCAAAGTTGCTCTTTTCTTTCTTTCACGTGAGTTGCCGACCCTGCCCCAACATGCTTGCAAAGCAGATAACTGCGCAAACTATTTCAAAGCATTCGCATGCCTCTTGAGCCTGACATGCTGCGCGACCCAGGCGCGGAGCAGATTGCACATGAAAGCTGGCCGCGTAATCCTGAAAAGTTCGCATCCCAAGCAACAACGCACGGCCTGCCACAAGCCGGCACCGGCACAAGCATTGATGGCAGTGTTGAAGGAGACCAGAGTTGGTTCGATGCGCAGCTGCGGCATCTCGCAGAAAAACAGAGCCTGAGATCACTGAGGATCGCAGATGACAATTTGTAAGGCATTGCTGCCTGGTCAAAATTCCAAAACTCAGCCGTCGGCTAGACTTTGTTCCCATTGCTGGGCACGCTCGCCTTCTCTTGGAGTAGGAATTCAAGATGGTATTACGACACTTTCATCGCCCGTCCGTAGCAACTCGGAGAACAAAACCGAAACAACACCACTCCACTGGGTGCGTGACATGCAGAAATCGCAGTATTTAAACCTTGTAGTGCCCAAGCTGGTACAAGTGATGAAATCCAGCGATGTTTTGCCAGAGGCCGCTGCTTACGGAATCAGGCACCACGCCAATCCACCGCTGACTAGCCTAAGCCACAAACATTAACTCCCGAGCCTTCTGCACGTCTTCAGCTATCCCAAGGTCCAGGCATTCATTGTGGAGACAGCCGCTTGCCAGGCATGTGCCGACGTACAGGCATTGACCTTAGCCGGATTGCAATGGGCCTAGACGCGGTAACCCGAGCTTTTCTTCCGATAAAACAAAAACTCGGAACGACAAACAGGGAGAACTGTTTGAATTGACTAGAGCCCATCAAAGGAAACGGCCGCTGTGTTCAGCGTAATGCTATCTGGCTCAAGGCCCCAAAGCATCACATCCTGCATCAGCTTGGCCAGCCATGGCGCAAATATCCCTTCAACAAACTGCCATCCTCCACCGTGGTCAGCGCCATCTGCCACCGAGCATGCCTGGTGCTCCTTGCGTCTGCTAAGCGCAAGTTCAGACGTGGACCTCGCGCCTTCGCATGCCTCACATATCCTCACATCCTCACACCAACAAACGGCTCGCCAGGCCTCGCACTCGGCTCTGCGCTCGAAACGCGCATGGCTGCATTAAATGGGACGACGCTCACCTGCAACGCGTTGGAACGAAGGTCCTGCCGCGGCAAATCTTGCGAACAACTGAACACGACTGCAAGAATATTTTTGCCCATTCCTCCAAGACTTGAATCGCCTTCCGCCATTGGCGGTTGCATCCTTGTGGACATGCCGTTTGCTTGACAGCTTTGTTAGAACAGCCGACTTCAAGCCCCACACCGTAGGCTGTGACAGTGGCCGCTCCAATCCGCGACCATTTTGGCAACGGCCGCACCTCGCCCCGCAGCTTCAGCGAGGCTTCAACCCTCCCAAAAGTACTCCAAACAAAGTCATCACAATGGCCGGCTTTGGACAACAGAAAAAGCCAAATGCAATGCGACATATGAAGCTGGCCAGTGTTGAGCGGTATGCACGGGTCGTCTGATGTAGCTCGCGTGATAATACATGCATTGTGTCACAATACAAGACCTATGCAAGTTGCGTGATACAGCATTTGCAAGCACAATGCTCGCATGATGGGTTTCCAAAGGATTCAACATGCATGGAAGCAAGCAAGCTTGCACGGCTTAAAACCAGCGGGTTAACACTGGGTTAACTCAATTGGGGGGGGGGGGGAGTTCATATGTTTGGAAGCAAGCTCGCGCGGCTGAAATACAAACCAGGCCCGCTTTTGCAAGCACCTTATGAATGACAGCTCATTGCAGACTGTCAGTCTGAAGCAATAGTGCTTCCTGCGACAGACCGCATGCCCCACCAGCGACGCGTCCAGCCGGAAGATGCGGCGGCGCGCAGGGCTGGCGGCGCTCTGTAGGACCGCAGTCGGACCAGGTCTCGCACCAGCTGCTGCGCGTCGCCGTTGAAGCGCCCCCCAACCTCGCTGCCAAGCACAAGGAGCTTCTGCGGCCCTTGGCGCCGGAGCTCCGGGTAGGCCGTGCATGGCTGTGGTTGTAAGTGGTGATACCAGCGTCGCATCGCAGCATAGCGCGGATCCGTTAGGCGTCGCGCCGTAGATGACCACGTCTAGGCGGCGTCTGTCCTCCGTGCGCACTCCGGGCGCCGTGGTGTGCACGAGCCATTGTTGTGGCACCACCTGCCCTTCGGCACCGACGGCTTCGCGCGCAGCGCGGGCCCACACTCGCTCGACGACCTTGGCGCGTCGGGCGAGCAGGCCGGTTCGCGGGCAAGCGAGCGCGTGGTCGCCGAGGCGGTCGACTTGCGCCCCACAGCTGGGTGCCGGGCCGCATTTGCCGTGGCAGAGGGGGAGTGGCATGCGCAGGCGGTGGCGGAGCGCGAGTTGCATGGCCTGGGGCGCAAGCGTCGTGGCTGGCTCGGCTGGTATGGCAGTGAGCCAGGACCCTGCATGAGGCCTCGATTGGGACCGCACCCGCGCCCGGGCATCCGGCAGCATAGCCGGCAGCATCATACTGTCGCGGAAATGTTGGTTGCGAGTGCGCGACGCATGAAACTGCCAGCCATGTGGCCAGTCTCCCGGGCCGGTGTGTTCTAGCGTTTTTTTTTTTTTGGGCCTTTTTCGCGCAAACTCGTCCCGTCGTGGTCCTCTACATCACTACACGCCAGCGTGTCACGGCTGCAAAGGCAGTCGGCTGGGCGCGGCCGCCTCAGCGAGGTCAAGGACATCGCCAAGCGGCACGTCGTCCGGCGCGCCGGGGAGTGGTGGCATGGTCCAGACCCCGAGCACGGAGCTCGCCACGGCACGCTGCAGAGCGACCGACAGGATGCCCCACCAGCGACGCGCCCATCCCTGCGTCGCCGACGCCCTCAACGGGGCTGGCGCGCGCCGGGCCCTGAGGCGCAGGAGCTGACGGAGGAAGTGATGGCACTCATCACTCCAGCGACCGCCAATCTCCGCAGCCAGGACGACAAGTTTCTGTGGGCCCCCCCGCGTGAGCTCGGGATAGCGCGCAGCCTTGCGCCGACGTGCTGCAGCGAGCGCAACCCCATCGCGGGCATCTGCGCCGGGGACAGGGCGACCGGCGCGGGTCAAGGGAGACACGAGCGTCGCGTCTGCGCACAGCGCCTCCCCATTCCTCGTCGCTCCGTAGACCACAAAGTCGAGGCGACGGCGGTCATCCGGCGGGACTTGTGGGGCAGTGGTGCGGGCAAGCCACTGCTGTGGCACCACGCGTCCTTCGTGAGATGCATCGTGATTGGGCTTGCCAGAAAAAGCAAGTGACTTTCGTTTTCATCTTTCCATCTTTGCCTTTCTTGCCGAGCCAGATGCGTTGGGGGACAACTTCGCGGTTTGTCCGCGCACCGGTCTCTTAGCACGACGAGGTTTCGTGCTCGAGCAGGCGTGGGTGCAGGTCGCGCGCGAGGCGGTTGGTCGCCGATACAAACGCTTGTGGGCGTGCGGCCGGATGACCGACGGCGCCTTCTTCTCGTCATGTATGGCGCAACCCAGCGCGGTGAAGCCTTTTGCTGTGACGCGACGCTCGTGATGGCAGACCCACCCGCGGCCGACGGTGCCGCACTGCAGGCCGCTGCGCGACGCCAGCATGCGCGGGCACGTATCAAGCGTACCACGGGCTCCTTCATGGATCGTGCACGCTGGGGGAAGAGATGCATTAATGACTTCGGGATTTTCAACCATGTGGCGTTGCCGCCTAGCAAGGCCTGCAAGTAAGCGGATTTCACATCTGCTTGCAACACACAACCACGTTTGGCACCGAAGCACGCGACAAGTCGAACATTGTGAAGATCAACCGGCGCCGCATACATGCTGTCAACCGACCAAACAACATGTCCGGCAGCGTTACGAATAAAGTTGCCGGTGCACACAAGTCTGGCCTTCCAATTTGTTTCAACTTTGGATTTCGCACTGCCGGCAATTGTAATGTTGACTTCACATTAGGAATTCCCGCTACAATTATAAAATCCAGCTGCCGGAACACAATAATATAGCCCCCCACAATTATAAAATCCAGCCCGGAATATTTTTCTAAAAGTGATCCCCCAGAGGCTCGCAGTAGAGGCTCACTTAGCCCACTGTGGTGGCACCGGGACAGCTAGACCTACCAGGATTTAGGCAAATATAATTGAGGAGGCCCTGGCCGGAGAGATTGGTCAATCAAGGGGGGGGGGTTTATTGATGCGAAGTCAACATTAGCGCATGCGAGGGGCTCAAGTTCTCCAACCGGGTTATGGGCCGTGAACTCATCGAGGGGCGTTTGAAAGAACTCATCAGGTCAAACTTTGCAAGAATTCTAGCGTCAACTTCTCAACCATGCTGGCGCCCAACTCTTGGGCCACATTTGCATAAAAAAAGCATCCGCGTCAGCACCATTGCACAAGAACGGCAGACGACTATGCACAACAAGCGGAATCTTTGCTTCGCCATCCTTCCAAAAGTGAGGTTTGCTCGCATAAGCTGGCCAATAAAAATAACAGCCCAGGTCTTCACATGCTTCACCCATGCAAGCCATGTTGACTGAATTGTCCATAACCAAGGCATTGCGTGGTCCAAGAGGCACTTCAACATCAACCGTGGGTGGAATTACTCTGTGCGACGCCGTTCAGGCATTCAACCTCAGATTTGCAAGTTCGCAATGTGTTCCAATGCTGATCCTTTTAGTTTTGTGCATTAACCACAAAACGCGATGCGCCAGAATCCAACGCCCTGATGCAAGCTGCGCACATGCACTGGCAAGTTCTGGCAGCATGTCAACAGCTGCCCCTGCAAACTTCTTAGCTAAGGAATTTTGGAAAGCCTTCGCAAAAGCATCCTGCACTGATGCAGCTGTTGGCTGCGGGTCACCTTGCTCGACGCCCGCCGATTGGAACACCTGGCGTGCCTCGCCGTTGGCGTCCACCATAACAGCTCAGAACGTCGTGCGTACATTGCCCGTGCGAAGGGGAGCAGGGCCGGCGCCACTTCGCGCAACTTGGTCAGCACCGCGGCGCGGCTGATGCAGTCATACGCGCTTCGCCCGTCCAAGGAGACGACAGTCGCCTGCGGATCGAGCTCCACAGCTGTGCGCAGCATAGCCGCCAAGCTGTCGGCCCCTGCGCGCGTCTGCAGCGCAAACTGAAAGGGGTGTGTGGCCGTTTCGAAGGCATCCGCGTAAGACCGGGCCAGCACCCGCGACACGAGCCGCCTGAAAACGTCGCCTGTGGCGATGCCGCGCACACCTCCCTGCGGTTTGCGCAGCACCGTAAGGCGGTTGAGCACATCTCGACCGTAGCGCCCGACAACCCGGCCGCCGATCCACGCGAAGAGGAGCGCAAGGCATCCGCGACTTGCTTGACAGTCAGCGCAAGCTCCTCGTCCGGACGATGGGCAAGGACCTCAGGCGGGATGTCGCGCACGCGCTCCGGCAGGCGTCGGGCAGGGTCCGCAAGTGCCTGGTACGTTTCCTCGGTACCGGGGGCAAGTTGGGCTGCTGTTAGGACCTGACGCGCGCGTGACAGCTCACCTCGCCGGACGTCCTCGTGAGTTGTATCGTTGGATTATGCGACAGGTGGCGGAGGCACCTGCACGAGGCGAGACTGGCGAAGCGGTTCTCGCCCTTCCCCGAGCCGGAATAGCTCAACACGCCTCAGCAGACAGGATCGCCCTTGCGGGCCGGTTTGCTGGCTGGGCGTAAGCAGGAGGCGCGGCAGCAGGAAGAACAACCTCCACGCCCTCAGCACGCGTTGCTCCCCCGCTTGCCCGTGCGCCGCCTGCACTTCTGTCAAGATTGTGGGAACCCTTTCGTCGTCTTCACTGGCGTCTCGCTGCTCGGCAGTGACCGCTTCGACAGCCACGGGCGCCGAACCGGCGCAGGTTTCCTTGCGTACTCGCAGCAGTCCGACTCGCGGCAGTGCACGCAACCGGAGCAGCAGCATCGGAACTTGGTGGAACCATACTGGTTCTGACATCTCGCAAATCTTCAGGGAAGCGCAGTGTATGCTGGCCGGGGGGTGGTAGGCAGGGTTCTTTCCGACCAGGGACTGGACATCCGAAAGGTGAAGCCTTGCTCGCGGGATAGGCCCTTGTGACGAGGATTGGCGATTCGGGAGCCTGGTGCGGATCATTTTAATTTGGCATCAGATACTGTCTGTGATACGGCGTCTCGCGCAGGCGCTGTGACTTCCGTACCGAGCCGTCATAATCACCTTTCGGCGCCGTAGCATCCCCAAGCAATCGACGGCATCGCGGCACATGTGTCCAACCTTGCTGGAAATCAACCATGGGTACGGTGGCATCCTTGCTGCGAGTGAGGTACGATTCGGGCTCGTGGCTCTCAGAAGACTATAACGATGGAAGTCCAATTGCGAAGCGTAGTCACCGCGGCCCGTGAAGTTCGCTGCGTGGCGGCGATCTCTGGCAACTGCACAGTTCTGCTTGTGCTGCACGTGCCTGCATTGTTATAGGTGTGCCTCGACCTACGCCGCCCAAGCTATCCTCGTGCCTACTTGGAGTTTGTATGGGTGAGTTCCCGCTGCAGCGTCACACCAATTAACCTAACTCACGGACACGCGCCTCATCTCGATGAACTCTCTCTTGGGTCCTGTGCAGGTGTGTCAGCTTGATCTTGGCTGTGCTTTCGTTTGAGCGTTTCGGGTGATGTGAGTTCTGAAATGCCCTTCAGTGCTCTTGCACAGTCTGGGCAAGCTTGCAAGCCATCATCCTGATGAGGGTTTCGAAGAACTGGCATGCCGCCGTCCAGCGGCTTGCCTTGCCGCATGCCTGCGATTGGCTGTTTTGAGCTGAAGGCAGCAGGACGAAGCACAGCACGATCAAGAGCTGGACATTTCTCCCCAAACTTATAAGAACTGATGTACCATCCCAATAGTCTCGATCAGCTGCTTTTTGTGTTTGCAGGCTCGGACTCTCATGATGCCATCCAAGCTGCTGCCAGAACCGACGCAGCCGCTCCATCATCCGGCGACAGGAGCTGCGACTGGAAGTCCTGCTAGAGGGTCTGAGCATGTGTGTGTGTGTGTGTGTGTGCGCGCGCGCGCGTTTGTGAGAGCGCTCTCGTGTTCGTACTGAAAATCGGATTGGGTCGGCTTGGATGCGCCTCCAGGAGTGCTGCAGCAACGCTCCATTGGCTGCCTCTCTCGCAAGCAGCCAGAGCAGCGCCTCGGCGCATGTCCAAACTGCGCACAGAAAAAAAAGTCTCAATGCAATAGATGCGGGTCATCTCAGCTGATAGCCCAGAGCTGGCATATCCACGACAGCACGTGCTTGTGAAAGGAGAACAACAGCTGACCGCCACAAGGCTCGCCTCTTCCAGCAAAGAGGCACGCAGCGTGGTATAACGGAAAACTCGGAAAACACCATCCAGCGCAAGCCGCTGCCTCGCAAACGACGCGAGCAGCAGGGTGAGCTCGCGTGCGCTGGATATCTGGTGGCCGATGGTGGCGTTGACCAGTTCAGGCATGAGTCCTTGCACCACTCTTTGGTACTCTTGTTTGCGTGGGTTGACAGTGCTACACCGCACACATCTGACATCTGCACAGGCGTCGCCGAGCAGAATAAGGCCGACGCCCATCGGTGTCTCACGGGAGCGGAGCAGGTGCAAGGCGGACATCTTGTCAACACTTGGCCTGCTTGGCAGCTGGGCAAAACATGTGTGCCGTGCGTTCGCCCCACAGCACATATTATGTTGTGTTGCAACTCGAGAATATAGCGCGATAATGCGCGATACCTACATTGACATGTAATATACAGGGTCTTGCCATTCTCTACGTCTTTGCATAAGGCTTGTGAAATCTTTGGTAATAGAGGAAGCGCCCAGTGTTGTCTAATGTTGTCTGAAAACGGCCATAAGCGGCCTCCACGGCTCATGGTGATGCGGGGGCTGGCTGTGCTGAGTCGGTGGTGGTGGGCTGACCAAACTGCCCAAGTTTCCCATGGCTGCACACAGGCCGCGCTACCCATCACGCCAGCAGCACGGTTTCACACATACGAAGGCAAGAGCCAAAGCCATCTGGGCGCAGAAGGTTCTGTTCACACCGTTCGCAAAGTCATCCACTGGCAGCGACTTGCAAGCGACATGCAGAAGACAGGAGGCGCAATGGATTGAAGAAGACATGAAAGACCCAGCATTTTCCCAGTCGCAGCGACAGCGGCGAGGGTGCACCGGTTTTGTGGGCCCTGTAGTTCCCTTTTGGCCCTAGAAGTCAGCAGTGGGTACTTAAACCGAAGCCCTTGTGAAGGCATCCAAGCCAGGATTCGCTGCCAGGTATTCGGACAAGGCCGTCCTCCCCACAAACGCATCCTTAAGAAATCCCCCGCAATCACCCACCGCAACTGCGCAACTGCTCTCTGTCCTGCGATCCGATAAGCAAGTGGAGTCCAAGAAATGCTGCAACATCCTTACCGCTGACCGCAATTGGCGGTGACTTCCCGCTTGAGCCCCCTTTCTGGCATTTGCACGCCTGGTTCTGAGCCCTGTGCCCAGCAGCCTCGTGGGCCTGAGCCTCAAAGACCCCCCGCAAATCATGAGCCACGTGTGCTTCGCACTACGAGCATACATCATAGTATACCATTCGAACAAGAACCCTGCTCGATTCCCAAGTGCAGCTGAGAGACACAGTCCCGCAAGTAGCCAGGAGCCTCAAAGCTCCAAGGTGCTACGGAGCTATGATACACGCGATTTACGCAATTTTGGGCCGAGCAAAGATTAATTACAGCACAGCCAAAGCACGGGGTACAGAGCTTTTCCCGGCATTAGTCCTGCTCAGATTCTTTCAGGATTCGAGGCTAGTACACCGATGCTTCGCCCCATCTCTGCCCGTCCTTGCGGTAGCTCCTCTTCGGCTATGGCCTCCAACCTTTCTTCAACCGACCTTCCCAGGGCCGCACGGTTCACGCAGCACGGCTGACAACTTGCGTCGTTCGATACCGGCCAACGCCCAGCACGCTTGCGGGCAAGCCGCTCTGCAGATCCAGCACAGGGACATGGGCAAAGCGGCATGTCTGCCTGCGCCGAGTGCACGTGCCACGAAGCATCTTCGCGTGTCTTCGCCTTTCCCAGCCTGCGGCGAAGGCCAAAGCGGCCTGAGCGCTCTCCTCATCCAATCGCGCACGTAGCCTCATCGCCAAAATAGAACTGCGGCTACGTTGTTTCCTGAAGCAGCCATACTTCTCAAGACATCGTTCCGGGCGGGGGTGGGGTGGGAACTCGATCGGGGCGGGGGGGGGGGGGGTGGATTCGTTTCCCTTCGGGAGCCCAAAGGGAGCATGGAAGAATGGAAGCCCAGAGCTGCCCGAGAGCTTTCTTTCCGCAATGTTGTCAATATGTAGTCATACGTGCGTCTGACCCTTGCCACCTCCCCTCCAAGCCCCCCCCCTCCCCCCCCCAAACCTATAAAGTCGAATGAGGCTCAGGCCCTGATCTTCACAGTATTGAGCAAGATCGCCATCGGGAGCCCACAGCCTGCTGACCAGCAGCTGTGTGCGGCCTGCCCTCCCGCCTTCCTGCACACACACGCACACACAAAAAAGAACACACACACACACACACACACACAAAAAAAAAAAAACACACACACACACATCTATAACCCCCCCAAAGTCTACCGATGTCTACGGTATGTAGAGTCATGCGGCCGAGTCCGGCCTGTCCGCTTCGGCATCATCGTCGCAAGCGGCACCTTGTCTGCTTCCCCATAGCACGTCACAGGCCCTGTGGGTGTGCAGTCATTGTGCGCTGCATGCGCTGCTTCAAGTTGCCAACACATCAGCGCATGCCCTTCTTCCACAATGGAGCCGTCTTGGCCTCAGCATCTTCTCGACTGACAGCTATGTCTGCGCGCATGCTTGACAGCTTGTGCGCACACGAAAGGACTCAGAAGCCATCCCTTGACGGAAAAAGGCACTCGAACGATTCGATATCCTGGCCGTCAGTGGCACGACCGTCTGTGGCACAAAGGGAACATTCATTGTGAGATGGCCACTTTCCTCAGCACCTTTGCAAGCTCTCACTTGCGGCTATGGAAATGGAAGAACTGTTGCCAGGATCACCGGCTTCCCGCTCGTAGAAGCCTGGAGAGGGGCGTTGGGCGATTGGGTTGTGTGTGTGTGTGTGTGTTAAGTTTGGCTTCTTGAACCAGTCCTATAGACTCCTAAGTTCTCACAGCTACAGCCTACAGCAACTCGTAGCCACAACTTTCGCCCACTTTGGGGGGGCCTGGCAGTTCCCCGAGCGGGACATCCAGCAGTGCCACATGGCCTGGGTGCACCAGCCAAATCTCACCACCAGCCCACCTTTCCAGGTGCAGGTTTGCTGCAGAATCTGCGCGCTGGGCTGACAAACTCTTCGCCAGCAGGCACCTTGCACAGCTCTGCATTCAATGTAATAGTACGGTCAGGACACAACATGGCACATCGCTTTAGATTGCTAGCATGAGGACGCGTCCATTGCAAGAGCTGCGACTTCATTCGTGCTCAAGCAAGCAGCGCCACACCTGACACATCGCATCGCCAGAGGAGGAGACTCGAAATCACTCCTCTGCCACAAGATCAGTCTAGAGATGTCTTCAGTGGAACGCATGGGCCCGTCTCAGCGCCCGACACAACATTCACCCAGTTCGACTGGCAGAAAGACCGCTGCCATCCTCGCACCTCGCTTTTTGGAAGCTTTCTTCAGCTTCCATAGCTTCAACATGCAATGCAGGCAATGGCATCGCACTTGGACCTGGCCAATACGAAAGTTGCTGAACTCGAAGGATTCTCGAGCAGAGGCCTGGAAGAAGTCACAGAGGTCACAGAGGTCAAAGCTCCGCAGCCGTAGACTAAATCAGTGAGCAGGTGCGATGATGCGCTGATGACGTCCTATTTTTCCGCTCACAATCTGCTGGGCCTGCCTCTGAAACGAGGGACCCGACGCCCGCAACAGTCACCACCTGCACGCTGAACATGGAGCACGACTGGCGTACTTCATCCACTGTGAAAGCTGCCACCCAGCCACATTATGCACCTCCAGCGAACCGGCAGGACGTGGCAAGGATGTCCTAGCAAATCCAATCTGCTTTGCGTTTAACAAACCAAGCAGACCAGCGTGTGTCTGCGCGTGTGCGTGCAGCCTGTCATGCAGTGATCATAGCCATCGCTCGAAGAACAGCACGCAGGGACACCCGGTGTCCGGATAATTCCATGATCTTGCGCCGCATATGCTGGAAGTACTGAGTGCGACTGCTCAGCTTTGACTCTTCTCAACACTTACCTAGTTCTGTGCTCCTTTGTTGAAGTAGGACAGGACTGGTAACATTCTACGAGCCATGTATATGCAAACATGTTTGCCAGAATATGCAAGAATGCATGCAACATGCAGCATGTCCCAGCTCGAAGCTATCGTGAATCGTGGACATGTTCGACCAAGGCTCCCATGCAAACATCCAAGAGCCTAACGACCGCAAAGGAACATCCCTGAAACGAAAAAACTCCCACGAGCAGTCGGCTTACGTTGGCCCAGTTGGCACAAAGTCACCAGGCCAAACCCTGCCCCCTTTCTGCACACCTTCACAGCTTCGCACACTAACCGACCAATTAACCGACCAATGCACCCGGAGCCCTCTTCCAGAGAAGAGGTCAGCACCATTCCGCACTGGTCTTCGCCAAAAAACTGAGGCTTGGGGGGCTGTTGGTTCTGCCACAGCGGGGAAGTCACCAGTTGTCACCAAGACATACCGTTAGCCGCATAGCCGCAGAGCCACTATAGACAGCTGCTTCTCAGTTTTGGCTTCCCACTAACTTTGACAAACCTCAGGCCCAACTGTACAGTTCTATGGGCCAGAAGCCGGAGAAGGGAGAGCCTGTGGAAACGACAGGAGGTCGCGCGTTAAATCTGGCACAGCATCTGAATCTGGGGATCGCGCATCGCTGCGCTGACGTTTCTCCGACTGTTCGGTCTGTGGCGCGTCCGCCATGTCCACCGTGTCCACCTTGCCTGGGCCGCGCACTTAGCGGGTCGACTGCCATGACTGTCATGAGCTTCGCTCGGGTCCGCACGCTTTAAACTGGCATCGCATTCCGGCGAATGCTGCCTCACAATCAACTTTAGCAGCCAATCCGACTGGGGATAGGTAGTCTGTCCACAAGAAGCTGCTCTTGAACAAACCGCCGTGGAAAGCTAAGGCAGGACTGAAGAAGCGACAACACAAGAAGAAAAAGCTGAGACAAAAGAGCTGAAAAGAAGCCCTTAACGAGGTGACAAAATGAGCTTAAGGAGACCCCTACCTCCTCTCTTTTGCCTCGGCATTGAGCTCTTTCAGCATTTCATTTTGAGCGCTGGGGGCCGGTTTAGAACACAAGATTATGCAACGCATCGTGTCGCTGGCGACCAGTACCGAACGAGGCCCCGAGGCAGCTGCAGGATTTCCAGGCCACAACCCTGGCCATTCAGAATGCTAGTCGTGCCTTGGTGTACACATTTGCATCATGTGCACACAGCATGGAAAAGCAACAGTGCCACATGCAAGTTTAGCTTCCAGCTGACAGTCTTCTTCTCCAGTGTCCGGTACAACATGTCATCCAACGTCCCCTTCGCGATGAGGTAGTGGACCTGATTATGTTTTTTCAAGCACAAGCGGACAGGAGCGGGCCACAAATTGGGCGGCCCGCGTACTGCCCCCACGGCCCTTCCCGAGCATCAGCAGCATCAACGACACTCCGTTTCGAATGCAGGCCTACGCCAACCTCAAATCCAGCCGGGGGGAACAACCCCAGAAACAGGTCTGAAAGAGGGGTCTCACGCACGCGCTTCGTTCGCAGCTTTCGCATCGCCCAGATTCCTTCTGACATACCTATGCCTCTATGCCACCTTCCCCACGATGCTCAGGGGTCACTGGGCGACTAACAGCTGGGCCTCTGGCAGACACACAGTCGCGCTGGCCAATGCGATGCGCTCGGTCTTCTGCCTGCTGCATCTGGCCGGGGACCTCAGAATTGACACTGGCAGCCAAAACGCTGAAACGCACCTTCACATACGCATCGCGCACGGTCACATGTCACAGAATCTCACAGATACAGCCGACATCAGCTGACAGGCGCGAACCCAATAGAGCTCTGCGAACACCACGGTCTGGGCGGCCTGGAAGTTGCTGGAGCGGCGCTGTGCTTTGTGTGAATTGGTTAGTCGTGGGGCAACAGAACTGAGGCTGCTTCCGTGAGCGTCAGGCCAGTCCCTGCCGCCGTGATGCTGAGCACGGCCACTCGGACAGACTCTTCCTCTCCAATGGGCACGTCCGTCGACGTGATGTCTTCGACACATTCCACACAGCGGCCGCAAGAGGTGTCTAATTGGTGCCTCTTGGAAGCGGCTGACGAGTTTCGGGCGGTCCGATGCCGTCCTGCAATGGCTCCGCGATCTGCAACACTTCCACAACTGCCACGCAGATTCTGCGAGACTTGTCTTGTGTGATACGGCAACTTCAGCCAGAGCGGCGTGCGGCCATCGATTCCTAACCGGGTCCACGCGGCACTCAATTAAAAACAACATCCCAGGTGATAGAGCCGAGCGGCTGATGTAGCCATAGTGGGCCCGCTGGAGCTTCTCTTCTAGGGCCTTACCACAACTCCTCCGTAAAGCTACTACAACAACAGACGCCGGGTATGCCCGGGGCCCAAAGCCCCCTTCCCAGAATTCAGGCCCGAAACCGGGATTACAATGATATGTTGATATGTAGTAGCATTCTAGGGCGTGCGGCGAAAGAAAAACGAGCTCGACACTATGGACGTCACTATGTCTGATGGCTCATCAATCTCTGGGTCTGTTGCATCCAGCATCAAGTGGTGATGACCTGGAAGACACACACACACACAAAAAAAAAAAAAAAAACAAACTGCATGGTCAGCTCGTTCGGTACAGTAGCTGCTGAAGTGCCACCAATGGTAAGGTGGGGACCAAAGATGAGAAACTTGGTTCCCAAACTGAGCAAGTGCTCAACCTCACTTGCACGACTCTCCCATCCGGGCGGTGCACTTGACTTTTATGCTTACATCCACGTCATACGTAGGGTCATGATGACATGAGGTTTGCCAGGATCCTTACATAGTCGAGCACCGCCGCCTTCTTGGCCTGCCATTATCTTGCGCAAGAACTTTCATCAGTTGAAGTCTCGAAGCGCAGTTAGTGACATGCCCACTGCCAACTCATGGCACGCATCCGGCTAGTCCCAACATGCAGTCCCTGAGTCACAAGATTTTCAATGATGCTCTACGATCGTGCCTCCGTGGTTTGCCGGAAGAGCTGGGCAATGTCGCCCAAAGCCTGGCATGATCGCTGGGAATTGCGCAAGGATTCGACACCAGTTGCAGCCTTCGCTAGCAGAAGATCTGCTTACAGCCTGGCCTGGCCATCTCTCGAACATCTAACAAAAGTGCAGTCGCCATAAGTCGGCTGCAGCTTGCATTTGAGACGGGGGGGGAAGGGTTCTAACCGAGAGCTTTTAGCTTAGTTTGGCTTTTGTAAGGGACCCTAGAAGGCTACTAGAAGGCTCATGGTGTCGAACGTGTGGGAATTCAACAAAACTGCTCCGCTCACGCACCTTCCCAGAGCTGAAGTCAACTTCGCCCAGTTGACGGCTTCTCCTATACCAGGCAGGACGCAGCAATTCAGCCAACTCAGCTTCGCTACGTTGTTCACCCATGTTGTTGTCTTTTGCCGGCACCGTTTGAGGCTTGACTGGCCTCTCCACTTCACGGAGGGTGTCCTGCAGGGCTTTTGGGGCTTTGCTTCATGGTAGCAACACACGACGACAAATCCTGGCCTGGTCCATCTTCTCGGGATCCAGCGGCACACGCATGCGCCGCTTCTCTGGAAGCCTGCAGCCATCTGCGAGCCAGCATAACCGATCGTAAAACACAAAAACCGTGTCTGTAACATCGTGCCAATCAAATCATAATCAACAAAAACAGCACTAGCGACAGTAACGATACGATCGCATGACGTAGCATGCTTGGCTTGCTGCACCGCTCGGGGCCAGGCTGTTGCAGCACATCTTTCTTAAGGCGCCTGGGCCCAGAACCAGGTGCGAAGTGAGGTTCGAGCGAGTTGAAGATGAAACTGCTACTGAAACTTCGGGACTTGCCGCAACGCACTATATCTATACATGCACACGCCTCTTCTTCGAGTATCTGTGTAAAGCGCGAGGTTGGAGGTGAATCTTCTATTTCGACTTTGGGATTTGCGGTCCAACCATTTGACCAAGAGTTCAACGGAAGAACGTCGCGCATGATGTATGCTCTCCGTTTCAACGCACAACCGCTGACACACAAACTGCCAAAGGAAGTAGACCGTGGGGGAGATTGACAAAGCCGTGCCCAGTATGGCATAACGGAGCGCACAGTACAGTAGTGGCTGGACTCGTTGCGCCGCCCCACCACACTTTCCCCCCCACCCCGCACAGAACGTTGCTGTTGCAGTGACTGCAAAGCGGCACAGCACAGCGCCGGCCAGGATCACTTTGGTTGCCGAAAAAACAGCAGCGTTGCCCCATAAAGGCCAAGGTTGATCGCGCAGTTGCTGCCGAAAGCTGCTCAGCCATGGGTGGGAGGGCAGTTCCCTGCTAAATCAGACCAGCACCATACTGCTATAGCCATGAAACTTGCGGAGAGCCGCCCCGGAAATGAAATGCAACGCGATCCCTTGTTTTGTTAGCTTGGACCCAAACATCGACAAAATCAAAAAGACTTTATTCTCCAAGCCCCGGCATAGTGGTCATGATCATCTTCAGGAGTTTCGGGCTCTAGGCTTTCAGGTGTACGCTAGGTTCACGAACCAGGGCACAAGAACAGGCTGAGCAGAGCGCCGGATCATAACGGTGCTCAAGAGACCTAGCTGCAGCTTTGCCGGGACTCCCCTCAAGGTTGAAGCACCACATTAACTATGCCACTTGTCTCAAGGCCCCTGCAGTTCAATTCGGATGGGCGCTGCACTCCGGCCCACTTGATTGTTGTGCGACGACCAAATTTTTGCGTCCTTGCAAGAACAGTGTTCTTGAGTGACCGGATACATGGAGACTTAAACCCCTCCCAACATGACTTACACAGCACAAGTCTGTCGATTCACGCAACGGCAACAGCTCAGAGCCGCTGGCTGCTTGTAGCAGAAGCGCTCTGCAAATTGCGCAAAACTGGGCATCTCTGCGGGCATCAGCGCCTGGCGCTAGCAGGGATTTATGAGGGTCTGGGGGCCTTCAGGGGCGGTTTAGGGTCTAGGGTTTATAGGGTTTTGGGTTCAGGGCTGCTGCATCCGCACCTCGAGCTGTGTGTAGAGTTCCGCTGCTCGATTTACAGCCGGGGTGCCACCTGAATCGCAAGATCAGTGTACATACAGTCTGAAGGTTTTTGAGGAAGCAAGCAAAAGCAACGGTGCGCATACACATCCTTCCACAAGCGTCGAAACATCTCAGAACCTGTGCCATCCACAGGCAACTCCTTCCTTGACCCAAGTGTTGGGGTTTCAAACGCAGGAGGTTAGTGCCCATGAAGAAAATCCAAAATTGACAAACGTCCTGGTCAGCGAGCGTTTGCAGAGGCAGCAGGAACTTTTCTTTTTCGAAGGTCTTGGAGGACGGGCTGCCAAGCCTTGTCTCCATTGTCTCGGCATCTGCCTTCAGCCTTCAGTGCCCTCAAAACGGTAATTAATGAACACACTCTCAAGGGCAAGGGTGGGGCGGAAAAGGGTGGCGTCGCTTGCGGGTACTGCCATGCCATGTACTGTCAAATCATTATCCTCGCCCGCGGCTTTCTGAGCAACTGAGTGGCCGTCTCAGGAGGAAAACACGGCGTGCAGCCTTGCAAATGCCCACCTTGGCTTGAGCAAGGGGAAAAAGGCTCATCCGCCGCTTGCAGAGGACCTTGAGACTAGACTCAAGAAGCCGAACCCGAAGCCATAATTCTGAATAGGTTACAAACTCATCTGAAGAGGGATTTGATGAGAATAGCCAAGAGCCCAAAAGGTTATGGGGTTTTTAAGGTACCCTAAGGCTCCAGCCACTACCTTGGTCCGCTGGCTGCTGGCCTCCTGCACAGTCGACACATTGCCTCTCCCTGTACTCTTTTGCTGCTGGATCTGAGCTTTTAGTCTGTGCAAATATCTCAATAGGGGGGGGGGGGAAGTACTTGTCACTGTCAGATGGTACTTGCGCATTCTTATTCATTTTCCTGAATTCTAATACACAGCACACTGAGCCATGTGATATGTCTCCTGCTTTAATGCTCCGCTGCTATGTCCCTGTCTAGATAAACGCTCTGCCTTGATGCTTTGGGACTCGTCAACGATGACCGCGAGATAGTCGCGGCCTAGCTGCCGCTTCAAAGAACAGGACCAGAAGGCTGAAAGCCCAGGAGGGCTCAACCCGTAACTCAGAGACGCGTACATGTTTAGGTCGCTCGGGTCTTCCAAGACATCTCCACACATTGCCACACATTTCCGGCACTTCTGAGAACAGCTCCGTCGGCGCGTCGGCGCAGGGACTCGCTCCGCCGCAGGAGGTCGTAGGTTGCGACCTTTCGTGGCAAACTAGCAGAGTGCTGTCGAGCTGAGAGAGTGAAGCTTTCAGAGGCTGCCTGCACCATGAAAGACCCTGCTTGCCATACTTCCCGAGCCACGACAGGTCAACGGCTCGGGCTCCAGGCAACGACGCGCGCGCACTTGTTGACTTTGTCTTTGCCAGTCCTTGCCAGGCTGATGAGCTCCAACACACATCGCTGCATCTGAACCTGACCAAAGCAAAAGGTGATGACATTTGCCGCCTTCGCCTCACCCAGCCATCTAGACCCTGATTTCGAGATTCACCACGATACACCATGGTTCAGCCCAGCGTCCTGATCACCTGGACCTGGCCGCCTTCTGCACCCACGAGGTGAGGCAGCCACTGTGCTGCCTAGGTTCGGGCAAGATCGGGCAAGGAGGGAAGCTGACATCAAGTTCTGATCGGAACTACCCTGTCTTGGTTCTGTCCGCAGAGCGCACGCGCCGCGCCTGCTCGCGCCACACAAAGCGCAGAGAGGATGGAGCCACCACCAGCAAGGGCCACTCCGCCTCGCCAGTGCAACAATTTCATTGCATCACACTGGCAACCTCCGGGCCTCACATCTGCCTCCTGTTGCTCCCAGATCGTACATGTAGGAAGTATGCAGGGGCTACGGCACCCTTGCCTCGTACTGGGCCGCAAGCAACAGAGCCTGCATTTGAATGCTACAGCCCCATGAAAGTTTGGAGTCGAGGGCATTCCTTGGCAGCGCCAAGCCTGCAACGTCTTGCCGAGGCCCATCTCGTCCCCCAGCAGGGCGCGGCCGCCACGTTGCAGGCCGAAGGCCACCGCCTCCTAGGAGACAGATTCCCAATCATTGCCACAGCATGATGGACGAGCAGTCTGGACATGCAAGATTGCGGGGCCCAGGCGACCTGATACGGGAGCACGGACGAGCCCTTGTCAGCCGGGCCATGCACAGCAAGGGCAAGAGTGGCGCAGAAGTTCAATTACTACCCAACCTGCCTCAGGACCTATGTTCTCGTGTACTATTTCAAGTGACTTCTCTTACTTCAACCTATCTTGGCGACTACTACAACGAACACACCGCAGCTTCCTCTTATACTTGCACAAATTAGAGGCCTGCGGCAGTGTCTTGAGAAACTCCTCGGCCTGCAAGGGCAGTCATGGAAGCTGATCGGAAGGGAGCCACGCGGCGCAAGGTGGCTGCTGAGGTCTGCTACTGAAACATATATTCACTGCCGGTCTCCCATGCCTTGGATCGTGCTTCAGCAGCTGGGAGACCGCCGCATACCGGCTCTCCACCCCTGTCGAAGCCTGCCACCTTCGCAGGACAGAGCAGCAGCGCTGAACCACGTGACGCCATGAAGTGACGGTGCCTAACACCCCTGTACTTTGCGCATGTGGGCATATCTGGGGAGCGGACGGTGCAAGCCCAGGACGGCAAGGCCGCGACTTGCAGGCCCGTGGAAGCCAATCCCTGGCCGATCTGAAAAAGTTCTGGGAAGCTACGCAAAACCCAATTCCTGTGGATCCGTCTGGAGCCTTCCCCTCCTAACCTTGCATGGAAGAAGCTCACGCACTTTTGCATATTCGCGTTTCTCCCTCCACATTCCATGCAAGCTCTGCTCTCACATGGCTCAAGCTGCCACTCGAGAGTATGTCCTCGGTTGCTCTCTGACGCACACCAAGCACCGTGAGCTGGACACTCTGGCTTCGGGTTCATGACACTTAAGGCTCTTGCCAACTGCCGCAAGGCTTGCTCCCAGCATCCGCAAGAGTAGGCGAGAAGGAGCACAGTAGTGTGCTGAACATGAGTCGATTGGAGGCCTTGCCTTCGACACCAACTCTTCGGGGCTCGCAGTCGTGCAAAGAACAATAAGAATAAGAATACTAACAATACTGATAAGAATAAGAACATTAAGAAAATGATAAGAATAAGAACAATAACAAGCCTAACAAGAATAATCATATTAAGAATAATCATGTCTAGGAAGCTTGCCCACCTCGCCTCAGCATCATCGAGATGACCTCCAGGGCAAGCTCCCATCGACCACAGCCGCAGAGCGCCGAAGACGCCCCGTTGAAGGGGTAAGCCTCGTCGCATCTTCTGCTGAACAGCGTTGCATAAATTGACATACGCGGACAGGTTCGTTGACATTCCAACTTGCAAGGAAGACGCATTGAGCTCTAATCTCGAGCTAACCATGCGATGCAGAAGGTCCTTGGCCCAACTCAGCTGAACAGATCAGCACACGAAAGTACGCGGGCCACAGGGGGCCCGCAGACGCGCTTGCCTGGGTGCTCGAGGGCCTGTAACCTGCTGTAAGCTCAGATCCAGGGCCACTTGCCACTGTCCTCCACGGTCACAGGCATCAATGGCTGCCACGAAGGTGTGCAGATCTGGCTCATACAGCTGGGTCCTGGTCTTGCTTGCTCTGAAGCATCAGTTGTAGAGTACACAGGGCTTGCAATGGCTGGAACTGCTGTCAGAGCCCCATAGACAGACCAAGGCTCAGGGATTCCAGGACCTGCACGGCCCAGCGCCAGCGCAGGGCGCAGGCGCTCAGGGCCGCATTGCAGGCCACCAGACTGGGGAGCATGGAACGGCCCGGAAGACCCTCAGCGCGATGCGAAATGCCACGCAGTGCCAAGAGCAAGGAGAGGCAAGATGGGTCAACACAAATCAACACACTGTGTAGTCTACGACTACCAGCAATGCCCCGCTCCTCGAGCAAGTGAATGGCCGACGTCCACAGAAATCGGTTTTGACCTTGGCTTTGTGGGCACAGGTGCGCCGGGAAGGTTCCCCGTCTCAGGGTCTCAGCACCCCAGCACGGGTTCAGACTCGCAATTGCGTCCGCATTGCAAGCGTCATGGGACAAAAGAATATGCAGAGCACAGAGCACTCCCCAATCTTCATCAGAGCACACGCACCGATCACCACCACGTCTGGAACAAGATGCTGCGCCTTTCACGTTGCGCCAAGGCAAAGGAACCCTGAAAAGCTGGGCTTGTTGAAGCTTCTTGGCGCTCCACTTCAAGCGGACAAAACGGAGCCGAAGCGGTCCTCCAGAACGTCCAGAAGCTGGAGAGTCATCAACCACTGCTCACCCTTCTCGCAGGCACTAACACCCGCCGAGAAGAACGGAACCTCCAGAGGTCCCCCCTACATGTGAGCCGCAAGGAGCTGTAGCAGAAGCTGCACTGAGTTGATAGGAAGCCTCTCTGATGCCACGTGCAGCCCTAAGGAAGCGGCATCTCTTCGCAAGCTGACCTTTGAGGCGTCTTGTAGGAGCATCAGCGCCTGATGCCACCTCCAAGCAAGGCCACTCTCAACACTCAACTCATGGTCCAGCAACGCTCATCCGGTATAGGGCCGGAGGTATAAGCTCGAGTTCGCCAATCATACAAGTTCGAAGAGCTGGCCCAGAGCAAGTTCATTGGTTGTCCCTTTAATCTGAGAAAAACCATGAACTCCATCAAGCCCCATGCAGCCCTGAACCCGATTCTAAACTCCATTAAACCCTAAACCCGATGTGTACCCTAGCTGGGCCCCGCACCGGCTCCCTCTCTCGCAGCCAGAGATGGCCGCGGAGTAGCTGAGGAGGTCTCTTGTCGGTCCCTCCATGCCGGCCTCATGGTGTCTTCAACGAGGGCTTTGGAGGGTTCGAGGAGTCCTATTTATATACATATATGTATATGCTCATATATATATATATGTAGTATTGGGGGTGTCAGGGCTCTGAAGCGTTTTAAATGGGGCTCTTCGGGCTTAGGGCCTCAGGCTACTCCAGGGTTTGGGAGCGGGCTTCGGCACGTGTAGTCGGATGTTCAGAGCTTAGTTGCCTGACACGACGTGTAGCTCTGGTCAAGCCGACACCTTAAGACTCAAGACCCTTCCGCCGGGCTGCCCAAAGTAGAGCCTGCCACCAGCAGTTCCGGCATGAGGAGATTCCAGCATTCATCGTGATGGTGTTGGGGCGACCAAGACGCCTTGGAAATCCGACCACGAATTGGGGTTCAAGTTGGGTTTAGAGATGCCCGACTTGGACTCAACGCTAAGGCACGGGCTCCCGCATGACTCTCAGAATGTCGCAGGCTGCCGGCCAGTTGCTGCCTTTCAGGCAGTTCACGTGTCACGTTCATCAAAGCGGGCAACCAACACATGGGGGCGGGCGAGGGAATTGGCACCTTTCTCGCAGGCGCTGATTGTGGACGACCAGGTCACCACAGAAGGCAGTAGCGAAACGCAGGGCACGGATTTTGCCAAGTGGAACCTGAGCCATGGTATCGTGCTCCAATTCTGGAAGAGGCATGAAGACTCGGGGTTGAGAAACGGGCAAGGGCCTGGCCGCACAAATCTGCAGAGCAGGTTGAAAGAATCCCACTTTTTCTAAGCCCTGCTTGTTCCGAAATCTTCAGAGCCTCTTAGCATATTTAGGCATTTCCCTGAATATAGCTTGCAGAACCCTGACCGGCAGTGCACAGGAGCGTATGTTCCGGGGCTCCGACGCCTCTCGCCAGGCACCTCGCAGAGCGCAGGCGCCGATGCCGGCGTTCATGGCCACGACCTCGCCCCATCCCCGCCCCGCCCCGCCCCCCCCCCCCCGCCCCCCAAAGGAAGAAAAACAAGGGTTTAGGTTTGGGGTTAAGGGTTTAGGGTTTGGCTTCGTCTCTGAACCATCTGGGATTGGGCACCTTCAATATTCTGAGTTCTCAGGGGTTTACCCTGGGAACTTTGAGACTGTAGGACTGGGCAGGGACCGCTGAGGAGTTTGTCGAGGTGGGCACTCCAAGATACGCGGAATGCCAGGCGACGGTGGGGAGCATTGGGCGAACAGCTATCCGCCAACAAAAGAAACCCGAAGAGAGGCGCTTGGTGCTGAGGACTCATTGCGGTCTAGGGGCGTTAGGTGGGGGGGGGGGGGGAACAGCGATCCTCCACCTCCGCCTGGTACCCCCGGGCTCCCTTGGGGAGTGTGAAGTTCAGCAGATCCGGCTTCACCTATGTCGTCGAACTGACGATTGGTGCGGCCAACCCCGTGCTTGTCTGATGGCTCGAGGGAGACGTTTTCTGAGGATAGTGATGGGGCAAGCAGTTTTGGCTATCCCCTAACCTGGCGTCTCAGGGCAGTTTGCCTAACTGCGCCAACTCGGCCGAAATCTGGCGTTTGTATAGATTTTCATGCACAGCGGCTTGGCCAGCAATCTATAGTCCTAACAAAAGGGGGGGGGAGGGGGGCGAGGGCCGATTCATTCAAGGGTTTCTCCCTTCATACTGTGCTTAAAGCAAAGCAAGGGCAAGTGCAGTTCAACACAGTCTTCTCACAGTCTTCTTTCTCTGAGCTCACTGCATCTGTTTCGACTCCAGGCGTGGCTCTGAGCTCGGAGAGGAGACGAAGAGCCACCTTCAGCTTGCCTGGCAGAGAAAACTGAGGGTGCGTGAAAACCGAAAACCCCCTATCCCGGAAGATATCCCTGAATTATACGTTCTCGTCCTTGTTTACTCTCATCGTTTTCTCGAGTTTTAGCGTTATTCTGAACGTTATCGTTCTTTGTTACTCTTATCGTTTTATGGAGCAAAAAGCACATCTGATCATCTCGGGGCGCTTCTCCTTACTTGTCAATACCGGAGCGTTTATCATCCCTCAGTTGCGTCAGCTCTTGGGATGCATGATACTAGACCGACAACCCTTTTGAAACACAGAGGGCTGAAAAAGAGGCCCGAGAGAGAGAGAGAGAGAGAGAGAGAGAGAGAGAGAGAAAGAGAGAGAGAGAGAGAGACAAAGAGAGAGACAAACAGAGAGACAAAGAGAGAGACAAACAAAAAAGAAAGAAATGAGAAAGAGAAAGAAGCGGTAAACATGGCTCTCACTGTGAACAGGCTTTCGCCAGCAAAGAACTCGACATAGTCTTTATCATGGTTTATGGGGTTTATGGGGTTTAAGGTTTAGGGTTTAGGGCGCGCCTGCTTTTGCACAGCAAGTAATGCACTGCGTATAGGCGACCGCGCTCGGCAAGAGGGCGGAATCCCGCATCCTCGAGACTGACACGAACCACCCCAACCCCACACAGGAGCGGTTTGTTGCGCCATGCGCGTGTGTGTGCACTCGCATGAGGGGAGATTTGTGAGAGCCAAGCGTCTCTTCCAACTTCTGCAAGGCACCGGTCCAATCCCTGCTTCTTGCTTGCTTCCTGTCGAGGGGCATCGAGGGGCCGCGTGGTGGCGGCAAGTCGTAGGAATAGTTACCGAGTGTAGGTGAACAGGCAGTAAGTTAATAGTACGGCTACGCTCCTAGTTGCGTTGGACAGGTTTGTTCCCACGACATTGGGAATCCGGCGCCTGCGGATTGAGCCAACCATGGTGGCGATGAAGGGCCACTGCTGACATGAAATGCAAAGAGAAGAGGCCGCTGTCAGCTTGCCGTCAAAGGCTTCCAGAAGTTGCGCTCGAGCTGCGTGGCTTTGGAATCAATCTGCAAGCTTGTGGTACCATTAACAGACAATTCCGGCAGACAATCTGGCTCAAGTTGACAAACTGTCTTCGTGACATTCTGAGACTGAGGCGAGGTGCAAGTGGCACAGAAGGCACAAAGCACCCGACCTCAAACCGCTCCAGAGTGCTCTTGTAGAGGGCTGCCCTGAAGGAGACCTGCAATGCTTCATGCCGATGGACAAGGCCACAGGCACGACCTGAACCTCCACCGAGAGCCTTCACTCCGACTCGCAGGCTGTCCCTTTATGCGTGTGTGTGTGTGTGTGTGTGAACATAAAGTGTGTAAATTGCGCCGAGCACTTTTCTCAACACTTTCAGTAGAGAGGAAGATCGAAGCGGCGAGGGCTTCGCTTCTTGCTTCCATTCAGAGCTCTGTTGCGGCCTCGCCATCTTCGCGTTTGGCGGCGCTGGGCCAGGACTGCACCTGGCTTCAAAAGCAGGTTAGCCAAGGGAGCCTGGAATACTGCATACGTTTGGTACAGAGTCCAGCTTTGTGCATCCATGTGCATCCTACTGATTTCCAGGCCTCGGCCAGCAGGTTGGGCGGCCAGTGCTGGCATTTCGCCAGGAATACCAGCGATGTCCAAGGCTTAGGACAAAGCTCCAGCCTAAGAAAAAAACTCCACAAAAACTCGCGCAGCGGTCGTAGCATAGAGTTGGCGAGCAGTTGTTAGACGAGACGCTGGACGTGAACACCCGCGTAGATGGGCCTTCAGACTTCAGCGGCACCCGGCGTCAATCGATTTCTCGGCCCAGCCTTGAGGTCACTGTCGGATTCCGGCCTAAGGCACAGCTTCGGGTTTAGGAAGTTTAGGAAGTTTAGGGCCGGCTTGAGGGTGACAGTGCCTGGGCTTGGTCTTCGCCTTAGAATGGGTTTAGGGATGTCCGGGCCTGGCGGCTGCACTGGCTGCACCGCACACGGCATCGGCGATGTCGAGGAAGACTGGCTGCCTGCCAGGGCAGGTATCCCAGACTTCTGGACATCTCTGGAATCTCATCTTGCGTGCCGCCGCGAGATCCGGCGCGGCCTGTGTTGCTTCCACAAGGGCCAGGCGCCTGGCTGCCCGCACTGCCAGCACTCCTCGGAGTCCGTGTTGCATGACATCTGTCGACAATGCTCGGTCCGCTCAGATGGGCTGTCTGTGTATGTATCTTGTGGATTCTAGGGCTTTTTCCAGTGTCCGGTTTCAAAAAAACAAATACCCTCGCACATGTGCCCTTTCGACTTCCTGGGTGCATATCCTTCCGCATGTGTCCACACGGGCTTGGCACGAACAACAATAACAAAATCATCACAGCTTCTCTCAGGCATCGTGCGACAAACATTCTGGCACATGTGGCGCTACGGCCACGCACGCACAGGCCTGGCATGCACACCCTCACCTAATCGAGAAACCCCCCCCCCCCCTCCTCCACCCTGACACCTGAAATCCCAGAGATATCAGGGACTAAGTCGGACTGAGGCCCCAAGTCCGATTTGCCCCAAAACAAGACGGTTGCAACAAAAACTCCCGCAAGCTCCGAAGGAGCCTGAAGGAGCCAGCTTTCGTGACATATGTTCACCATTTCGCCGTGTTTGGCCATTCTCTACGTGTTCATAGCACTCTTACTGCTCATGAATGTCGGAAGTTGGGTGGAGGGCGGGCAAGACACCAACGCGGTCTGTGCACCTGGTGAAGGCATCGCCACAGCCACGGGAGAACGAGGCATTGGGCATAGGCTGCATGCCTGTCTTCGCAAGCAATGAGCTCAATCCACGGCCGTTCCAAGCGAGGCGCCTGGCGGGTGTGCGCTTGGCACCCCGTTCGCTGGAACAGGGATGCTGCCGTTATTCCTTAGCGCCCGCTGCTTGTTGAACATGTGCCGCACACTTGCATGTCCGTGATTGCCACCAAGAGGCGGCACAGCAGCACTGCCATCGGCTGGCCTCAGATGGAGAAACGTGAAAAGCCCCAACAGGGCTCGACACGCACGTGCGCGTTGGACGTGTTGGAAACACAGCACGTCACAGCCCCAAAAGACTCTACAAGGAAACGTGTGCCGCAAAAGACATGCTCATGGATCGCGAAGTTGCGTTCCATCCAACATCAGCAGATTCCACTCTACAAAAAGGACACTATCGAACTGTGTCAACACGGTGTTGTGTGCGTGTGGCTTCATCACCTGACATTCTGACCTGTGAGGAGCATGCACGCACGCTGCACCACATGGTATAACACCAACACGGCCTGTGCACCTTGTGTAGGCATCGCCGCAGCCACGGGAGAACGAGGCATTGGGCATAGGCTGCATGCCTGTCTACACAGAAAACAGCCAGGCAAGTCACGCAATGAGCTCAATCCACCGCCGTTCCATGCGAGGCGCCTGGCGGGTGTGCACTTGGCAAATTGTTCGCCGGCACGGGGATGTTGCCGGTATTCCTTAGCGCCCGCTGCCGGTTGAACATCTGCCGTGCACTTGCATGTCCGTGATTCCACCAAGAGGCGGCACAGCAGCACTGCCACAGGCTGGCCTCAGATGGAGAAACGTGAAAAGCCCCAACAAAACTCGACACGCACGTGCGTGTTGGACGTGTTGGAAACACAGCACGTTGCAGCCCTACAAGACTCTACAAGGAAACGTGTGCCGCAGAAGACATACTCATGGATTGCAAAGTTGCGTTCGATCCAACATCAGCAGATTCCACTCTACAAAAAGGACACTATCGAACTGCATCAACACGGTGTTGTGTGCGTGTGGCTTCATCACCTGACATTCTGACCTGTGAGGAGCATGCACGCACGCTGCACCACATGGCAGAACACCAACACGGCCTGTGCACCTTGTGTAGGCATCGCCGCAGCCACGGGAGAACGAGGCATTGGGCATAGGCTGCATGCCTGTCTACCCAAAAAAGAGCCAGGCAAGTCACGCAATGCGCTCGATCCACGGCCGTTCCAAGCGAGGCGCCTGTCGGGTGTGCGCTTGGCACCCCGTTCGCTGGAACGGGGATGCTGCCGTTATTCCTTAGCACCCGCTGCTTGTTGAACATGTGCCGCACACTTGCATGTCCGTGATTTCCACCAAGAGGCGGCAAAGCAGCACTGCCACAGGCTGGCCTCAGATGGAGAAACGTGAAAAGCCCCAACAAAACTCGACACGCACGTGCGTGTTGGACGTGTTAGAAACACAGCACGTTACAGCCCTACAAGATTCTACAGGGAAACGTGTGCCGCAAAAGACATGCTCATGGATCGCGAAGTTGCGTTCCATCCAACATCAGCAGATTCCACTCTACAAAAAGGACACTATCGAACTGTGTCAACACGGTGTTGTGTGCGTGTGGCTTCATCACCTGACATTCTGACCTGTGAGGAGCATGCACGCACGCTGCACCACATGGCAGAACACCAACACGGCCTGTGCACCTTGTGTAGGCATCGCCGCAGCCACGGGAGAACGAGGCATTGGGCATAGGCTGCATGCCTGTCTACACAGAAAACAGCCAGGCAAGTCACGCAATGAGCTCAATCCACGGCCGTTCCATGCGAGGCGCCTGGCGGGTGTGCGCTTGGCACCCCGCTCGAGGGAACGGGGATGCTGCCGGTATTCCTTAGTGCCCGCTGCTTGTTGAACATGTGCCGCACACTTGCATGTCCGTGATTTCCACCAAGAGGCGGCACAGCAGCACTGCCATCGGCTGGCCTCAGATGGAGAAACGTGAAAAGCCCCAACAAAACTCGACACGCACGTGCGCGTTGGACGTGTTGGAAACACAGCACGTTACAGCCCTACAAGATTCTACAAGGAAACGTGTGCCGCAAAAGACATGCTCATGGATTGCAAAGTTGCGTTCCATCCAACATCAGCAGATTCCACTCTACAAAAAGGACACTATCGAACTGTGTCAACACGGTGTTGTGTGCGTGTGGCTTCATCACCTGACATTCTGACCTGTGAGGAGCATGCACGCACGCTGCACCACATGGCAGAACACCAACACGGCCTGTGCACCTTGTGTAGGCATCGCCGCAGCCACGGGAGAACGAGGCATTGGGCATAGGCTGCATGCCTGTCTACACAGAAAACAGCCAGGCAAGTCACGCAATGAGCTCAATCCACGGCCGTTCCATGCGAGGCGCCTGGCGGGTGTGCGCTTGGCACCCCGCTCGAGGGAACGGGGATGCTGCCGGTATTCCTTAGTGCCCGCTGCTTGTTGAACATGTGCCGCACACTTGCATGTCCGTGATTTCCACCAAGAGGCGGCACAGCAGCACTGCCATCAGCTGGCCTCAGATGGAGAAACGTGAAAAGCCCCAACAAAACTCGACACGCACGTGCGTGTTGGACATGTTGGAAACACAGCACGCTACAGCCCTACAAGACTCTACAAGGAAACGTGTGCCGCAAAAGACATACTCATGGATTGCAAAGTTGCGTTCGATCCAACATCAGCAGATTCCACTCTACAAAAAGGACACTATCGAACTGCATCAACACGGTGTTGTGTGCGTGTGGCTTCATCACCTGACATTCTGACCTGTGAGGAGCATGCACGCACGCTGCACCACATGGCAGAACACCAACACGGCCTGTGCACCTTGTGTAGGCATCGCCGCAGCCACGGGAGAACGAGGCATTGGGCATAGGCTGCATGCCTGTCTTCACAGACACCAGCCAGGCAAGTCCCACAGAGAGCTCAAATCCGGAGCAGTTTCAAGCGAGGTGCCTGGCGGGTGTGCACTTGGCACCCCGTTCGCTGCAACGGGAATGCCGCCGGTATTCCTTTGCGCCCACTGCTTTTAGCATGTGCCACGCACAACGTGCGAGCGAAAGAATTATTGACCGAGGTTGACCGAGCGAATCCTAACTCAGTGTTCAAAACAATGCACTGCCCTCTCCCCCACCCCCCACTCATTTCGTTCTTTGGTTTCTTCATTGAAAGAAAGAACTTAAGCCTCGGGGGGGGGGGGGAGGGAGGCGACGTAGGAGGGCACTTTGTCGTTCGCTGGGCGAGAAGCCTGCAGAGTCGGCACTAAATGTGCATCCTAGGGTCCCTGCCTGTGCTTGAGTCGAATCTCAAAGGCCATTTTGGGGGCGATCCTCTAAGTGTTGGTCTCTTTTGGGGGGCAATCCTAAACCCAGGAACCCGTGCTCTGGGAACCAGAAGGAAGCGACCATTCCAATGGACCACGACCACGAGTCTTGCGAACGGCAGTCCTCTACATGTTGGGTTTTTGGGGGCACTCCTAGCCCAGGGCGCTGGATTGTGAGAACCAGAGCGGGAAGTGTCCTTCCGCCGTAGAGACACGGCACGCCCGGAAGCTGGTTGGTGTCAGGCTGAAGTCAAGAATTGCATGGAGCATGGCCGCGTAGCATGCGGGTACTCTGTAGCAGGCGTCCAGGGCTGGCTGCACGGATACTGCGCGGTCCACAGCTCTGCAGATCTGCAACAGCATGGCCGTGGGTGGCTCTCATGACACGGAGGCGAAGCTCCAGCTTTGCGAGCCGGAAAGCGTGCTGGCCCGTCTGTTTGCCGTGGCCACAGCTTTAAGCGGCGGCAGTGACGACAAAAGGGTCACAGCTTTTGCGGTTTGGAGTTTCACTTGGATCCCCCATCCAAAGCACATTGCTGCTGAGCGTCTTCGAGACTACATGTCTACATGCTCTGCCAAAAAAAGCGCATGTTGCAAGGCCACTGCAAACGAGCAGCGACTTGCGCAACCCGGCACCACTCGGAGTTGCCACAGCAGCAACATGTCCTGTTCCAAATCTTTCGGCGCAGGTGCACTTGCCCTGAGATGCCAAGTTGGGATGGCCTTGGCTGCCCGATGTAGGCGGCGTGGAGTTCCTCAGCTGAACAGTCTCTGCTTTCACTACCACGCACGACGCTTCTACCATACCAGCATATAACAGCCAGGCTGCAGCTGTTTGCAGCGCTGGAGGGCATGTGGCGTCCATCCGCCTCCCGACCTGGACGCCATCAGACCAGTGACAAGCTGTGCTGCTCGCCTGGCACGGCACAGGGCCCTGGCCTTGGCGAGGTCTGCGAAGTCTGTGAAGTCTGCGAAGATCGATGCAGCGCGGCCTCTGGTCCATCCTTGCTTGGGTTTGGCGTGCCATGGCCGCCATCACCTTGGCTCGGGGAACTTCCTGGCTCTGCTGGGCTCTGCTCGCTCTGCCGTGCCTGCCAGGGGTGCGAGGCTCAGCATGCGAACATCATTTGCTGTTTTCGTGAGCCAGGGTCTGGCCTGAAACCTCTGCCAGTTCGTGGCCAGCTGTGGGACTTGGTTCCGCCGCCTCACACACATGCAACGGACTTAACTAGGAATATCAGCCGGGCGTACCGCCTCGGAAGCGTCCTGGGAGGCGTTGGAGCCAGGCTTTGCGCTTGGACCGCTTGGTTTGAGAAGACCGAGATGGGATCCCCGGATTCTCCAGCGGGGCTTTTTGGAGTGTGCTGCAGCTGTAGCTCATGCGTCTGGTGGGACTGCTTTGGCTGGCTGCTTCGTGCCTGACAGCTCAAAAAAAACGTGTTTATGTTCAGGCGCATATGCGCTCGACTTTCTTCCAACCTGGCAAACTCTCGTCAGTGTGGCTGCCAGCGGGAGGGGCGCTGGCTCGCTCCTGGCAGAATCGATTTAAAAAAAACGAAGTGTCTCATGACCTGCTGACACACCGCTTGCTTGGGCGGTCGATGGCTGCAAATCACTGCCCAGCCTCGGACTTTGCGAGGGCATCGACTTCTGCCGCGGCGGGCTCTGGATGTCGTCCATGTGTGCCTTCGATTTCGGCGGCTCGAAGCCCTGTGGCCAAGGCTGCGCCCGAGTCGTCTGAGCTTGCCCCTGACGGCCCGGGCTGGCACTTGGCATCATAGGGCTGTTCACCTGAGCTTCTGCAGCTTCTGCGGAAGCTCTGCGTGGGCCGCTGCGACTTACGCGTGCCTCTCTAGTGAAAAATCTGGGTGCCAGAAGCGTGGCTTGGGCTCAACATGGCCCAACTTGTTAAGCTTCTGGGTCAAAGACTGAATTCTGGCTGTCAAGGACCCTCGAGCTGAAGGCCATCACCTTGGAAGCTTCCAATGGCGGCCGCTCTTGCCGGGAAGCAGAATCGAGAAGCGTGCGGTGCAGGCACGTTCAGACAGACTGAAAATGTCCAAGATGCCATGTTGGCAGCACCACAGCTCCCATGGAGCCCGTTGATGACATTATGCCAATATCAGATGGGTTTAAGCATGTCAAGCCCGTTAGTCGGCAGGTTTCATATCGATTCATGGAGCCATTGATGATTTTGAAAAGTGTGTTGCTCATGCAGCTTGCACGGCATTCTGCAAACATGCGTGGGTGCCTGCAAGACGATCAGAGTCGCTGCTAGAGGCGTGTGGCAAGGTGACAACTAAAAACTTAAGCCAAGCAGAAGCTCCGGTTGCACGCAGCTTGGCCTCAATCTGCATGTCTTACGGGGGCAAAGTCCCCCTGCAAACTGAGGATGCGGATGCCTCTGGAGCTATAAGTGCCAGATGCGGGAGTGCAAGGTTCAAACTCTGTCAAAACTCGCGTCTTTGGCTGCCACTCTTCAACAAACGGCAGCGAAGCTCGGCAGTTTTTAGCTTTCGCAACGTAAATGTCGAAAAGAATGCCGTGGGCCGCCAATCGCATGACGTCATGGAGGAATGCGGGGTTGTACAATGCGCTGCTATGCCTTCCAATGCCTAAGAGCACCTGACCATGCAGCTTTGTCCTCTCAAGCTCAGGTCTGGGTGCGCTACTCGCCTCGACAACAAGCAAACCAGGCAGCTGTCTACTGACACAACTTCAAGTGATTTCGAGTAGAGACTGGCTGCAAAGCTTGAGTCGCACCCTGCGAAGCTGGGCGTTGGAGCCGTTTTGTGCCAAAGCGCGGGTTCGATCGTCGAGCGCGCCATGTCCGTTCCGCTCACTACATGGGCGCCCTTAACATACCAGATGAAGCCAAGATGCTTCCAATGGCAAGAGCTTGGCACGAAGCATATGCCTTCTGCCCAAGGTGTGCTATAAGGGATCGTGAGAAGATGGGTCCTGCAAAACGACCGATGCCATTCGAGATGATACCGTTGATGAGCATGACGTTGTTCGCATCAAGGAGGGAGCCATCCGGGAAGACACTGGTATTGAGGATGCCCATGTTCAAGGCACCCGCCAAGTAGATGGATGGGAAAATGATCGAGTCCGCAGCCAGGATGCCCAAGGGTTGCTTCGCTGTCCCTGCTCACAAAGATACAAAAAACAGCAGAACACAAAAATCGGTACGAGATGTACTGATGCACCACTCGGAAAACAGCACAGCAGAGGAAAACAATTGGAGTGCCGCGTGTTGGCTCCCTGCCTAGCAAGGCAGTGGCCAGCATGGCAATGCCCGTGTAGATCCTGATCCAGGCGATGTCGCTGTAGCGCGCCTGATACTGCTTGTGAAGCATGTAGGCGGGGACCACCAAGCAGAACGTCAGCCCAATGCAGAAGCCGATGCTGTCCTGGCGCCATTCGAAGTGATCCTGGAGAAGCAGGCACGACGCTGCTTCCACGCCCGATGTGATAAAGCCGCGCAAGGCATCCAGGAAGATGCCTCTGCGGCACATTTGTAACGAAAGCTCAGCAGCAGCAGCAGCAGCAGCAGCAGCAGCAGCAGCAGCGGCAGCGGCAGCGGCAGCGGCAGCGGCAGCAGCAGCAGCAGCAGCAGCAGCAGCAGCAGCGGCAGCAGCAGCGGCAGCGGCAGCAGTGGCAGTGGCAGCGGCAGCGGCGGCGGCAGATCTTCGACAGGACTGCGTAAGTAATGCAGTGCAAAACAGCCCAATGCATGACATACTGCCGCCCCAGCCCCTAAAACAGAAGCGCCGCGGACAGGCAACGAGGCCCTACGAGGCCCCAAAAAGGGCAGTTTTCGTGAAAACCGAAAACATGCTGACTCGAATCGAAGGCACTTGCTAGAAGCACTGCCGTCTGGTGCCCTCCAACAATGCTGGTTGCCTTGCCAAAGTCAGACACGTCCTGGCATCAAGCTGAAGCAAGCCAAACGAATCCGAATCAACCATGGTCACTCTGAAAAAGGGCTAGAGAACAGCCGAGCATGAAAAAGAAGAAGAAGAAGAAGTGTCCTCCAAGGATGGGTAAAGGAGAACAGCTGCCACCAGGACGGTGATGGTCATCGTCAGCTGCCACTGCGCGGTCAACATGCTGATCTGTGCTCCAAGCCCCATTCCGGCCACATCCCCCCCCTCGTCGTGGAAGAAGAAGTAGGCTATGGCAATGATGATGGGGCCACCTCCGATACCCATCGTATTGGACACGAACTTCTTCATAGAGTGGCGCGGCCGGTCAACAGCTGGCGCCAGCTTGACAATGCAGCACTTCATGAACTGGTCATTCAGCCCATGACCAAAGCCTTGAACAATCCTGGCTGCCAGCAACGTGAGGATCAGGGTGTCGTGCGTTTGTCCGTACTTCACAGCCAAAGCCACTTTGCAAAACACCAGTGCTCCGAGAAATTGACAAGAGAGTCCTGTCACCAAATACGTCTTGATGTGTACGCGCCATATGTCAGGGTAAACGTTCAAGATCTTCCAGCTAACACCCATGCCGACAGCACTGGATTCCATGAAGACCCCGATGAGGAGGCCAGACATTGAAGCGGCATTTGACAAATTCAGTGCCAGACACAATGGGTAAGCGCAAAGCACCCTGAGATTTGTTGAGCGGTTGTGTCAAGCCGACATGCAGCCAAAAAAAACACATGTTTGCCGCATCCACACGGTGTCAGAGTTGCAGCTCAGAGGCACAGAGCTGTAGTTCATGAAGCCCTGGAAGCACACCATCAAGTTAACCTCAGCTCCGAGAAATGGCAGGAGGATCCAGGGTGCACAGGGATGAGTTGGATGCAGCTACGATTCGGAGCAAGTGTGCAGGTTTAAGGCTTCATGTGCCGTTTGGGCTGGCTAACTGAGAAGCTGGCGTGCAGAGCCGACTCAGCGGGAGACATCGTGTTGGTCCAATCATAGGAAACCTTCACGACTGCGAGCAGCGCGAGGGCAAGAACAAGAGCTATAAGAGCAGCCATCATGGGCTGCATCTGATGCTGCTGCCCGTGAGCTTGCTCTGCTTCCAGTAGTGACGCAAACCTCTCCAGGTGAGGCCGGAAGAGCTCCTTGACAAGGGGATCCGCCGCCTCGCTGGGCAGCCATGGCTTCCGATCGCCATTGAAGTGAAGAATCTTTGCCTGGTGCGCCAGGAAATCTCCATCAGTCGTGAGCTGGTGATGAACCTCCACATTCCACTCTCTTTCCACAACGATGAAGTCACCTGGTTGCCGCCAGACCTCGAAAGAGAGCATGAGGAGGGTCTGATCATTGCCGCGGAACAGCTTCCCATGCAGCAAGTAGTTGATGCGCAGCCAGTGCGTAACCTTGTCCATGTAACCCTGGCTCGCCCAGCGCTTCGTGTTCACAACGAGGACTCCAGCATTGTACTCCGTGGCGTTCTCCGCTGCCAAGAGGGCTGCCTTTGAGATTCCCAGCTTGGTGAACTCGGCATCGCTCACGTTGCGCGGGTACACGTAGTCACTCAGCGACACACGTGGCACCCGCTCCTCCGCAGGCTTGAAATTTTTGAAAAATAATGTGCTGCTTGCTGCTTCCTAGGGCTGTCTCATGCCGAAGTCTAAGAGTTTAAGAGCGGCTTGCTTCAGGTTTATGTTCAGTGAGACTGGGCAGCAATCGAAAAACTTAGCAGCAGACCACAAAGGCCATTGTCTTGCCGCTTGCCGCAAATCGATCTGCTAGGACCAGGACATCCGCTTGCACCACCACATCCGTGTCAAGGTACACCACAATCGCATCAGGAAGCAAGCCGTCCAGGAACAAGCGCGCGTACTTCTCAATTGACTTTGCTAGCGAAGCACGCTCATGATAGTGGTTACTCTGGTACTTGAAAAGCTTGTTCATCTTCACCTCATCTAGCGCATGAAGTCGAATGGTCGCCCCTAGGGTGGTCCCCACTGATAGCGACTTGTCCTTCATGCCAAAGTGAGCCTGAAAGGCGGGAAGAACGGCAGCCTTCACTGCGACGTCTACAACGAGACGCTGCGGCTGAGAGCATGAGACCAGCAGCGAGTGAATGGAGGCGCTGAGCCCGTCGATCTGTGGCTCGTCTGCAGCATAGAAGGCGTGGACCGTAGCTGGCCCGTCAGAGAGCAAGCTCTCCCGAACGGCTGCTGAGGGGATCAGGGAAAGCAGCAAGGAGAGCAAGAAAAGATGGTATTTGGCAGAAGACATCATCTCAGACGGTGCTCCTGAAGCTAACCAGGCATCCCGTCTTGCTTGGGGGGGGCCCGCTACAGATATAGCTTGAGCCACTTCCGCACGTGGGAACGTGTCTGCAGCCCATTGGCCAAGGGCAAGAATGCGAAATGTGTGAGACAACTGTCCTACAGGATAGGGGCTAGGCCCTGCTGGGCGTCCGACCATCCGCCACTGGCTTCCGGCACATGTGGAGAGCACCTGGGCTTGGCGAGTCTCAGGGGCTCAACGACTTAACGGCTTATGACGCTGAATGCCACTGAGCCATCGAATGTAATCCCGCTTCTTTCGCCCGCTCCTTGAGAGTGCGGAAGAATGCGGCATGGTGCCTTTCAGACTATGTAAAACAGCTAGACATCGAGGCCCATGCTGACTCCACGGCTGTGTACAAGCGCATGTGAAGGGCAGCACTCAAGCCGCTGTCACTTTCAACGCGGGGCGTTCCCTGTTCTTGCTGGTTGAGCTCAGCTCAGTAGCCGCGCTCCTTATCAACAACATTCAGGAGAGGCGCTCCTGACAAGTAAGTCTGCAACACCTTCTCGAACACGTGGACGGCTTGGTCGTGCGTGTTTGGCGTGTCATCTGCAGAATGGGGCGTGAACAAAACGTTCTCGAGTGAGTAGAACTCACTCTCTGATGGAAGAGGCTCCTGCTTGAAGACATCCATGACGGCACCGGCTATCTGACCTTCCTTCAACGAAGCCAGCAAGTCCTCTTCGTTGTTGGTCTGCCCTCGCCCAAAGTTCATGTAGATGCCCGTGGGCTTCATGAGGCGAAAGCGACGGGCGTCAAAGAAGTCTTGAGTGGCAGGGGTCACCGGTAGCAAGTTCAGCACGTAGTCAGCCGTGGGCAGCAAGGACTCCAGTTGGCTCACCGCTTGAAGGTCGTGGAGGCACGCCTTGCTCTTCTCGGAAGTAGACTCGGGGCGCGCTTTCACTCCGACGACTTTCATGCCCAGATCTTTCAGCTTCTTGGCACATGATGTACCAATGTCACCATACCCCACAATCAGCATCGTCTGCTCGGCCACATCGTCTACGAAGGTGGGCGCCCAGAGCTTAGCGAACTGAGAATTGCGGAAGTGGATTGCCTTCTTTGCGAAAAACAGGACGGCAAACACAACAAACTGCGCAAGGTGTTCGCTGTACGCCGACTTGACGTTGGTCATGGGGATCTGGGATGCCTTTACCACCGGGTCACGCAAATATGCATCCACACCGGCAGTGAAGCAGTGGACCCACTTCAGCTGCTTGGACTCTTGAAGTTGGTCTCGAAGAACGCCTGCGCCGTCCTTCGAGTTGTACAGGAAGAGGCCGTCGTAGCTGTACTTGGACTCGAGTGCCTCGTAAGCGCTCCCAGCCTGTACAACGTCCACATGAAATTTGTAAACAGGCTGCAGCCGGCAAAGAGCGCTCTCAAAGAATTTGGATGGCACGTTTCCTGTGCCTAGGAATAGGAAGCGCGTCTGCGACATGGATGCTCACAGGTAGAGCTGGCGAGAAAACAGGAAGTAAAGTGTTGTGTTGTCGTTTGAAAGCCGAAAAGGCTGCGCCGGACCAGGAACGAACGCTTGCACTGGTGTCCTCCAAGTTGCATGTCTTCATACCACCACAGTACAAGCCCAGTATTTTTCGGTGATCCCTCTATCTCAGGCTTCCGCGGCGCCGTGAGCATAGAGAAAAGATGGCCAGCCACACTGCAAACCCGAATTGCTAAACCTCGACTACAAGAGTAGAAACCTACTGCCACCACCGCCACCATTGTTCGACATCATGTTTTTCAGAGATGCGCTCGGAGTACATGACATTTCTTGGAGTAGCAGGAGGGACAGTAAGTAAGGGACAACGGTGTGCCGGATAAGGAGTGCCTACAGCGCCGCTGACCGCATCGGATCCGGTTAGCAGGGGGACGCTCCACGAGAGCAGCAATGGCGACCTCGATGGTTGCTGCGTCCCCCAACACGGACGCGCACCGGATATTGGCCCGTTGGCCCTCCCTTCAATCTGTTCTCTTTCCCTTATCCTGACTTGCTGCTGAAAGTCCAGGTGCTGGCCCCGCCATCCCCCCCCCCCATACAAAGCACGCGGCTCCGCAGACTTCGAGTATGCTTTATTTTCCAACCGACCGAGGGCGTGGCGACGAAGGCTCGGAGGGGAGCCGAAAACATGGTTCTGGCTTGAGCCCACAATCTCAAACGTCGGGACCGGCAGCGCGCGCAGAGCTGAATTTCGTTTAGCACCTCACTCTGGGCTTTGCACGCGTCGAAGCAAACGTTGCAGGTGTACAGACAGCTCATTGCTTGACAGGACGCGTGTCGGTCTGGTCGCATGTCTGCAAAGATCTGTCTCTTCCATCGCATAACCATAATGTCTGTCTCGTGAGATCAACTAATCCACCGCTGCAACTTCACTGTTGGCACCAAGGTGTGGACGTGGTCAAGCACCAGGAGCCCGTAAGTTGGCAGTGGGTTTCGTCCAGCGGCCCCAAGGGACACGACAGCTACGGTTTCACGAGGTGTTGGGTTCGATACCCTGCCGCGGCTACCCCGTCTCACCGTCAGGGTGCCGCTCCTGAGAGGAAGATGCAACTTTGGCGTCTTCTACCTTTCGGCTAGTCTGAGGGCCACGCTGCAGTGGGTCATCTCCCCCTGCCCTGGGCAGATCGGCTGGGATTTCTATGGGTCTTCGTCTCTCAGTCCAGTGAGTGTATTGTTTGAAAAGGCTTGGAGGCTGAAGAGAAACTGCAGCGGCCTTCGCCATGCCTCTTCGATCTCGACCTGCACATGATGCCGGCCCCAATCGTGCCCAACTGGGTTGCACATGGTTGTGAGCCAACTGCTACCCGTACTGCTTGTCAACATTCTAAACGATTCTAAACGCTCCAAGGACAAAGACACAAAGCCCAAGAAGTCTGCAGCCATTGCAGCCCAAGGCCCGGACCTCCTTCGTCAACCTTCCGCCTCTTTACCTGCCAAAAGTCACTCGGCTTCAATGTGAAGATTGCATGCCTACGTGCGGGAGCACTTTGACCACCCCCATCAGTGGTAGCCCCCCTCATCAAAAAGGGCAAAGCATCGGCTGACGAGCACTGTGCTACCCTGGTCGATTTCCAGAAGGATCGCTGTGCATCATCGGTAATCGATCGCATGGAGGAAGGTTCGGCTTGACTCTACGCGAGCTACGTGGGCAACCTGATGCCGGCCATGCTGGCCTTAAGACAAACACGTAGTCCTCAACCCAAAATCCGGCTTCCAGCAAAATAGCAACACGAGCCTTGCACGCGAAGGAGCATTCCACAACGGATTATGGCTCTCTTGAGTTCGGGGCAACATCAGGCACCTATCGACATCCGAAAACAGCCCCCGCCTGGTCGAAGTCAGCTGCCTTCGCGTGTTCAACCTGCTCTGCGGACGCCAAGCAGCCAACACTTTTCAGGCGTCCGAGGACAGCTTGCAGCAATCCACTGAACACACTGTTTTCCATCCTTCTGGGCGTTAAAAGAGGGCACGAGGAACCCACTAAAAGCGACGCCGCTCTTGGCGTGTCAGAGGCCCTGTCGCAAAGACGCCCGGGACGAAACCTTCTTTCAGCACATCCCTTGCCGCAAATTTCCAAAATATTACACAGGTGTTCCGGATCTGGCCTGGACAATCTACAGTTGAATCTTGAATGACAGGGGAGCCAAATGGAGCCAATGACTTCAGATCTCCCGCCCCAAAAAGCTGCAAGAATCTGAAGCACTTCCGCCTGAATGCTTGTATGCATCCTAGCATGACACCTCCACGCATGTCCAAGCTAGATCCGCATTCAGTCAGAACCCGCCTTTGGCGAAAGTCTTGCAGACTGCGAAGCAAAGCAAGCTCTTCAGAGCCTTCTCAACTCGGAAGCAAACAGCGACAGCTTCATCGAGAGATCCGCCACCCCTTGTCACTCCACAGCTCCCTGTGCCTCAGCGAACGGGCCACAGGAACCCCTAGGCAACAACTTCCCCCGAGGAAACCTTCAGCCTTATCGAATGAACATATATATATATATATAGTCATTTATTTGCATTTAATTATACTTATTTATTTGTGTGTTTTTTATTTATTTATCTATTTATCTATCTATTTGTACATACATATATACTCTATATGTGTGTGTGTGAAACCCTGCCATCGGAACCCCAAAGCTTCCCAACAAGAGCCTTCCGGGGAATTATCGTGGCTCCATCGGCCTCAGGCTGCTCCGCAACGGCGTTGGAGGAACTTCGTGCCTCTCCGCTTGGATGAGGAAAATCGGCCCGAGATGTGTGGGAGTTGTGTGGGAACAATAATCATGCGCGTTTCCAAAAAAAGGGTACCCTTTTGGGGGTCCCTCTGAGGGGATTCTATTCTATTTGGGGCATGAAAGGGGTACCCTAAGAAGGCAAATACCCTTACATATGTGGTGGGCTTCGGCATGTTTAGGCAAGGGGGCAAGGATGGGCAAGGAGTCTTGCGGAGGCTGAGGGCTTTGATCGAAAGGCTCCAGGACGCCCAGTTGCCTCCCGAGCAGAGAGGGGCTGCAGGGTGTGATTGGAGACAAGCCTCGTTCAAGGCGAGCAAGAGTAAGCACATCACTGCCACTGCACCACTTGCAACAACTTGGGGCTCATCTTAGCTCATCTCAGCTCCCTGCTTGAACGGGTCCCTCACAGGCCGCAGGGGCTTGGGATCAGCCGTCTTCTGTCGGGCACTATGTACGCGAAGGCTGTGCGCCTTGCAAGGGCAAAGAAAACGGATGAGACGAGAGCCAAAGAGGATAAAAGAGGCACTGCGATGGCCAAGACTGCCACACGCATCGGCGAGGTGCGGCCACCGGCCTTCGTTGTGCGTATCCGGTGCTTCCCATTCGGAGCATCCAGAGCCTCAGCCGCAAGACGTGGGACGAGGGGAATTGCGCCTGCTTTTACTTTCTGGATGTCTTGCAGCTCGTCTTGGCATCATTGTTTTCGACTGATGCATGCGGGGACACACGCACACCGTCCAGCTCTGGCCGGAACAAGGAAAAGCGCAAGGCGATGGTCTACTGATGGTTTGCTCCCAGAGCTGCAGCTTGGGCGCGTTGATCTCGGCATAGGCGTCGTAGCGGGCGCTCAGCTCCGACTGGAACTCCGAGGCGAAAGCACCCTTCAGCCTCGCCGTGAGATGGCACCCTCTCACTCTCCGGCACTGTCCATATCGAGACTCGGGACATCTGGAGACAGCTCCCTCTGAGATCTTTTGAGGGCCCCAGCACGTCTTGCATCGGCGTCGAAGGAAGGTTTGCTCGGCCGTATGTGGCCTCGACTGCCAGGAACCAATGAATAATCAAATGGAACTACGCACCGTCTTTCATCGTCTTTGCATCCCCAAGCCGAGGGCGGCTGTGTCGACAGCATCTCGCACAACGCGTCGGCCACCATCTGGAGCCCGGGGGTGCAGCCTGTCCACTGCGGATCATAAAGACATACCTATAGATTGATCTACACATCTGTCATGTATCTAGATCCCACTCGAAGCTTCTGCCCCCACCTGATGTCGACTGCTCTGCGAAACGCACTCATTTGTTTAACTGTCCTTTGCTGCACGCACGTGGACGTGGTCAGGACTCTCACAGCTACTGAACTGCCACCCAGAAGCCGGACACCCTTCTTGGCAGCGCACTTGTTGATGGCTCGAAAGTCCTGTCAATGCCCCGAAGCTGCCCAAACTCTATGACTCTAAAGCCTTTTTCCCAGCTTCCCTTTCTGGTCCTGTGCCGAGTCCTGGGGGGCTGCTGTCGGGTTGTGCGGCACCCAAGCAGACAGCACCTCCCGCGCACCTCCACATCAAACGCAGCTCTGAAGTGCAACGGGCAGAGGTCAAAAGTCAAATCTCTCAGAACCCCCACGCCTTCGGGATCTCGGGGGAACATGCGGCCGTAGGCGTGATTGCCATCAGGCAAGGTGTAGCCTGAAGAAATTCTGCGGGAGCGAAAAGGGGAAGGGGGGAGGACAGAAACTCAGCAAGAGGGGTTTGGAGGATCGTGTCAAACATGGGCTCGGAGCCCCCTTTCAACGTGAGGCATGAACTTTGAGGGAAAAGCTTCGGGATACGCTTCAGGCTGACATCAGCACACAAGAACGTATATGACATGATATATGACATGCCTGAGAAATGCTCTGCAATGCGGCTCAAGTTGCTGCTGTGCTTGGCCCTGCCGATGTCATCCTTTGCAAGCTTCAAGTCTGCGAGACAGCCGCGTCTGAACTCGTTTTTCACTTTTCATGTCCTACATTGTTCTCCGCTGTTTGCTGATAAACCCAGACACCAGTCCTTCGCGATCACTGGGTTGTTCACGCGAAATCGGTATTCGTCCGACATGGCGCAAACCAAAAGATGCTTGCGTAGTCACGTGTAGCACACATTTTCCACCCATGGGCTGACTTACAGGACGAAGCCAAGCTGATCTTCGGGATTCGGTTTCCACATCATGCCGCATGTACGCTGCATTGCACAACAGGGCTTCTCGAGTTTCTCAGAAACTCGGAGCGCCTGGAAAATTGAGCCCAGGTTCAGCGTCGGAGGCTAAAGAGTCGGAGAGCAACAGCCGAGGGCTTCAGCATGAGCCCCTGGATCCTCTGCAACATGCCCAGCATCTTGGCAGCATCATGAGCATCCGGTTCCATCACGATTCCCTCGCTCAAACCCACTCTGCCCTCCCGACTCCCAACATCATCTTCTGCAGGGCCCAGGCCCTTAGCCCTCAGATGCTAATGCTGCAAACATATAGAAAGTCACGAGAGTCATCAGTGAAAGCCGCAAAGGCCGCAGAAGGCCACAGGAAGACGGAAGATCCCGGAAGCCCCGGGCTGAAGCGCAACGGCCCACTCCCGCGCCTCCTCGACGTTGGCGGCCTGAAGGGTATGACTCCTCTTCGCAATTACTACTAATTGCTTAAGAACTCATCGAGGGATGATTATACTTCATTCTTTTGGGGTTCTTAAGCAAACAATAGTAGATTGCAGATTCTACTGCTGAGGCTGGTACGGAGGCTTCCTCACCCCAGATTTCTCGCAAACCTGCTGGAAGTCTCTGGCTGGCCGCATGGCAAGCACAATTAGAAACCCATGACGGGGTGCGGACCGATCGACACGTCGGGTGCCCTGCCAGTCGGCTAAGTCTCAGATTCTGAGATTATGACACTACCCTAAACCCTAAACCCTAAACCCTAAACCCTAAACCCTAAACCCTAAATTCAATCATGTGCCGTGCCTTCCTCCTTTGCGCCATGTTGCGATCTCACCACCAATTCGGCGGTCGATCCACATTTTCAGCGTGACACCGGACCTGCTTCTTGCTCTGAGTATATACCATTCTGCACGAGTCAACATGGCCGTTGACATCTCTTGACATGACATGGCGAACAGACATCTACAAGCCTGTTGTTGCTCCCCCTCCCCCCCCTTGCACGATGGAGAGGAAAACGACATCCAGCACTCTTTTGTAAACGCGCAACATGTTGCACACATCACCCATCACATACCGAGGCCGTCGCGATCCGGATAGACACGCGTCACGCGCGTCTCTGATCTGGCAGTCAGCCGGAAGCGCTTGCGGTTTGCTATCTTGGCCAAGCAGACCCTTTCTGCGGAACATGTAGAACACTACTAGCACCTTTTCTCAGCATTGCGGGTGATCTCTGCGACACGTGTTGGGAAGCGCGGGCCACGTGGGAGCACAAAAGCTGCCGTGCCAGCCCCCAACACGGGTTCCGGGAGCTTGTCCGTGGTCAGCCACAGTCGTTTTGACAACTTTGGCCCCTGATTGCAGGCAGAAGGAAAAACTGCCCCTGCAACCTCTTCATCAGATGTCTTGGAATGGAAGGCAATCTCAGGAAATCACAACATGCAGGTTCAGCTGCACCGCATGCTGGGTGCCCCGTATTTGGCTGACCTGGACGACCTTAAGTCTGGACAAGGGCCCCTGAATTGAGCATGCGACAGGGAGGTGGGAGCGACACCAAAGCGGCACATAGCACATGGCAGCAAATACAGCTTGGTGGTGCTGATGATGCTAAACGGAAATCCGCTTTCTTGATGTGTGCTGCTCTGGCTGCCGTCAGTGTGAGCAGATCATTCTGAATTTCATTGGCTTGCTGTCGCAAGCTCATCAGAGGATCTGCCAGCAACATGCTTACATGTGCATCTGTACCTCTTACACGTAGTGTAGTGCTCCGGTGCACCATACTGCTCTGCGCTGACAAGCACGCTCCAGACGAGAGGATGCCACACGGCATCAGTCTTCCACTCTCCTAGCAGTCCAGTCGGATATGGGTCTCTGTAGCAACGAAACATCCAAGCGCCGCAGATAGGGTTCTGAGTTGTGCACTTGGGCTTTTCTGTCTTCTGCTGCTGCAGCTCCTGCTGTTGTCTCTCCTGCCGGTGAAGGTGCTACTTCCTTCCACATGAGGAAAACAAGACAATCTAGGGTTCACCAAACCACTCTCCTTCTCCTCCTCCACCATCGATTGGAGTTTCCTCAGTTCATGGTTGCATTCTCACAGCAGCCAGGTCATTTCCTGAAGCTCCGAGTAGTAAATCGTAGCACAGAGACTCAAAGTTAGCAGGCATCCAGCCAAGTGTCGGGAGGAACAGCATTGCCCCCATGCTCACTAGACCTTGGTGTGCGCAACTTGGGTCAGCACAACCTACATGTCTCATGTTACATGCCGCTTGGAGGGGGCCGGTTTGCAGTGGCTACTTGCAGACTCGCACTTCGCTGCTGCCCAGGTGCCGAAGAGCGCATACGGACTCTTGAAGACCGAGAGCACGTTGAACTCCTTCCCATGATCGAACATGACGACAGAAAAGGGGGGGATCTTGTCAAGGCTCCATGGGGTCCTCCCGCTTTTCCAGATAACTGAAAGCACCTGATGGTGCCAATCCCAACGGATACTTTAGCTTGACCTCAGAAATCAACAAAGGCTTTTGGACCGTAGGACTTGCGGTCGTGCGAGCCACGGATGCGCATTACCTGCTTCTATCTTGCGCTCTGTAGGCCGAGCCACTCCCTTGCCGTGCTCCATGTCTGCAATATATGCACCTCAGTGCAGCTCCGCCAGCACGCGCAAAACAAGAGTCTGAAAAGAGCCTGCAAAGTCACTGGAAGAAGCTGGAAAAGGGGTGAGCTGATAAAAGCTGATGGGCTCTGATAGACACCTTGCAGCCGAGGCTGCAAAACAGCTGATCCTAAGACAATCCAAGGTGCTCATTTTGAAGCCTTTCTCTGTGGTGCCCTCGGCTGCCTCGACCCGCACTGGGTCAAAGCTCAGTAGCGGGTGCACCACCTGACAGGGCAATGGTGTTGCCCATTGCACCCATGGGACTGTCACGTTACAGCCGTTGTGGCAGTCAGCTTCAGGCATCGAGTGGGATGCATCGAGAGCTCGGCACGCCTGCAAAAGATGTGGCCCAGCAGCTACGCCGTTCAGCGTGAAGTGCCTGCGGCTTAGCTCGAAGTTGGGCGTGAGCTTGGCATGAACTAATCAGTGCTTTGAAACTCGAACTGCTGCCAGAGCACCCATCCGATGCTGGCAGGGCAGATGTCAGGCCTTGCCACGCTTCTGACGACCAGGCTATGGCTCAGTCAAAATTATTGGCCCGTGCTATCGAACGGCGACCCAGCGTCACGCTTGTTTGTCCTACAATGTCCTGCAGCCAGCCTCCATCAAGAATGACCCGTGCCGCTGCGAGGCCAGAACCACCGCTATGGACACTGATCACTTCCTGCGCTGCCACTGCTGTCATCTTGCTGAAACTCTCACACACAGCTGGTGCCTGGTACTTGTGAGGGATGCTGATGCGTCCCTTGATTTGTCCGAAAGGCTGCCTCGGATGTGGCCAGCACACCAACTTGACTCGAATTGAGATACTGCGGAATCAGAACATGGTCTCAACATGTCTCAACCCCATGGATCCCCATGGTCAATCGGGTCAACCGCTTCGGCTCTGGAAAGCTAAGCACAATTTGGGCCCTCGCCTTCAGGACTCCGTCCTCTCCAGTCATGTCTACCGGGTCTACCGTCTATCCGAGCCTCTACCCCAAAGCTCGCTCCCGCTCTCCGGGCTCCGAGAGCACAACTCTCAACGAGTTGAACTGACGAGCTTTTGAGAGCTTTTTGCCATCGGGATGCGAACATACCGGCTGCAAAAGCAGCAGCCACAGGCTTGCCAGAAGCTGCATGCCTGGCAGCCGCATGGCCTTGCAGGAAGAGACATGGACGGATATCGTACTCGAGGTGGCAACTCATCAGGAAGCACAAGGCCTCGTTCAGTTCTTTGTTCAAGGAAGGCGGCTGCCAAAACTCGAGCCGACACGCATCACAGCCAGAGAACACAGCTGCACTTCTGAGAGGTCCTTCACACGTTCCCCAGCTTGCCGCGACATCAAGCCGGCTGCGAGCGAGCCCGTCTTTCGGTCTACACACGGTACACCAATCCCACATCGCAACTGTGTTTACTGTAGAGAACATACAGAATTGCAGTCACGAAACGTTTGGAAGAAATGCCTGAAAGAAATCGCAAGCAAACGAAAGAGGACACATGGCCAAGAGAACAGCGCAGCAAACAAAACAAACAGATCATGGCAACGTGGTTCACCATTTGGCAAGTGTAGGTCTCCCCCAGGTACGGCGCAGGCACAGACAGCACTCTAACACGATAAAGTAATTCAAGAACTTCAAAATCATTTCGAAAAATTGGCGACCTGTTGATCATTCGCCGCGTTTGTAACGATCGTTAAGCACGAAACCTTAGACGGCCTGCAAGCATCCAGAGTTCCCGCACACGACTTAAGAAAAGCCCTAAAAAAGTGCTCGACCATCTGCGACTTCAGGCAGTAACCGTGTCAAAAGCTCGGGGAGCAACTGCCTTGGAAGGGGCCTGTCACTTAGCGGCAGCTGGCACCGATTTCACCGAGGGTACAGCATTGCAGCAGACTAAGCACCACCCTAACCCTAAACCTGCAAAGCCGAAACAGTTCATCTCCACCTCCGGAATCTGCTGAGCGTCTCTCAGCGTCGGGGGCTCGTCTTGGCCCCAGCTGTCCAAAAAACTCAGGATGGTCTGGCAGCAGGCTTGTCGAAAGCATTCGAAAGCCAAGATAGGTTTGATAAGCTTGATGATCATGCAGACGGCGCCTCTCTTAAGGCCTCCTCTGATTCCAGGAAGCCATCTGGGGGTAGGTCGTCAAAGAAGGCCTGTGGCGCAGAGCCCCGGCAACTTCAGAGGCACTAAGCTTTGAACTCACCCAAAGTGTGCTGTGTTCGCTTCGGCGTCTAGAACAAGCAAACCAGTATCTGGTCTCCTTCCCCCCTTTGCCCCCCCCCGCCCTGTGGGACGTGCCCAAACTGTCTGGAGGAGCCAAAATCCGATGCTGCGGGGGTTTCCAGGCTGTGGGCTCCCTTCACACCCACCACGCCAAAAAAGCGAAAACGTCAACCCACCCCCTGACACCATGGGACCGCCCCAGGACCCCAGGACCAGGTCTGCCTGCCAGCAGAAAAAAGAAACCTGGAAGCCCCTTGACCCCTCCTAGACTGCTGCGATCCGCTGCGCATGCCGAGGCGGCGCGCGCAAGCGCTTACAATTAAGTCAGCATCTGCGACATGTTGGCCTGAGCCTCTGAACTGATCTCCGCTCCCTGCCACGCAGCATGTCATGGCGTTCCGCACACAAGGTCAAAAACCATATCTCCAGCTTACATGACTTCCTCAAAGTACTGTCTGTGTGTTAGGTGTCCTGGGCGAAGCACTTAGGGCCTTGGTGAGTCGCCCGTCACACACAAACAAAGACCTCTGATTCTCAGAAGAAAGATCCTGCCTCCATGGGCTCATCTATTTCAGGCTCCTGGCAGTTTGATAAACGCGTGGGTTCGCAGCATCATGCGAACACAAAACATGCACGTTTCTATGGGGAGAGCAAAACCCCAAAAAGGAACCCGCATTTTTTGGGTTTGGGGGGGGGGGGGGAGGGGGGGGGGGGGGGGGGGGGGGGGGAGGGGGGGGGGAGGGGGGGAGGGGGGGGGAGGGGGGGGGAGGGGGGGGAGGGGGGGGGAGGGGGGGGAGGGGGGGGGAGGGGGGGGGAGGGGGGGGGGAGGGTGGGGGAGGGGGGGGGAGGGGGGGGGGGGGGGGGGGGAGGGGGGGGGAGGGGGGGGGAGGGGGGGGGAGGGGGGGGGGGAGGGGGGGGGGGGGAGGGGGGGGGGGAGGGGGGGGGGAGGGGGGGGGGGGAGGGGGGGGGAGGGGGGGGGAGAGGGGGGAGGGGGGGGAGGGGGGGGGGGAGGGGGGGGGGAGGGGGGAGGGGGGAGGGGGGAGGGGGGAGGGGGGAGGGGGGAGGGGGGCAGGGAGGGGGGGGGAGGGGCGGGGGGGGGAGGGGGGGGCCGGCAGGGGCTTGTGGCAACTGCATTCCATTCTCGACATAGACTTCATCCGAATGCCCTTATCCCATCTCTGAGCAAAGGCTGCTATGCTGTTGAGGCATGAAACTGATAGTATTATTATGATTATTATGATGATTGTTGTTATTATGATTAATGGCATTATGATTATTCTCATCATTATTATTATTCTGAATATTATTGGCGTCACAGAATGCCAGTCCTGAGCATCTGCCTGGTCACCATTGCGAAGAAGAATAATGACCTGCCGGATGCCACGACGACGAAGCCATTTCGCCCACATGGCGAGGGGGTACTGTAAGATACTGTAAGGTGGCTTTGTAAGGTGGCTTGGAGATGACCACCAGGGGCTTAAGATGGCTTAAGACAGCTTCTCGCTGTCTGCCTGCCCATTCGAGGCTGTCTTTGTGGCGATCTCACCGCCTCAACGTTTGAATGGAGAGCTTCAGCACCGCCAGAACTGCAACCGAATGGGGTTTGCCAGGGCCGTGGCCAATGCGCCTGTCAATCCAGTCGCGGAATGAGACCTCACAGGATGATGTTTGAGATTCCCCACAGGAAAACGAGCGCGCTCGCATGACTGGCCTCCTTTTTGAAGAGATCGTTTTTCAGTCTTTGACATGCCTGCCAGATCGACGGGCGAGACTTCAGCAGCAGGGCAGCTTTGGGCAAGGCATTGAGCCTTGTTATTTGCGATTGAGGACAACATTGGCCTTCAGCAGATGCAAGAGATGCAAGAGATGCAAGGATGCATGGCCAGAATTGGGAACACTTGGGCTCCTCAGCTGCGGACCCTTCGCCAGAACCGCCACCGCGGTTGAAGCGGTCCAGTTCGTCGAGCAGCAGCTGGCGCCCAGGCTTTTGCACGCTTTGCCGGAGTCACTGGACTCCGAGTTTAGCTGGGACTCTCAAGTCGACTCCCTGGACCCTTGACTGCCGGTTCCCTAAACGAGCCTCGCAATACGACTGCACCCCTAAGGACGAAGGTTCTTGTGATTAAGGATCTAAGGCTAAACGAAGCACTGTAGGGAACGTAGTCTCCATCCCTCTCACTCTCTCCCAAAAAGGATGAACAAAGCCAAAGCCTTAGATGATGGTCTCGTTTTGCGGTACAGGATGTGAGCGACGTGCAGCAGCGCAGCCTGCCGAAGCTCCAGCTCCTTCGGCAGCAGCTCCTGAAAAGGACGCCAGATCTTCCAAAACAGCGCGAAGAATGGCCTACGGCCGGCCTCTGCCGGCAAGGACTCCCAGAAGGCCTTCTTGCCCTGCGTGCAGGGGTGACTATACAGCAAAGCACGCCGGAAGCCCCAAGCCTGACTTTCAGAACTCTCTGAATCAATTCTTACAAGCACGGAGCTCTGCTCTCGCCCTCTGCTCTCGCCCTCTGCTCTCGCCCTCTGTTCTCTACAATAAAAGGAGGTCTCTGCTCCCTTTTGCGGCCTCCGGGGGGTCTTTTCGCTCTCGAGCCTTCGGCTTCTCACGCTCCTCACATGTGAGCGAGCGATTAATGCCGGGGCAGAGCCCCCGAGATTTCTGTGTGGCTTCCACGGGGCTCTCCTGCGGCTTCCCTACCGGCCATGGCGCCATTGGCGGTGGCAGGGGCCTGGCGCGCGCTGCATGTCTTACAGTCTTACATGGTCGGTTCGCGCAATTCTCATCCAATCGCGCAGCAGCAAGAACCCCGAAGAGGGACCACAACATGGACTGAGATGGACTGAGCATGTGGCCCACAAGACACAAGATGCAAGGTGCACAATGGTGCACAAAGTGCGCAGTGGCCAACTGAGAGCCTTCCGGGCACCATGGGCATTGGCATAGGCATCGGAGGCCTCCAAGACTGCACTGTCGTGATATACACAACACACCGGAACGAACGAGCTTCTTAACTTCGCCCATTCATGGCTTCACTTTTGGGATCCGTCCAGTATTTTTGATTGGGGCTTCGCTATGGTTCGCTCCAGATCAGGAAACTAAAAACGGAGCGCCGACCAACATTTCGGCCACTTGGGTCTTGCCACACCAAGCCGTAGGCCGCAGTCGCTCCACACTTGCAACACCAGATTCTGCAACAGCCCGGGAAAGAAATGGTCATTGCTACGGCCTTCAAACGCGACACCAGGCCCCGCCCACTGCCCTAAACACCGTGGAACAGCTCGAACACCCTTAGGCCATCGCGGCATGCCCGGCATGTGCGGCGGAGGGAACCCTCTCTGACTCTGCAGGAACTGGACCTGCAAATGCTGAGAACCAGCTGATTGCATGAAAGATCACGAGGTTCTTAAACACAGAATAAGCAAGTCCCACCCGCTCTGCGATGGCTGGCCGGGCTTTTGCCGTGAGGTGGATCTCCTGACAGCACTCCGAAGCCCTTCACTCCAAGGACGTTACGCATCACATACAATGCAAAGACCAACCAATCGAGTGATGGTAGGGATGGCCGGCTACTGCAGGTGAAGCAAATGAGGTGGCGACAAGCTGGCCATCTGGAGCCGGCTGAAGTGTCCTTGGTGGCACGGAGATATCCCAACGGCTCTCCTGAATGACCAGCACTCATCAAAAGTTTCCTGATGACCTGCTGCGAGCACACGCCGTTTTTCTGTTGAACGCTCAGAGCAGAGCGGTGCTGCTAAGCTGCCACAATGGTTGTCCATTGCAGCACGTTCGTTGTCCCGGGAGCCCAGGTGGGCAGCACATTAACAGAAGGCGCCCCCACTTCCCAAATCTTCCCAAGAAGGGGAAGCGGTCACGTAATCCACTCCTCGGGATAGTCCGGGACATGAATTGAGCTGAGATGACCTTTGGGAACAATGGCGACTGCTCGACTGGCGCAATGTCGCATCACAGGACTCTGAGAGAGATGCTGTTACAAGCAGAGGAATCGGGCACTGTAGACTGCATGTACTTCCAACCGGCCAAGGGAAGTGACAGCGTCACACCAACGCCTTGTGGACGGGAGGCCCCGCCTGACACGCGGAGCGCACGCAGCCCTGCAACAGGCTGCACGGGCGGCCACTAGCCTCACGGACTTTGGCGGGCCTAGTCTACGGACCGAGTCTACGGAGAGGCTGTCACCTCCTCTCATGACTTGCAGTCGGACCGGTACAGTAGCTATGTACAGTGTGGAACAAGTCGATCCTGGGATCAGTCTGCTTGCGCAAATTCTCGGCATACGGAATCCCAGTGAGGGAATGTGCAAGTCAAGATATCACGCGGTGCGCATGTCAATCTTAAGACGATCAGGATTCCGTCTGCCGACAAAGCCAAACTGCTATGCAAAGCATGCAGGAAGATCCTCCAGCACTGGCAGCTGAACTCAGCACAGATCCCTTGGTGCGGCGATATGCATCAATTTGCTATGTCTCCGTGCATCTATTTGTTGACTAAGTGCAGCTGCCAGTGCTGTGGCAAATGTGAAGATGCTGCAGGGAAGAGAGCAGCATACTCCTTTTTGGCTATGATGCCTTGTGCATATTTCCGTTTCACCTGCAACGAGTAGAATCAGTTGAGAAGCACTTCATGCGGTCATCATCGAATGAGGCATCAGAGCCACCAGCAAGCGCGCGCTGCGCTCGATGTCAGGCGCCTAAATTGGACTCCTTTCCTCCAAAAGTCCTACTCTGTCTGCAATTCCATTGGACTGGAGGGGTCTGCTCCCTGAAGCCTAAAGCATCCTAAATCCCAAAACCCGAAGACCTGCTTCAGCCCCTCCGTGTTCGACCGTTCGAAGGCAAGGAGAACCTTGCTCACGGCAGGTTGGCTTGAGGGTCTCAGAGGGGCCTTATGATTCGCACTGTCCCATGCTGCGGGGGCTTTTGTACATGTTTTTTGGAGTTTGGAGAGTTCCAGAATGTGCGGCTTCAGGTTCCTTCTCTATCAGACTTGTTCGTCATGTTTTCGCCCTCAACAACCACCTCCCTCCTTCATACTCCGATCCTTGTCTGAATCTCCCTGAGTCCAATCTGAAAGCCAGATCTTTTGGGCCACGCCTCCATCATATGCCTAAAAGATGCAGCGAAGAGGCTTTCCAGCCCGTTTCACCCAGGATTTCTTCGTCGCGCCATCCTGGCAAGGCCGCCGCCGCAATCTCTTGGCCACATTCGGGGGCACGGGGAACCTGGCAAGTGATGCTCAGGGCCTTCAGCATGCTCAGCATGCCATCACGTGCAACAACGCTGCGACAGGCGTGCTGACTGCATGCAAGCAGCAACTTCTTCAGATTGTGAAGGTATGAGGGCAAGGTCAGCGTCCTGGGAGTGCGGAGTGACAGCCGGGCTCAACCGGCACGCAAAGAGACGGTGCTGCCTCCGCTCGTCCTCTTCGTACCTTGGCAGATGCGCAAGCAGCTGGCCGCAAGGGGTCTTTGGGACATCTCTGAGGCAGGGACTCCTCTTTGCCCAGTGCACCACCTTTGGGGAGGCCAGCGGCATCAAAACCGAGCCCGCGGAAGAAGCGGGCCACACTGCGGGTGTGGTCCAGGCCAGCGTAGCAGACCAAGACCTGAAGAGTGCTCTCCAGTTCAAACAATTTTGCTAAAAGCTGCTTTCACCCAAAATTTGCTACTCTTTTGAAAGAGCTACGCTAAACCAACGAAACACAGAAAAGAAAGGAGCCTCCGCGTGAGCCCGTCGAACTGGGGGCCCCCGCAACCTTTGCACCCTTTGGGGCTGACAGTGCTGCTTCGCCCGCTTTCAGGATCATCGCCAGATCGACGGAACCTGCAACTAGGTAACTAGGAGCAGAGAGGAGCAGGGCGTTCATGGGCATGCTGCAAGCTGCTGAAGCAGTCGAGGCGCGAAGCTGGAATATGTCAACCATGATCCTTGGCTTGATTGGCTACTGTACACTTGGTTTGGCTCAGTTGCCATGCTTGGAGGTGACATGCTGTACCCTCACATGTCTGACATGCTGAACGTTCTCAAAATGCGCACTACGAAGCACAATTCAGGCCAGGAGCCTAGCTCGGCCTTTCTACGGATTCTGCAAGCTGTTACAAGCTCTAGGGGAAAAAACCTCATAGCCTATACCACCTACACCATCCTTCTCCTTAGGAAAGAGCCAGAGGGGGCAGTTCAAAAGCATCGGCTTCTCTCACATCGTTTCATCGTTCTCTCTGTGTTTCCTTGAGGGGTCAAGGCCCCTGTGTGTGACCTCCCCCTCAACGGCCGGCTGTGGCTTTACCATCTGAGACCGCAGGAGTTGCACGTTCTTCCTACGCAAGCAGGATCCAGTTGACAAAGTGTGATTGATGAGTTGTTCTTGCAGCAGGGGAGGGCGGGGGAGACTCACCTCCAACGGTTAACAGAACTCTCTCTCCCCACCACCTTTGATTCTTTTCCTCCTCCTGCGCTTTCCTCTTTCTGGTGGTTCCTCTCATGCACTACACGGGCTTCTTCTTCCTGTTCATCTTCTTGCCCCTCCCGTGGGTACGGCCAATCCAGACGGGCAGCTTGGACAGGACTTGCTCGCGCGCAGTAGACCTGCGTGACAGGGCCACAGTTGCCAATTTTGCTGAACTCTGCGGTGCTGCATGAAGTGTACGGGGGGAGCGTCTGACGCTGGACTGTTGGACTAAGACTAGAGGGTGCACTCCAAATCTGCATGGCCGGTGAAGGCCTCTTTGTCTTGCAGAACTCCTCGAAAGCCTTCTCAACAGAAGGTATGGTGATGTCTCGCCTGCAGTTTCAAAGACCGTGAGCAGCTTACAACACGGTGAGATTTGAGACGCAGCCTAAGAGGCCCAGTGCTTCGACACCGCAACATCACAGCAGAATGCCGATGCCGCCAGGGCTCAGGTTGTAACGCGTGGGTTTCGACTTGCTCTGTGCCCAGTGCTTGCGCTTCAGCTTCACCGGATCATGGGCGTCGATATCACGGAAGATCTTCGGATGGCATGCCCTCAGCCATGCCACGAAGTTGTCTCCTCACAGTCAGCGCAGAACACCGAAACAAACTCTCGTGACATCCGGCGTGGGCCTTCGGCGTCCGCGCCCTTGGGGTCCGCCAGCATCTTGTTGACAGCACCCAGGTACCTCGATCTAGCATGTTGCAAAAACACAGCAAAGCGCTGAAAGCGCCGGATTTGAATGAGGGACACGAAAACAAGACCATCTGAGCCGGGCCACTAAGGGGGACTACAGTAGGGTTTAGCGTCCAGGGCAGACTCGGCCTCAAAGCGTATCTTCATGCATCAGTGCCCTCCTCTCCACGCCGACCAACGAAGCCCCCCGAAGTGTCAGAACACCTCTACCAAAGGGTCTTTGCTGCGAGTCAAGGAAAGGGCTCCAGCCCCGAAATCCGGGATGCAAAACCTCGGCGACTCTTTGGGACTAATAGAGAGACCCGACAATTCCCGAAACCTCCTTTCCTTTCTGCAGGAAAAAAGCCAGCGCTGCGCCGCCGCTACGTACTCGCCGGCGCCGCTGCGGCGCAGGCGCTCGGCGATCCCTCCGCCGAAAGCTTCCCCCATATTGCACCCCGGACTGCTTTCTTAGTTTTTACCGAAAGCTTCCCCCAGGAGAGCCGTCAGAGTGCAGTCTAATGGGGGGCGTTTTGCAACTTCTACAGGGCTCTGTGGGGGGGGGGGGGGGGCAGCTTATCTGCGTTTACATGCGCTTTAGCCACTTCTCGGCCTGAGAGCCAGGTCCGGGGCTCCTCGAAGCCTCTCGCGGCCAGGAAGCGATCCAGTGGGGCGGCCCTGAGATCAAACGGAACATAGCGAAGCCGATAGCGAAGCCGATAGCGAGGCACGATGACATAGTGAAACTTATGTGATACCTAAAGTGGAGGAATCAGAAAGAGTACAAAGTGCGCAGTAACTCCAGCAAATTCCGGCAGGCCTCACAGGGACCGTTCGTCGGCCAGAGGCACAGTACCCAGCTTGGCGGCGCTGCATGCTTCCAGAGGCTGTACAGAGCTGAGAGCGTACGTGGAGACAGCGTCGTGTCTCCTCGCACGTAGAGACATAGTGGAGCATTGCAGACATGCAGACATTGGACGGTTGCAAGGTGATGCTGGCACTCCAGCCTCGTTTATGCAGAGAGTTGACACTGCATCCGGCACGGACTCGAAGAACCTTGTGGAAACTTACTAGCTCATGATGGTCATCTGCGGAGTGACTGTGCTGACTGAGAAGATGCGAGATGATGCGAGTAAGTTTCAGACAGGGCTTGGAAGAAGCGCCTCATGTTGTCCTGGGCCGAAATCGGGCGGTCAGCACTCTCGCCAACGGACATGGAACATGCCCTTTTAGTAACTCCGTACAAACCCCAGCAATCCCACGCATGTGTTAGCCAAGTATCCGCGCTGCCCACGCAATGCTTCAGGAAGGGAGCGTAGTCTGCCTTCACCTTTCAAGAAGTCGAACCCCTCCCCTCTAGGTCCTCAGAGCTTCAGGTTCCTGAGCTTCCCGCGTGGTGGGCGTAGTAGAGCAGGTCTGCGGCGCCTCCAAAGAAAGCCTCAAAGGTCTCAAAGTGGGGCGCAGCAAAGGGGGGGGGGGGGGGTCAA